GGGGGGGTTATCTCTTCTTATATGTTTTTGCTACGCTCTCTCTCTCTATATATATAATCCCCGAACAGTCGTCGCCCACTACTCTTGCGCTGAGCAATCCCCCGCCGCTTTGTTCTCCCGCTAACGACTATTTGGTCGACTCGCTCAATCGTCCGCTCTCTTCCACACCCTTCCTCTCTTTCACGCTCCCCTTCCACTCCCTTCTGCTCCCTCACGGCTCTGGCCTGCTCCTGCCGTGCTCCCTTGCGTGCCGGTGAGGCCCCCGTTCGGGCTCCAGTCTTACAGGCGTTAATGTTACGTATATCAAGCCTTGTAGGAACTTTACCCGATCACATCTATAATGGCCCGCTTCGGCCCTAATGAAAGGTAGGATCCCTGAGAGAATGCCCTACTACGTTACTAGGTAGAGTTGACTAAATTCCTTAGTCCTGTAGTACAAAGCTTCTCTTCGTCTTTTCCTTTTACTTTCCTCACTTCCTCTCCCTCTCTTGGTCCTTAGATTTTCCCCCGTCCTCCCTCTACCTCTCGTGTGAATCGCTCCTTCTGTCTAGTCGTCTTACTCCCTAAGCGCGCCTTACTCGCATTTCGTGATGGCGCATCCGATGAACGAATTGGCGAACCGTAGAGTCTATATATACAGAGTAGAGTGGATCAGGAGGCAGTTAAATGTAAGGACACGTCGACAAGGCTGATCTAAGGGGGTTGAGAAGCATCCCGTAGACGGCGGATATATGGTCTGCCATTTTGGCAGGCATGTCAGTCGTCCTGTTCTCTCTTCGTCAAATTTTCGATTTCGACCCTTTTTGTATTGCACCCCGTTGGACCGACCACCCGACCTCACCCTTCCGTTCTGATGTAGCATAAACTCCCTGGCAACTCTCTTGGGCTACGAGCTTTCTGTTCGCTAAGAACCACAAATCCAGATCTAGTTCATTTGGCACGTAAGAGAATGACCACGAGAGCGACCACGAGCTTGTGCTTCCAAGCAAAACTAAGGCATTTCCAGATGAGAATGCGAGCAAGAGTTACATGACGCACTCGCGTCCTTTCAACTCTGCTGGAGCGCGGCCCACATCTTTTCGAGGCCAATACCCTGGCTGCGTCAGAACTTTGGGCCATCTGAGCGACCGCGAATGGCGCTCTATGGTCCAAATCTTCCAAGACAGCATCGCGGTTGCCAGCTGTGGATAATAAAGCCTCTATCGCCACCACGTTGTTGTGAAGAGCAGCTTGGTGGGGAGGTGTCCTTCTCTGTAGATCTCGTACTTCGGGGGCTAGGCCTTGCTTCAGAAGAAGATTGATAACCTGCGCAGCCCGACCACTTTCCACCGCATAATGCATTGGAGTTCGACCAAGCAAGTCAGGCTGGCTTGGTGTCTCGGCAAAATGTGACGAGCAAAACTCTTGTACAATTCCGAGGTTTCCTCGCTGGGCAGCTAGATGAAGCATACCGCGACATAAATAGTCCCTTAGCAAGATCTGTCGATTCTGCTTCAAGTGGCGAGCTTCTCTACCATCGACTGTTGAAATATTGGGCCATACTACGTAATGTAAAATTGTCATGTTCCGGTCATCAACGCTGTTCATGTCAAGAAATTGCGCAGATATGTGTATTGATTTGGTGGTCTCGTTGAAGAAAGCATGTAAAGGCGATCGTCTGCAGAGATTGCACGCATCTAGGTTGGCCCCAGCGTTCAGAAGAGTTTGGACGATTTCGGTTGAAATGCTGTTCGCGGTTGCGACATGCAAAGGCGTGTTACCTTTATCGTTTCCAAGATTTATATCGGCTTCTTGCTGAAGAAGGAAAGTAACCATATCATTGTTATTTGTGCTAACAGCCAAATGAAGCAATGAATCCCCTCGAGACGTTACACTGAACAACGAGCACTCCTTGCCGTCTAATATTTCTTGTAACTGTTGTAAATCTCTACTTCTGACAGCCTGTGGAGCAGGTGCGTCACCTCTCATGGTGGTGCACACTTTTGAGGCCATACCGATGTGGAAATTCAAGGCATGTGTCCACGCAAGCAGAGGCCACGAATCTGGTGTTGCGCAAGCTTAGTATATCAAGAATGAACGTTATTTCGCGACCAAAAACATAATTCGTGTGGTATTGGGCCACTGCCTTAACCCCGTGAGTTTGATATTGAGTTCGGAGGACTTTGATAGATACGGGCGTTGACATGAAACAACACGTAAATCGAAATATGAAACAGCCACGAGGATATCGCATACAGGCTTTGGAGTTTGTCTGCCTTAGGGATGGATTTGCCTGGATGTCGGGGATGGCCTGCTGCGTAGTTGGCTTGAGGATAGTTGTATTATCGATCTGGACCGTTGCACGAAGCTGAGAAGCCTCGGATACCTTCATAAACAACCGCCTATGGGACGCCTAAATCAGCATTGGTCTCAGCGTAGCCAAAGTACTTACACCTGAAGCATTAACAGCTCCGAAACCACCAAGCCGGTCCAAAAGGGGACGCGGCTGAGAAACTTATCTACTTCCGTCCTACGTGAGGCTGGCCACCATAGGCTTGCACAAGTTCTGAGAAAAAGCCGTGATGAGAGTTTGTGATTGATTGTGGCAACTTCACGCTTGGTGCGCCTCGCTTGGGCCAGAAGCGTTTCCAGCTGACCCAAAAAAATAGTATCAGGGTGCGAATCTGCTTCGAATACATTCCAAAATGCTATCAACCGCTGTAAATTAGCTGTCAGTGCTTCAAACTGTTCCAGTTTATCATATATCTCAAATGGCGCATCTCGAAATCCGGAAAGCATCTGGCAGAAGATACTGCAAGCCTGAGTTGCACATTGAACGAATGTGAGAGAACCACTCGCCAGACTGAAAGGATCCATCTTTTTAGATACCGTCCAGAACTGATCTTGCTCAGGCTCCGCTCCCTGGCTGTTTATCTTCTAGAAGTGCCTGAGTTACTAGTGCCGATATATAGCAGCAGTGCCTCACAGCATACCATAACTGCACGGTAACAAAAGCGAGTTCGGTCTTGACTACCTCGTAGGTAGCGCCGGAAAATACCTACCATGCAGAAGGCATACCTCTCAAGTCAACTTCAGGGAGATCAGAGGCAATTGGGCGCTGTGCAGGAGGCTGGCTCGAGCATGGTTTGTTCGTCGGAAAGGTTTGTCGTATTAGGCTGCAAAAGCACGTACGTCCACCAAAAACGCCTTGGGCCACAACGGCTGACACAGGAGCTGATGAGGCAAAGGCAATTGGGGCGCTGTACTATGTGCTTGTACAGGTTTATAAGCCCGGCGCCGTGAAGATGCATCCTGACTGCACGGCTGCCCCAATCGTGTCCTGCACGTTGTCGGCCCTCAGCGTTTGCTTTGTGACGCGTCAACGGTGAATGCGTCAACTTGCAGCTATTGCGCCTGACAACACCCTGGGGCTATGTTTGCGAAAATACTGCCTTGAGACATGTCCATTCAAGATAGAACTGTAAAACTTGCCAGATATCAAACGTGTTCTTTCATCACCACCACCATTACTGGTCCGAGATTCCGTTACAGCTAAGCCCTCATATCTACCTCAAGGTCAGCTTCCACAAATTTGGAAAGCCATCGCTTCAATCCATCAGGAATCACCTTGCTTCCTCAGCCTGATAACATGTCTCGGTCGGACTCCGACAGCGACAGTGGAGATGACCGTTATGGACGATATGCGCGAGCGTCAACTGCCCACGCAACTCTGGGCAGCACCTATGATGACGACCCAGAAGAACAAGTATATTCTCCTGACAAATCCCGGGACGAGGACCCAAACGGACAGCCACAATCGTGCACTCCTAGTCCGGTGCGATCTCGTTGACCCACTCCAGAAGACTACCAAGTATACTCTGACGAGGATAATAGCGACGTTGTAAGATTACTCTGCTCCAAATGAATCCCTGGAGACCTCAGTGACTAGCATGATCACTTCCAAATTACTCTTCTTCGAATAATAATCTTCGACTTTGGACAGGAAAATGCTGAAAGTGCTGCTTCGGGGGCCAGAACCGAGTTTCTGGATGTCACTTCGAGTGAACAGAGACAGATATCGAGATGGCGTGAAGAAGGCAAAGACACTCGAGACATAGAAGGCTTACTCTACGAACGACGTACTCGATATGAATGATTGAGATTGGAAATAAAAGGCTACTAGCTGACGAATCCTGAGCGAGATAAACAGCGTTTGGTATCCACATATGTCTCCAAAACCAGTCGGGAAAGCATTGGACCGCCACTGCATGAAGAATTGCCATTACACAGCCTTCGACCAGTGATGCGCTGTTGGTAATCATTGCACACCAATTTTCGCTGATTCTTCTGCCGTCAGGCTGATGTTTTGTTCTTGGAGATGTTCTACCGGTATCCGCTTCAAAGCTTCTCCTCTCTCTATAAATTGATTTTGCAGGATCAACTAGAGCAATCTGGCACTTGGCATCCCAAATTCTCATATCAGAATCTGTAGAGGAAGGGTCAATCGCATGATTGTTTGCAGGATCTTCTTCGACGCTTGCTTGTTCTCGCTTTTCAAGAGTTTTCAGGCACTCTTCTGCAAGAGCAAGAGCCTCTAGACGCGACCGTTCGTCTTTTGACAGTTCTATTGCCAGGTCAGTCTTTGCTACAAAAATATTAGCCTGAAAGCCAGTTCCAGAGAATTCGGGATCGTATAAGGAACAAAATGTGCCTAAATTCTTGTACGATATCACCTCTTTCAGTTGTGTTTGGTAGTGGGACTGATCCGTTTTCCGTCCGCACTCTTTCATGAAGCATACGGAGCCCCGTTATGGCAAGATCGTCGTTTTGGCCGAGTTTATGTCTCTGTTTTTCAAGAAAACGCTGCATGTGGTCCAGTAGTTCAGTTGCGCGCCTCGTATCCTTGAGGCGCTGTGTCACGCTGATCTCATTGAGCATCAGACGCCAGTTTTCAGGCTCGAGCTCTTTTGCACACCTGTAATGGGCTCGCGCCTCTTCGAGTTTGCTCTTCGCATCACGCCCAACAGCTGCCCCCTCGGATATCAAACCTAGAGACCGGAACAGAGCAGGGCGTGTGGATTTGATGCTTTGGGCGGGGAGTGTATTAGCAAGCTTTGAAGAGGTGAAATTCCGAAGCAGCAATCTCGCGTCGTCGAACCAGGCTTGCATACGTAATTCTCGGGCAAAGACCAGGACCGAGTTGGCCGCGCATAGAGAGAGTTTCGTCCAATTTACACAGCAGACTTCGAAGTCCTTTGGGAGTGGACAGATGCCAGAGAAGAACTGTGTCTTGGAGAAGCTCGTGAATGGATGAGGTGGTCTCATATCCTCCTTCAAGCAATGAATTCTCGAATAGTACTGACACCCACTCGTTCAGTAAATGTTTCTCCTTTGCCATGTACTTGAGTCGCAGTATATGCTTATCGATTTTCGATCTTGATAGAGTGGCGATGGTCTCGAGCAAGCCAGCGGCCTTTACTTCGTCATCATCTGCGTTTTGATTCAGGCTTTTCAAGAGTGGTCCAATTAAAGCCGAAATACGGTACAGTGAAGTATCCTCTCTGTCCATGCGAGATCGTATCGCACCGGTTGGGTTGGTGCCAAGCTGTTCGAGTTGTCGCCTCAGCCATTCTATTCGTGATCCAGGTCTTTGGAGCATATTGCAAAGCTCTGGTACTGACATTCCCGTATCCCTATGACGCTTGATATATATTGAAGCCATTTGTATTAACTGAGGTGTGCCCAGATAATCGACCAATTCGTGCACTCTGGCATATTCTGTCCGGAATGTCCTTTGGTGCATGTGCCTTGCGGAACAACTCCATTGCTCCGTTTCCTCTCATGTTTTCAACGTGGATCAGGCTGTCGGTCCAGTTCGCAACATCAGCCATGTTTCGGGCAGTCACTAGAAGGTATGTCCTGCCGGTGGTAAGTCGGGGCAAGAGTTGATTGACTGACTTGACGGCCGCGGGTGCACGACCAGTTGATGGTACACCTCCAAATTGATCACCCACCAGATCATCCAAGACCATGACTCAAGGTTGGTTTTTGTGGTCCTCAAGCCAGGTGTTTACGTTCCTCAAAATAGGATGGTTGACAATGGGGCCTCTGTATGCTAGTGTTGCTGATTTGATTGTGATCCCGGCCTCGGAAGAAATTCCTTCATAATCCTTCAGCAATTGTGATTCGCTTGTGGCAGAGACCCAAAATCTGTGTTTGATACGAGGCACATGACAGCGGCCACCTTGCATAAAGTCACCGAGTTTTTGGAGATAGTGAAGAGCAATACGAGATTTCCTGAGCGCCGTCAGTCAGTGCATGTGTTCGACCGTTATGGTCAAAAACCAACACATTTTTAGGTTTGAGGCCGTGGTGGAATACTACTCCAGCCATTCCATGTCGCTGTCCATGTAGGAAAGTCACACCTGAAGTGATGGACCATATTGCGTCGTACGAATATTGCTGCTTGTGTTCTGGATTTTTGCCGTCCTCCAAACCGAAAACTTCATGTGGTTTCCCCAACCAATGGGAAAGATCCTGAAGAGCATGGAGGAATATCATACAAAGCTCGCGTAGCGGACCCCTCGCTCTAGGCGTCACCATTTCAAAACTCGCGAGCAATTCCACAATGTAAGGATTTCCCGAATTTGTGATTGTGTTCAGCACACCTAAGTTTGTGAAATGTTGGTTCAAATGTTGGAAATTCTCCGTTCTAGGAGGGACATGTAGGCTAATGACACTGCTTGATTCGGTTCCGATAACTCACTCACCGTTCAATTTTTTGAAGCCACAATATCAAGGTCACCGAGTCACAACAGGTGAAAGCATCTTGGCGACCCTTGGGTGCTCCCATTTAACCAGCGGGAATGAAGCAAAATCCTAGTTCGAGCAGGAGGGGGAGTAGCGAGTCAGTAAGTGAAGTTTACTTCACTACTAATGTGAAGCTCCTTGCGCCCCAACAGCTCACCTAAGCATGCCAGCATAGCATGTTAGCCAAATACACCAATCACGCTAGCCAAACATGCTAAACTAGTCGTACAGGTGAAGTTACCACAAGGCTGAGTGTACGAGACGAGAGCCAAAAAGCGCACCCTTACTGATATATCAGAGAGCAGGAGCGAGCAGAGAGGAGGGAGAAGGAGGGAGAAGGAGGGCGGTAGGGCCAGAGCGGCGGTCAAGGAGAGCAGAAGAGAGTAGAAGGGGAACCAAAAAGAGAGGAAGAGGAGAGGACAAGGACACTCAGCGATTCGATTCTTTAAAAATGGTGGTTAGCGCAGGGCAAAGCGGCGGCGTTTTGATCAGCAAAAAGCCCTAAAGGACGACAGTTTGAGGTGTACATATATATGCATGTCTCTTTTCCCGAAACCAAAGCCCTTTCTTCTCTTGTTCGAACCTGTCTGCTGGCTGTTCTATCCTCGATGAGGCGCTCTGAGCTAACTTACTATCTAGAGAACTCGGAGGCTGCGGCAAGCGTGGAATATGAAGCCCAGATGGATTTTTTTTTCTTTCTTTCACAGAGTGACTGTAACTTGCTGCTGGCTACTGAACTACATCTTGTCGGCTCCCTCTCAGTCTTCGTAGCCGCCGGAGTGGCAGCGCGAGCAGCAGCAGTCAGCGAAGCGATAACAGGTATAAGAATGCCAGAGATCTTTGCTTTCTCCAACAAATCTTTTTTAGTCTTTCAAGGTTTCTCTACATGTGCAACATATAGAGTTGCATCCGTGAGGGAAAGATGCTACATGCGCCCAAACAAGTTCTCACTGCTGCCCCCCCTCTCTCTATCTCCCGCCCTCCAACGGGCCGGCACATCACGTCACGTCACATCACAGCTTGATCTTGACACCCGAGAAATCCAAGGTGATGGCAAACACCGTGACGGCGGCGGCGTAAGCGAACAAAACACCTATCGCGGCAAGGTTCCTCATGTCTAGGGTATTGACGGTCAGATTCACGAGGCCGGTAAGGAGGTTGGCAACGAGGAACACGGCCAGCCCGTTGCTGTTGTACACGCGCAGGAGGAGGCTCGTGGCGTCTTGCACCTTGTGGGAGTCGGAGGCGTGGTAGGAGAAGCGCGGGCCGAGGGACTCGACCAGTCCGAAGAGGAGGATCTGCGCGTTGTTGAAGGCGACGATCCAGAGCACGTAGGGCAGGTTGGCGAGCCGCCGCGACACGTTCAGGTTGCAGGTGTAGACGGAGGTCGAGAGGAGGAAGAGCGTGCCGTGGATGGCGGATTGGATGAGGAGTTTCTTGAGGACGAGGTTGCGTTCGCGGTTCGTGGAGGTGGTGGGGTCGGTGTCGTAGTGGAGGGGTTTGTTAGTTTTCGGGTTGCCGTCTGTCAGTTCCTGGTACTGCATAACGAAGACGCCGGTGCCTCTGCCGGCCAGGAAGATGGAGAGGTAGCCGATGAACGAGAAGACACCCTCGCGGTTCTTGGACAGTAGGTCGGGTCCGCGCGGAGAGACGAGAATGTAGCGAAGTAGTTCCGTACTGTTGAGGGTGATTTCATATACGGCGGCGAGTAGAAAAGCGAGTATTTCATACCGCTTGACTAGTTTCCGTGTGATGGTGTCTGAGAGTTCGGCGAAGGGAGGCAGGAACCCAAGTGTGAAGAAGAAGTTCCAATGCACGCCGTACTCGGATACGTGCTCGGCGTAGTCCAGGCCTTTGACGCTCCAGAGGCGGATGAAGCCTAGGACAAGGAGGGGGATTGAGTGGCGGGCGGCTTGGGCGAAGCGGGTGATGAACGTGCTTTGTATTGATTTCCCTCCGTTCGAGGCGACTTGCTCGGACTTGACTAGGCCCCGGGCTGATACAACACCAGCGGAGAAGACGAAGGAGCCGACGCCGAGATCCATCAATGAGGTGCCCCATGTTTCCACTTTTGCGAACCGGCGCGGGAAGATGGGAAAGTCCACGGCGAGGATGGCGAGACAGGTCACCACCATCATAGAGCCCCGGTAGTGGGTCACAAACGGTCTTACAGGGAGCCTGGCGGGTTTGGATGCTGCTGCTGCTGCTGCTGCCGCTTTGGCATTTGCTTGGGGAGACCTAGACTTGGATGGCTTCTTCTGTTGCTTGGACTTCGCCGCCGAGCCTTGATTCTCAGGTGAACTGCTGAGCAGCAGGAGTAGCACTGCAGGAGTGATGAGGGAAATGTTCAACACCAACGGTGCAGACGAATACAATGTAATGGCGAACAGGATCGCAGAGACATTTAGCAGAAAGTCTGCGGCCGCTGCCACTGGAGTGTAAGGAGTGAACAGCGACCGTCTCCTCTGCAAAGCTGTCCATAGAAGGACCGCTGACTGGTGGAAATAAAAGGTCAGAAAGGAGTGATAGTGCATTGCAATGAAAGACGAATGCTTCAGAGATTCCAAAATGAGCTGAGCTCAAATGGGATACTTACAGCAGCAACCAGGGTGACCAGGTTGATATCTGTCAGCGAGCTTCCGAAGAGATTGGAGACAAAAGCCTCCTTGCGAGCCTTGTAGCTCGCTGATGCCATATCTTTATTCATTGTTATCAGATCTGTCCTCTCACATTATGAACGAAAAGAGAAGAGACAATGTATCATGGCCAGAGGTAAGGATAGCGAGTTAGAGTGACTCTTCAACGTCCTTCATCGAATAGTTGTAGTAGTAAGGTTGTGTCTGGACAGACAGGAGACGTCGCTACAAAATCTGGGTAGAGAGTCTCGTTTAGTTTATCCGAGATTGACACAGTTTTTCCGGGCGACGCTCCAAAATGGACACGTGAACACAACCCAATTTTCCAGTCCAACGCTGTTTTTAGGGAAATTTCCCGCCGAATTTGGCGGTCGGGTACCGCCGCTTTTGAAGGTGTTTTCCTTTCATTGCCAAGACCCCCATCGTCGTCCCCTCCATTGACTTGCCTTCCTATGCACCACCAAACTATGCAACCAAAATTGTGGACCAGAAACGGTCTCCCTTCAGAAACAGTACGGGATTCGTCTACCTCTTCGAAAACGATATATGCTTTCGACTGCGCACTATGGCGCCTCAAGGATCCAGAGGGATAATCCCTCCAGATCTCCTCACTGTTACAGAGAGGGCGTTGTCCGACCTTCGCAAAATCGACTCGAACTAAGTCCTATGACCTATTTCCCATCTTTTCTCCTACATCCTAGCGACTCTACCTAACTTTGGTTTTCTAGACCGAACGCCAAGGGTCTTATTGTTTCGCTATCTGTAAAAATTCCTCCCCCGACCTTCCTATGATCCTACTCATTAGTAAGAGCTTTACATTATCTACTACTATGAGTAGAGGAGGAATTAAGGAAAGTAGGATCTTCCTAGGGGCGGTATGGCTGTATAGCCTTTGATCTAGAGGCTAATAGTAGTCTAAAATTCGGTCGAGTATTAGTAACAACATTATTAATTACTCGCTAAAAAGGGTGCTGTAAAGAAGTTATCCACTATGGAGACACCGATATCCATTGAGTGTATATATTAATTTGATAGTTTGATACGTAGACTATGCTCCTCGGTCAGCTTTTGTCCCAAGCTCCATCTAAAATAGCTAAATATATGGCTCCGACAACAACGCAATGTATCTTCTGCTTCTAGAATCTCAGAGAAGCATACTGTGGCAACTGACACGCACCTACGAACGGAACAGATACAATCGTGAAATCTGGGTTTACTGGGTCAGCGAAGAAATGACTCCAAGCATAAGAAGAAAACATCAGTATCAGGTGAAAGAAATCAAATAGCTCAGCAGGAAACAGAATAGGTCTTTTTAGTTAATTCAGGCGTGTCAAAAATCTCCCTCAGGTCCGTTCTTGGTCTCATTATCCTTCCTGCTCTCAAAAATCTCTTCGAAGTCTCTCTCCCCTACCTTGAATCTAAGAATAGCAGCGTCCAACTAGACTGCCTCAAACTCTTTCCAAGCCATACATGAGAATACCTCAATAGTGACTTCGCAGTCCCCCTCTTCTAACTCTTTCAAAACACCATCCACGAAATCAGGTACCGTGACGTCGAGACCAGCTCCACCCTTTTCTAGAATTCCTACACTCTCTATGACCGTCCATCTCACAATTCATCGCAACTTTGACCCATGTCTGTCGTCCGTGATACTTGCCAATACTATATATTCTTTATGTTAAGCGTAACCGTGAAAGCCGGTGTGACTTTGACATCCCACTCAGGACAGAGTCAGATGATTTCCTAAGGTTGCGAGCCCGCTTTATAGTGTGTTGAAGCTATCTGTTGAACTTCGGCTGCTGCGCTAGTTTTGTAGTGTCCCTGGGCCATGATCCTGGCAGGTAAAGTCAACAAGTGGTACGCTTTAACTTCGTTAGGATAGACACGATCCGCAGGCGTAACAGAGAGAACCAAAAAGGAAAGAAAGATAACGAGTCCACGTAGATACCCAAATCACGTCTTCAATGAAATTTTGGCGGTACCCTGGCATACTTCAAGTGCCATTGGCGCTGGTGAGTGGACCGCTAGTGGCCAGGGGGTGCCTGTCGATACTGTGCGATCCCGTGCCGTTCGCGTCCGGCGTGGTCATTTCGCCGAGGGGCTGCCTGGTATTGCTTTTTTCTATCGCTGAGCCTGTACGCGAATCGACGGCGCCGTACGTGGGTAGGCGGGAATCTATTCGCATCTTCCGCTATTCGTGCTTCGTGCGGAATAGCTGCATTGTGCGAATTCGGCGCTCGCACGGTGTGATCGCCATTGCTCGTTCTCCAGAGGCCATCTTGCAAGGACACCGGCCTGATCCAGGACTTCCTTCCAAGGGACATCCGCACTCATAAGGCTAAATGTTGTTGGAGGTGCGGTGCATTCAGGTCATAAGAGATATTGTTTGGAATCCTCCGAGCGGATGGACTACGCTAGGGTATACTTTTCTCCGCACGACAAAGGTCAAATGACATCACGTGCCAGCTCAACCCAACGAAGGATGTTTTGGATGTAGGCGAAGGCCATTCATAGAATTCAGTAAAGCCTAGGCTATTGTGGTCTATATCGCTATTGGTCAATATTCAGTGTCCATGAGAGCGACCTCGATTTTGCATTCCACATTCCACCAATTCTGAAAGCATTTAAGCTTTGCTTGCTGTAGATCAAACAGCGTGTGCGAAATGAGATGCCTCGCTGCGCATGTCTGTATGTCTTACGACGACTTAGGCAACAGTCAAATTCTTCAGTAGCATTGCTGCACCCGAATACGATACGAAGGCTGCCTGTTCAATACCGACTTGGATCCTACACAGCCCGTCGCATGCTTGAGGAACCAAGTATTCTGGCCGCTTCCCCATCGGCCATAAATAGCAATACGATGTTTCGACTGCTCCCTGCCAAGCCGAACCGTAATGGCACTGCTCTGACTGGACCGAGTTCTGATCCACAGCATATTTTTCTGTGGCTTAAAGCCAGGCTCGGATCGTCAATTTAGCGTAGCGGAGCCTGCGACATCTACCGTTCAAGCTATTGGGCTTTCGATATCCACATGTACTCCGTCCTGATACTCCTCTCTCCTGAGTCCTGACGTCCAATCCAGCTTGGTTTTATCAAGCACCAAACACAGCCGAACAGGGTCTTAAGGCTTCTGTCCTGATATTCTCGCACAAGTTCGCAGATGGGCCAAGCCGAAACGTCACCGCGATCCATTGCCAATAGCTCGGCGGTGACAGCAATTGGTGTCACCCCTTCCCTTTGATCACGACTTGACCAGTCGCATTTTAAGAGTATCAGACCGCATCCACAAGCGGTCTGTTCTTGCGAACATCGCAAAGTACAAGGTTGAGGCAACAATACTGGGAGTGCCTCCGGCCCGTGGGACGCCTCACCTCCGACCATGGTCGAGGCATTAATATGGGGAGGTTGGACAGTACTTAGAAGGGTCGACTTTACAACCGCACAATTCGATATCTTCCTGTGGCATCAACTCCTGGAATCACTACATTTGCATTCCCATCCGAGTCTGTGTTCTATCTCGTGATCCGTTTAAAGATGCTGCTGGCTCACTATGCGACCTTACTGTCAAGATTTACGAAATCCGACTTACTGTTAACTTCTCTAGCACTGGCTGCGTTTGCAGTTGCGCAAAGCAGTAACGACTTGGATTGGGTTCCCTTTGACCGCGAACAGTTCAACGGGAATGTTGCTCTCGATGCAGAGGGAAATGTTCAACTATTCTGGAAAACTGCGAATCAGTCCTCGACGTTTGGAGTTGCCTCACGATCCAGCGGCTATCTCGCACTAGGTTTCAGCGAGACCGGCGCGATGACTGGAGCCGATATGGCCGTGGGGTATAGAGACCAAGATGACAACTTTGTATTTGAGAATCGCCATGCGATGGGTTTCGTTACTCCTCAAGTCTCCCAGGACCAAGAGAACAACATGCGGCTCCAAGAGAGCCACCAGGCAGATGGAGTTACTGCATTCGTTTTCGAGAAACAAAACAAAGCCGGCTGTCTTCAAACCCAAGCTGACGTTGCTAAAGATGCGTGGCAATGGTTCATCTATGCGTTTTCTGATGAAAACACCTTTGCCATGCACGCGCCCGGCAACATGGGCAAGGAATACGTCAAACTAGGCACAGGCAAAAGCGTCTCTTTGAATGAAATTCGGGACATTGACGGCACCCAGAACTTCACTATTATGCAGCCTGAACTAACTATCCCTACTGCGGAGACTACTTACTGCTATACTCTCCACAAGATGCCGGCGGGGGACAAGAATTATTTGCTCGGTGAACGACCAACCGCGTCAAGTCAGCTGCTCCACCACTTAGTTATTTATGCATGCTATGGCCTCCCCGATGAGTACATGGACATGCTTGGTAAAGAGCCCAACTGCGATTATGAAGAATTCTCCAACCCCTGTAATGGTTTTGTCACAGAATGGGCTCCCGGCATGTCTGGTCGCACATTCGAGCCTGGGTATGGCAAGCCATTTGGCACCGAATACTACGAATATGTGATGTTGGAGACACACTATAATAACCCTGAGGGGCTCGAGGGCGAAAAGGACACTGCAAGCTACACGTTTCTCTACACCGATCAGCCGGTGGACACTGAAATCGGGACCTTGACCCTGGGCGACCTCCAAGTGGAGGGCTGGTTCCTCGACCCTGGCCAGCCGCTGGTGGCACATTCAACAGTCTGCACGCCTGAATGTACAGAGCGTTGGCCCTCTGACGGTATAACAGCGGTCTCGGTCTTTCATCACATGCATTACCGGGGTCGCCATGCGCGCGTTCAGATAATTCGAGACGGCAAAGAGATCACCCCTCTGTCGTCCCTTCGCAACTTCGAATATGACTTCCAGTTTTCCAAAAGCTTGAACTCAGTAGAATTGCTGCCTGGCGACAAGCTTATTACCACTTGCGAGTACGATACCTCGAACGACACCGAGCCGGTTCCCGGTGGTCTGCCAAGCAAGCACGAAATGTGTTTTGCCTGGGTTGACTACTACCCAGCCAACGGCGTCCTTGCCTGCACGCAAACCAGTCGGGGTGAAACAGCGGCGATTTGTCTTGAATCCTCCGCAGATGGTTTGGATGTTTACGAATCCCCTTTCCTCACATCCTCGTTCCAGAATCTTCCAGTTTCTGGCAATACCTGCCCAGCTGAAGATTCCGGGTCTGGCGCCTCAAATCAAGCTGCCGTCTTGAACACTTGTCCAGAGACCGATGTATGTTTCTCACTCAATGTGCCCGAGCAATCCGCGAGCTCGGGGACCGGCGACATCTACTTTCAATTGTCGGCACCAGTGACCTATTCCTGGGTAGCCCTCGCGCAAGGCACGATGATGAGCAACGCCAACATGTTTGTCATGTACAGTTCAGCTGATGGCACTAATGTGACACTCTCGCCAAGAACTGCACCAGGCCACACGATGCCAACACATAACGAAGCTGCCGACGTTTCTCTACTCGACGGGTCCGGAATATCCAACGGCAGGATGACGGCCAACGTCCGGTGCGGCAATTGCGACAGCTGGGATACAGGGACCATGAGTCTGCAAGGCAGCAACAGTGACTGGCTGTATGCATATTCCCAAGGATCACCGATCAACTCCGATGATACGAATGTTCCTATCTTGCAGCATGACAGGCAGGGTGGATTTCAATGGGACCTGTCGCGGGCTACTGGAGGCTCCGATACGAATCCATTCACCGACGCAGCAACGACCACGACCACGACCTCGGTTGGGGGACAAAATTCATGGCAGAGATTATCCACACAGACACAGAGGCGTTTCGTACAAGTTCACGGTGCTCTAGCTTCCCTCGCTTTTGTCGCCATCCTCCCTATTGGTGCTATCCTTGTTCGCTTAACCAGCTTCCGCGGACTAGTCTGGACTCATGGCGGCGTACAAGTCTTTGGCTACGTTGTCTTTGTTGTTGCAGCAGGCCTCGGAATATTTATTGCGCGTGGAGTTACTTACCTCCAAGAGCCTCATGCAATCATCGGCCTAATCCTTCTCGGCATTTTCTTCTTCATGCCATTTATCGGCATAATCCATCATAGAATATACAAAAAGGTCCAGGAACGGACAGTGTGGTCTTATGGCCACATCTTCACTGGGCGGGTCGGAGTCATCCTCGGCATGATCAATGGTGGCCTAGGTCTTCAGCTGGCCGATGCCCGCAGATCTCACGCCATCGTATACGGCGTTTTCGCAGGCTTGATCGGCGCTGTCTATATAGGCGCGATCGTCATTGGCGAACACAAGCGTGCTAAGAGGTCTTCACAAAACGGTATGGCTTCCTCATCGGTCTACCCCAAGTCGAAGCCGCTCGATCAGGACGACAGTGACAGTGGCAATGGTGCATCTCACGAGGCTGCCAACTAGGAGTCTGATGGCGTTCTCCCTGCCATAGCAAAGCTGAAGCCTACTCTAAGAGTATCTATGGGAAGCTAGGGTCGCTCTCGGCCTAAGATATGGGATGACGCCTTCGTAAAGAAAGACTGGTTGCGGTAGTATTCTAGAAAGGGGCGTACAATTTCTAAGTGCATGCAGCATGTGCTCCTTGCAAACAACGATAGGGTCTGGCGAGGAGAAATGGTCGGTCTCCTGATAGACCATCTCGCAGTATGTAACAGAGAGTCAATGAATACATAGAAAGCCAAAACCTTATCGACGTAGCGGGGTATGCTTAGTCCCATGTCTCCATGCTTTCCGAATACCATCTCTAGTACTATCCTCGTATGTAGATGGCTTAGGATTGGCTCGAGAGGCCAGGCGACTGACGAGCTAACCAGAGGGCTTATGTTGTTTGACGCCTTCTTTCCCAGCGCGCTGTCTGTACGGACTGTAAGTCGCCACCATGTTGATTTAGGCTCACCCTCGACTAAATAGTATAGAGTAATGCTTGCCCACTTGGGCTGATCTCGTGACAGATCCTGTGACAATGGGATGCCCGGTTTCAGGACCCTCATGAAATGATAACAAGCCTAAACCTTAACCCAATTGAGATGGACTTGCCTGGACACAGGTACGAGCCGCGCCATGTCACGGTGCCCAGAAGGGGACTCTGCCTGGAACAGATAAAGTGTATTACATTAAGTAGCTTGATCTTTGTGGCTGAGCAAGAGGACTCGAAAACGGTCTCTAGGATCCCATGACTGATGGTCGGCATGCAGAGAGGGCTATATATGTTGTACTCGGTCGGCTGGCAAGGCTCGATAGGGTGATCTAATTTGCTACGAGCGGACAGCACAGGGTCACTCGAAGGGGACATTGGACAGCACCAGAGAGGGCACAAAGACCCTCCACGTGGTGAGAGCAATCTCCCTTGACGTAGGAGAAATAGTGTCGTACAGCCTCGCGATTAAGGTTTTCCTGGTAGCGAGCACGATGCTGGGCGTACGTCAAGACTTGCAAAAGGGGATCGAAGCATCATAGAGAATATCCAAAAAATCTCAAGATCGTAAAGTAAAAGCTTGGGGCAACATTCGCAACGGAGAATATGAACCCCAGATTTATTACTATTCGGAATTCCGCGCCTGGAACCATGATTCACTGACGTTCCCAATTTTTCTACCCTTACATCTCCCAGCGCGAAATTGCTCCCAGACAATGGCCGATAGCTGCGGTCGCATCACTTACGGCTATGTCGATCCCAACTTCGCTCGACCCAACACCGATGACTCGGCGTGTATAATCATTTATGGGTAAGGAAGAATGGCGCTGCTGTCAAAACGACGTAGAGCTGACTGAACTGCAAAAGATATGTACCCTCTTTGGCCGTCGGATTACTCGGCGTTATCTTGTTCGTGGTCGCCCTGGGATTTCACCTGTTTCTACTCCTGCGGCATCGAACCTGGTATTTTAGCACCGTCGTTGTCGGGTTGGTGATGGAGATCATCGGCTATCTCTTCCGCATTCTCGCCTCAAAGAAGAACCCTTATGCCGTCTCCTACTTTGTCGCGCAATACTTCTGTATCGTAGTTGCGCCAGTCTTCTTTTCCGCAGCGATATATACCATCATCTCGGTCATGATCAACATCACTGGCCGCAAGTACGCGCCGATATCTCCCAAAGTGTTACTCTGGATATTCATCGTCTGCGACGCCGTTGCGACTGGGGTCCAGATTGCTGGCGCTGCGCTTGTCGGGAGGGCTTACTCTGACCAAAAAGATCCAACCACGCCAAATAATATCCTCCTGGCAGGCTTGGCATTTCAAGTCTTCTCGTTTGCCGTCTTTATCCTTTGTTTCGTCTTATTCACCTACAAGGCGAGAAAAGTGCTTGACAAAGAACTGAAAATGTTCGCTGTGGCGGTGCTGGTTGCATCTCTGGCTGTATATTTGAGGACGATATTCCGTCTTGCTGAAACTGCAGAGGGCCTTTTGGAATACTTGTCAACTCACGAGGTCTTTTTTGGCTGCTTGGAGTTTCTGCCAATCGTTGTGGCAGTTTATGTCTTAATCTATTGGCATCCAGGTCGTTGGCTAGGAAAAGGCCGCACACCCACGACTATCCAGGATGATATTGCCACAGGAACGAGGCAAAAGTAGGGGTTGGAAACCTTCAGCCCAATATTCACGCCGCGGTTGGTTGAATAAGAAGGGCGGTCTGCGGATATAGCGTCTCCTGAGCTTTATTCAAGATTGCCAAGTATTGAGTAGCAACCGCCCAACGAGCACTCATCAGTTCAAGAACTCCTCTTAATGAATGGTAAGATTCTGCAGCCTCTCTAGATCCAGTTTCGTGAACCAGCCAAGCATAAGTCGCAGCGGCCATATAGAAACAGTCGGCGACGAGTGGACTGATCGAGGGCGGGTTCCTGGCCATGCTTATCTTCAACAAGTGGCTGAATTGCAATGCGTCGTGCGCGGCGGATCGCATGCTGGCGATAGCAATTGTTTGCATCTCAGTCTCTTCGACCGTATGATCTCCTCGGTTGGACTCGGTACATGCAAATGGGTCAGAAAGATGAAGAATGCCGCTGTAGCATAATGCTATCGAGGTTCCGAATCGTTCGGGGGAACGTTGAACATCGGCTGGGACTAGATTGGCCAGTGCTTGTACGGTGCGATGCAACTGTATCGCCTCGGTAAAACGTGCTGGTGACTCGAGTAAATTGTCGTTCAATAGGCGTATCAGTCGGCCCAGAAGGTGGGTTGCCTGACAGGTTCGTGCAAACGAATCCGCTCGAACGTTGGTGGGAGAAGACACATATAAAGGCTCACTTGTCGTCATTTCACCCGCATCCCACATTGCATCGTCTACTGGTAACATGTCATTCCTCGCCGGATCATCTGTTGCTAGAGGATGACCCTGGCTACCAATGTTGACATATCTGTCTAGAAGCATGACTGCCCACCATGTGCGCCTAGTCTCCTCTACTTCTGCCCATGCGCTTGCCTTTCTCTTGTGAATCTGAGGGGCATGAGTCCGATCATTGAGGCCCAAAGCGTGTCCGAGTCTAGCAGAATGCCCAGTAGTCAAGTATGCTGCGGGGTAGATCGCATGGCCGATCTCGTAGGCACTGATCAAGATATTGGCTTGAAGTGTCTGGCATGAAATAATACCGCTAGACTCGACCATGGCGAAATATCGCTTGGTGAGAGCATACAAGGGGGATCGGACGCTCGGCGAGCCTCCCGAAGGGATCTGGATGATAAGCTTCATGGCAAGTAATAACATGGCAAATTCGAGAGACAGTTCAAGGCCAGGATTCGACAAAGCGAGTTCCATCCGCTTCTTGGAGATGAATGGAAGCCAGGTGTGGATGTTTTCGAAGTATCGGTCTACCACATCTTGGATATCGAGGATGGAGGTACCAAGAGTGCTGGCGACTTCGGTTGGTACCTGAATATTCGGCTTGACAATTTTCATGTCGCTTTCACGGAAAACCTCGGCGTCGAGAAAGAACATTGGGGGGAACGCTGAAGCATCCTGGACAGCGGCGAGGTCGGTGGTTGATGCAGGACTCCTGCTCACAGAGCGTATGGGTTCGTGCCATCCTAGATCAGATCGTCTCCCGTCTAGCCGAGCCTCGAGATCAGTGATTTTCTGCTTTAGCATTGCAAAGCCTTCGGAAGCTGGCTGCTGGCCAGACTCCGAGTAGTCACATGGCCGTGACATACGTAAACACAGTGAACAGCTTGGAAGATTTTTGTCGCATTTTCGCTTCTGCCTAAACAGTGGCTGTAGTCAGCACAACCACATGCAAGCCCTGTAGATGGATGTGATTGATCTATCGTGGTGGACATGGATCATTGAGTCTCAAGAAACTTAAATTTCGGATTGATTAAATCCGCTCCAGCGACGATCAAAAAATCTCCTGGCGTTGCGCTTATTGTGTTTAAGGCACTACGTCGAGCTGGCTAGGCAGACTGGCCTCATTGATATGAAAGACCGACTTACTTGCGACAAGCTGAACATGCTTGATGGGCCTTTTGCCCATGAGGATCAATATCCACGACAACTGAAGAATATTCCATCTCCCTGTTGATGGCCAAGGTATTGCAAGGAGATAGCGACAGTGAGGCAAAAGTGTTGCAGCGAGGCGGGACCTACCATTTATATACGGAGGAACAAGTCAAGGACTTAGGCAGTTACCAACTTGGCAGCAGGAGTACAGTGAAATCTGGTTGGACCTCAGTTGGGGCCGTCGTCACGGCCGTGCCCTTGTTCCCCCCCCCCGCTCGCGACTCACTCTCTCACTTTCTACTCAACTTCCTGCTCATCCCCCGCTTTGCCCTTATCTGAAGGGTTACATTTCACCCTGCTACGATGGACCTGAGAGGTCCTGGCCACAGAAGCAATCCTGAAACTCTGAAAGCGTCACTGAGGACCTGAAGAAAGGTATACCGAACTTTGGCGCATGATATAGGCTCAATGCATGAGCATCCGCGCATACGGACTGCTATCTGCATACAAATAGTTGCACCATGAATTCAATTCCCCTTCTTACAAAGGGCTTTGTCCTTGACTTTCATATCGATCCTGGAACAGAAATATCCCCACCTATTTCGCCTGGAATCCCATTCGGAGAACAGCACTAGAAGATACAAGAGCCTTTCTGACTTGAACATTATACTGACACCCTTTGGCACGCATTGGAAATGCTGACACCATTCCTTTTGAGCTGCCGTCCAATGCACCTATGGGGAGTGGCTTTGGCGACTTCAGAAGTCGTCTCCTCAGCATCGGAACTCGAAAGAAATCGTTCGGACTGGAGTTGTCCAATGAATTAGAATGAAACGATGAAGATACCCAGGCATGGGAGGACGCTGTGCATGCATGGCTTGACTATCTTCTCGACGATATGCGCAGGACACCGGCGGCGGAACTACGGCGTGACCGGTTCAAGTTGTTTTGTCCAGAGTATGAATTTTAGATGGGTCGCATCTTCATCTTCTCTTTTGTGACCCCGATGCCAGACATTCCCACTAGTAACCTTAGGACGCATACATTATAGTCAGGATTGGTCGACGATAGATTCCGCTATGGAGACACAAAATCCGCGGCGGGATTATCATTCATTGCCAGAGTCACAATAAAGTGCTGAAAGGTCAACAGGATAGTGTTGCGGCGGCATTGAGCTAGATATCATTTCGCTCGTATGGCCGGTGAGTTCAAGGGTGGTCACCTACCACTGGTAGGTCGGACGGGGGTGAATGTCCCATACAGGACGGCATAACCTTAGTTCGGAATCCGGGTGAGCCACGAGCAGATTTCACAACCGGCGGCACTTGGATCTACTGAGCCGGTGTCTCGGCCGTGCCAGTAAGAATGAGAGGTTACGAAAGAGCCCTGGACGGTCTGCATGCTCATGTCAGCGGTAGTCAGTGAGCTTCTAGAATGGTCTGATATTTTGATAGAATACATTAAATCTCGGCAATCAGAAAGACAATGTCCCATCGTTCATGAAGTATACCTTTTTTGCAGTGCTTTCGCTATCGTGGTCAGCTGGATGTTGCTGGTGCCCTCATAAATGGCACCGATCTTGCTGTCACGGAACATCTTCTCAGCGATGCCCTCACGGACGAATCCCATACCACCCATCCACTCCACAGCCAGTCCGCTAACCCTTCCGGCAACCTGTGATGCGTATAGCTTGGCCATGGCAGCGTCCGTCACAAAGTCCTCGCCGGCCTCCTTCTTTCGTGCCGCATTGTAAACCAGTGCTCGCGCCGCACAGATCTCGGTATATGACTGTGCGAGTTGATGTTGCATTCCCTGAAACTCTCCAACGAGCTTTCCGAATTGCTTTCGGTCATTCCACACATACTTGGCGGCGTTCTCCCACGCACCAAGAGCCAGTCCAGTCATTTGGGCTCCAATACCGATGCGGCCTTCGTTAAGAAGCCCAATGGCATATTTGTAGCCTTCACCTTCTTTGCCAAGAAGGTTCTCTTTGGGAATTTCGACATCGTCAAAGTTGATCACACACGTGCTGGAGGCTTTGATACCCAGCTTCTTCTCCTTTTTGGCGATGCTGAAACCTTTGGTATCCTTGGTTACAACGAACGCGGTGATTCCCTTGTAGCCGGCTTCAGGCTTGAGATTGGCGAAGACCAGGAAAAAGCCAGCTTCCATGGAATTGGTGATCCACATTTTGGAGCCGTTGATCTGAAAGCGAGTGAGCATTGGATTATACACGTGTAGGAGGTTCCATACCTTGTAGCCAGTTTCTGTCTTCTCCGCTTTGGTCTTCAATGCAAATGCGTCTGATCCAGACACAGGTTCGGATAGGCAGAAAGATCCCACAGTATTGGTGGCGAGCTTGGGTAGCCACTCCTTCTTGAACGCCTCACTGCCATATTTCAAGATGGCGGTGACAACCAGGGTGTTGTGGACATCGCACATGACGGAAACAGAAGGGTCGACTCTGGCAAGCTCCTCGATCCCAACAATTGCAGAAGTGAAATTCATTCCCGCACCTCCATACTCCTCAGGAATCTCAAATGCCATTAGACCTTGCTCAAACATGCGCTCCACAATCTCAGGGTCCATCTTTTCTGCTTCGTCCATTTCGCGGACTTTAGGGGCGACTTCTTCGTTAGCCCATTTGGAGACCGACTCTGCCAGCATGGTCTCAGTCTCGGAGAAGTGTGTAATGGGTGTTGGGGAGAGAGAAGTTAGATCTTCATCGTTGTTGCGTCGTCTCGAGGTAGAAAAGGGAGCTTGCTGCCTGTGCGAGGATAAGCCAGGATTCTCCAGGGAGTTAGTCGAACATACCGTAGAGGAGTCCGTCTCGAAACCACTCTAGCAGCAGGACTGAAGGCGGGTAGGGGTCTCGTGGCGTTGGCGAGAGGCCGTAACGATCTGCATATTGTTGCCATATTGTCGAGGAGCTGACAGTGTGCTATTGGTGTTGAAGCACGAAGTGAGGTTGAAGAGGCGGGTTGGCGTCAGTGGAAGTGGTGTCAACGCGGAAAGAACAAAAAAGATTTATCAACGGCGCAGGTCTTGGATGTTGGGAGGCTGCTAAGAATGTCCTCCGTATTCCGTGCGTAATGACTTTGTGCTTTTAGATTTGGGATCTCAGCCTCGGCTTCGGTTAGGTGCGGGTTGCCCAACCAGGGAGGCACCTACGGCCCTTGTTCGGAGACGCCTATTGATCACTCGGGCCCAGCTTCAGAGTGATTGCTGAGGCCCGCCTTTGCCCGCGCAACGACTTGAAGAAGTGCGGATATGGACGAGGACACGAACAGGAGAAGATCAGCCGGGTTCACTTTCTTCGCTTCTACAGTATTTAGTGGGTTGCTCTGGGCTGGGGTCCATTGCTACCAGTCAGAAATTCAGAATATCACATGCATGATACCTCTGGGTGTCCCGAGCATAGACGACCCTGATGCGAATTTGCGTATTTAGACAGGTCTTAACCCGCCGCATTGGCGATTTCGCTCTGTGAAATGACTCGTGCACAAGCCAGCGGACAATTCAAACCGCCAGTGCCGCTTATGTAAGGGTTCGCCATGTCATAGCCCCGGTGGGTGCCAAGGGTGCAAGAGAAGCTCAGAATGGCTTAGTTATTAGATGGGTTCAAACGGCGGGATTCTTCTGTCCGAATAGGTTTAGAGGAGCACGAGAATTCAAATTCACCGCCCGAGTGCTTTTGGTATCTGGTCCGTCTGTACTACTACAGGACTGCATCAGGCAGCTCCTCTCGTGGGCTGAACCCGCACTGATTCATTTGACTGTTTGATTCATTTCTGAGTGGATGCACGCAAGACCGATTCTTACCACCCCTGACCTCGCAGGAGAGGTTCAAAATTCTCAGTGAAATAACGGCCAAATGTGTCCCGAGTGTGCGGGAGGCCGTTGAGCAGGCAGACAAGCCGGGCGCTCTGGTCAATATTGACCCTCTTGCGTTGGTGAACCTTCCACGCGGGTCCAAAGGCAGAATACTTCTTCTTGGCGACGCAGCGCGTTGTCTCACTCTTCTTTCTGGCCAGAGTGCCGGTATGGCGCTGGCATCGGCTGAGATCTTGGGCAAGGCGCCCGGGAACACCAGTCATGTCTCAGAGGCACTGCGTTACCACGAGGAGAGACTGCGTCCCAGCACTGAACCCCTCCAGGCCGCCTCGAGAAAGTTGGCAGCGTGGTACATCCCCAAGGGGACTTTCGCCTACCATATCTGGAACTTCTTGCTCAAAATCACACCCTACTACTCATGGCTGGTGTCCTTCCACGTCAACAGTCTCAGGTCGGAGATCGAGTTGACATGACCATCAGATCGACGACCAAACAGAAGTGGATTTCATTCTGTACCTGCTACGAGCAATGATATCGATAGCAGAACATGCAACATGGCATTTAGTGCTCATACTTCCACGCGCAGTCCTTGCAAGGAGAGGACGTAGATTATTGTAATCGCGCTGGGCGGGTTTTGACTGGTACATGCAATTATGAAAACCGTTCGGATTATAACAACCTCGTCTTCTCAGATTTACGCGCATACTATACTACTATAACTAATAGCGTTACAGTAATACCATATGGATAAGTAAGTCAGTAACTTAAAAAATAAGAGAGGGTGAAAGATTTACCTCCCGCGGTATAGTTACTCGCTTCGATGAGTAAGGGACGTTAGCACTTTAAGCACTTATTTACAGTGACATAATCCAGTATTCTTAGCACTGAAACTAATTTGGTTTACTGCCGAGTTTTAGAGGATCCTATTTGCCGTAGGAATACCCCATTATAGTTGTGATGATACATTAAGTGACAAAACCGTGTCATTTTAGCTGTGAGGGTTTTCTTGGCGTACGGATGAGTGAGAGACAAGACATGTCATGGCTGTCATAGAGTACAATCCTCTGGGTCTCCCGAGCACCTTCCCTGCCTTCCATTTGGGGGTGCTCGTCCCCACTGGCAGTACCAGGGTCCAGGCCTTCCCATTGACCCATGCTAACTTGACGATCAGCTTGAAGGTTCCTCAACCTGTGGCTGGCGCATTATTGTGGCGTTCTGCGCCACAGCATGTGACGTCGACGGTGGATGACTTGGCAAGAACGATACTCCTGACGCCCACTTCTTTCACTTGCAACGACTGGCGCCCAGGCTTCAATGTCCCCTCCACCTGGCGTTTACTGCGACCAGACAATGTTATAATAAGAAACCCTCTGTCGCTCTAGGTCATGAGCACACTCGTTGGTCGTTGCGCTTCCATCATTCTCTTCCCCTTCCTCCTCTGTCCCTGAATATCGCCAGTCTCTTACCGTTATTCAAAAGTCACCAGCAATATTAAATACCGGTGACCTGTCAGGCTCCTATTACATCGTATCCGGCCATGTCTGCCGGTCACTCAGAGCCTCAAGTGCTCTTCAGTGTTGGCGATATTGCCGCCTATGCTGTTCAGAATGGCGAGGAACACCTGATTACTACCAGTGGACCGCAGACGCTGTCCTTACTCATGGTGCCCACTGCATCACCGTTTGCCGACTTGTCATCCACCGAACCATCCAGCTCAGCCCCCGAGGAGGACTTCTATCTACATCTCCATCTCCCACCAGAGCTTGACCTACCTTTGCCTGCAAGCACACAAGTTTACCACAAACCACCCAGCAGTTACCTTATCCCGCGATGGGATCTAGGCCCCGATGCTGGCGCTTTCATCCGTATCCAGTTCCCTTCGGTTGGCACTGGCCCTGGGAAAGTGGCCCAAGAAGAGGTCGACACTTTCGAAACCATTCTTGCCCAATGTACCGCATTTCTTGAGCGGGCCAGTGCTCCTCCCAAGGGGTTCAAACAATATGACCCGCAAGAGTACCAACCCGGTGAGGGTTATGTTGGGTCATCAGGAGGTGGAAAAGAACAAGCAATTATCCCACATCAACATGGGCAGATTGTCCTTATTGATGAAGAGAATGGCAGTGTCATTGGTGAGCTCCAAGACAGTTATAACGTGGTCGAGTCAGCCAATATCAAGCCAGGATCAAAGAGTGAGTTTCCGGCCCCCCATCTCCATGACCCTGGACTAATATTATTGTCTAGCCCCCGTTCAAATCCAGCTGCCTGAAGAAGGACAAGGAAACCAGATACGAATTGACAATGTGTCCGACCATTACCTTGAGATGGCAAAACATCCAGCATATGCCAAGTCTACTATTGTGCAATCTTCAGCGACTGCATCAAGGCTGTTAGTTACGGGTTCGACCTACATTGCAAAGGCGATGACATCGGGCGCGGACAGTTTTCAGAAGAAGACGCAGCCTAATCCCAAACCCATGACGTTTTCCCCGACCACGCACGATCGAATCCGACAGATACATTCCTTCACACAAGGAGCGGTTGGGATCAGTGCGAAGACAGTGGGCCAGTTGGGACGATATGCTCAGAACTTTGGAGCGTCACTTGCACGCAAAGGAGAGCGAGCCAAGAAGGAGCCCGGCAAGGATTATAAGCCAGGAGTGCTCAACAAATCTATGATAGCCTTTTCGACCATTGCGGACGGCATCGACCATGCTGGACGTCAACTGCTGGCTTCCAGTTCGGTTGCTGCGACTAATGTGGTTGGGCACAAATATGGTCCAGAAGCTGGCAAAGTTGCATCTGGGTTGGCAGGTGGTGTCAAGAATGTTGGCTTGGTATATATTGACGCGATGGGAGTGTCCAGACGAGCGGTGATCAAATCAGTGGCCAAAGGAATGGTGGTTGGTCGAATGCCCAACGGACAACAGCTGATAGTTGGTGGAGGCGATGGCGGAGTCGTGCCAGCGGAGGCACGCTCAACGGGAGAGAAGCGAAGCGACAGCTATTCTTCTGACTTATATGGCGGGTCGTCGCAGCCGGGAGTTAGCCAACCTGGATATGGGGTGGAAAGCTATGGCAATGCGGCTGCACTCCCGCCAGCATATTCCTATTCCTCCGGAGTGGGTGAGCCGATGGGATCGGCATTACAAGGGCAAAACGTTCGAGAAAAGAGATAAGCGATTGCGATAGATTCGTACAGTACGAGTAGACTTGGGGCTGGGCATGAATTATGACGATGACGCTACGAGATGTTCTGGAACAGGATTTCATGATGAAGCCGGCAAGGAGTTTGATGCTGAACTTGGACTGTGGAGGAATGGGCCAGCTGGGCTTTGCGTTGTCAAGGACGGAGTATTCCGTAGTGAAATGTGGGAATAAGAATGGCAATTTCCAAGACGAGGCTCCGTGACTGACGCTCAAAACTGTTTGGCCTGGGTGGATGAGAGTTATACAAGTACGAGTACTCCGTACGGAGTATGGAGTTATTAGTGTGTGGGATCTGTGGATGTGTCTGCATGACATTCGCTGCTTGCTGTGGCTGAAACTCAAAATACGCACTGTCGGAGCCGTGCCCGTCATCGATTGGGAGAGCCTGCGGTAGCTTGTAAGCTTCCGAGCGAGCACAGAGAACGGAGACTAGAATACAAGCTACTGGGATCAAGATTCAGAAAGGTTCAAAAGCAAGGTCGTCGTGGTGGTGGTTGTCTCACGCTCTCTAGTATGATGGACGGCTACAGGTTCTGAGCGCGGAAAGTGATGTCCGCATGGCGGGAATGATGGTAGTATTCAAAGTTGGGCCGACGACAGGGACCAGGAACTGCCCAGCAGGCGGGGCCGTGTGGCTCCGTGGGTCATGACTGACCAGCTACAGTACGAGTAGTGATAATTATGGGTCGGATTACTCCAAGGAGTCCAAACCAGGAACAGGCAGGAACAGGAAGAGACGCGGTCATGGGGAAGAGGACAGAGAGATGCACGCCAGTTTTGCACACGGGGGGTTTGGAGCGGAAGAAACGATCTGAGAGCCGTCGAGATACAGACACGACTTGGTGAGACTCGAGAGTCGAGACGTACTCGGTAGTTTGGTTCGCAACAAAACTGGTACGGAGTATATTATACTATTGTCTCGGTCCAATTCAGTACGTGGGGGATTGATAGGCCCGAGGGCATCCCTTGCGGCCTTTGTGCTGTCCAAAGTCGCAGGGTCTGCAGAGTACAGACTACACGCCTTAGGAACAGGCAGCTGGCTATCAGATGAAAGAGGTAAAAGAAAGGTGACGGCCAAAGACATGCACTGAATGCAGCTGAGCAGTGCAGACTGGCCCGTTAGCCTGTTCTGACGCTTTGATGGGCCTCGGCCATGATAGGCACTAGTACTTGTATGTAACGCCCAAAGGGTTAGGTAAGAGACAGCGGGCATCTGTATGGGATCCAGGTGCAATCAATCGCCCGCTGGCTACGTACAGTCCTCGTATGGATGTACTGCCAAGTGTGCTACAGTGAGGTCTACACTGACGACGGGGACAGCCCAAATTGTCCAAGTTCCCGAGCCAAACCTTGAACTTTGAGAAGCCGCGGGGCGATCTTTATTCCAATCCGCCCTGGGGCACACTGGGCCCTCGGGCTCCGCTCTCACCCAAAGTTGGGTGGTCCTGTCCTGTCAGTCGCGTTTCAAGAGGGAAATTTCGCTAAAGGGAAAAACGCCAATGCCACCTCGCGTCTTTTTGGAGTCGATTGGCATGAGCGGGCGTGGTTCGTCTCGCGGTTAAGTTTGGGATGTTGTGCAGGTGCTCGTAGGTTAGGGTCTGTCTCTGTTTCGTCTATGCTCTATGCCTAGTCAGCTTGCCGATAGTCATATTTGATTTGTTGTTATTCTCCTGACGACCTGATTAACACCTGTTTCTTCATTGTTGATGGAATGGGCATTTGTGCTTGTCTGTAGTCCGGGAAGACGACGCGTTCCTTGCAGGGGCGCGATGAGGCAACCCCCCTTGCCGCCAATAGCGCGAATGACATGCTAGAAAGACTCGAGACAGGCACGCAGAAACTGACAGCCTGGCCGGCAGAGTGGACAAAACGGTCAGCCAGTGGTACGGCTTTTGACAGCACATGTGCACCCGGACCCTGTGCTCATGGGCGAGGCAAGACGACGATACCATGCATTACATATTTCACCAACGGGCATTGTGGGTGAGTTTCCCGAAACATGTGCAGCAAACAACAATCATCCTGCGCGGCATCGAACATGCTCGTTAAGCCATGTTTGTTCTAAGGACAACCCTAGCAAGATGGGGGACAATAGTCGGTCGCGATTATATCCACATTGTGGCTTTATCCTAGGAACGAGATAGCTAGTTCATTTTGAGATCCCTGGTTAGTGCAGGTCATTTCCCTGGCGAGAACCATTGGCAATACTTACCGCTGTTGGAGGAGGAGGAGTGGTCTAAAAATTGACAGGAACCAGGGTGGAATACGGAGCACGAGTGTGGTTCACGTATGTGGTGTAGTCGTAGTCGAACGGTGGGTTAAACAGCAGCCCAAGGGCCTGGGATGAGTCTAGGATTGCTCGTAGGCTTGGTTATGTACTAGGCTCTTGGGGGGGACCAGGACCTTGTACTCGGTAGGAGGAGTCTGGAATGTGATGAGTTTTGGCCTGCTCCAGCGCCCCCAACTGCCTGTTGCCCGTTGCAGCTTTCTGGCCTCTGGCGTTGAAGCAGAGGTCTATCCAGCACAGCTGGCGCCCCCTCCAGCGCTTCAAGGCACTCCTACTCGTAGAGCTCCTCCCAACACCGAGTCTCTGGCCACTGGCGCAACTCCGTACCAAGTTACCGCTAAACTACCGCTACTCTCACTACCAACAGCTGCTGCTACCACCACCACCACCACCACCACCTACTCTCTGCTCACACTTCACAACTCGCCATCCCACCGCAGCCTACCGTATTCCCGTACCTCATCCCTCATACCTCACACCTTGATCTCCTTGTCGGCGACCCTCTCCAATCTCTCATTCTTCACTCGTCGCCTACCTCACCATCAACCTTCTCACTGCCTGCTCATCCACCTCCTTCTCTTCCTCTCTCCCTCACCACTCATCTCGTCGACCCGACCTCTCTTCCCTCCCCTCTCACCTCTCACCCTTTCCGCCATGACCGCGATCCTCCTATTCTATCTTCACCTGACTTCGATCCGTGTTTGTTGATGATTGGCCCTGGACCCTTCACACTTTTCCACAGCCTCATTCAGAACAAACACCCACACGAATTCTTTTCGACATTACACCCGTCGCAGGTTCGACGTCTGTGTGCGTCTTTTTCGTCCGCGCAACTTGCTGCCTGTGAGAATTCATCCCAACAAATAATACTCGTTACCTCACCACCGACCTCCGCGCGACCCTCAACTTTCCGTCACCTCACCGCACATTGCAACTCACCACCACCTTCAACCCTGGGGCGTGCACCGCGCGTTCTGTATCGTTCCTCATTGTTGACACTAGTCACGACTGCCTCGAGAGCTTGATGCTGAGCAGCCTAGACACTCTGGTCAGTTATCTCGCATTCAACCACCCACCGTAGCAAGACTCTAACGAAGCTGTGTTCCAGAACTCCACACTTTAATCCTTTACAGCCTGCGGTTCCCCCACGGCACTCACAATCCACTTGATCTCGTTGTCAATTATTGGACAGCGCTGAGACCGATTCAGGTCTGGGGACGGGGTGCGCGACCGTGGCGTTGCGGTGGAAACAGATATGTCTGCAGAAGCCATGCAGTCTTCTCGGCAATACCGACAGGTGCCCACCTCTGCTGCATATGGCACACATCAAGACCACCATTACGATGTCCAAGGTGGTGACCTGGATCCTGATGGTTATTACACCCAACCAAATGTGAGTGTCGCGGCGCGACCACCTCTAACTTTGCCTGCCTACTGACATCTACTGACCTTATCTAGTACTATCCCCCTCAGGACTCGAATGATGCGAGGTACACGTCTCGTGTCGACTCGGTTCCCGTAACCTCATCATCTTTCTCCAATCAAACTACTACTCTACCATATCATACCCGCAATCAGTCTACTGCCTATGACCAGTATGACGGAGCTCCTATCCCTCCCCCACGTACCTCGTCACAACAGCCAACCTCTTCTCGTGCACCTGTACCACCGTCCACAGCACCATTGGACGCAAGAGTCGCTGCCTCGAGACATGCCAGACAAAACGTTCAAGATACACAATCTAGTCGTGTTCAAAATCATGTCGGAGATTATCACGATGAGTCAAGGGACAGACCACGGGACGATACAGCCACTACCGCCGCAGCTGCTGCACGTAGCCGAAGAAAGGGTCCTTCCAGTCCCGACGGTCCTCATCGCGCCGCAAGTTCACGAAATCGAGGACAACATGCTTCCCCGACTCACAGTCGATCCGATGCTGCCATGCATTCACCTGGTGGTGCGCCCGGTCCATTGGTCCGCGAATACAGTGAGGTTATCAACCGTGTTGTCGTCTCAGATCCACAGGTTGATGCCGAACGAATGCAGGAGAGAGTGGCAGAGGCACAGCCAGCACCCATTGCCACCGAAGACCCCGCTGTCGATGACCTCCTACCTGCCCTCGGCCCAGCTCGACGACAAGACTATTCCAAGTCGCGAAGAAAGGACGTGCAATTCGGAGACTACATGTTGGGACAGACCCTTGGTGAAGGCGAATTCGGCAAGGTGAAATTGGGATGGAAGAAAGATGGAAGCTCGCAGGTTGCCATCAAACTGATCCGCAGAGAATCGGTTGCTACGAACCCGTCCCGGCTGCCAAAAATCTATCGTGAAATCTCAATTCTGCGAGATCTAGCGCATCCCAATATCGTCCGACTGCATGAGATGGTCGAAACCGAGCGACACATTGGTATCATTTTGGAGTATGCATCGGGCGGTGAACTCTTCGATTACATTCTAAATCATCGGTATCTGAAGGATCCAGCCGCGCGAAGACTTTTTGCTCAACTGGTCTCTGGAGTAGGATATCTTCACAAGAAAGGCATTGTTCATCGAGATTTGAAACTGGAAAATCTCCTCCTGGACCAAAATCGAAACATCATCATTACCGATTTTGGATTCGCAAACAACTTCGATCCCAAGGACGAGTTGACTGACGAAATCGAGTACAATCTCGGCAACAAGGAGTTTGTCAGAAAGTTCAAGCTCGACCGGTTGGATGCTCGTGGTATGAGAAGAGGTGATTTGATGCAGACTAGTTGTGGTAGCCCTTGCTATGCTGCCCCGGAACTAGTTGTGAGTGACTCTCTGTACACTGGGAAAAAGGTCGACGTCTGGAGTTGTGGTGTCATCTTGGTAAGTTACAAATCACCCGTCCAAATGTTGGGCTGCTCTAATCCATCTTAGTATGCCATGCTCGCCGGCTATCTACCATTTGACGACGACCCTGCCAACCCTGAGGGTGACAACATCAACCTGCTTTACAAGTACATTACCACCACTCCTTTGACTTTTCCAGAATACGTCACACCTCACGCTCGCGATTTACTTCGCCGAATTCTAGTCCCTGACCCACGCAAACGTGCTGATCTGTTTGAGGTTGCCCGCCACAGTTGGTTGAGTGAGTACCATCACGTGGTCTCGCACATTACTAGCAGTACTACCAACGTTGCGGACATTGCCAATACTACCGTTCCGGCCGGTGAGTCTCGTAGCTGCCGATTAGAGGCTTGTGAGCTAACGCTTACTCCAGAAGATGAACCGCCTTCTCTAAATAGGAGTGCTTCTGTCCGTGAAGGGCCCTCCAGAGCCGCAGCAGCTTCTCCTGGTACCCTCACTCGGGCGCATGAAGGTCTGCTTCAAGACCCAGACGAGACTTCCGGCTCACGTCGCGAGCGAGCAACTCGACACACACTGCAGCCTGAGTATGTTGCTCCTCAGACACATACCGCTCGTGGCAAAGCCCCCGCGACTGGAAGCCCTTCAGCTGGTCGAACTCGAGCCGACGATGCAGGTCAGGCTATGGCGACTTCCCAGCCTCCGTCCTTATCAAAGCCATTGCCACAAGACCCTCCTAGGGATTCGCCTCGACAGAAGTCACAGAACATGCACCCTCCAACTCGTCCAGCTCGTGACATTCCACGCTCGGTATCTGACTCTACAACTGCTTTTGGAACTGCTCCTGTAGTTGCTCCAGGTGGCCAACATACCACCAGACCCAGCACTCAGGGTTCGATGACTTCTACTAATGGCCCTACCAACACCAGATCTGATCTCCGACTGCCTTCACGTGGTTCGTATGGCCAGCCCGTGGCACCCACTGTAGCCACGACCAACGCACAAGGACGCGTGACACAGCCCACCAAATCAGCACGTGGGTATAACATTTCGGGTCCCTTGCCTTCACCAGGCGCACAGAATTCTATCGGACAGCCAATGACTACTCCCATGCCTCCACCTACTGCACACCAACCTCAGAAAACACATCATCGTCGATCGAGCACACTGAGCGGGCTTGGAGAACGCTTATTCGGTAGGTCTAATTCGGTAGCAAAGAAGGATCCAGAGCGACAGAAGAATGGACGGAAGTATCCACCAACTAGCATGAAGGAATTCGCATCAGAGCCAGTCCCTCGTTTGTCGACTGAATCCAAACGATCGTTCTCATTTGGGCTTGGTAAGAGAAAGAGCACGGACTTGGAAGCACATGTGCAAACAGAAAAGCCGGTACGACGATTTTCACTTCTTCCTAATTCTGTGTCGTTCAAAGGTCTGATGGGAGGTTCTAAGGAGGACACATCCAAAATTGGCACTCCCCCTGGTGCAAACCGTGTAGCTAGTGGTTCAGAGCACGACAATCATCAGTACGTCAACAATGACGGATCATATGACCCGTCGAGATCCCACAAGTACAACAATTTCTCCCGGCCACCTCAGACGCAGTACCAGCCACAGCGACCAGTAGCGTCGGCACCAACGAACGATGTCTACGGAGGAACGGGTGTCTATCAGCCACAAACTCAAGGCCGTGGTCCGCATCACCGACAACAAAGTGAGCCGATGGCACAGATGGTTGCGAAACCCCCCGACAGCACCGAGAACGTGGGCCGACCATCGATTCAGCAAGGGCGGCAGGCACGAGTTCTTGTGAAGAATAATCGCAAGTTTGCAGAAGCATATGATCATGAGCAAGGGCCCACGCACCATGCGGGCCGATCAGGCGCAGTCAAGAGAGTTCAAGACTTTTTCCGTCGTCGCCGCACTCCCACCGAAGGAGATACTCGATGATGTAAGTGAATAAATCTCATGGAAGCATTGGAGAGAAATGGAGCAATTGGTGAGGAAATTCAAGCACGGTTGGAGGTTGGGAAGGGACTTTTCTTGTAATGAATAATTGTTTTGGGCAGGCATTGATGCATGCACCTGCCGAAGGGTTTCCTTTGTCAAGGGGTGACTTTTACGTTGAGCAAGCAGGCCGATTTCCCTTGATGGATTCGAGTGTGGTGTTAAAGGAGACACTTGTGTCGGAGTATTAGCAGAGTTCTCAAATAAAGGCGTCCTTGTTATTAGCTGGGAGGATGAAAGCTGGGGCCTTGTGGGCAAGTCAGGTCAGCGTGGGATACCCCCTACATAAGCATTGTATGACAATCAATCCAAAATCGACAAGTTGAAGTCTGGCTCGGTGTTGAATAATGACAAGATCCACGGGCCCATGACTGTAGATTCCGATGCTTACTCGTACATACAGTACTCGCTGCATACCAAGGTTGCTTTGCGAGACACGAATCGGGGTATTGTTCGGTGTATCTGCAGGCTTGGCCGCTCCTATTCTCCACACCCATATGCTCGTATTGATCGTGGTTCATTGTGCGTCATTGATCGTCAACCAAGCCTCAAGCTTTGTGGGGTGGCTTCAAGCTTCCTGAGGAGCAGCTCCGTGGGAGGAACACGACTCGCCTATAATGACCACCATGTCTGCTATTCGAAGAGTCGAAGAGGTAAACACGGGAAGCATGGCTTCTCCTCTCCTAAGCTGTATCAGGGATCAGACTCATCCATGATTGCCTGTGATTTCTTTCCGATTGTCTATCCTCGGTACCTCCCGTCAGGCACCACCACCAGCTTCCCCGCAAATGTAACCACCATCGGCGTCACAATCTGGGAGAAAAGGACCCTTATTAGAGCAATAACGACATCTCAGTGGTCTGTTGACCGATGCCCTGTCTACAAGCTCCACGAGAATACATTTACTCGCCCAAAACAGGGGCTTGATCGACCTGCCGCACCGCATCCTGCGTTGTACTGCTCCAACCCCCACGGACAGGGTGGCCGGCTTCCTCGAGTTGCTGAACATTTCCCGCGTAGTCCTGCAACTCGGACCGAGTTCAGGGCAAATCTTTCTGTGAATCAAAGATGTGCTATGACGATGCGAAACGACACAATGGTCTAGGAAGGCTTCAGACGGCCGCCGTGATTTGTGGTTGCGTCGCGCTTTTCGCCTGCACCGCATTCTTTCTCCACGAGAACTTGGGTCGGTCAACTTCTTCATGGTAAGTCCTGTAACCTTTGCCACTGCTACATCGCTCGCAGACCTATATAAGAATGCTCGTCCCTGCCTCTAGCGTCTACTGTTCTTAAAGAGAGCTTCGAAGGTTACCCGTCCTCCTCTCTCTCGCCAGTGGCACGGTCACGATTGATTGCAACCTGCACGAAATGAACTGAGCGGACTCTCACTATTTCTTTATAATAGCCTCAAGTCCTCAGTCCAGCCAACGCTACATGAACGCGACTGGGCCTGTACCGCACGACCGCACAGTATGCTGTCTTCGATCTTCCTGTCCAGTCTCGCACTCGCCCCGTGCGTTGCACAGGCCCAGTCATCGACAAACGCCTCTCAAGCTTCAGTAGCAACCACATTTGTTCCTCAGTTCACTGTTCCATCCGAAGCGGACGATGGAGCCACTTTGCTGCCAAACATCAACGACGAGGATGCTCCTAATGCACAAGACCACTGCCCTGGATACACCGCCAGCAGTGTTAAAACCTCATCCGCCGGCCTGACTGCCCAGCTAGCGCTCGCGGGACCAGCATGCAACGTCTACGGGACCGACATCGACAACTTAGAGTTGACCGTAGAGTATCAGACCAGCTCTCGCCTACACATCCACATCCATCCTTCCAATATCACCCCCCAAAATGAAAGCTGGTACATCCTTCCGACTGAATATGTCCCCGCTGGAACTCAAGCTGGCGGCCAAATGACGATGAGTGATCTGAACTTCTCCTGGGACAACTCGCAAGATACGGGCTTTGGTTTTAATGTCACCCGCAACAGCACCGGTGACGTTCTCTTCTCCACCACAGGAACTAAGCTGGTCTATGAGAACCAGTTTATCGAACTTGTCACTCATCAGGATGAGGGCTATAACCTCTATGGGCTCGGGGAGGTCATTCATGGCCTAAGGCTGGGGAATAACCTTACTCGCACCATCTACGCTGCAGACGTTGGTGATCCCATCGATGAGAACCTCTACGGTAGCCATCCATTTTATCTGCAGACCAAATACTTTGAGGTTGGTGATGATAACAGTACCACACTGGTAACCCATGAACTAGACGTAAGTGAAGCGACAGGCAATTACACTTCCTCTACCCATGGCTTGTACTTCCGCAATTCGCACGGAATGGAGGTCCTCCTACGAGCCGATAATGTCACGTGGAGGACGTTGGGTGGAAGTATCGACCTATACTTTTTCTCTGGGCCTACACAACCAAACGTCACTCAGCAATATCTGGAAGTCATTGGCCTTCCGGCTCTGCAGAGCTACTGGGGGTTTGGCTTCCATCAATGCCGATGGGGCTACCAGAACTGGTCGGTCACTGAGGAAGTGGTGAACAACTATAAAAAGTTTGGCATTCCCCTGGAGACCATCTGGAACGACATCGACTACATGAATCAGTATCGCGATTTCGACAACGATGAAATCCGATTCGGGTATGAAGAAGGTGCCGCATTCCTTCAGCGACTACATGACAACGGCCAGCATTATATTCCCATTGTCGACAGTGCCATTTATGCTCCCAATCCGGAAAACGCTAGTGATGCTTACCAAACCTTCGACAACGGGAAGAACGCGAATGCATATCTCCTGAATCCCGATGGATCTATCTACTATGGAGCTGTCTGGCCTGGTTACACGGTGTTCGCCGATTTTCTCGAGAACTCGACACATCGTTGGTGGAAGGACGAAGTCGTGTCGTGGCATCAGAAGCTTCCAGTTGACGGCATCTGGATCGACATGAGTGAAGTCAGCTCATTCTGTGTTGGTAGCTGCGGCACGGGAAACCTGACTCTGAACCCCGTTCATCCTCCATTCAAATTGCCTGGAGAGCCTGGAAACGTCCTGTACGATTATCCGGAAGGATTCAATCTTACCAATGCGACCGAAGCGGCAGCTGCTACTTCTGCTTCTCAATCCCAAGCCGACGCGACTTCAACGGCCTCAAGCTCGTCTGCTACCGAGAGCTCCTCCACGAGCTATCTTCGTACGACCCCGACTCCAGGAGTGAGGAACGTAAACCACCCGCCTTATGTCATCAACCATGTTCAGGGCGACCTTGCAGTTCACGCTGTCTCTCCCAATGCCACACATCAAAATGGCGTGATGGAATATGACGTTCACAACCTGTATGGCCATCAGATTCTCCAATCCACTTATGCGGCCTTACTGGCAGCAATCCCTGGTAAACGGCCGTTCGTCATCGGCCGGTCAACTTTCCCAGGCTCAGGCACCGTTGCCGGCCACTGGGGCGGCGACAACGCGTCTAAGTTCTACTACATGTACTTCTCGATCCCGCAAGCCCTGAGCTTCTCGCTGTTCGGCATCCCCCTGATCGGAGTCGACACCTGCGGCTTCAACGGCCAGAGCTCTGAAGAACTCTGCAATCGCTGGATGCAGCTCTCCGCATTCTTCCCCTTCTACAGGAACCACAACGTGCTCTCCGCGAACCCACAGGAAGCGTACGTGTGGGAGTCGGTGATCGACGCGACCAAGAAGGCAATGGATATTCGCTTCCAGCTTCTGCCGTATCTCTACACCCTGTTCTACAACGCACACACCAAAGGCGAGACGGTCATGCGCGCTCTGGCGTGGGAGTTCCCCAACGACCCGTCGCTCGCAAACGCCGACCGCCAGTTCTTCCTCGGGCCGTCCATCCTGGTCACGCCCGTGCTCACACAGGGCGCGATAACCGTCGACGGCGTATTCCCCGGTCTCGTCGAGGGCACCGAGGTGTATTATGATTGGTACAATAAATCCTCCGTTGCGGTCCCCGCCACCAAGAATACCACCATTGAAGCACCCCTCGGTCATATCCCGGTCTACATCCGCGGCGGCGCCATCCTCGCCACGCAGGAGATGGCCCTCACGACGCGCGACGCCCGCAAATCGCCCTGGTCTCTGATCGTCGCCCCGGACGTCGATGGAGGTTCCGCTGGCAGTCTGTATCTCGACGACGGGGAATCACTGGCCCCAAATGCCACCAAGCTCGTGACGCTGTCTTCCACCGGGCCTGGAAATCTCAACGTCAGTGTGATGGGCGACTATGCAGGCCTCGATCTGCCGCTCGCGAATATCACCTTCTTGGGTGTGCAGGTTGCGCCGCCGGACAAGGTGGTCAGAGTCAATGGCCGGCCGCTGGGGAATAGTTCGTATGATGCCGATACGAAGACGCTGTTCATTGGGGACCTGCTGAGTGCGCTGAATGGGAATGTTTGGGGTGCGGATTGGACTTTGTCATGAACCGGACAGTTACAGGCCCAGGTAAGGACTCGGGAGATACGATGGGCATTCGATATGATTGCGTGGTGAAGAGAAGAGAAGAGAAGAGAAGGGAAGGGAAGAAAGGATCACGGATTCTTCCATTCCCTTTAAACCATTGGGGACTTCCTCGTCTGCTACTGCATATGGGCTGGCGCCCTCCAGAACAATAATGATAAATTTTCACTCGTATTATTCAAGCATGTTGTACAGTAGGTCTAGCTGCCTGCTATAGCCTATATGGTGGCCTCAACTGGTCGACAGTCCATGTGCACGTGTGTCGACAATTTGTGTGTTATAAACGATCTGCTTAAATTGTTTTTACAAAGGCGCTCGTGGCCCTAAATTCCCACTCATTCGCCCACTTGCCCTTCTATCGCCACTTACTAGTCGGACATCGACCGTATATACCAGCATCTGAGGGATCTCATTCCAAAGACTTATTTCCACCACATTAAATCATGCAGTCAATCAACCAGCAGTCAATATCGAAGCAACATAGCATGAGCCAGAATTCTTTCACAGAGATGAGCATTCCTTACCGCCAAAGAACATTGTCTTTCTTCGACCCATCCGGCCAAGGGCCAAAGCAGGTCCGAGGCAGTCGAGGATAAACATTAATTGTATGTTAGTTAAAGTTGGTTAGCTGGAGGTCAGATGGCAAAGGAAAGTGGATCGACACACAATCCAGCCACGATCTGCACGGTTCTCGGCTCCATATTGATGCTTTGGACAAGCAGAGCTGTATCGGCCAGTCAACACAGGATACTCAAAGCAGCCGCAAAACGTACTCGGCGAGTAATACACGGCCAGACTGATACCAACGATCTGGTTCATAAACAGACCGAAATATGTCAGAGCAATCGTTCGTCGCGTTTTCACTTTATCGCTCTTGAACAAGGCTCGGTGGCTGCGCACGCCAGACTCCACTGATACCGCGTGATTGGTGGTTCGCACTTCGGAAACAATGTACGGATCGTCTCTGGGAAGATCGAAAACAGCGCAGAGGACTTCTATGGCTTCTTCCTCGCGACCTCTCTTAAACAGCCATCTAGAAACTATGCATCAGTATCGGTGTTGAATGTGTATTCCAAGGGGGAAGCATACCTAGTTGATTCAGGGAGGCCAAACAACAAGACGATGACCGTGATAGCAAAAATCAACTACACTGCGATGGACAAGCGCCATGCAATGGGTCCGCATGCGTAGGACATGCCAAAGTCCAGCCTAACTATATGTTACCGTAATGTTCCTACACGCCATAAGATTAAACAGGTCGGCATCTTACCAATATGCGAATGAGATCCCGATACCGATGAAAAGAACTTCCCAGGAGACAAGGCGACCTCGATATTCCTTTCTGCAAAGCTCTGACTGATACATGGGTACAGTAGAGGAATCTATGCCGATGCCGAATCCAGTAATGACTCTTCCGACGATGAGATGAGGGACAGAGTACGCGGATGTCTGTAGACTTGCGCCGACAAGAACCAAACCCTATAGATATAAGTAAAATGAGCGTCAATGCGAGGCTGGACTCCAAGAAGGCGAAGTTGAAAGAAGACTCAAATTTCGTAGTACTCACCATTGCAACCCTAATCATTCGGCGGTGTCCGAGCCAGTCTCCGATGAAGAAGTTGAGTATACAGCCTCCAAGGGCTCCGAGACAATAACAGCTGACTAGGATACCTGTCTCGGTGTCGTTCTGTATAAAATCTCAGACTAGTAAAAGAGGAAAAACCCCACGGAAAGTTACTGGCCTCCGGAATCAGTAACGTACCGGATGATTGAAACGATCCAACCAGTCTTGATATTGTAGAATACCGGAGAAGACGCCTGATCAAAGCCAAAGAATAGAAAGGCCGCTAGACAACATGTCGAGATGGCCATGCGGAGTGGCCGCCCATGGTGGCACCAGTTCCTCATCTTGCTGGGTTACTATGCTTGTTGGAGAGGATTGCAGATGGATGGAATGATGGGAGGGAAAAGATGCTATCAGAAACATAGCTCATAAAGGCTTCTAGGGGATGGTAATAGTAATATCAAGACTGTCCTTAAATGGGAGACAGAAACACTGATGTCACCGTCGAAGATGAGCGGCGGTCGACTGGTAAGTATAAGAGCATCAGGAACGACCCCTAGTATATCCCAGCGGCATCACGGCACTGACAATCTAAATCACCCTGGTAATCCAATGGCTGCTCCTCTGGAAGTGCATTGCATTGGTGGGGGGTTGGCGTTTGCGACCCTTCCTGTCGATCAGTCTCCAACTGAGATGACTGAACCATGTCGTGTGCTGGTAGATGCACGTTCAAATCCACGTTGCAGGTCGGCCCACGGAGCGAAGTAAACCATGATGAGAGCAGGAGCAAAATCATTTTGGATATAGGTCAAGGTATCCATCTATGCCAACGCGATTGATGGCCGATGAAAGATTGGGATCCCATACTCCTCCTTGTTCTTTGTCGTTGGAAAAGAGACAGGGGCTAGATGGATAAGAGTGCGGGAAGGCCACCTCCGTAATAGGCTTTGAAATTGACCTTACTGTACCGTGCAAGGATGTTATATAAGCAAAACATGCTAAGCTTCTAGCTGGTGGTCAAAATTGGATCGGTGAGAGAGGTGTGTCACTTGGACTTGGAGGTCAGAAAGCGCGACTATCTCTAGCACAAGCCGTCTATGGGAGAGCAGACCTCTACTTGCTCGACTGTGTCCTCTCCCTTTGGGCGAACACATTGGCCGACGCCTCATCAACATCGTTGTGGGAGTTAGCCCATTAAACATTAAGGCTAGAATCCTTTGGCACTAACGATACGATACTGGCAGTCCTCAGAAGACTAACTACTTGCGCCTCCTCCGAGATGCAGTGGACAACGCGTTCTAAAGGATCTCTGAAGGTGGCTGATGTTACAAACCCTTGCTGACACCATGTCAACGGTAGACCGAACCTCCTTATTCTGCGGACCACACTGGCTGAGAATCTTGTGCAATGCAATCTATTACGGATCAGGCATCAACACAGCAGTGGTATCGTGGCGACTTAGTACAAAGCGGTGTTTGGACCTGTACCATGATTCTCTATCACATAATCCACGTCTTTATCACCGCGGCCTGAAAGATTGACCAATATTCGCTCACTAGCAGGGCGCTGCGCCGCCAATTTAATAGCAAATGCCACAGCGTGCGCACTCTCTAATGCAGGAATGATGCCCTCGGATTTCGCCAAGCGAAAGAAGGTGCTAATAACCTCCTCGTTCGAAATTGTTGAGACACGAATTCGACTATCTGCGTGTAACATGGCAATTTCTGGTCCAATTCCAGGATACACCAGCCCGGAAGCCACAGATGAGACCGATGCAGGAGTTCCGTCGTCATTCTGCAGTACGACCGATTGAGCCCCGTGTAATGTGCCCGGTCTGCCATAGGATAGTGTTGCTGCGTGCCGTCCGAGTTCGCCTGAGTCGCCAAGCGGCTCGACGGCGTGCAGAATGACCTCCGGATCATCAAGGAAGCCGGAATACATGCCCATAGCATTGGACCCTCCTGCAACGCAAGCAACCACATGCTCAGGTAGATTACCCTCCGTCAGCGAAAGAAATTGCTCACGCGCTTCTTGGCCAACAACAGCCTGGAAATCTCGAACAATCATGGGAAAGGGATGGGGTCCGATCGCAGAGCCTATTGCGTAGAGCGCATGCGAATGCTGTTCGGCATACGCTCTAAATGCGGAGTCGCTGGCCTCCTTTAGGGCGGACTGACCAGCAGTCGATGGTACAACCCTCGCCCCGAGTAGCTGCATACGAGCAACATTCGAGCTCTGCTTCTTCACATCGATATCACCCATATGCACCTCGCATTCAAGACCAAAATGCGCAGCAGCAGTTGCGAGCGCGACGCCATGTTGACCCGCTCCCGTCTCGGCAAGGAGCTTTGTCTTACCCATTTTCTTAGCAAGGAGGGCAAAACCAACACAGTGATTGATCTTATGCGCCCCCGTATGATTCAGATCCTCCCGCTTCACGAAAATCTGGGCGCCCCCAACTTGGCGGGATATATTTTCCAGATAGTGCACCGGAGTCGGTCGTCCTTGGAGGGTCTTCCGCGCCATGTCAAGAGTCCGCCGGAATTCTGGCGATTGACGCAACTCCTGATATGTGTCAAGCAATTCTTGAAGGGCCGGCTGAACCTCGGGCGGATAATGGCTGCCGCCATACTGGCCGAAGTATCCTTCGGCATCGGGGTAGCTCTGGGAATAAGGTCCTTGAATACGCGACATGCTGGGCGATTTTCAATCAATAAGCGGAGCAAAAGCTCGTCCGTAGCCCGACTTCCAAAATAGTATTTGCGTGGTGCTGGCCACTGCAGTTGAACCTCGCCCGTTTGACATAGAGCTTCTAGATCGCGCCCAGGTCGACGGTGGCGTCGGATTGGTTCCGCCCAGGGCTTCAACACTTTAAGAGCAGAAAGACCTACCTCGTCCCAGATGTAGGTACGAAAAATGCCTTCAAGCTTTTAGAGTGATGGGTTTAAGTGCCATCACCGAGCAAGAGTGCTTACAGAGAGCGCGCTTTGCGACGGGGGGATATATATGTACCTTTCTGGCCTGCGGGTGCGACACAAGGGCGCGGGTGCTACACCAGGGCGCGGGTGCGACACACGGGCACGGGAGGCCGTGTGGGCGGGGGGCGTGACAAAAAATAGACCAATGGCAACATGGTAAACTCGCAGTACATATCCTTTACCACCCGTATGTAATTAGCCCTCCGCGGATGAGCTTGGAGTGCTCGATCATTTGTGCCGAGACTGACCAAACCGGAGTCCGCTGCAGTCAGTTTCCTGGGCTCACCCCTAATTTGTGCATGGGGTTTCCTGGTATGTGTCTCTCACGTGACTCTCACCCAAATACCTATTCTGTACACTCTGAAATCGCTGTCGGAGCACAAGGCTGCGGTTTAGTAAAGCGCCGTTGAATTCCTCCGTGTTGATTAACTTACTTTTGCCTACCCAGTAGTGTACGACTACGTATCAATCTCTTTTATTCTCGAGTCCACTAACAGAGTTCTCAAGGCCTGATAATCAGGTCATCCTCCAGGCAGCGTACCGCGAGATACGTAAACCAAGCTAGGATCCATTAAAGAGAATCAGTAGTGAAGTGCAGAATGATTAATAAAAAGTCTAGGTACCCTATAATTGCACCCTATAGTTGTATCCTTTCTGGCTTTGCCGAGGCGGCACTAGCACAACCGGCGCCTGACAGGAGTGAAATTATTGAGCGGCCAGTTTTGCCCAGCGAGTCAGTCAGCTCACGTGCTAGACCGGCCGCTGAGTCATTTCACACTCTTGTGCCAGGGGTGCCAGCCTCCCAGGGGTGTGTGATCGTTAAGTACGGCGGATTATAGGGCACAATTAGGTAGCGGTCGGTCGGCTGTTCAACGAATTCTGTTATCTACTGCGTGCCAGTGCTTCGAACTTGGATGCCGGGAGATCTGGGCGCTGGTGTCTTGGCCTCCGGCCGTTCGAACAAGTCATGCTTTCCCGTCCTCCTTACCATCTGTCCCGCTCGAAGATCCGGAATTGACTGACCTGCGAGCCTTGTTCGGATGTTGTGAGCTACACCTGCTTTCAGTCGTGTCTTCCCTTACCTCTGAAGATGCCAGTAGTGCAGAGAAGCAACCACATCGCGCCCGCCATGGTACCTTCTTCGCCAGGTCCACACTCTTTCCCATTGGCATCAATGACAGTCAACGGAACACCAGGGGCGGGCTTGCCCATGGAGCCTGGGTAGATTGCGCATCCGCCGAAGTTGCCGCAGAGCGGAATCGACTCGGTTTGTCCATAGCCGTCGTAAATTTCAAGACCAGAAAGGTGCTTCCATTGCCTGATCACTTCGTCGTTAGGAGCTTCACCCGCGGCGGTACAGTGAGTCAGAGATTTTGGGGCATGGGACTGATAGTCCTTTCTGGCCTCTCGAAGGACAAGCTGACGCTACGCCAATGGAGGCGCACAAAGCGTGGTGATCGGAAAACGATGCAATACGTCCAAAAGACGGTTAGCATTGAACGGTCCGCGGTCATCGAATACGAACAAGCTGGCACCACAACTCCATGCCCCGAAAAAGGAGTAAGAAGCTTTAGCCCACCCTGGAGCGTGCGTCAGATGTGTCACTCCCAATTAGCCGATTCCAAACCTACCTTGGTCTGCCGTGTTCCAGAAGAGCTTTCCCGGGCTTAGTTGCAGCCAGTACTTGCCCGTATTGCTGAGAGCTGCTGAGTTAACGACTAGCCTTGCGGCAAGAAAAATTGCTCACCTAAGGGGAAGGATAGCTGGTTATGAACGGCCATCTTTGGAGGCTCCGAATGAACCGGCTCAAGGAATGCTGCGGAACCGTGCACAACGAGGCATACGTCCATGTGTCAAGACTTCTTGAGACAGACACTTTCTCGTGACGGGACGATATATATAAAGGTGCAACCGAGTTCCGGTTGATGTTCACGACGGCTCTCGGTTTAGCGCGCAGATTCATTCCGAGGTAAAGGGACGGGACGTACGACTCCATGCTACATGTGCTGACATACAAAACAGTACGTTTTCGGACCATCGACTTAACCAATTCCTCTATCATTCCCGAAGCAAGAAAGAATACCTCCCTTCCTTCAATACCACCAGCATGGCTGATACAACCAATGACCCGCTTAACACGGGCGAAAAGGTGGACACCTCCGAAGTTGTTATCGAAGACAACAGCAAAGCTGGTCCTGCGCATGATGCTGAGGCCATGGGTTTTGATGTAAAAGCAACAAAGCGTCTAGTTCGAAAGATTGACTACGTTATCATTCCCTTCGTTGCCCTGTTGCAGGTTACTTCTCTTCGCACCTTATTTCTAGCAATTTTTTCTAGGTCCTGAGCTAATGATGCCCACTCCAGGTACTTACTAAGCTTCCTTGACCGTACAAACATTGGAAATGCTCGCCTTGCAGGCCTTGAGCGTGACCTGGGCATGTGTGGCTTAGACTACAACGTAAGTCTATGGTCTACTAGATTCTTCATACTTCACAACTTACTGAGTGAATAAAGGTCGCCGTTGCCGTCTTTTTTCCGGGATATATTCTATCAAAAGTGCCGTCCAACATGATGCTGAAGAAATTCCGTCCCTCAGTCTGGATTCCAACTATCATGGTTGCCTGGGCTATATGCACTACTTTGATGGGAGTTGTGCACAACTTTGGCGGATTGGTGGCCTGTCGTGTTGTCCTCGGTTTCACGGAAGGAGGCTTGTTCCCGGGCGTTGCCTATTAGTACGTCTTGATTATCGTCCTTAGTGCTGATGTCTCTAATATTGGTCTAGCATCACTATGTGGTACCGTAAGAGGGAATGGGGTTTTAGGCTCGCTCTGTTCTTCTCCACTGCAATTGCAGCCGGGGCCTTCGGCGGTCTGCTGGCTCGAGGTATTATGGAGATGGATGGAGTTGGTGGGAAGGCTGGATGGTCGTAGATTTTCATTCTCGAAGGTCTCGCAACATTGTTTGTAGCCATTGTTGCCTATTTCTTCATGACCGACAATCCCTCGAAAGCGAAATTTCTTACACAAGAGGAGAAATATGAGACAGCTCGTCGGCTAACAGAAGACCGGAGCGCTCTTGATGATGAATTCAACGCAAAGTATATTTGGCACGCTTTCCAAGACTGGAAGATCTGGGTCAATGTGCTGATCACCATTGGGTGAGTGCTAACAGAGCCTTGACAATCTTAGCGGTGTTTTGCTAATCCAAGCTTACTGTACAGGAACTACACAAATGTGTACTCGGTTTCACTGTTTCTTCCGACCATCGTACGAACGCTTGGCTATGCTGATGAAGAGGCACAGCTCATGTCAGTGCCTCCGTACGTTGTTGCATGTGCCTTCTGCGTCGGCCTAGGTTACATTGGGGATAGAATGCAAACACGTGGTATAATCATGGTGGGACTCCTCACAACAGGAATTGTCGGCTTAATCATGGTGGTTGCTAGCAATGATTATCATGTCAAGTATACCGGCTGCGTTTTCGCATCGCTCGGCATTTTCGCCGCTGTGCCCCAAGGTGTTGCTTGGACCAGTGCTAATGCAGGAGGAACAACGAAGAGAGGTGTTGCGATTGCACTTCACGTCGGCGGGTGAGTGACTTGTTGGAGCGATCGTCTCGAGTAAAGCTAACAATGATGTCCAGCGGAAACTGTGGAGACCTTATTGCTGCCTTCATCTTTCTACCAAAGCATGCCCCAAGATACGTTCCCGGACTTTGCATCCTGATCGGTCTTATGTCTATGTCATTGATCCTATCCACGTGCGTGACTATTTACTACAGAAGAGAAAATAGTCGACGAGACCGGGTGGGCAAGCCGCCTTCCGCATATTCTGACGTTGAGATGGAGTTGGAGAAAGAGAAGGGAGACTATGCAACATTCTTTCGATACGTTGTCTAGCTGCTGGACTGGAAAAGTCTTACAAGGACAAAATTACTGCGGATTCTACGCCGGGTCGTTGGAATGCTCTCCCCATCTGCTCCTTGATTAAATTTCTTTACACACGTCGCATTTGTGATGCAATCATAGCTGGAAGGGGGATTATGGCATAGATGGTATTGTTTTGACACCCAGCAGTACATTTGGCCGCTTATCAAAGTTCGACTCATTTCCTTTCTCAATCGGTGTGCCAGGAATCGAATAACGCATCAATACGGCATCTCCATGAGATCTGACATTGATAATTCGATGGCTTCAGTTGCAGGTCCTGGGGACTTTTTATTACGAGTCCTAGTACAATCGGGTCAGTTACCCACCGAGATGCTAGACTAGAACGGAAATCTCGACTTGTGCGACCCTCTGATAAGAAATAGAATGAACGCAAAACTTTGATCTCATTTCAGGTATTCTATAGCTTCAGCCCAACTGGACAACATAAATCCCCGGCAAAACAAGACTTATCTTCTGAGACACTCTGGCGGGGAAAGCTTTCTTCTCTCCTCAACATTCTCCCTGTTCTTCCAGGATGGGTTGACTGGCTGACTCCGCCATTTGACTCCGCCATTTTCGTGTTAGCAGCACTCTGGCAGGGCCATGGGGCTAGTACCTCGCCTCTCGCTAAGTTTCTAGCGGACTGAAACCCAGTGTCCTAAGAACAAATTCCCTCCTTATGCCTTGAGAAGTCGGGTATGGGTCTGAATTAGGCGGAATCTTCGCAGCAAGGCTTACGCCTCACATTCCCTGTCGCGTCCTAAGACCCGTGGTTCGCAGGTTCTTGATAAGGTACAAACCTCTATGAAGCTTTGGGAACTCAATCCGATAATCTGTATTCCAGACTCGGGGTAGCAGCTACCTGTGGTCTTCAGAAACAATCAAGCTGCAACCCTCGGGTTGCTCAGGATGGCACGCAGCTACGAGACAAGTGCAAAGGCCGGAATTGCGCCTGAGTTGAGATAAAAGGTCAAACAATATATCCGGCAAGCGTCAGGTCTATAACTCACAGTTTCGTTCGAGATATCCAAGTAATATACTCGCGATCAAACTTGCCAAGAGTATTGTGTCCCACCCCTCCGCGGATGGGACTAACTAGGAACGAGGCTCTTCTGGCGGATAGTCAAATTGTCGGCCAGTGCACACGTCTTCTCGGGCCGCAACTCTGCCAGTAGACTGAGCACGGCCTGACACTTCCACACATCATGGAAGGCGAGATGGTGTATTGTAGTGTTTCCAAAAGTGCATGATCAAGTGCTTGCAGAGTACTGAGTGCAGTGGGCGATGTGGAAAACCACAGCTAAGACCTTTATCACGACTGACCCATCGAAAACGCGCTATGCCCAAGTAACAGCGCGTAGATGGTCACAGGTCCATAATGCCCTCGAACCCATCAACGAGCACGGACCTACATAGCTCAAAAAATAGAAGCATGCAATCAACCATGGCCTTGCGGATAAGGCAATATCCAATCAGATACCGTGGAGTGTAGTTCAGCCGGACATGGTATTCCCTCATCATGGCCATTGACTCATGGTTTGCGGAGCCAGACTCACACTCAGTAGCTAGCTAGGTTAGCATCATTTTCGGCAGAAGAAGATTTTGATGAGAAGATCAAATTTACTTGTTTTCTGCTTCCTTCGGTCAATAGTCGTGGGCACAGGGATTCAGGTGAGAGCGAAAAAGTGCCTTACTGGGCTTGAGTCATTTTGGAATAGGACGCTTTGCTCGGCCTCTTGGTCTTTCTTGACGCCTTTGCCTGAGGGTTTTGTGTGATAACGGTTCACATGACTTGTACATGTAGGTTGTGGGCACCCACGGATCAGCCCCGACATGATGGACCGTAGAACCCATTGTTGCCGCTCGATCAAGGAACCAATGCTCCTATCCTGTAACGGCACTTCATTCCCTCAATTCCAGCACAGCAATGACAATTGACTTTGACATTTTCTAGATGTCCAACAACGAGAATCTGCGGGAGAGGGCCTCAATAGCTGTCGGTTTGATCCTCGCGATCACGTGAACTGCCACTGCTGGACGTACCTTCATCCGAGGCCATTTCCTGGTCATGTTCAAGGCGTTCATCTTCCTCTTGCTCATCTCCTTCGTCACCGCTGCTGGGAGAAATGGAGCTCTCTGAACGAGCTTGCTCTCCGCGTTCTTCCTCAGCGTCCTTGGGTTTCTCGGCTGCCAATTCCAATCTGTCGAGACGACCCTTCTGCTCCTTCAACATCCTCAACACCGCACCACCAAGCCCTTCTTGGCTACCTCCCAACCCCATGGTCGTGCTCATTTGTCCCCTAGCTAGATCTAGGATCGTCTCACGTGCTGCCTCAACCAGCACGGCCATCCCGGTGGGCTGAGTATCGCATTCCTGTTCCAGCTTTTGGGACACTAGCGTGAGCTTCGTTCCCGGGATGGCTTCGCGAAGTCGTTTGATTGCTCGAGTCTCGGAGTCAAGGCTAGAGTTGAATGCCACCGTAGAGTTCGGCTCGTTGAATTTTCGCTTGAGGCTTGCTGTTCCTGCTCCGTGGGAAAGGTGATAGGGTCAGCCGTAGATTCTTCTTACGCTGTCCGCGCAAAAGATAAATTTTGTAAAAGGACGTCGGTACGAAGGGAGGGTCAGGTCAATACGTACCTAGAAGTATTTTTACTTGGCCAATTGGTTCTTCAGTCTTGAGTTTGTCGAGTGTTTTGGCTTCGACGGCACCTCTCGGTTTTTCTTTTTGCCTCGCTTCTCGCTCTCGTCTTGCTGCATTTGTCTGCTTTCTCTTCTCAACTGCGCCAGGGCTCTCGACTTGAAGCATCGGCCTGGGCTTCGAGGTTTTCTCCTTGTCGTGAGGCTTGTCGGCATTAGCGTCCTTGCCTTCCTCCTTTTTCTCAACCTTGTTCTTGGTCTTGGTCCTGTTCTTTTTCTTGTTCTTGTTCTTCTTCTGGTCTCGTTTCGGCTTCTTAATTGCCGATTCGGATTCGTTCTGTCCTTTCTTCGGTTTACCATTCTTGTCGTCACCATCAGCAGAATCATCAGCTTGTTTAGCATAGGCTGAGAACGAAGGCTTCTGTATGGCTTGCTCCCGTACCTTTTCCATCTGTCGCGCCAACCATGCCGGGTCGGACTTATGATCGGTCGGCACAGAGACAGTTGTTTTGGGGGAAACACCTTGCCGATCAGTTGGAGCAGTCGAAGGAATGTTGGCCGAAAATGATGAAGATAAACCTCTCAGAGGTGGCGGTGCTTTCAACTCTGGTTGTGTGAATTTTGGGATCTTGAACTTCGTACCAATGTTGGATGGGGCGAGAAGTGGCTTTGCATCAGAAGCAGCCCTTGGGTCGCTGAAAGATCTCCATGGATCTTGCTCTGGCGGAAGCATGAATCCTCGACTGCCAGGAAAAGGAGACGGCGAGAGAAATGGTAATGCTGATTCGAAGCTGCCATGGCGGTCTACAGCCTTGCCTTTGTTGGAGTTCTGACTGTTGTTTTGGTGATGCTTGGCCCCACTATTGCTATCTCCATCTTTGTTGCCACTTGGTGTGCCAGAGGTGGATTGGAGGTGTTTCTTCTTCGACATCGCTTGGGTAGAAATCCGAGTTCTGTGGTGGTACTGGGAGGAAATATATGCTGGTGTCAGGAAGAATTGAGGAATGGATGGGAAGGGATAAGGTTCACGTAAAGCCTCTAGTCAGGTCGTGAGTGTTGACTTGACTGTGAGTGCAAATTTCCGGAAATGTAGGTGGTCTGGCAGTTTGAATCCCAGTTTATCTTTCGTTAGGGGTTGCGAAATGGGTCCTCAACTTACCGAACACTAAGCAAACCGTAGGGCAGGAATTCGGTCCTCCAGAGACCTGGAGAGGATGGATAATGAAACCCAAGGGATGAGATAACAAAGAGCTTGCTGATCTGAGGTTTCTCTGAAAGCAGGTAAGCAAGATGCGGCTGGAACTGAAGTGAAGAGCGAATCTAGCTTACTTGACTTAAATTGAAACACGCGCTTCTGTGTATTCACTTTTATCGCAGTGAGGCACGTGTGAGAGCACCAATTGTTTAGATGCTTTGTCTCGCTCCCCCAGTTTGCTTCACATGTCCTCCATAGCATCCGTTGGTTTCATATTGATGTTATCACAGAGAATAATGACGAAATTACCACGGACAAGGCCTTGGGAAAGAACACGATATTCTCATGCAGGCAGGACTCGTTTCACCTCATCGCTCTCAATACCAACAACAGACACCGAGCCTTGTGCAAGGGTCTTCTTAACATCATGCCAGGTACTGGGATCCACACATCTCTGGCCCTCCTCAATGACATACGTAGCGAATCCCGCTTTAGCAGAGCCCAATGCTGTATCTCTGACGCAATAATCGCCCGCTATTCCCACAACATAAACATGCGAGATCTCCCGCGCTCGCAACTCGTTGGCAAGATCAAGATTCACACCTCCCGCACCAGCAGTCAGGTTGCCGAAGGAATCGGAGAAGGCGGAATACATCTCAACCCTAGAATCCATACCTTTTGTCACTGTGATATCGATGTAGTTCGAGGCAAGCTCATCGATAAGTGCGGCACCTGGGGTGTCTTGCACACAGTGGACAGGCCACAACCGTTGCTTCATGGTCTGCTCTGGCTTGTTCCCGACGAGATTCCGCATGTCAATGAAAGACTCGAACGGCGTATTGTTTGGAGGTGGGTGATTGCTAGCGAACGAGACATGGTCTCTCGGATGGAAATCTTGAGTAGCCACCTTCAAGACAAATTGCCCAGACGCAAGAAGCTTGTTGACAAGAGGAACAATGTCCCGCCCTTCTGAGACAGCTAGGGAGCCATTCTTTCAATAATTAGAAGGCTTAGGCTGTCGCCAATAGAGGAAGTGACGCTTACAGGAGGGCAAAAATCATTCTGCATGTCAACAACAACCAGAGCAGGCTTGAAAGCCATGATGTTTGGAATCTGCTTGTTGATTGCCAAGTTGATATTGCTCACAGCTGACTTGAACTTACATCAAGAGGCGGTGCCGTAAATTGGCACTCAGGTTGAGCCTTTTGTCTCCACTTCGAGCGCGACCTGATGACGATGATGACGATGATGACGATGATGCGATATCAGTCGTACAGACAGCCCCATTGAATGACAGACTACCATGGGATGTTAGAGGTGCTTATCACGGGAGAGAAAAGAGAGGAATGTCTTGAATGTGCAAGATAGGATTAGCGGCATGCCAAGCAACTAATTGGGCGGATTAGCGCCATTTGGGGTCATCTTCCATCTCGCTCTTCTCAACTTGCCATTCACACCTACCATCACGCCTAACTTATTTCGCTTGATCGAGGCAGGCCCAGTCTTTGAAATCTATCACAGATCAATGTGAACGTGGGCTGTGACACCGAGCTTCTGGTCTACAAGAGCTATTCGTGGGCATCATATCGTCTCCAAGTTTGCCCTTACACCCACCAACCATCAGATCACTTTCGTTTCGGCTTCACTGGACTTGGACCCAAAGACCACCCACCAGTTGTAGAACACCTCCTCTCGTCCTTCCCATAACCACGGCGCTAGATTACGGAGACAACATCGGAGAGACACACCTACAGCATCCTACACCATGTCCAAGACAACTGTGGTACGCATGCTCTCCCAGTCCACAACCTGCCATCATGAACCCTTGAACATTGCACGCCGCCTCCATTCCCACCCTTTGCAACAGGCATCATGGCTAACCATTCACACACAAATCAGGGTGAGGTCTACGCCAAAGTGATCAATGATGTCTGCGAACATTCCAGACAGGACTTCGAAGAAGGCGGTGTCGAACTGGCAACGCTGGACTTGTTGAAATCTGTAGGTCACCCTGCATCTCCTGTTCTGTGTTTGGTTCATCAACCATCATCCATTTCTTGCATAAAGAGAAAGGGAAGACGTTCATGTCACATTACAAATCCGCAACTCAGCACACAATCGCAGGCATGCAGTGCGTTGCGGTGAGTTGAGAGACATGCGCAGGTGTTGGGCGAAGAGGCGTGGGTGAGGGCAGGCAGGCGAAGATCGGGGGCGAGGCGGGGAATCCCAAGGTTCTTGAGGGAAGCGGGAAGGCCACCCCCTTGAGTCATGCCTCTTATACGCAAAGTCGGCTGCCTAGACTTGAGGGGCGCTTAGCTTCCCACGCCAAACACTGCACGCTGGTGGCCCGGCAGCCACAACCACAGCCACAGCCACTTCTAGTGCCCCTTCCCTCTGGCTGTTGAGCTTAACATCACACTAACCAAATCGGGCCTTGGCCTCTCATGCGTGTCATACTCACCCACCCCACCACTCATCAATACCCTGTAAGTACGTGTATGCTAATTCACAATGTCAAACAGGAATGGCAGAAGAAGCTGTCAAGCCACAAGGTCGCTCAGTTGCCCTGGGATCCCCAACCAATCCCAATTAAGGAGCAAACCCTCCCCAGTAATGCTAAGCCTGTCCCTCAAACTCTTCCTAGCAACGCCAACGCCATAAACACCGCTCCACAACCACCGGCTCCCTCAGCTCCACCTCTCAAAGCTGAGAGTAGTACAGCTTTTCCGTCCCAGCTTCCACCTCCACCAAACTACCAGGTGCCATCATTTCCTCAAGGGCAGCCTTTGACAGCGAGAGAGCGGGCAGCTCAGAACCTGCACGACAATTTTGGCCATCGTGCTGGTGCCCAGATTGCCCAGTTACAGTCAAACCAATCTCGTGCTCCACTCCAACCCGCCGGCAGTCCAACGAACAGCTTTATCAAGCAGGAAGACAGCCAAGGATCGCTTTCAGGAGTCCAAGACTACCATGGTGGCGTACCACAACAGTCTGCTGCTCCTATTAGAACGAGTCAAACAGATGGAGCCAGCGAAGAGCGTGATGGATGGACAGCAGAATACGCTAGACGCAAAGCATTAGCTAGTAGCCATGGCGCCGAAGGTGATCGCCTAATGAAGGCCCAATTTATGGCCAAGCACCAGGAACTTCAGGCCGGTGGACTACTATTGAGCCTAGACGAGCACAATACTTTGAATACAAAGATACTACGTCGGGTCAATGATCTACCAGGCAACGCATCAGCCAGCCGTCGCTCGACACAGCTTCCAAGCATTGCACGTGCTCAAGGTGATGCCGCCGGAGACGACGATGACGAGATTGAGGATGAAGATGCGATCAATTCCGACCTTGACGATCCCGACGATCTGGGAGCAAACGAGGAAGACGGCGAAAATACTGATCAGGTCATGCTTTGCACATATGACAAGGTCCAACGGGTCAAGAACAAGTGGAAGTGCACATTGAAGGATGGAGTCCTCCGCGTCGAAGGCAATGAGTGAGTTGAAAGTTGTATAGTTACTTGCGTCCAGTACTGACTTGTTCCAGATATGTTTTCCACAAAGGCCAAGGTGAATTTGAATGGTGACGGAAGTCGAGGGTTTACCTTTTGTCTTTTTGTAACCCATATCGCTTGTTTCAGGGAGGTGGAGCAGGTCAGGGCTTATTGGAATCGCAAATGGCGTTCTTCACGGTATAGTGCATACTGGGGTGATACCGTTCTTACGATGGCCCAGCTGGTAGGAGTGTGCTCCCAGGCTAAAAAGTTCCGAGCACATGGTTTATGATGGGACGGGAACAAGACGAATTGATCATGGGTCTTCTGCCCAAATGCACATTCCACATCATGGCTGATATGGGAAGTTGCTAAATATATTGAATGAATAAAGCTTTCGAAATGAATGTTCCCCAGGCCAGTAGTACTCGTAGCTTCGAGAGGCACCAGACGGGTTGCAGTACTCTGTAAATATCAGTGATGTTATCCATCTCAATCGAGACAAGTCACAGTTTCCAAAAGGAGCTAGCGGGGTTGAAAGTTGGGAAAAGCAGAGCATGCCACCTTGGCCAACTCGTTCGTGCCTTCCTTGTGGTGGACAGTGTGCGTGTCTGTGACGCAATGTCGAACTGAGGCAGCCACATCCACATTCACTTTCTACTCGCATCTCCCACCGCCTTAAAATCTGTTCAATTCCCTTCTTTGTTGACCTGTCCTTTCGAGCATCTTGCAACCACCCGACCTCTTGAGTCGCCAACCTTGTTCTCCACGAGGACTTCCGTCTCCCATCCAAAGCATTTCTATTCTACCTTTTTGCCCGCCAACATGACTCTCTACTACAGCCTGGTCTGTACCCCTCAAACCTGGCTGCCTGTTTACTGCAGTTTCCATTTCAACACCTAAGTCTGACTGGTCTACAGGTCTTCCTGCTTCTCGTGGCCGAGATGGCATTGTTTGTCGCCCTGATCATCCCATTGCCATACGCTGCCAAACGAAAGTTATTCAACTTCATCTCCGAAAGTCCCCTGGTCGCTAAATTACAGTATGGAATGAAGGTAGGAAAGAAGACTCGAGCTTGCTCCACAATCCAACTGACATGCAAAGATAACTTTCATCTTCATCCTTATTCTCTTCGTTGACAGCGTCAACCGAGTCTATCGTGTTCAGGTTGAGATGGCTCTCCTTGCTAAAGACTCTTCGGGCGCAGGGTAAGCATTCGCGGAAACTTCTCTTTTCGCAAGCTGACACAAGACAGACGGGCTGCAGCCGTTGGTTCTGAACGCATGGAAGTCCAAGCTCGCAAGTTTTATTCCCAACGCAACATGTATCTAACCGGATTTACCCTCTTCTTGTCTCTGATCCTCAACCGCACTTACGGCATGATTCTCGACGTTCTCCGGCTGGAAGAGAAGGTCAAGCAATATGAAGGAGACTCGACTGCTGGAGGCAAGGAAGGCGAGAAGCTTGGTCACAGATACCGCGCTGACCAGATTGGAGAGCTCAAGAAACAACTGGACAAGAAGGATCGAGACTTGGGAGCCATGAAGAAGCAGGCTGAGGGTTTGCAGAGAGAATATGATGAACTGAGCGTCAAGTACAACCAGATGAATCCTGGCGACGGAAATAAGAAGAGCAACTAATGGTCCTGGACCAAGTTGACTTCTATTCCACCACCAGAGGCGTTGAGTGTGAATGCCCTGCAGCCAGCCATCCTTGCAGTCAACGTTACAACACAACTCGACTTACACAGCATGGAAATTTTATCTTTGCGGGCCTCGAAACTACAACTGTTTGGTCAAGGGAACAGGCAATGGAGGCTGGACTCTACTTGTAGTTTAGCACGGATATTCATTTGGCGGATTTCTGTGGTTGTGCAACTGTCAGACAGGTCCGGAAGGACATAGCAAGTGTGGACGGGGTTTGGTAAGCATTTCAGATAGCTTTCTACTTAGAACTCAGAACTCAGTACCACCACATATTACATACCACCAGGACAAACTCCGTTCCTTAAAGTTTTTCAACCTCTTCGTGGTGCTGTTTGTATTGGCGTTGTTTTGATTCTCCGCTCCTCTTGGCCGCCTTCGGTCCAACCTATTAACTAGGCTAATATTCTATCAAGTCTCACGCGTGCGCTTGTTCCGACCCATGGGATCCCGCCATTCAAGGATTGACGTCCAAGATGCGACGTGATATGTGGAGACTCCAGGCTGTCCAGGTTCCTGAATATTTCGACATTGCCTATACCCATGAGGGGAAGTCAACTTTCTAGTATGGAGAGCCAATGGCATTCTATACCTAAGTATCCGTATCCACAAAACAGTTCCTTGAACGGCTAATATCGAAACCTTTACTAGGTACATCTCCTCATCGCCTCATTGCCGGCATTGATACTTCAAGACGCCAGCCGATACCCGGACCCCGTGGGCCTCATGGTACAATGGACCGTGAGGACCTTTTACAATCATAAAGATGGCTGTTGTTGCGCTCTCGGCATGTAAGAAGGATCACTCTTTACCTGCTTCGGTTCTTTAGCATATCGGGTCTTTCAATTCTGCACCTTCAAGCGTTGCGCCTACACAATGCTCGCCTACCTCGCCAGCACAGTATTTCTTCTACTAGGATGCTCCGCACGTCCTTCCTACAACTCGCTACCCTTTCCAACATTTGACACTCGTCAGGTGACCACTGATGGTGCGGGTCTCAAGGTTGATCTAGGCTATGCAATCTACGAAGGATATAACAACGCAACCACAGGCTTGAATGTCTGGAGGGGGTAGGCAGCCTCTGTGGCCCCAAACCCTCTCGCCCACATAACTAATATCCTGTTCTAGCATCCGCTTTTCAGCTTCACCAACGGGAAGCTTGAGGTGGCAAGCACCCCAAGTTCCTCCTACGGATCGTGATGCAGTGATCCCAGCCAACCAGCATGGCCCTATCTGTCCACAGAATCAGAATACTGGCTTGACTTTTGTCGCTCTGAACAGCACAGATTCAAGTGAGGATTGCCTTTTTCTGAATGTCTACGCTCCGGCAAATGCTTCTGGATTACCGGTCTTGGTGTGGATTCATGGAGGAGGTTATGGGCGTGGTAATGGACGACAAGATCTTTCTGCTCTAATTAATACTAACAATGACTCTTTTGTCGGTGTCAGCATTCAATACCGAGTAAGTGCAAATAATACCAGATCTCTGTCTTAAGTTGTTGCTGATATGGGAAAGCTCGGAGCTTTTGGTTTCCTCGCTGGTGACGAGGTTTACCGTAAAGGAAGCGTCAATGCTGGGCTGCTGGACCAAAACTTTGGCCTTCAGTGGGTACAAAACTATGTGCACCTTTTTGGAGGCGATGCTGCCAAAGTGACAATCTCTGGACAATCCGCTGGTGGTGGAGCCGTCATGCTCCAGGGCATGGCATACGGTGGCTCTCTTGGCCAGTCACTATTTCGAAATGTAAGAATACTCTTGAGCAGTAGTGCGTGAAACGCTCCGCTGACCGGCGGGCCAGACTATTGCATCATCGCCATATTTGCCCATGCAGCACGGCTACAAAGACTGGCAACCGTCCCAAGCGTATTATGCCTTCGCAACCATGGCTGGCTGCGCTCCTGATCTTGCATACGGCGCTCATACAGGAACCATTTTTGATTGTCTTGTCAGTAAAGACACAGGCACGCTCCAAAACGCGAGTGCAACGTTGAGTGAGTCTGGGAAGTATGGTACCTGGTGCTTTTTGCCAGTCACCGATGGTACTTTTGTTCAAGATCTACCTAGCCGTCAGCTCTTGCGAAAAGAACTGAATGGACTTAATCTACTGGCCAGCAATAACGCTCTAGAAGGTCCAGCTTACACGCAGCCCAACATCACTACCCAGGAAGACCTAGAGGATTGGTTGCGGCTGACCTTCCCATCGTTCTCCAATGATGACATCGCAAAAGTGCTCTTGTACTATCCAAGCTCTAATGATTCGGACAATCCAAATGCTCCATTATATGCCTCTTCAGGAACAACTGAACCCAGCTTCATCACCCAAAGCAGCGTTGCCACCGGCCAGCAGCAAAGAGCTTTCGTGAGACCACCCTTTTCGAGAGAATTTCTCGTTGATCTCTTTTTGGCTAACGAGTATTCACGCAGGCCATCTATTCGGAGACAACGTTTGTGTGTCCATCCTACTGGCTCGCCGAGGCGTATTCGGACCACGGACGAACCTCTTTCCGACATCAATACTCAGTCCCAATCGCGCTTCACGGCAGCGATAGTACGGCCTTCTTCGGGCCTCCTGCACCTAATCAAAGTCCGGATTTCGTGAACGCGGTGATGCAAATGTGGGGTAACTTCATCTTGACAGACAATCCCTCGATCCCAGATCTTGTGGCAAATGGCGTCTCTACCAATAACTCGGAGCCGAATCCGGCGTCGAACTGGCCCCAGTACAAGGTCTCTGCGCCATGTCAATTGAATTTGAATCTCACGGGCGGAGATCCATTTCCATTTAATTTGTCTTACATCAAGGCCAATCTGACAGAGTATGGTGGACCGGGCTTGAGGAACAATATCTCTCTGGTCAATGCCTATGCTTGGGAGGCGGGGAGGGGCTACAGGTGTGACATGTGGCGCAATTTGGGTGGGATTGTTCCCGAGTAAGAGTTGGAAGCTTCTCATAATGAGAAGGCTAACAAGCGTAATTTCATGCCTTAGGGAATCAAAAGTTGCGCAGACTTCGTCCTTGGGTTTGAACTCTTGCGAGGAGCAAGGCTGAAGTGACAGGGGGACAAGGGTGCCTTGGCGATAGGGTATGTACAGTACTTACTTCCCCCAGCTACTACTCCCTTAGAAATTTAGGTAGAGCAAACATAAGTCAAGAATCATATTACATATTGAGCACCTTTGATAGATTGCTTGAGTCCTTCTTGGGTATCTGAAAAGAAGTCCTTGTTAAGAGACGACACAGCAGATACACACCCTTTTTGGGAAGGCTTGGCCGACCGTGACATTGCCAATAATTAAGCTCAGGTGAGCACGGCGAGGTAGGCCAAATCCGCGAATCTCTATCCCATAATTAATTAGGGCTAATAAAGAACCGAGGCGGGTAGCTTGAAGTTTTGCCTACCAGGCAAGGACGAAGAACCTGAAGTCAGCGTTCACCTACCATTTTGAACGGTTCTAACATCACCACACGTTAAATGCAGCGCGGTACATGTATTATCGGGGGGACGACCACGGTCCACAGTCACACAAAGATGACGGGCTATCTTACAAGTCACAACATAGGTCCGCCATATCTCCATTCGACAATTATCATCCGTTCCACGTGCCCCCAAGGTGTGGCCTTGGATGCCCCGGGAAGCATTACAGTCCGTTTCCCCCTCCACTTTTTCACTTTTGGAGAAAAGCTAGCTGTTTACTATATGCAAGCTCTGGTCCGACGACCCTGGCTAATATCGAACAGGAAGTTCGATTCTCCATCCAGGTATCCCTCAAAGTCAGAGCATGCCTTTTACGTCGCCAGTCATTGGCTGGTCGGCTCAGAGTCCATGCAGATCGGACCTTGCTTGTGAGCTTGCCCTACCCCTCCATGCAGCTTCTCCCATACTTCTGTGGGATGTGAGATGCTGTCGGTTTGCCTGACGAGGTAGCAATGGGTAGGTGAGCTTGTGAGCTTGAGAGCTATAAAGCTCTCAAGCTTTGTGCCGATCTGCGCGGGAAGAGAAAACGTTGATGAGTTGAGAAACCCTTGCCGCTAGTCTGAGTCCCCTGGCAAGATGTTGCAACTCCTTGTACTCTCGTGTTTGATCGTGTCTACGCTCGCATCCTACGGTGCGAACCTCAACTATCGTTCTCCTTCACATAACCATCCTGGCCTTGGAGTCTCCGTTCGCAAGGTTGTCAAGCGCCACAACCCGCGGTCAGCCTTTGCCGACGGAGCGCTAAACTTCACTCACGGTGTCGCCTCTGGTGACCCATATCCTAACAGTGTCATTTTGTGGACAAGGTGCGCACCCAACTTCGACAATATCGATGACAATAGCACGGTCTCTGGCACTGTCCAGCTGTACAATCCGGTGCCTATCTTCCAGAGCAACGATACCGACCAGCACAAGCCCGTGTCGAATGCCCCAGTTTGTCTAAATTGGAAGATCGCTTCGGATCAAGGCCTGACAGCTGTTGTAGACTCTGGCAGAGTACATACAAGCTCCGATGTAGATTACACGGTCAAGGTGGAAGCCACAAAGCTCAAGCCTTTCACACAGTATTGGTATCAGTTCAGTGTGTGCAATTCGAATGTGTCAAGTCTGGTCGGCCGCACTAAGACGACACCGGCTCCCACTGACGATACCAGTGCAGTCAACCTGGCAGTCTACTCTTGCAGTAACTATCCCTTTGGATACTTCAACGCTTATGGAAACACAGTACGTAAGAACTCTGTTGACTACGTTCTCCATCTTGGGGACTACATCTATGAGTATGGAAATGGCGAGTACGGCTGGGGAAATTCCATCGGTCGCATCCCCTTGCCTGATCGACAAATCTATACTCTCTATGACTATCGGAAGAGACATGCCACCTACAGGACGGATCATGATTTGCTTCTCAGCCATCAAAACATGCCTTGGATCCCTGTCTGGGATGACCATGAGGTTGCCGATAACACTTGGCGGGATGGCAGCGCAGAGCTGAATAACACAGAGGCATCTTTTGTTGCCGATGGCGGCGTCTCGGTTGATCAGAGAAAGATGAATGCTGTGCGAGCGTATTGGGAGTGGCAACCCATCCGACAGGTTGACATCAGCGATGACGTGAGTCTTGTGCTAATCTCTTTCATGGCGGTGGCTGACCTATGAATCAGCTTCGAATTTGGCGTTCCTTCGCCATAGGAAACCTCCTCGACCTGGTGATGCTTGACACTCGCCAGTATGACAGATCTATCACTGACCTTTACTGGAACACGCACTATGTCCACGAGATCTCCAATGACGCAGGACGATCAATGATGGGCTCTCGTCAAGAGAATTGGTTCTATCAGTCTCTCATTGACTCCAAGAATCGAGGAGCCACCTGGCGAGTGATCGGCTCACAGACCGTCTTCAGTAGAATCAATGCATCATTCGCATATGGAAATGTTGACCCTTTCAACTACGATCAATGGGATGGATACTTGGCCAATCGCAATCGGACATACAAGACGTTGTATGATAACAACATCACCAATAACATCATGATCTCGGGCGACAGCCACGCTAACTGGGTCAGTGATTTGGTATGGCTTGACGAACATCCCTACAATGCCAGCACAGGCGAGGGTTCTGTCGGTGTCGAGTTTGCTGGCTCTGCCGTCTCCTCACCGTCGCCTGCCGGCCAAAACATCAGCATCGCCGCCAGTGTCAATGCCAGCGCAGCATTAGTTCTGAGTAACCCAGAGCTTCAGTGGCAAGAGTTCTACTATCGAGGATACTTCGAACTGCACATCTCACATGACAAGGTCGATGCAAAATACTTTGGTTTGCCAACCTTGATCAACCGAAATCCAAACGAAATCAGTCTGGCAAACTTCACTGTTTACGCGGGAGAAAATCGGTTGCACAGGTTCAATGGCACTACCGCTTCGGGACCGGTGGAAAATGGATTTCTCAAGTTCGGGCAGAGGTTGCAGACAAACATGACTAACTCGACTGCCACTGGATTGTACTTTATTAGTCACGAGGATGTTGAAGATCTCTGAACGTACTGGCTGAGAATAACATTTGTGGCACAGGTCTTCAGATATACGGATGAGGATTCAAAGGCGTATTTAATGCAATTGACGACTTATAGCCATAGACAATACACAAGATTTCAAGGTCCACATGTCAGTGACCAAATCTCCTTGAAATTGGCTGTTCTGTGTGTGAGGGGGGGCAAGGCTGAGCATCCTCCCTTCCCGCCCTCATCCTCTTAACATCGCTCCATCGCTGCGCCTCAAGGCTGAATTCCGCTTTTGTGGCTTGAGAACCTGCCTAGCCTGCCACCACCAATCAGCAGTCGGCTTCTTTGACAACTTCACCCAACTCCATCGCTCTACTCGCTCCCTTCTTCAAGAATGAATGGAGAACCCCCCCTACCTTGCGTGATACAGTGCACAAAGTCAGCGTTTTAAACTTGTCAATGTCCCTCACAAGCAAGAGATTCTTTCACGCTTGGCTAGGGCAATGAGCTGAACGACGCAAAGAGAGCGCCGTCATTCGCCGCGGGTCCTCCGACATCAGAATAAGCTTGTGTCTCTGGTAAGGAATCTGCCACAGGGCCCTTAGTCCCGCCATAGTCAATCAGCTACGCGGCATACAACGATGGTTCGCCAGTCGGAATCATGCCGATGACTCCCAACGAGGCGGACGCCAACAACCACCTTACCCCACTCACCCAACAATCACCCATCCGTCGCGAAGCTAAGGCTCCAGACAACAAACATCTTTCTCCTCTTACAAACCAAAATCACAATCCTTCACGCATGAGGTTGATCGCACTAGGGAATTAGCTGAAGCATTTGTTTGCTACGACTGACTAGCTCCCTGAAGACCTAGAACAAACAAACGGAGCCGACTAACTAGCTTCCTTCGAGAAAAATAACTCGCCAAAGGCTGTGGTGCTTTTTTGCCGACCGCTGAAGTCTGCCTGTACTTCATGTGCAGCGCACAGCCCTCATAATATTGGAAAGTCATTGCTCTGTTTGTTATTGAGGCATCAAAGCTTGCAGACACTTTCACTATCCACATATCTCAGCTATTCAGGCAGAGCTGGCCGGTGTAAGCAGCTGTGAAAGTGACGCCTCAATACGTACCTCAACCGCACTATCTTCGCTTTCTAACGGGGCAGAAGGCCACCAACAACTGAAAAGAGAGAAAAGGCCTTCACTTCGTCTTCAGAAACAGCCATACATACATCGTCGCATGACTTGTGAAGTGTGACAGACTAGAGCAACCAATTGCCTCGTAGGTCTGGTTATATATCTCGATTCTTAGGTCTACTCCCTTTTCTTCCATCGTTGACTGAAGCATCACCACCCACTTGGATCAAGGACATCGAAGTGGAAAGAGAATCCGCCGTGATTTATCCACAGGCTGTCTTTACTCGCTTTCAGCATTGTTTGGGATTCATCGGAGCACTCGGTCTCCCGCCATTCTACTTTGGCAACAGGAGAGAAGGCTCGCCATTAGACTGGCCATTGACGGCAGTATCACGTTCAGTTCCTGTTTCATGGGCAGCATCTCATAACGACCATTACAGCCAACATACGATTGCAGACCATTAGCTCGATTTCGATATCCGTTGGGTCTACTCGAGTATCATCCTAAAATCCCACCACCCCAAACAATTCATCGACCATAAATCAACCAACTACCCAACCAACATGTCGAATACACCACCACCCGCATCCATCGTCCCGCGCATCGGCGTAGCAGTTTTCATCATACATCCCGTTCCAGCAGCAACAACAGGCTCAACCCCTTCCACGCCGCTCCAACGGCTTCAATGCAAATTCCTCCTGGGCCGCCGGCTAGGCTCTCACGGGGCCAACACATGGGCCCTTCCCGGCGGACACCTGGAGCACGGCGAGTCGTTTGAAGAATGCGCGATGCGCGAGACACGTGAGGAGACCGGCCTCGAAATCGAACGCGTCGAGTTTCTCACGGCGACGAACGATCTCATGCCGAGCTCGAAGGGAGATGGTGCACTGTTGCACTATGCGACAGTTTTCATGGTTGCGAGGGTCAAGGGCAGCTATGAAGCTATCTCCGATACTGAGCGTCATGGCGACGGTGGCGCAATCGATATTGGCATGCCAGATGTCAAGGTCATGGAGCCCAATAAGTGCGCGGGCTGGGAGTGGGTGTCGTGGACGGATCTCATCCGCTGGTCAGCTTGGCGACTGTCCCCAGATAGCGCTGCCGAGATGTTCAAGAGTAGGGGTCCTGCTGCTGCTGCTGCTGCTGCTCCTGCTGCCGCCACTACAACAACGCAGGAGACAGATCTTCAGAATGACTGTGCTCGCGAGGATGAGGGTGACGATGGAGAGGGGAAGCACGGAAGGCGCCAGCTGTTCACCCCCATGCTCAATCTGATCACGCAGCGACCTGGCGTGGTTCCACACATTGTGGACCATTACGCACCCAGCAGCGGCGGGCAAAAGGTAGAGGCTGTCCGGTGGGAGGTGTAGTACTTACAGCGTTGCTACTAGTCCTGTCTAATTGATCGGTGAGCTGGGCTGTGGTTTTGGCACGGGTCCTGGTGTAGGTGGTATAAACAAAAGGGCACATCGTGTCATATTAACCAGTCTACCCACGCTTCCTAGTCAGAGGGGCGTGCTGCTGATCTCATTATTCTCCACGCTACGATGTACGTTTTCGTCGATAACCCAAGCTCTTACCCCTGCCCACCACACTCATCATGAGCTGAAGCTTCAAGCTTACCAGTCAATTTCTGTCCATAATCATCGAAAGACCATTTTGTCGAACGCCCGCTCCCTCCCCGGGCCCAAAAATGCCATTACCCGAACCCCGTTGGTGCCCTCAAATGGATTATTTGCGCAGATGCTCCCTCATTAAACGTGTCCTGGTATCTTTTCCAAAAAAAAAAAAAAAAAAAAACTCGTCTACGTCTCGGTCTCGCTCCTTCACTTGCCCAGCTATTGCTGAAAATTGGAGCGAGGCTGGCTGATGCTGGGGCGTAAATGAGTTTTCATCGTCGTAAATTCATGATATGTGTCATCAACCATACTGGTTGTTCGCTTCAAAGTATTTGGATCTTCGCAACCCCCAAAAAAGGACAGAGGGATGCTGTTGTGGAAATTTCCGCTGGGATCTGAGAATGTGTGTCTAGTCGGATGTGGAAAAGCCAGATAACTGTGGGAGTAATTGGCCACCGGTGTGCTTGATTGTGGGAGTTGAAAGGAGGGTCTAATCTGGGACAGAGTGATCACTCTCATTTTGGGTTGGACCTCACGTTCAACTGAACATGAAAAGGGGTCATCGCAGCATTTTTGAAGGTCCTCTTGGCGCATCTAGTTTTGGTTCCAGCGTCATTGGAGGACTGCTGCCAAATGGACGAGGCTCCTCAACTGGTTTGGTTGCCATGGGGGAGAAGCTGTAGCCATTGGAAGTGGAAGCGGGGGAGTAAGAGGGTGGCTCTAGTTTGATATTCAAAGTTGGCTTGTGAGAAGAGTACGGGATCTCGTGTCGAGGCGAGGGGAGCCGTTCTTGTTGACTCTGTGGGGATGAAGAAGATGCAGGGGTGGATGGAAGACTGGATTTCTTCCTCACCGAAAACACGGATTCAGCATTCTTTTGGATGTAACTCTTGGCCGAGGGTGAATTGGGATAAAAGGAGGGATTTGGGACTCTAGGAGGGTTTTGCTTTGCAGCATCGGCGAATGCTCTTTGATATGCGATCTCGCCTTTAGGATCCTCATCAGGAGATCTCTTGGAGTTGGCTACCTCTGGTCGATAACCTCTTATATACCATGGGTGATCCTTCTCGTGAAGGGATAAAGTTGGGTGAGAGTCAGCATGTCTTTTCGTCATGGTGTTGAAAAATCCCTAGACAACAAAGCGGGCCTGTTGAGGTGACGCCGAAGAAAGTGGGAAAGCCTGAAGACAGTAGACAGTAGATTCCTCCTCTGACCTATTATCTTTCCAACGGAATGAGAAGGGATCAAAGAAATGGGGTCGTGCTTTGTCGAAGAAAGCCGACTCTCCCAAGGGTCTGGGAAGCTGAAAATGGGACGTTGAAGAGGAGGAGGGGAGGAAACTTCCAACTTGAAACTTGAAAGCAACCGAGAAGTTCGGATGTCTAGGCTTAAGACTTGAAGAGTGAAAGAAATCGAGGGGAAGAGAAGGCAGGTGCCGGGCGTAGGCATGTCTACGGGTAGAACCGAGGGAGCGGGTCATGGAAACGAGGGCCTGGGAATTGGGATACTTGTACGGAGGACGGAGGAGGTTGTGCCTTGTCGAGGTCAGCCAGTTAACAGAAACCACTGAAGTCCCTGGTAAATATTGTCCGTGCTGCAGCTGCCAGCAACCCAATAGGCACTGCATTCCGGGAGTCTTTGGGCTGGCAAGCACCCGAGGGGCCCGAGAAATCGAACACTTGGGCCCTCTTGCAGGCCGTGTAAGGTGACCTACAGCCCCCCTCCCCCCAGCTACATATCTAGTCGGCACGGTGCACACCTAAAAGGAACGCCCCCGGAGCATTCTTGGCCTGACCGCCTTTGGCACCTGTAGGATAAGACGCATCGCTCTGCATCAGTGGTGGTCTGCACCAGCCTGCACCAGCCTGCACCAGCCTGCATGAGCCACTGAGCCAGTCACGTAACCCGCCCACTCAAGCGCCCACATTTACTGCAGCATTATGCACATCATCTGGAGCCTGGGGAATTAAAAGTGGTTGTACTGTTACGTTTGGGATCCAGAGATCTTCTCCGCATCATCCCAAGTCGGAACAATCAATCTGGTCCTTTGATCCACTCCCATTCACGATTCGATGAACTTCGACGCGAACACGACGTGGGATCGCTGCCAGCACAAGTGATTAATTGAAAGCACGTGCGCCAACGTTGTGCGACTGCGTGTGCCTGTGCGTGGTGCCTCCACCAACGACGTAGCACCCAGTAGCTGACGGGTACCAGTACTCGTATCTCCGCAAATGCCCGGCTGTCAGTTGGTCAACTGCCCACTTACAACGGACGTCACTGCATTTCCATCTGGAGAACGCCAGGTGTCCAAACAAGGAGGTCCTAGGTTGTCAAGTCACGATGGAGAGCTTTACCGACACAGTGGCTCTGTGTGGTGTTGTAGTGGTGGTATGTTAACCATACCACCACTTCATTGGGTCAAGCGACAAGGCCCCGAAAGCATGCCTAACCTGTTCACCAGCCAAAGGGAGGAGACTTCCCGGGCGGTGGTGGCACCTGCTGTACAGTCGGAGTACACCCACCTACATACACCTATGGCTGTGTCGGCACACCTTCGGGGAAGGCTTTGGGGGATGATCTGACCGACCGACTCGGCCCTTACAGGCACAACCCCAGGGGCCAAGGCTGCCCAGGGTTGCCTACTCGTAGGGTTGGACCCTGAGGCGGAGCGAGGGGCACTACGGTGGTTGCGTTTGGTGGGATGGGGGTTTAACTTCCCCTTGTCTTCCACCCAACACATCCCACCCTGACACCCTGACTGCCATGACATGCCTGTGACCCATTCTTTTTTTCTCGCCACTGATTCTAGGGACTCTGGCGCGCGACAGGGCCCGCAATAGATGATCCATGCTGGCGAGTCTATTCCTGATCGAGGGATCGAGCCTTCAAACTTGCATCTTTTCATTGGACCGTCAAAGTCCTTATCAGTATGCCGGCTGGTTTTGGCACACTGGCGCACATGTCGCTCAAAGCCCGTCGCCGCTTCCCTAGGATGGTGTAGAGCGATTCTGCCACCTGCTCGCATGCCCAATTCCCTTCTTGTCGCGTTGATTTCTACTACGATTACTACTAGAACTTTTTGTACCAAACTCTTTCATCCTATCCTCCAACCCGAGCTCACTCAATTGCATTGCTATCTCTTCCTATTTGTTATTTAGCAGCTACTTTCCTTCAGACAAAGACATCATACTGCCTTCCTGGGGCCGCCCACTACTTCTGGCTTCTCATCCACTCTCGAAATCCCACCACTTGCTCTATTTCTCCCCGTAACACCCCACCCCTCCACGTCTGAGCCATCCTTTTGGTTGCCTTTTCTACATTCGAGCCAGCCCTACGAACTACGTCCCTGCCCTCATTCGTTACCGAACTTCTGGCTGCGGTGGCGTCCGTCAATCGTTCCGCCCGCCCACCTCATCTCTCTCTCTCTCTCTCTCCCCGAGCCGGACCTAAGCGCGGGCTATAGCCTTTGCCGGACTTTCACCCTACCGACTACATCTATACATATACTCAATCTCATCCGTCGTCACACCGACCGCGACTGGGGAGACCCTCATCACTTCGAAATGGCAACCAACTGCGCAATCCAGACCTTCGTCATCCCAGAAGATCAAATCTATGCCAGTCAACAGCCCTCTCCCGCCAGCTCTGCCTCTCCTGCCTCTCCACGAATGCAGGAATATCTTCAGCAAGTCGCTCCCAATCCGTACAAGCAATTGCGACCCATGAAATCCCCTCTATATGTGCCTGCGGCTCTAAGACCTACCGAACACTTCTCCACCACTTCTCCCATGACACCACCCAAGAGCTTGCATGGTTCACTCGACAATCTACAAGATGCACCCGTTTCACAGAGTCCAGAAGAGCACCACTTGGATGGCTTTGATCCCGACTGGTTACAAGCTGAAGAGCTAAGTGATGTGACTGGGCCCCCAAAAAAGGACCATTGGAAGGTATGTAAATGTGTCACCGAAACCAAACCCCAATATCGATTGCACTGCAGATGTACCGCTCCGTCACCAGTTATGCATGTAGCCTCTTATAATCGCTAACGTGAATTCTACTCTAGCCCGACGAAGCTTCACCGACGTGCGACTCTCCTCAGTGTCGCTCCTCTTTCAACCTCTTTGTCCGCAAACATCACTGTCGCCACTGCGGACACATCTTTTGCTCCACCCATACCACATATACGATTCCCTTGGATCAAGATGCCAAATTCCATCCTGGCGGTCTACATTCCAGAGCTTGCGAGACATGTCATCGCCAGTATCAAAGGTGGGATACCGCTAGATCTATTCGCCGCAAGAACAGCCAGAACAGCAAAGACGACGGCAGTGAAAGTGGGCCCCCAACCCCTCTAGCAGGACCTCCTGGTCACCATAGGATGATTTCAGGCGGGTTCCGAGGAGGGAAGCCAGTCGAACAAGTTGCCAATAGTGTTCCCAAAGATTGGCACTGGAGCACCTTTTGAGCGGAGTACACCACCCCGAATCACGTGCTTCGGAACTGACCGGTTGGGTTACTTGTTTTGGCTCGACATCCCGGCACTCTCGAACCTTGTCCGGCGCCGTGACTCTCTAGAGATTTGCTGCAGGTCAACGGATCCAACCCTGTGGCGTCGCGCCGCTTATAGACGGTTGCAATTGCCTGATCCAACCAGGCAACCTACAAATGGCTCCCCCCTACAAATCCACAAGTCTTGTTGCTTGATTCAGGAGATCCCAGTATTACGACTGGATCTCGATGACCGCATTTGTTGAAGCGAGATGAGTCAAGGCTAGATGCCTATCCTGACTTCGAACCTGACTTCGCCCTCGGGTCACTAAACAAGTCCTGTTGAAGGGATCGACTTCAGAGACACTGAGGGTTGTGCCAGCTTACCGATTCAGGCCGTACCACAAAACAAATCAAGACTGTTACACAGCATGAAGGATGTGCCTGTCAGCCCAACAGCAGCTCCCGCAAAAGCCTGGAGCCTTTCCAGGTCTGGCCCCGAGGGGGCCGGAATTGAACGGTCTAGGGACAACAACAAGACAACGCACGTGAACATATATACCACGTGGGGCGACAAGCTCCAGCCAGGGATGATTTTCTTGGCAACATCACCGCTATTTCGCGACAGATACCCCCTCATTCGTCCGCGAGGCGTTGTTGGCTTTTCTGGGAATTGCCTTTGTTCTCTGGAAGAAATTTAGCCATGAGGATTGAACATACGGCTTGAATGATCTTTTGTGATTGGGAGGATATTATTGCGCCATTATCGAATTTTACTGATCGTTTAGTTGATGAGTTAATGAACTGAAATACACTGATCAAACCTGTCTACTGCTTGCGGGCGGGTCGCATTCATTTAGACACTATACATTTGTGATTTCTAGTTGGGTGCTGTACATTGAGAGTTTTGGGATGCGGTGTGCCAGTTGAAACTGCTATGGGAGTGTCTTTGCACAAATAACATAAGATTCTGTCCTATTACACTCAAATATTCACCCTGCAATTCGGTGAAATAAAAACGGGTTCTTCGTGGTCCCATTTCGGCCTGTCGAGTCTATCGTCACCCCATCAACTGGCCCAAATCATCCGGCGGCCAACGGGTCTGCGCAAAGCTGATACACCGCTTGATACTCTGCAGAAACTTGCGCGTGACCTCGTCCGTCATGATATGCGCCTGTTTCCCACTACTGCTCTCGTGCAGTTTCTCCCGTGCAGACCGCTCATGGATACCCACCATAGTAACACCGATGGGCCAGGCGGCCTTGCCAATCGACAGCGTCAAGTAGCCATCATTCGCCTCTACGTACCGCCGATGCTGCGCCGACCGCACGATCGCGCAGATCGGCTCCAGCAGATCCGCGCTCAGCGTCTCTCGCTCAAAGTGCCGGAAAAGTGGCGTCAGGTCCGCCAGCACCATGAGATATGCATTGTGTGCGGCTTTGCCGCTCGAGGAGGCTTTTACATCGGACGCGCGTTGGGACAGCGCGGCTCCCCACTCTGTCAGGAGGAGCGTGAAGTAGGATGCTAGCTGGCGGTAGAGGAATGTGTGCCCTTCCGAGTTCGTTTCCTTGGTGGGCAGTGGTGGTGCCGGGATCAGCATGTCTTTCTCCGGGACGGGCGCGAGGGTTGTTGGGATCGGTCCGTCGCTTAGTTTCGGCGCCAGTGTCTTCGCCGTCAGGGAACGGTAGCGCTTCAGCCGCGCGCTGTGCGTCTCGTCGAAGAGAGACGCTGGCTCTCCGAGCTCTCGTAGTCGGGTACGTAGTCCATCGTCCGCGATGTCTTCGCCTTGGTGGCCCGGCCTAGTCGAGGACAGCGACGACCCATCACCCCCATTCGCAATAGAGCCAGGCACATGCGGCACTTCAGGTAGACCCAACCGCTTCCGTCGCTTCTTCTCTTCCTCGAGCTCCTCCTCCTCCCGCCGTCGCCGTGACTCCTCCGCGAGCCGCTGCTTCTTCTCCTCTCGTGCCGCATTGCGCTCCGCCTCTTCGTCCTCTAGCTTGCGTTTCTTCGCCGCCCGCTCCTCCCGCTCTGCGGACAGGCGAGCTTGCTCGGCTGCATATTCGGCTTCTCGCGCCGCTTCGAGGTCCGCCCGCCGGACGTATTTGTTTGGTTTTGTGGCCGTGCTGGCCGTGGCTGTGGTTTTTGCCGGAGGTTTGGATTTGGCGATCTGGGCAGACATTAAAGATTTGAAGTCCATGATGAGCGGTCGGATTATTGGATCGAGCAACGCTTCCTCGAGCGAGGGTGGTGAGGTATCAGGTAGTTCTCTTGATTTGCATCAGACGAAGTGGTAAAATTGCTGGTGGTTGATCAATGTTTTTAACATCCAAGACTGCAAGGTCTCAAGATGTGAGGAGGCATGGAGTCGAGAAGGCGCAGAGAGCCCTGGCAGAGTTTCTCCGATTTTCCGGGCTCCGCATCCTACGCTATTCAAGTTGGTGGGGGCCTTCGAAGCCTCACGCTCAACAACATGGATAGTGACACCTCAATCTACAATGTATCCAGCAGCCAACGCAATACCTTTCTTATCAGTCATCAGCTATATGAGTTGCACCATGCTCCCCTTATGTGCAGACTACCTATTGAAGGGCATGATGGAGTATCTTTAAATGCTGCTATGGCTGTGTCCTACTAGGTTCAGCAAGTTTGTGCGTTTGCTTCAGTGCTGAATTGCACATGCAAGCCACTTGAGACATTAGGTAATATTCATCATGGGTTGTGTATAAACTGAGGAGTGTGCTTTCTGTGGGGTATTATAAGAGAGATATAAACATCATCTCATGGAAGGACCATGCAGAAACAGAAATAGATGGAGGTGCCCACACATCCGCCCTGATTCGATCACATGAGCACGTTCAACAAAGTAGCGTGAAAAGAGGTATATAAGCAGCAGTAGCCTTATCACATATCCCCGATGCGAAGAACGGCTTTGCAGCTCCGATCAAGGAGCACTGATAAAGTCTAACAGAGCGAACAAAGATGCGGTCTCGACCCGACAGCCTTCGCTCTGAGACTGAGCACTCCGGAAACTCTTTTGAAGCCAAGTTTGAATACTGTTCTCATCCAAACAACGGACGTTCTGTTGTGCAATCAAATTGGACGCGTGAGCACAGGGTACTGTAGACTCATTTCCGAGCGGTGGGTATGTCTTGCAGTTGGAAATCGAGGCCAATGGGCCGTTGGACACGTCCTCAATTTGGTTGGTGTCTACGTCATTTAAGAGGGCTGGCAGAGATGTCCCCTTCAGTTGTGTGCTATGCTGTGGGAGGATACCAGGTTCGGGCCGCTGAAAGAGATACACAGAGCCCAGGGGTACCAAAGCTGAGGTTCGTTGGGGCGATGATATACAGGGACTGGAGGATCCAGCCACAGCAGTAGTCTTCATCATCGCTACAAGGCGTTGTGACTCAAATCCAGCCGTTGCATCGCGTGCGTAAGTATCATCATCTTGGAGCCACAGGGACTGTTTTCGTATCTCATCGCCAATTTCCTCCAGTTGCTGGTGTTCTTCCGTTGGCAGCATCGGCTGTGGAGTCACCACAGCATCAGCATGCTCCTTAGTCGCTCGGTCCCTCCAGTACCTGGAATCAGCCTCTAGTTCCGCAATTTTTGCTCTTGCTTCAGCAAGAAGACACTCGTTTTGGTGGACTTTCTGCTCGAGTAAGGCGATATATTGGCGTCGCCGCTCACGATGGCGTCGCTGATTATTCCGCACCCGGATCAGTGTATGTGCGGGTGTTTTGGCTTGCGTCGGTGTCACTGAGAGAAACTGATTGTTCATCGGATTCATGTGGGCAAACAGACAAATAACCGGAGACGTTGAGCCGGGGAACAGTCACCATGCTTAGTACATGCTAATGAGCTTTGATCCAGACGTTTTGACAGGCGTCGTTTAGCTTTCTAGGGCGGCCGGGCGAGGCTGGCCAAGACCGGTGACATATCGCGCCACTGCCATAACGGGCTTAGCACATTGCTTGCCCATGTGGGTGCCATGGCTTGAAAGTAAGATGCCATGGCGCAGGGGATTTCGTCCTGATGACCTGGTTGGAAATCGCGGCACTCTTATAGTAATCACCATTAAATTATGCAGCATGTGCCTACTGAGCAATTGGGACTTAAAACCAGATCAGCGCAGCGGGCATGCAGGCAGACCTGTCACTACTATCAACCTCACGAGCTAGCATACTTGCACAGAGCTTTCCTCAAATCTGCCAGAGCAGTGCGGTTTGTTATCGATGGCTGGACGTCAAAGAAGAATATCCGTAGTTTGCAGGCTCAGAGTCTGCTGACTCTTTGTTCAATCATTTCAGAGCGAGGGAGGGACAAGGCCCGTTGTGGTTCTCGCTGAGGAGCCGTTGACTCTTGGGCTCATGCCTTGACAGCATAGATCTTGAAGGAGCCTAATGGTATTAAGTCAGTCAAGTACCATGAGCGGCAAGAAATCTCATCCCACATACCAGCCCATTCATTGAAATCAAGCTTAGCGAAGTCTTTTTCGCTGGCTTCACAAGGAGCATCCTGCACAGCCTTCTTCCCACTACAGCCAGTACAGGCCTTTTCTTCACAGGTGCCACAGCATTGACTTAATCCTTCCGCCTCCTTGCGTTTATAAACATTTAGATCGCTGTTGGCGTCAACAATGAGAATTTCTGTCCCGATTAGCTGAACATCAGCAGAATTGCGTCACGAATGGCCACGAAACCCCAAAAGCCGTGCTTGGCCAGGATGATATGATAAGTAGGATCACTCACCCCGAAATCCCGCTGTGCGAAGATATTGCTCATAGTCCTTTACTTGGCTTGCGCCCGCTATACATCCCACATATAGGGCCACATCACGTTTTAATTCTTGCGAAAGTTCCTGCCTGGTCAGGATATCGCTGATTGCCACACGTCCACCAGCTTTGAGCAGACGAAACATTTCGTCGAAGACCAGTTGCTTTTGACCCTCTGGCACTAAGTTCACCACACAATTACTGATAATGCAGTCGGCAATTGCGTCTGGCAGTGCCACTTCAGTGATTCGAGATTCCACGAAGGAGACATTTTTGAATTCGGTCTTTTCTTTGTTGCGTTCTGCTCGCTCAAGCATGTCCTGATATATGCTTAGTGGTGTTTTGGCTAGGACAAGTAAGGAGCAGGAGATGGCATACTTTGTTCATGTCTACTCCGATAGCTTTACCTTGTGGCCCAACCTTTCTGGCCGCAAGAAACACGTCAAATCCTGCGCCGCTACCGAGATCGATAACGGTTTCGCCCTGTTCCACTATCAGTCAATGACATGAGGCTTCAAAGGATGCATGCAGTTGGGCTGAACATTCATCAAGGAGAGGGGAAATGAACCTCTCTTAACTTGGCGAGCGCAAGTGGATTTCCGCAGCTCAGGCCAAGGTTGGCACCCGTCGGGATGCTTGCCAGCTCTTTCTCGCTATATCCAAATGCTGCAGCGACCTTTTGTCCATAATCACTGCTATTGCCTTTGACAGCAGCGCTATACGCTTCCTGGACTTTCTCGTAGATCTGGCTGTCATCCATTGTGTTCACTGGAACAAATGCCCCTAGAATTCGATTGCGTAGGGTTGAATCAATAATCGACTTTCGTTGCAGTACGGTTGGACGAGTGTAAGAAAACAGGGAATAGATAGCGAGAATCTTCAGAGCAGTCAATGTCTTGATATACTTGCTCCTTTCTGAACGATATGTCACTGGTAAAGTTGACGCCTGAGAAGGGCGTTTCGCTAGGGGCCGGTAGGCAAATAGAATGCAATGGATGTGTCAGGAATCCAGCAAAACCATATCTCGGCCAGGATCTTGAGCTGCTGGCGAGTTCCTTTCATTGTATCTCAAACAATGTTGCGGCTTTTCTGAACGGTCTTGTTGCCTGGGATTCTGGATATCCAACACAAAACCAGCACATTATTGGATACATTGTTGATATGTCACTGACAGGGATCTCATGACCTCAGTGCTATACGAGCTATGTTGCCACTTGGATGCAAGGTAAAGGTGACATACCACGGCTCGGCATGCTGTCTTGGGCTGTCCTGAGGAGGATATGTCATCAGCAGCCTGCTTGCGCTGCACTAGGTTGCCTAGATTATTGGTCCAGCCTCGGGCTACTGGATCCAGGCGGTGACACAACATACATGCTTGAACGTCTGAGTCGCAGATCGGTGGATGGACGCTATCTCTAGAATGGAAGATGCTCCCCGCACGATCTGGAGTTGTGGTATGATTTGTACTTTTCGCAGTCCTCGCTCGATGTCTCCTTTGTCTCAATTGCCTATGGGATCTATCGGATTGCGTGGGACCGACAGTGCCGCATGGCTTGCAAATCGAAGCACGATGCCACACCGATGCCGGAAGAGTTGGTTATCCAGAGTGTCCAGCCAACAATCAACATAAGTGGCTGCCATTTTAACAATAGCAGTCTTCTTATTAATTAAAGCAGTAATCTTGGGTTTGTGGCCTCAATTGCTACATATGACTCCCCAGGCATGCCTTTACTTTTTTGCCTTCAACCATGGTTCAGGTTCGTACGCATCCATGAGGCTCGTATACTCTTCACCTGCTCGAGCCCAGCCACTAATACCCTCCAGTAAGATTGCACTTGTGATTCCAGAGAGCTTCTGATCCTCAATCAGGTCTTGAAACCATCCGGCAGCCCGAGTTCCCCGCCCCCGAGATGACCCTGGACAGGAGGAAGTTGAGTAACAGACTATAGTCACAAGAAGGATGGACTTCAAGAACATACCGCAATACCAGACTACAGTACGTATGCCAGCATTTTGACACAAGGTCAAAAGGGTTGGGAGGCTGTGATAGAGACTCTGAGCGGGAAGGTTGATTGAACCTTTGATTGTCCCACCCTTTTTGCCTCAGCTGTCAATCCACGGCGCACAAGCAAAGGTGTTGGCGGTCTTTACCTCGTGGTCCGTTCTGCGCAAGTCAACCAGAAGAAAGTCGAGGCCGGGGGTCTTTCCATCTTGAAGCCATTGCAATAACTCTTGCCGAGTGACCGCTACGGGGGATTGGTTCCGGGGTTTAGGATAAGCGTCGTGCCATACCGGCTCTTGGTCCATTGCTCAGTGTGGTGCAGCTATCGCAATGAACTGTTACGATTCAGAAGCAAGAAGATCCAAATAGAGCGAGGAGAATAGAACGGCTCTCTCAAGTTAGAAGGATCGAAGCAAATGCAGAAAACACCTTGTCTGATCGATTAGCATGTTGAATATTCTAGATAGAGTGCGGTGTGAGAATGCCACACTTAGTCACTCGCCTCATTCTATTCGCTGAAAAATCCATACTCCCAGCAAAAAGAATCTCTTGGCTTAGTCACTCGCAGCGTCTGATTGGCCACCACTCTAATCAACATCCACTGCTCCAAAGTCCTAAGGAAGCCACATAAAAGAGTGCGAAGGAAACCTTCCCTTTGTTCACTGATGCTGCCACCAATCTTCAATTAGCTCCAGTCCATCAGTTGCGATTTTCCCCTGTATCAACTGCTATCGCCAGCATCAAAATGGCAAGCTCGCACGACGATTCAGATCACGGGCTTGAGCACAAGCATATCATACAGCATCCCACAAGCCCAAGCCCGTGGTCCAATATCGACGCAGAGAAACAAGAAAAAAGTCAAGAACCCATCGAACACAAGAAATCCGTCTATGCAGGCCTGGGGTGGCTAGACCGACTTCTCGTCCTGTGGATCCTGTTGGCCATCGTCGTGGGCATTCTGCTTGGAAATTTCGTCGACGACGTTGGGCCAGCTCTTCAGAAGGGCAAATTTGTCGATGTTTCGGTCCCTATAGGTAAGAAAGCCGTCCTAAAAACCCCATTAATATGAGTCTTGCCTTTCTTAGCTAACTATTTTCCTCTGCACCACAGCGGTCGGTCTCCTGGTGATGATGTACCCCATCCTCTGCAAGGTCAAGTATGAGACCCTACATCGAATCTTTGCCCACCGCCAGATTTGGATCCAATTGGGATTCAGTATCGTGGTTAACTGGATCATTGCACCTTTTCTCATGGTATGTTACAACAAAAAGGATTTTGGTTTCCCCGCCTTCAACTCAATAACATACATCGCTGACGACCAAAAAAACAGCTCGGCCTGGCCTGGGCCTTCCTGCCAGATAAACCTGAGCTTCGGAACGGGCTTATATTCGTGGGGCTGGCACGCTGCATTGCCATGGTAAGCGACACTCTCTCAGTCCTGCAATATTGAGGTTCTAGTAGCTGATCAAAAAATTTACGTCGGCTTAAAGGTTTTGATCTGGACAGGTCTTGCCGGTGGAGACGAGGAGTACTGCGCCATCCTTGTGGCCGTCAATTCAGTCCTCCAGATGGTCCTCTACGCACCCTTGGCCATTCTCTTCGTCAATGTTATGAGTCACGGTGGCAGTGCTAATGTGGCGTACTCCACCGTGGCCCGGAGCGTCGGGGTTTTCCTCGGTATCCCGCTTGGAGCTGCCGTCGTGACGCGCCTGATCCTAAGGAAGATCAACGCAGCCTGGTACGAGCAGAAATTCCTCAAGTGGCTCGCTCCGTGGTCACTTATCGGCCTTCTTTACACCATTCTCGTCCTGTTCGCCTCGCAGGGCAAGCAAGTCGTCCATCAAATCGTCTCAGTCGTCCGAGTTGCCGCCCCTCTCATCGTATACTTCATCGTCATCTTCTTTCTCACGCTCTTGGTCACAAAACGCCTGGGATTTGGATACAAACTAGCAGCCACCCAGAGCTTCACCGCGGCCAGCAATAATTTCGAGCTCGCCATCGCCGTCGCGGTCGCCACTTTTGGAGCCAACAGCGACGAGGCGTTGGCCACGACTGTCGGCCCACTGATCGAGGTGCCGGTTTTGATTTCACTGGTCTATCTCGTAAGGTGGATCGCTGGTCGTTGGGGCTGGGATGACTGACAGATGTTATGTATTGTTGCTGTTCTGGAAGCTTCGGATTAGACTTTCCACACTATTGAGACATCGATTAGAACAGTTGCTACGCTCCAGGAACGCTCTGAAGCTACCGGACAGTTTAGACACGGAGTCTATAGAGGCATTGTTAATAGATTCAATTTAATATGTGCCAGCCGATCTTCCAGCAACATTCCACATTGTCGTTGAGCTTAAATATCAAAATGTTCCCGAACAGCAGTTTATCAAGTCTAAACTTCACAAAACTCATCTGGGCAAGTCAGCTCTAAATGAAGAGCGTTCCGTAGATTGAAAAGGCCCAAGAGGGGCGCTCTGGGTCGGCCTTGTCACCAATGAAGAAAGATTTGATAGGGCAATGCAGGGCCGTTCGCAAGGCTGTGACATTCAGGAGAACTAGCCGGGTGGCTACGAAACTCTAAAGAACGGCCCCCGTTCCCGCTCTGGACCGACTAAGATAGCTACTGCTCGATGGCATTTCAAGACAAATGCTACAGGGGGACGGCTAGATCGGCGCCCTCGCTCTTTCAACTCCCGATGTTATTTTTCGTGATGTCGTCTGCTAACTAGAGCCTCGAAACCCGCCATGAAGGGATCTTTAACATTAAATGATTAATGTTGCGTACAAATCATAGTTTCGACCTAAAGAGGGAAGAGGGAAGGCTCGACGAGTCAGTTAGGTTTCATAAGTGAACGGACGAACAAACGGAAATGAGGAACTATATCTATATGGTTGTGGTTGCCACGCAGTGGTGGAAGCGGGCTTTTGTTCTGGGAAAATTTGATGAATCTTGATCAGGGAAGAGAAAGACAAGAACCGTCGCCACAGACGCAGAGGAAGGCCACATATCACCGGAGGATTTCTTCAAATCTAAGTACCAAAGAAAAGGGTGTGTTTCGGCAAGAGGTGTATTTTATTTTCCCCAGACGTTATGGTGAGGCCTTTGTGTTTCAATTGCATGACCATGCACGAGTGTTTCGCTCACACACACACTTAAGAGAGCGAGCTACCGCAACCAAACAATCCCCGTGCCCTTCGCTAGGCCCCTTAAGAGTGGTTTGACTTACTGCTGAATATACTTGTCGCCGATACCGCGCTGAACGGCAGGACGAGCAGCGATACGATCGATCCACTTGAGCAGGTGAGGGAACGGCTTGACGTCCTCGGCAGTGAAACCGGAGCGTTCCCAGCCCTTGACCCAACACCAAGCTTTGATGTCTGCAATGCTGTATTTGCCCTTGCCCTTGCCAGCTAGGTAGTCGCGGGGTTCGCCGCCAGTGTAGATGCCGGACAGTCGGATCTCGAGCACGCCATACACGCGCAGGGTCTCGTTCTTGTATCGGTTGATTGCATCTGAGGGCGGAACAAGAGGGATGGATGTCAGTTATGGGGTCTTATACTAAGCGTCCGAAAACATCAACAAAGGTGGTGGAATGGGTTCCTTACAAGGTATTTTTTCTGGCGCAGCCCTGCTGAAATGGTTCACCTGGCCCTGGTAGGGGGCTCCACCACCATGCCAGAAGAACAACCACTGCAAGGCCTCGTTCCTCTCGAGTTCGTCCGTGAAGCCGAACTTGTCCTCCTTGTCATAAAACTTCAGCAGGTACAGCAGCTGGGCCGAGGTCTCGATAACCGGAAAAGGTGGGTTCTTGCTGTTGTCGACGAGAGTGGGGATGCGCCCGTTGGCGTTCAGGCGCAGGAACCACTCTTTCTTCTGCTCGTTGGTCATGATGTTGATCAGCGTAGTGCCCCATTCCAGGCCATAGGTGTCTGCGAGCTCCTCCAGGAGGATCTGTGTTGCTTGTCCATTTGGCGTGTTCTGCGTGATCAGGTGTAGCCCTTTGGCCTCTTTGATTTCCTTCGGGGTCTCGTCGATGTAGAGGTAGTTTGCCATCTTGTGTAGAGATGGAGGCGAGTGAAAATATATGTCTAGATATGTGGTCTGGATACCTTGATAGGTGGTGGTTCTCTTCACCCAAATAAGTGGCACTGTGAGAATCTCGTGGACGCACCAGAGACAGCAGTAAAATTCCAAGGATATTTCGACTCGAAATATAGGGCCAGCTACGGAGGGTGAAGAAAGAGGGAGAAGTCCGATGTTGATGGCGCCATAGACTGCATCATTGTCTCGGCTTTGAATTAGTAATGTTCCCCCAGCGAAGTACGGTTTGTAATGGGCGGAGGAAAATAGTTGTGATGGCACCCCGCATTCTCGTGATGACGGAATACTTGACGTGAGCGCGTTGAGGGGCACGGAGGAACACGTGATTGAGCCGCATGATTTATCTTCATTTGATCGAACCCCTCATTCACCACTCTGACCCTGTTGAGTTACCGAGTAACTACTCCGTACGGAGTACCAATATCAGTTAACCACCTGGCCAGTCTAGTGGCATCGCGTATTGAGATGATGTAGACATGCGGATGCAACCAGAAACCACAGACTCATTCGGTTTGTTATTTCGAGGCTGGCAATTTGGGCGCCGCGTTGCCTACGCCATTCATCAGCTCCATTGCTACATATACCAGTTTATGGTGCCCTTGTGAGCATGTCCTGCCTTGACACCTTGCTTCCTGTCCCTTCCCATGTCTTCCATAGTTCCTGATCAGATCGTAAGGCCGTAAATTCGTGAACAGATTGACCAAGCGATGTCGATGGTCACCAAACCGAAACCAAGGAACAGCGATTGTCACTTCCAGCCCCAGCCTTCCTTCAAATCAGAGGCCGTTTTGGTTGTTGGCCAGCCATATTCCTTTTCCAGCTGCGCCAGAATACCCAGGAGCACTTGTTGTTCCTTTAAATCTGAAAAGTACTCCCCGCAAACTGCGATTGCCATGAATGCCTGAACCAGTGCTGGTTGAGAAGATGCTGATTTAGCGGTGCCACATAAGCGCACAACAATGTCATGCACTTCCTCAGTAAGCCGTCGCTGGGCTGCCGAAACCCCTTGCCCGATTCTGGGGATGTTAGGATTATAAACTGTCAGAAGTATTCGTGCAAGGTCCAGATGCAGTAATCCAGTAATGTGGATTTCTGCCATAAACCATATATGTGGAAGGCATTCTCCTTTCTTCGTATCAGCATCTTGATAGTGGATAGGTGCAAAGGACAATGGTTTGGCGTTATCCCATTGGGCTTCGTAGTTTTGCAGTTCAGTCCACCGCTCAACACTCGCTCTCCCAGCCATGACTTCCCCCCCGAAACAATACTGTAACACATTTGCACAGTGATAGAGGTGACGATCAGACCACACAAAATCATCCGCCGCCTCAAACCCCTGCAGTATCGACCACCTCTCGAGAGGTAGTCTGACAGCTCTCTGTTTCATAAAGGCAATGGTCGTCTCTTGGCGCAAGGCCACTCTGAAGGCTGCATGCTGGAAACTCTTGAGATAGGCAGCTGCATTCTCTCGAACATTACCAGTTGAACCTGGTCGGAGAAATTTTGGAGAACCTCCATCACCTAAAATCTGGAAGTATGGATTGGCTTGGGCTTTGACAAATATTTGAAAGGTATGCAGGAAAGTTTCACTGTCTTCTCCTGTAAACGAGGTGTCAATCTCTTCATAGTATCTCAAGATTACTGCTGCAGCCAACAGATTCTCATCTCTAACATGCTCTGGATCACTTGACAGTTTAATCAGATATGCAATACACGCATTGTGATATTTCAGAGCTGTGTCAGGAGTCAATTTTGGGAGTGGCACGTTCTGATAATGGATGACGCCGCAGGATGCTTTGTATTGTGGGAGGGACGCCAAATGTCTGGAAGCCGCCGTGAAGATTGCATTAAGCAGCGGCGGGCACCTTCTTGCTCGCTGGGGAACAGCAAGAGCGAAATGACGACCAGGATCCCCAACATCAAACTGTTTCGACTTAGCCTTGAAGCCTTGCTACAGGCAATGTACGTACCCAAGGTGCCAGATGTTCAATATAGTATCGCATCAAGCATGCGCATTGAGTAGTGGTAAATTGATTGGGCCAATAGAATTGCTCCTTCCAGATAGCAGGGGAGAGAAGAGATTCATCCTCCGGGATTTTTGCAGCTGCAGAGTCGGCGAGACGACGATACTCGGCCTCTACAATCTTAGGTATGTACGGTTGTTCGGGCATAGGTATAAACCCTTCAGGACTGATAGGACCAAAGGCTTTGGGATCCTCATAGACACGGTACTGGGAGCGAATAGGATCGTAGGCACCATGCGACCATGCTTCTGGATTTGGTCGGAATGGATGAATAGAGGAATCGGTGGTTCTCCTTCTTTTTATAGGGGCATGGACCAGGACTTTCTCGCTGTTTGTAAAATGTAAAGAGATAGGAAATTCAGAGGAGGAGACGGTACGGATTGTGTTGGATTTATCCTCATCAAACTGATCATGTCGCTTGATAGGAGACGGGGGTTCGTCTTCCTTCTGGGGTGGAAGAGGCGGTCTGACGGTATTGACCACGATGTCGTCTGGAGAATAGTAGTTCTCCAGTTCGGGATTTTCATCGACAAATTGGAACTTTGCTGTTTAGTGGACACAGTTAGTATAAATTTGTGATAGGCTCTTGATTCTGCAAGAGTGAACTCAAGTGGCATGAATGGAGACACGACTTGAAACGGCTGGCTGCCAGCGTGGACTCGTGGACTCGTGGACTCAATGCGTGTGACAAAAGAAATGTGGAGAGGGGTTGGGAGCTGATGGTATGGCGAGAGCAAGTATAAGAGACGGCGTCTTGACGGACATCGACAGCTTCCTTTCCGCACGACGGATATTGAGAGAAATCGGGCTCGGGTTACACAAACTTACCATTTTTGTTCTGCTCGAGCCATGTCTGATCTTTGGAGAAAGTCGCATCATATCGGGCGCTGGAGCCGTGGCGAAACTTGAGCTTGCCCTTTCCCCTCCGACACTTCTGGCCGAGTCTCTCACATTGCTTACACTTGGGGCGGCTGTCGTCGCCTGGGACGGAGTCAGTGGAGGCAATCCATTGTGCATCTGTCACCTCGAGAGCAGGCTTCTTGAATGGTCGGGGTTGGAAAGGCTTGTGATACATGTGCATTCGTATCGCCGGAAGACCATGCGAAAGGCAGAGAAAAAGCTGAGAAAGTGGGAGCGTTGCAGGCTTAGCAGCAGAATGGAAATGGTGTCTTGCTTACATTTGAGATGGCGTTCTAGCAAGCAGTTCACATCAACAAGGAAATCCGATTGATGGAAGTGGTCATCACGACATACCTCGACATTCCTGGCATGGGTCTTCGATCTTATTGGCCGTGCCAGGCATAGAGAAAGTCATTCAGCGCGGGTAGGACGACAGACACTGGCAGAAGGGCAGGATGTGGTGGGAGACAGAGAGCCATGTCAAGTGAAGTTGAAATTGCAGAAGGAGCAGTTTCCCATTTCTACAAACCGGGGTAAGTTTTTTTGAAACTGTTCAATGTGATGTGTCTAGCTGCAAAGGAGTCTGGATGGCGAATTGAAATGGAAAGGACTTGGGCTACGAAGAATGAATCGAACCCCGCGAAGAAAGCAACCAGGTTCAGCATCGAGTCGAGTCTTGATGCCCAAAGGAGGAGAGGAGGCTGCACTAACAAGTGACTCTGCCGTCAGCGTTGGCTGGGAGAGTTGAATCACACACGTTTAGTTAAGAGGTACAGGGGTCAGTCGAGGGGCCTCGGGGGGGATGTGCTGCTACAGGATATCGCCAAGGGCTCCGTCCGGGGGGGGGGGTTTCACGAGGATTGTCTTAGCCAGGAGGCACCTGGAAGGCTGGAGATGGCTGAGCCTAAGAAGACACCCCCGCCGAACCCCCTCGACACCGGGACTTGCCTGAAATGCCTTCGCTCCCGTCTCCGCCGGTTCTTTCGTCGATTCTTCGCGAGCCTACGTAGTAGTTCAAAGGATCGATGCCTCATCATTCACTTGGTGCCCGGAGGCCTCGTTCTTCACTTTCTCAAATCTCCAGGTAATGTTCAACCACTTCCGCAAGTGATATTCCAAATAATGCTAAGCGCATGTGTGAAGGCTCTGACACAAGGATTTGATTTCTCCGTGGTATTTGTGGTCACGGAAGTTGTAGTCAGCATACGCAAAAGTGCATCCAGATCTCGGTCAAAGCTTCAGGAATCAGGACTGATGTTCAGTTGATGAGCCGCAGACCTCACAGGGCCACAGCCTCCAACGCTGTAGGGTGTATGAAGATCAAATCGGACAAGTGTCCGGCCAAGGTCTAGTTCCATGAGGAGATCTTTGATCAATTATTTCTCTTGATACACCAATATGGCATACGGCCCGCTCTGAAAAGCGTTCCGGGGGTGTATGCTCAAAGGCCAAATGCCAGATGAGATTCCACGTGAGGAGGAAAAGGTAGATGGACTGCAAGAATCAAATCGCATGACTGCCATGGGTACGTGAAGACAGACGCTGCAGTTTTTTAACATTACTTTTTCGTGGAGGCATGCCCGCCATATGGAATTGTGAGTTGAGGCCATCGTGGTCTGTTGCCTCTATTCCTGTAATAGCTCGTCTATGCTATCTTCAAGACTGCGCCCTTGCCCTGTGCATCTCAGTATGCCTATGCATCATTAAATAATACCCATGACTGGTCTCAAAGTCGGCCAATTAAAACCCTCCATCCCATCCGCAGTCCTGCATCAAAATCCGGGATACTCCTGTCACTCGCCGTCGTTAAAGCCAAATCATTCGTAATGCACATCATGAATCAGAAACACATCGCTCTTGTTGTCTGTTCAGCTTCTTTTTGTTCATCGTACAGATACCTCTGCTTTGCCGTTGCTTTGAGGTCTCGGCATATCCCCAAGCTCGCTTCCTGTACCACTTTGCCCTCGTTTCCTTCCTGGCAAGATGTGGAAGTGATGCTTGCCGTCTTCTTTTGTGGTGGTTTCGCCAGAGGAATCGCCGAATCGAGATAGAAAGCTCTTCTTCTTGGGTTGTTGTTTGGCTTCCTCGTTCAATTTAACATCTTCAAATCCTTCCTCGGCAGTGGCTGGTCTCTCAAAGGTCGTGCTGTTCAAAGTCGAGCGGGTGGGATATCTGCTGGCTGGTCGAGAGTCAAGAGATGTACGAGAAGTAAAACTGTCCGCTTGTAGTATGGGGGAACGGCCGGAAATATCCTGTTGGTTGTAGTCAGGCGTCATGCATGTCGCAACGACTTCCAGCTACTCACAAATGATCTTCTGTACGATTCGAAGGATTCTCGAGAGATAGAAAACGGCTCGTTTTCATTAAAGCACTGTCGGTGGTTGTTGGATGCAGAACTGGGGGATTTGAGCCAGGTAGGCCTGCTTTCGGTGGGAGATGGCTGCGCCGTATGTTAGAGTATCGCTCATGAACGAGTAGACGTTCTATTACCGGAAGATATTCGCCGCTATCGTTGACCGCTGGGATAAGTTAGCCTCGGTATGGGTGGGTGCGGGCAGTTCGGCGCATACAGCTCAACTTGAATTCATTTGGCTCGATCCGCTTTTCTTTGAGCCCCAGTGCCAGTGAAGGCTTGTCTCGGTATGGACTCGCGACATTTGCATCGTTGGGCGTCGGGCGAGCGTTCTCGTCGACGGCGGGGTCAGTGTTGATGGTGGGTCGTTTGGACGAGAAGGGCAATCGGAAAGGCGGCATGGTGGGCAATTATTACAGGAGAGTGATGTCTAGATCTAGAGCCAAAAACTGATGCAATTAAAGAAGTATGGACAGGAAAAGTGGTGCTGAGGCGACAATTGTCAAAAAGTGCTGGGAGTAAGTAGATGGAGGGACAAGATACTACCACTGGGAAGAGGATGAGAAGACGGAAGTTGAAGATGGACTGGGCGTTCCATGTCTATGTAACTTTGGCTAGTCCGGACGGAAGCAGTACAAAGTCTACAGAGGACTCGTAGTTAGTGGACGCCCTGAGAACCTCAAGGCGGGAAAGGTAAAGAGGAGCCGCCATCGCATCATTTACCGGGGAGCCGCTGGAGTGGACATTTAGCCATGGCGTAGCTAAGAAGTCCCAAGGAATCCGTACACTTACAGGTATGACGGTGCGTTGACCACGCCAACTGGAAGCCTCAATGCAGCCCGACGCTTACCTACAGCGCATGCCTAAGAAGATATCAGATATGCTTAGATGCCTGGGTACCTGGGCACCTGGGGCCAAGGGTACTCCTAACGACACACCTGCTCTGTCTTTTGGCTCAGACTTTCTGCTGGACATTCAGCCGGGACGCCGGAGAGACCGATCAACTAAGGCTGGGGTCCACCCTGGGCTGCTTGTAGATGGTCTGTCAGGTCTTTATTGGAGATCGGAGATCTTCTGCCGCTCACCCTCCCCATCCCCCAACCATGGCACCTTGTCTCTTGCCTATCAGTGCTGACTGGCGCGCTTTGTCAAATCCCGTCATCACCCAGATAGTTGGCAGCTGATTTTGCCTGGCTGTTGAAGCGTTGAGTGTCCTCAGAGCCTGCGTTGCAAACCACCAGATCGAGTGTGAGCTGCCTGTCAATCTTTTACAGGTACGCTGGCAACCTTGAGTATGAGGCATTTGATTCTCGTAACGACAACGTTGACGCCAGGTGATCGGACCTAGGTCCTAACGGCTAGCACTCCATGCCGTTTCCTGCTTTCCGCCATACCCGATCCCACCACAGCTTTATCGTGTCCGATTATGTGCTCTGTCTTCTACAAACACTTGGACCAGAGCCACCCAGGTTCTATGTGAATGGGCAACGATGACGTAATTTGAAATGGTAAGCTGGCGACCACAGCCTTGTCTACGCAGAAGTGCTTGGCCCGTGGAGCAAGCATTACCTTACTGAGTATCTCAGGTACATATCATATATTCTTCTCACGACTCAGTAGATATTACATACACCAATATCATCATAGACGGCTCTGATCTATTATGTCTCATGGATCCATCAGTGTGGATGTGACCAATGGCAAACAGTGCCGAGGTCATCCAGCCTAACCCGCCTCACACATAAGTACATCATACAAGTCCTGGTCCACCCGCAAGTATCCCGATGTCTGATTGAGATGCCAGGGAATTCATCTCCAGAGTGAAATGAAGACAGTAGGCGACGTCAATGTGAAAGTGGTAACTGCGAACGTGAGCAAGTCTGGGTCGCTCTTGCCCTCACTTCCATCCTTCACCAGGCTCAATCTCAGTCACAACTTCCTTTCCTCCTTATCCTGCTCTCTTCCCCCAGCAGGATCCTCTCGTCATGGACCAACACAGAGTTTTCCATCTTCATATTTACAATCCTCCATCAGACCCATCATTAGCAGTTCACCAACCAGTGCCTAGAACTGTATCAACCTCTCAACACGAGACTGGAGGCTCTCGTCCACTTCCTGTCTGCATACCTGTCATGTGTGCTTCATAGTGTTCTTGGCAAGATGGACCCGGGGGCATTCTCTGGAACGTTTTTCTTAGAATGGCCAGCATGGGCTAGGTTGAGTCTTGTGCGTTGATAACACCTTGCGAAGTCACCGACTGATCATGTCATAGATTTTGGGTGGCGGTCTCGTTCGTCCTCTCACCATGTCTCCCTCCTTTCGGACTCTCTTGACCCTTCTAGATGATTGTCCTCATAGTCGCTTACTGCGTTAAGTTCAAATTGTGGATTCAAGACAGGAAACACAACAAGAAGATGGCTGTTGAGCAAGCAGAGCGTGGGCAAGCGACCCTCGTCAGCCGAATTAGCAGTGAAATACCATTTGGCATTCGTGCCTTGATCGAAGAGGCCGAAGTTGAAGGCATATGGAGATCACGCACGCTCACACCTCTCGATCAGAATAATGGCCCAGATCGTCCCTCCGACTCAGCCGATTGTCTTGCTTCAGAATCTCACACGAGGAGAAATTCTTCAGCTTCGTCCATATCAATCTATGACGCAGCCGATATAACCAATGCTTCACCATACGGTAGGAGAGCATCCCCAACTGCGACTTGTTTCACTGATAGATCTCCAAAGCTCCCTTGCCGTCCCCGAAGCTGCAAATCCGTCTCCTGCCTCCCGCTCCAAGAACACGAAGATATGTTATAGGCGGTCGGCAACGCGGTGCCTCTTCATATCCTCGCCATACCGCGTCGGATCAAGCAGACCATTTGGAGAGAATGAAGGTTGTGCGTAGCATACATGCCGCAGAGAGCGGCCAGCTTATTCCTCGTTGGTCGTCGATGTACTGATGATGGATTTTTATTGGCGGATCAAGTTCATTGCTATCATAGAGGAGTACTTGGCCGCGGTTTAATGGGTATCAATTTCATGTCGATCGGCCCTCCTGGAAGCACATCTGTGTGTGCTGAAAGATTATGACTAGATCAGCCGAACAACATGATTCTGTTTGCTACCAATGAGTGAATGTAGGCAAGGGGCAAATTCTGCTGGGGGCTGTTTGGTCTTCTTGAAATATCTCCACTCCAGCAAACCCAGACCGTCTTGGCAGTCTGGAGCCTGCCCATCTCAACCTCTGCCCCATTCCTTGCGTAGCTTCTCATACCGAGCCATCTCCTGAGAGCTGACACTGGGGTGGACTTCGTCTCGGGCCACTTCAAAGTCTGCCGTAGTTACGCGAGGGCTGTTCTGCGACTGAGAAGTTCCACAGCGACTGATGGCTGCATATCCAGCTCTCCGCAGCAATTCCTCCAGGTCTGCTCCACTGAAACCCTCACAGTCTCGGGCAATCCTGGCCACTGACTCGTCGAACTCAAAGTTATTTAATTTTTTGGTGAGCGTGCGTAAGATGTCAACTCGTCCTTCCGTATCGGGCAGGCCAACGTAGAGCAGCGTGTCGAGTCGGCCAGGTCGACGCATGGCCGGGTCGATGATGTCCGGCCGGTTCGTAGCGGCAATCACATAGATGCCCTCACGACTGTTCCCCACGCCATCCAGCTCCGTGAGCAACGTATTCACTACGCGCGCACTCGCCTCAGACACCATGCCATCTCGCCGGGGCACGAGGGCATCCAGCTCGTCGAAGAAAATCAAGACCGGCACACTGTGCCGTGCGCGGTTGAAGACCTGGCGCACTGCGCGCTCGGATTCACCCACATATTTGTTCAGCAGCTCGGGTCCCTTAACCGAGATGAAGTTCGCGTGGCTCGAGTTCGCACACGCCTTGGCCAGTAGCGTCTTGCCGCACCCGGGCGGGCCCCACAGCAGCGCCCCCGATGAAGGCGTCATGCCGATGTTCGAGTACAGCGCCGGGTTGAGGATCGGAGAGATGATCGTCGCCGTCAGTGCGTTGATGTGGCTGTCCAGTGCCCCGATGGATGCGAATGTCGTGGTCGGGATGGTCGCGAATCCCTCGCGCAGCGAAGACGGTTGGATTTGTGGTAGGGCCGTCAGGAAGTCGTCTGCGGTGATGGAGAATAGAGATGTCTCGGTCGGGTCGAAGGAGGTCGATTTCGCGTATTTGATCAGTCGGCGGAGGGACGTGACGACGGGTGAGACCGAGGTCGTTGTTCCCGCTGGATCCGCCAGTGCAGTAGGACATATCTCGTCTACTTCCATCGCCGAGGACTCGGAGTTTGCCTTCAGCATGTCGACGTAGCGTTTAATCGCAGCGGTGCTGGCCGTGGAGACTAGATCGCTCAGGTCAGCTCCCACAAATCCAGGCGTGCGCCTGGCTAGTAGTGCCAGGTCGACGTCTGCTGCGACGTTGGAGTCTCGCGTCAGCGCGCGCAGGATCTGCTGCCGCACGATTTCATTGGGCACGGTCATGTTGATCTCTTTATCGAAGCGTCCGCCCCTTCTCAGCGCCGGGTCCAGGCTGTCGGGTCGGTTTGTGGCCGCCAGGACCACGACAGGTTTGCCGTCCGTCTTCTCCAGCGCGAGATCATCCATGCAGATGAGAAGTTGAGCAACGATTCGCTTCTCCATCTCTCGCTGCGCGGATTCTCGTTTTGGCGTGATGGCGTCTATCTCGTCGATGAAGATCAAGCATGGGGCGGCTTTCTTGGCTTCGTCGAAATGGTCCCTCAGCGCTTTCTCCGACTCTCCCGACATGCCGGAGACGATGCTCGGTGCAGAAATGGATATGAAGTTGACGCCGAGTTCGGCCGCAAACGCATTGGCGACCATGGTCTTGCCGCATCCTGGCGGGCCGTGGATGAGTACGCCTCTGGGCGGCTGGACTTTGGACGAGGTATAGATCTCAGGTCTGGTCATGGGGATAACGAGTAGATCTTCGAATTGCTGGATCACATTGTCGATGCCTCCCATGTCGGATAGAGACACGTGGCTGGGAGGCGATTTGTCAATGCTTGAGCTCGAAGATGTAGTCGCCTTGCGCTTCTTCGGAAGCGGCTCGCCGTTAGTGAGCCGTTTCTTAGACGAAGGTTCCGGGTCGGCCATGGGGGCCTTCTCCTGGGACTCGTCGTCGTGGTCGGGTTTTCCAGTCGAGGAGCCCTTTGGGGTCGACGTCCCAGATTTGGCCCACCTGCCCACGATGCTTTTGTTGAGCGCAGACGAAGCGTGCTTCGGTGTGGAATGCTGTTCTGTAAGAATGTCGTCAGAGTCAGACGGTTCGGCGTCGTGTTGGATGGTCTCGAGAACACGCTCAATACTGTCCTCTAATACTTTCTTGGGTTTCCGATTGAGCGACGAATTGGAAAGCTTGATTTGATCATATATTGCACTGAATGTGAGAGTTAGCGATGATTCGCCCTCGCCGTACTGGCTCCGCTCGTCGATGATTTTTCGGACAACCTGGTAGACCTGGGCCTTTGTGTGAGCATCGGACTATTATCGAATGAAGGACTCGATATACCTCTTTGTCAATGCCTTGACTGAGTGTCTGCCGACGGCGTCCACTCCGGCTCGAAGCCATTTATAGACGCTCGGTTGTTGTGGCTTAATTGACTGTTGTCAACTTTATCGTTCTGACTATCAAGGTCCAATTTGTGGCCTGAGACTTTTTTCGTTTTCTGATCGGAATTATTCCCGAGTTCGATCAGAGCTAGTGACACTAGTAGCTGTACTAGCGGCACTAGCGGCTCATTAAAGCGTCTAGCAGAATACTAAGAAGGTATAGTGGATGACGAATGTGGGCAGCCACATGCTCCGAAGTATCAGGGATGCCAAGCTCCTGCCATTCTGACAGGAATCCGAAAAGGAAAGCTGGGGAAACTTCGTTTAGCGCAGCCTGGGTCTCCAGAGACTGAACATCTGATAGTTCATCTCGACTCCTTGAAATTTCTCCATCTGCACCAACTGACACTTCCCGATCTTTGTTCAGTCATCACACTCATCATCGAACTCTTCCGGGCTTCTCATCCATGCGAAGCCACACCACTTGGCCAAGTCTCCGGTGTCGCTTCTGCCATCCACTCTCCACGTCAGTCAGCCTCTGCTGACCCTTTTCTCCCCACTCATTCATGCCGACTCGATGATTCGCATTGCCAAACGTAGGCGCATCTGCCTGGATGCCCGTCCTGAACCCGTTCCTACGCGCGCTCTTCCAGAGTAGTGTGCTAGGACATGCTTTACCCGCCCAGAATTATGTCCTCCTGGTGCCCACCACCGAATCCCTCCTGTACGGACAAGACCGCGAGACTGGCAAACGCTACGCCGACCAGTGTGAAGATGAGGACTTCTTGGGGAGCCATATCCTCCGTATCATTCCCAATTCCATCGCGGTAAAAGACGGGAGTGTTCGGGAGAGCAGAGGGAAGGCAAAGACTTACTCGACCGTCAATAGCAGGACCGTGATCCTAAAAGAGAATGTCATCTACAGTAACAAAGGATTTAAGCAGCTCACTCAGGCTTCGCTGCTTACCGACCTGCTGTACTACTCCCCCGGTCCGGAAACTCAGCAATGGCTTGTCTACTATATTACCAAACCGTTGACTGGCATGTTCGAAGCCTTGCCTATCAAACCGGCCCTCATAGGGGAAAGCCAGAACTCGTCGACAACAATGACCCGTACTGCCTCGATAGCCAGTTCTTCAGAGCCTCCAACTCCGAAGAAGAAAGATATCAAGTCGTTTAATGAGCTCTTGAATAGCTTTCCGATGATCGCCCGGCAAATGCAGCCCGGCCTAGAGAGGCTCTTCAACGAATTTGGGAAGGAGTTGGGTAGACCATTACCGCCGCCCCCTTCGCGAAGTCCGACTCTAGGATCGTTGGACGGAACAACTCAAGCCTCAGAAACCGCCTCCATCAAGTCAAACGGGTCAGTAAAATTGCCGTTCAATTCAGCGGCGTATTTCGAAGATGAAGAGGACCTCATGCGAAGAGCGCTCGAAACCGCAGTGACTGCAGCTATTGATCTATTCCAAGGCGTGGACAAGCAACAACTATCTTACTTGGGGGCAACGACCGATTTGACAGGGCCTGACGTTGAGAAATTGATCGAACGTTATGTTGCTGAAACAGTCCATGACTCGCTACTATTTCCTCGTCTCTGTTCATTCCACAGAACACCGGACCAAGAGCTTGATAAAAGAATCCGCCAAATGGACTGCCTAGATGTATCTCAGGTTGGAATTGCCATTGAAGATGGAAGAAAGGGCAAGAAGGACTTAATTTCCAGAATCAATCGAGGGGTGACAGTTTTTCGAAAAATGGGAGTAGCTGGAAGTCCACAAGAAATGTTGGATGTCTTGCTCGAAACTCAAAAGGTCGTTTCAGAACCACAAGACGTTGGCGATGAGGAAAAGCGGGCAGTCGCAGCATTGACTATCAATGCCGACATCCTTGTATCTCTCTTGCTCTTGGTTGTCATTCGGTCCTCAGTAAGACACCTTCAGGCCAGGTTATCCTACATGCAGAGGTTCATCTACATCGACGATGTCGAAAGCGGCGAGATCGGCTATTCACTGAGCACTCTTGAAGCAGTTCTGACATACCTGGCACGCGATGCTGGAGGTTTACGCAGAGCATCCAAGCAGAACAATCTTCTCTGGAAAGCCGTCAAAGCAGGATCGGTGGATGAAATCAAAGCTATTTTCGAAGAATCTGCAATCATCGCTGATGAGCTTGTTGAAGAGCCTTGTGAAGTTCCTCTTTCTCGGATCGCCACCTCGTCAACACATACATCTGAACATGCAGACAGACCCTCTCTATCACGCAACCCGTCCCATGAAGGTGGGCTCTCTCACGTCTTTCCCTTCCAAACGGCTCAGAAGAAGACATCCATTCCAAAGCAGAAAAAGAGAGTTCAGCTGGCTGCTAGAAGCATGTCAATATCTTCGGCATTCTCGCTATTGTCAAGAGCTACGACGATTGACACGACAATAAGTGGCATTGAGGGCGATACCTCTGTCTCCAGTCTAGCACAGACACAAGATTCAATTGGTAACTCAGTGCTTATGATGGCAGTGGAAAATCAGCAGCCACAGTCACTCAGATACCTCCTTTGCTTGTCTGAGCATTACGGCCCTGAGCAAGTCTTGGCAGATTGCACGCAGGAAGGAGCAACGCTCCTAAGTGCTGCAGTTCAGCTTGCCAATGTTGAACTCATTGATATCATATTAGAATACGCAGAACAAAACACAGGGGAAGAGAAATTCCGAGAATACATCGCAGTCAAAGATTCTCGAGGCCGCAGCACTGGCCATTACCTGTTCAATACTCCTCAACTGATAAAGAGACTTGCGAGCATCATCCCTTGGCGTCAAAGGGACAAGATTGGGCACACGCCTTTGTTCGCTATATGTCGTACCTATGACCACCCAGAGTACAGTACGATGGTATCTGAAGCTTTGATTGCTGCAAAAGATTCTCAAGGCGATGACCTACCCCTTCGTGTTGAGGACCATGTGGACAATAAGGGCAACTCCTTACTTCACATTGTAAACGATGCCTCAATCATGCAGCACATTCTTCAAACTTGTGATGTTGATCCAAATTCAATGAACGACAGGAAGTTCACACCCCTGATGCTCGCTTCGAAATACGGTCGCGTGGATATGGTCCGCATCTTCCTTGGTGATCCGAGAATAGACACGTATCTTCGAGAGTCCCGAGGTTTGACTGCCGTGGAGTTGGCAAAGGACGATGAAGTACGCAATAGAGTTGACGACTTGACTCTGTTCTCGCCCTCAAATAGCCCGGATATGACTGGAAGGATTACGGCCATTGTGAGATCGTTCTTCGTCGAAGATGGCTCGGCCAGATTTATCCTCAAATCAGGTGCACCAAATCCTTCAGTGTCAAACACAACGTACACTATCACCACGAGCCGACGTGCATTACAAGATTTCGAGAACCTCGCCAAATGGCTTTCGATGGATCACCCAGTATCGTACATGCCAACAATGGTGGCCAACAACTTTCGAAGCCCATTCCAGCTACATTCTCGTCCTTCTAGGTCTGTACTATATGACGCACAAACCCACCTAGACCGATTCTTGAGGATCTTGATGAAACATCCTACCTTCTCTACACATGAGATGTTGTGGGAGTTCTTCTTGGTTCCAGATATGCTCCAAGAACAAATGGCAGAGCGGGCCAAATTGAAGGCCGAGCTGCTTCAAGAGAAGATTGCGGACGATTATGACCCGTTGACAACAAAATCTGACATGAACGCTGTGGATTCGCTGATATCTCACTCTCGAGACATTGTTAGAAAGGTGAACAATTACACGAGAGCGATCATTAGAAAGGGACACATCTACACGCAAGCTCATGCCGATTTTTCAGAGTCTCTCAGCCTGTGTGCAGTGTCGTTTGCCACTCTAGGATCACCATCGAACACCTTGTCAAAACTGCACGTTGACACGTTTATTCGATTTGCGAGCTTGATGCATTCAGAGATAGCATCTTCGCCATTAGCAGTCTTCATCATGAGTTTAACCTCGTTCCACTCGACAATAGCAGCAGTCCAAACGGCACTCCTACGTCCAAATACCTTGATTTCGCAAATATTATCCGGCCAAAAAGCATTGGATAAGCTCAAGTCGAATCTGTACAGCAACTCGCTACCCAAGAAAGGCATTATGAACATTAATTTTCCTGGTTCTGAAGAAAGCCGGGCTAAATCCATGAAAGAGACCGAGAAAAAGATCCTGCAAGGACAAGCAGACATTGAGCGCTTGGGCAAGGAACTAAGGTATACACAAGAAGTTGTGGTTGGAGAGCTAGCCGGCTGGACATCATGGCGGGAGCAATGGGAAAACGAAGAAATCAAGCGTTTGGCCAGAAATATTGTGGTCAAAGAAAGGGAACGACTGAAGTGCATGCAAAGAGCATTGCGGGTGCTACGAGATGGCTAGAAAGAACCCCATATTGGATTCACATTCGGCTTTGACCAACCACTCCAAGCTGTTTCAGGCGGAGGACACCTCTTGTCCAGTGCAAACGAATTATTCAGAGAGGAGAGATAGTTCATCAGGGAGGAGTCTTGAAGCGGGGTTAATTCATTGGATATGGAACCAGGCGTTTGTGTGTGTGTGAGTGTGTGTGTGTGAGTGTGTGTGTGTGAGTGTGTGTGTGTGAGTGTGTGTGTGTGTGTTGTTTTCTCCAGGAAGGTATGTTCATTCTCATAGATATTTATTACAAATGCTGGAATGGAATGCGTTGCCTGGGAGGGGTTTCAGCTCAGAGCTCCAGACCCAAATCACATCAAGCATTTGATGCCCTGTGAACCGAGATGATCTTTGCCAGGAATAGCAGTCCAATCAATATAAGCGTCCATCTGGAGCCTCAATAGGTGAAGACATCAATGAGAAACTTCCGGCAATGCACCGAATGAAACCATCTATCCGTGAGTCACCTTCTTGACCGTCCCATCCTTATCGACGTGGACATTCAACCTACCGGGCCCGGAATGTTAGCACAATATCAGCAATCAGTTGTTCCATGGCCAAAAGCAAACAACACACAGATAGTCGACCAGGCCGCAGAATCACAGAAAAGGACAAGCATACCTATCAGCAACATGGTCCATAGTGAGCATCGAGTTCTCCTCGACGACGCGGTGGTTCTGCGGCAGGTCCTTCTTAGCGAAGCTGGTCTCGTTGTGCGAGCTGCCGAGCGTCTTGCCCATCAGCTTGTTCTGCCAGTCGGCTGTCGACGATGAAGATTTATCTGAGGTGATCCCCGGGACGACGAGAGGCATCTTGGTTATAATTGAGGTGAGCGGGTATATGATACGATAAGTAGTTATGAGGATGGTGTTGTGGAGATGGATAGCTAGTCGGTGAGATCTAGTTATGAAAAATGGAGAGAAGTCCAGGGCTAGGTGAAGGAAAGGAGACTGGCTAAATAGATGGACTGGACTTGGAAATCCTGATGCCTGGCGTTGAGGTTGGTCAAGATCCGATCTATGGCATCACAGTGGCTGGTGATAGTCGGTACAGACTTTGGGTAGTGGCAATGCATGACGTAGTGCAGCTGGTCACAACCTCGATGAGTGGATAGAGATACAGAAGATGGAGGCCGTCACTGTCAATTCATTTCTGATGCCAGCCGTGAGAGGCTGTGCCCAAATCACTTGACTTATCTCGTGGTACTCCAGAGAAGTCTTCATGGATATTGTTCAAATATCTACTGTTGCAGATGATCAAGCATCAAGTATCAAGGTCCATATCCATCAACGGCTATTCAATGATGGTCTCGAAACGTTCAGAACATCCACTTAAAATTGAAGAGAAGGATTATTCGTATTGTATTGTATCATGTTCAAGCGCATCAGCAGGGGCCCCCCGCTTTTAGTTTCGCTCAACATTGAAAAGGGCGTTGCAAGAATTTTGGATGGGCTGGACATGTTAGCAGCCACGATTCAAACATATTTCCACAGATTCCCTCCCCATGACTCGCTCAGCTTCTGTCTGAGGTTCTACCGTGATTGGTTGCAAAGCCCCCACATGACCGTAACTCAATCGATGCTGTTCAGTGGAGAAGGAAGAAAAGAGAAATCATATAAGTACATTTTTTGAAAGTTACCCATTCCGACCCAATGCTTTCACCCATTTCCATACTTTGGAGATGGAAGGTTGTTTGCAGAATACATAGGATACTCTCCGTGAGTCGAGCTGAGTTGACCGGACCAATGTCCCAGAGAATAACTCGGAACATAAATCGACTCGAAATATCGCGCAACAGCGCTGTGAACTTCTCTGCCAACCGTTGGCAAATATGAGAGTCCATACACGTCTCCATCGTACGGTCGAACAGCTTATTGGCAAATGACGCTGGGTGGTTGATGCCTTGATCTCTGCGTTCGCTATTGTATCGCAAGTTGTCTAATGACAGCTCAGATGTAATCTCTCGCCGCTTTCTGTAGCTCGATCATTCTCCAGCCACGTGTCTCTGGGTTGTTGACTTCTTCTGGTAACCTCGTGACCCCAATGGCATATGTCACCAGTTGGACCTTGTCCTCCATGCCGGCGGCAAGTTCATTGGTCTTTTTATTTCGGTATACATGGACTTCTTGTGTTCGGCAGGTGATGATAAAAACCGGGATATCACCGGGTTCCAAGAGCCTGGCGTTGAGGATGTCGACGTGTCTAATATCCAAGATTCTCCCGTCCGATTTTAATCCAGCCTTGGTATATTGCTCCATCAGGGCTGAATAAACCTGAAACTGTGCAGCGGAGAGCCATAGCTTTAGAGTTTCCACATCGCCCTTGACATACGCGTCCAAAACCTCCGGCAGGATGTACTCTCGCATATCTCGCAGGAAAGGCTCGAGTTGGAAGGACGGATCTATTTCACGGAATTTCTTGATGACCATGGCTGTCTCGTTTTCCGCGAAGAATCCGGCCACGCGATCGGAGATTGATCGAGCCGTTGAGATAAGAGGGTTTTCTGATTCTTCATAGGTGTTTTTCATGTTAAACAGCCCCTGCATGAGTTTGGAGTTTTCCTTGAAATTAGTCCAGGACTCCTTCCATGCAGCGTCTTTGTGAACGGTGACGTTGGTTCCAGCACTACAACATGTCAGGCAGGCCCACCGCGGCTAGAATGGTAGACTTACTTTGGATCCTCGACCAATGGCTCCGCAGGGATTTTGCCAGAAGCTCGGTCTTTCAGTTCTCGAGCTTCTCTTCTCTTCCGCCTCTCCTCTTTCTCAGTCCATCCTCCATATCTCGAACTGCTCCCGTCGTCAATTGCTTCTGAGACGTCTTTAAATGCTTTCGTTTCTCGGATAGGACGAGAGGCCTTTTCAATGCCACGGCCAGTTGCATTGACACCTTCTCTGATTCCCTGCACGACTTTCGTGTCCCAGGTCCAGGCAGCTCCTTGTCCAATCACACGGCCAGTGGTTTTGAGCGCTTCAGAAGTTCCCTTCGTTGCCGCCTCAGACGCTTCTCTGGCTCTGCGAACAGCGTCCGATTCTGTGAATTGTTGAACAGAGCCAGATAGTTGTTTGGTGGACTCGTTCCATTCTTTGGAGGCTTTGAACTCAGTGCGAAGAGTCTCAGTGAAGACCTGCCACGGTGTTTTGTCTCCGTGTGGCGGAGGAGGTGCGTCTTCTTTTGCATCCTTTCCTTCCTTTTCTTTTTCGCCCCTTTCTTTATCTCCTTCCGACTCTGTTTTTTGGTCTTTCTCCTCACTGGCTTCCTGTTTTGGCTGCTCGTTCCTAGGTGGATCTCGGACCTCTTCTTTGGGTTGAGACTGTTGGTATTGTATTTGGGAGGTGTGTAAGGATCGACGTAATATCTGGTTTGAAGGAATGAGGCGAGGAGAGAAGGGTGCGAATGAAATATGGTGTTGTAGAGATGGTGACTGTCTGTTGGGCAAAGTTATTTGTCTGTAAGCTGTTGTTCGCCCATATCGCGCCGCTCGAGAGGAAGCGGCTGATGTCGTGGTCGTCACATAATGACGAGCGGTATGAATCGGTACACGGCGCGACGCAATCATGCTCTGAAAGATATCGAGAGAAATGCGGCGGAGAAGGGGATCGAGAAGAGACCATGAAAGAAAAGTCAAGTTTGCCCGAGCTGGCTTTGCATCTGCGAGAAATCGGATCACCCTGTCGAAAACTGATTTCGGCTTCGGCTTCGGCATACTTGCTTCTCTCGGTGGACACCGCGGAATAGGTTGATGGAGCACGTGATCACAACGTGTGCGGCCGGGATTGTTCATGTCTTTCTTTGTCAATGACGCCCAAGCCTCGGCGTACTACGAATACCTTCGACAATACACTCGTAACGCCAAGGCTGGTTCTGATTTGTATATATAGATTACGATAGCCTTCTTAGTACTTGGAATGGCAACCTACCTTCTCTCGAACCTTACGCGGTACGATCACACAGCAACTCTTGCGGCAAACATTCATTGCGCCACGTATGGGCAACGGCAGCAGCATCAACTACAATTAAGTTGGCGGCACTGAAAGCTCGACGCCACCGCCTGGGAGGCCATCGATCACATTGTGTGGTACAAAATTGAACCTTCATGGCAGATTTTTGACGACTCGGGCCTCTCTCTGTTAAGCGTGCTTGGGCATTTCAGGAAAGGTCGTTGGCCAGCAGAATCGTTCACTTCACCCCGCGAAATAGTTTGGGAATGTCGGTCAACTTCTTACTGCGAATGTGGCACAATGAACCAGCTGTCGTTGGAAGAACACCAGGGCTGGAAACCAAAATTTTTCAAGGCAAGGTATGCACAGGTGACTGAATGGGGGAGCGACAGCGATAGACATGAATGATGAGGTACCATCATTGATCAGGTTCAGTCTAGAAGGATTACAAAGTCCAGCGATCGTCTACCTGTACTTACGGTTGTTGGCCGACAAGTTGACAGGTCGGGTATAATGAGCCGATACCTTACAGGGATGTGGGATTGTTCACTTCCAGAGACCTTTAGGTGGTGCTGCGACTCTGAGAGTGCCACGTTGAGACTCGAGCAACCGGCCACACATTGGTGAGTGCCATCTCTACAAATCCCCTCCTGTTCATGGCTTTCCATCGAAGGGGCCACCGACTCCCTGGAGCCGTATTTTCTACAGCCTTATCGAGATACTGCGAATTGACCATTCACTTGCGGGGAACGATCCGTATGGCCCGTGCTAGAAGGCCAGTATTTTGGTTCGAGGCTACGTCGTCCTAGTCCATCTCTATTAAAATCTAACTAAAGGCAATATACAACGCCACATAATCTCCATTGAGTCTGAAGAACAGAAAGCTTTCCTGATCCTAGGCACCCATCATTCAAAGTGCAAAGCAATGAGCTAGAAAGCCTTGCCTTGCTAGCCCTTGTATTCAGCACATACCAGATATGTGCACTCATTGTCCCTGTACCCAGCACGAGGACGCAGTACCCGCAGCTTGTCTGGAGTAGTAGGATCATTAGGCCCGAGGCCTTTTGGCATGCCTCCTCGGCTAGGTCACGTGCGTGGTTTCAATCGGCGTGGCTGGGTGGATTATGCAATCAACTTAGACTCAATCAGCCAATTCAAGTTATGGCTCTACCGGTTTGTCCGACCATACCACCATCTCATCTGGAGTCGCGACCATATCGGCAGACGGCATCGGACACGAACAGCTGCGAATGTACCACCGACAAGAGCTCCAACGCAGAGTGCGGGTACTCAGTCATGCTCCTCCAGGAGGTTAGACCGTGCATTGGTAACCTCTGATTCTGATTCCGAGTCTGGTCCCTCCATCAGACCCCTCAAAAACTTTCCGCTGACCTTGTCTGCCATTTGTAAATCATCCAGCTCAGAGCGGTCGCGTCGACTGCGAGCTCAGAGCCCTGCGATCCCCTGCATTTCCCTGTAGTTCCAACTCTCGAACAGTATCAGGGTGGGCGGTGGCTCGCTGTCTACTTTATGCTCTGGCCAGCGTTTAAAGACCTCTTCGCGCACTAGTCTCATGGCGATTCCTCTCAACTCAAGAAATTCGGCTTTACCGATCCTCAGATCTTTGTACCGATGATCTACAAGAAACATCAGGGTTGTGTTGATGAGAAAGCCTGCTTCTCGAATCAGCTCATTCCCAGACGCAAAGCGCGTCAGCACTGACGTGTCCGCAGATGCCTCGACACCGTATGAGCTTTCGAGTAGCCGGAAGCCATCGTGCAAGTGCCGAACCCTAAACAGTATGAAGGCACCTCGAATGGTGATGGCTCTTCGAGTGATAAGAGACGACTTCACCCAGATACCATGCTGGCTACTGTGCTCCAGTCGCTCTTGCACGAGAGTGTGCTGGGCAGCGATCTCTCAGTTCTTGGGGTGAAATGCGTAGCCCACCAACATGGAGCGGTAAATATCCTCTTCAGCTTTGTCGCCCCGCTGCATTACATTCTGCAGGCCAATGGTGGCTGCCTTCTCACGCTCATTAATATCGTCCCAGGATGCTCTAATCCTCAAGCCGTCCCTCCCAGAGAGAATGCTGGGCCCCGCACGTGTCATCTGAAAACTTGTCATGAGGTGATCGAGGACCTCGATATATCGTTCACTAGGATTAGGCTCGAGCCAAATTGACCGGCTATACTGCCGGCTGCTGGGTGGCTCAAGACCTCTGAAAAGAGCGAATTCGTCATGTGTACGAACCAACAGAATCGTATCCTCCTCCAAAGTTCTTAGCCGCGCCTTGCGACATATCTCCGCCTCTTCGGCACTGGTGTCGGTCGATCGAAATCCTACGAGCGCCTTGTATCTGATATCGAGCTTGTCTGCGAGCAAATAACGGGACTGCTGGCGGCGAATGCTCCAAATAGCAATCTCAGGACCGCAGTTGCAAGCCACAGCGCTATTACGCCTGATCGATGCAGCCCTCCTAAAAATTAAAAAAAAACTGTAATACGGCCGCAAGGTTCACGGACTCCGTACAGAGAAATTGGATCGATAAGTCATCAATTGGCATTTTCAGCCATTGTATACATTTAGGAGCGTAGTAGTAAGCGACGGATTCCAAAAGTTCCGACCTAACGTCGTTGCTTTCGGGGCCGAAGTTTTCGACAGAAAATAGACGGCCGCACTGCGTGAAAACCGGATGGATCTTGATGCTGCGGTAGCTACTTCCAGCTGATGATGTTACTGGTTGAGCTTGGACAGGTTCCAACCAGCTTGAGCAGAGGAGCACTTCCTCTACATACTGCTGAATCAGCTCCTTGTTGACAAGTATCGATTTAGTTGCCAGGAAAGATACGAGGACTCCATAAACATCTTCACAACATATGTTGTTGAAAATACTAAGTGTTCAGACAACGTAATTCCCAACACCTCGGAATTTCTGTGGAAGACCTCGCTCACCACCTGTCAGCAGGTTTGCTACAAACTCCAAGCAGTCGTGACCCGCAAGGTCGTCTCGATTAGGGTGTACGCACTGGATCTCGATTATTTCGCACCGCTCCTCGAGAGTTCTTCGTTTCAGAGCTAGAGATTCGATGACCGCTCTTATTGCAACCGGACTACCGCCCTATCTTGCGAGCAAGGGTCCTAGATAAGACATGCTGGGTGAGTCTCCGAGATATTCGTCGAATCCAATGCGCTAGAATACTTCGGAAGCATATTCGACCGCGTGTCGATGAGCTAGCCCGGTCAGTTCGTATTGTTAATAATCTCGGAATCCTAGCCAATCTTCCCGCCATCCGGAGGCAATCACCACAAATATGCGCAAAAACATCAATTGACAGACAAGCTGACGCAGTTCACGGCGTTGGGAATCCCTGTGAGCCGGTGTACCTCCGGTAAATGGGTTGCTTAGAACCTCGATACTGTCAATCACAACAAGATTTGGCCTCTGCGCTGAACGGCCCTGAGCATGCAATCTGGCAAAGGTTTGTCTCAGACAAACGCAACAGTAACCATACTGAGCCGAATTTTTCAACTCAAACCACGTATTTTCTTCCACAAAACCATTTTGCACCCACCAAGTCGACAGGTACTTCATCAGAGCCGTCTTGCCAACGGCCGCCATGCCATGCATTAGGACAATATTGGAATCAAAACTACGTAAGAGCTGAGATTCAATGGCGATGATGGTGTTTTCACGACCCGAAAAATGCTCTCTCTTTCGGTGCGTTGGTTTTGCACGTTGTTCAGGTACTTGGCAATATTGGGATAGGAGGCGTATTCCGAAGGACCAGTGGGCACCGACTCGAGAGTTGAATATAGTTGCACACCTAGGTCTGACCTTGTGTACAAAACAGGAACGACGTGATCGGGAAGCTCAACTGTAGCTTTGAATGCAACGCTTCGCAAGTTGTTTAGCTCAATGGCTTGTCGAGCAATGGCAGTCGCGAGTGAAATTCCTCTTCCACGAGACGCAAACAGAGTGCGATAAAAGAAGATGATGAAAACTCTTGTCGTGGCTCAAGTTAACTTGAAGCTCATACTAAGAGCTGTTTGAACACCCCCTCGTACCAGAGACGCGGCTAAATTGGTATTTGGATCCTCTGTCGTGGTGGCTGAATTGCACGCGTTCAAGAACACCAATGGTACAAGATACTGATTCAAAGTCCCAACAATATCTTCCGTCGACTGTTCAAATGTGTCAGCGTCCTCTGAATCATCTTCACAGAGAAACAATAAGAATGCCTCCCCATTGCGGATGATTCCATGGGTATCAAAGTGCACAACATCAAACAAGGGTCCAATACCACCGGAACTCTACCATTTTTCAGTACCGCCACGGATGCAGTTCTTAAAGGCAGACCATGTACCTGGTCGAACAATCTCTAGGTTTACATGTTGTCTCGCATCTTCCGGGAGGCCTGTGATGATATCCACGATGATTGCCGACCCTAAGCTAGGATCGATGCCATCTTCTCCCTCGGGCCTCGATACCACCATGAGAATGTTGAAGGTTTGATGCAATATTTCTGGGGGTTCTCGATTCCTCGTGGAGATTTCAGAGCTTGAGAGTCGACGCCTTACGTGAATAGGTGGCAATTGTAGAGGGTCGACCCAGTGGCCTTGCAGTGTTTCCCAATGTAGGTCATAAAAGGTTGAGGTGGGCCCGCTATCAAAGACCTCAGCTAAGACAAAGTCATTATCAGGATGTGTGCCCCTTTCGATACGAAGGAAAGTCCAGAACTCGAGTTGCGAGAGCAAGCTATCTCGATAGTCATCAAGTTGCCCCTTAGCCCTGTAGGCTCTGCTGCGATCGTACGGCTGTCTTGTAGAGTATTCTTCTAGCAACCATTTCAAGCCTTCTTCGCCTAACAAAGACTGATCCACAAAGAGGTCAACTACTGGTAGCAGTTAGTGGCTCCGGAACAGGAGATGCTAGTATAACACTGACGTTCCACCCGAGATCTTCGCTCTTCGCAAATGAGCTCGACGAGCCATTTGCCCCGCTCTTAAATTTTGATCTCTCTGACCTGAAGCTCCAAAAGTGGTGGACGCTGTTCTGTGAAGGTACTTCTCAAAGAGCCCACGAGGCTGTGCCAAACTCTGTTACCAGAACAACACCACTGGAAAAGGCGGGAAATGTATCTCGTGAAAACGCTCCATACTGATGCTATGTGAACGAGGCATACTTGCAACATTGTCAGATTGTAATGTAGAGCCTCTGCCTGATGTAAAGAGAAGGCCTCGGATGAAGAAATAGTGAACTGTCCTGTGTTGCCAGGGTGGTCGTAATGAGGGGCAAATACGAGGCGTGATCAACTGCACAAGCCTGTACGAGCTTGGCACAAGGTCAGAAAACTGCGGCCGACAACCTGAGATGCATAAAGAAGGACATTTGAATTTCTCCTTAGTACCGGAAGGTAGCAAACAGTCGAAATGCCAAAAAGGCCAGAGTTTGTGCTTACTGACAGGTTACCAGCCGAGGATGTAGCACCAAGGCTGCTTGGTGGCGTGGTGGCAGACATCTTCCATCCCACTCATTACTACCGACCAGGCGACCCGAAAGACGCTCTCAAAATTGAGCCAAGACGAAGACGAAATAGCTGCGGAAGCTACAAGAAGAGGACTGGAGCTTTTAAGTATACCAACGGAAAAGGAAGAGGAAGAAGAAGAAGAAGAAGAAGAAGAAGAAAATACGACTGCAGCGGACGCTACGCCACTTGATCCACTTCAGACGTAGGTCAAGTAAGAAAGGGAGTCGCCGGTGACGGCTATTTAATTAAGAGGCCCACAGTTCCAATCCACAGAGACTGCACTAGCGCAATAAACTTGCCAAGCATTTGATTAAGCAATTTATGTGGGTAACTTCAACACTTCCGCTTCCGGTTTTCGTCTCCTTCATATCATTGTCAACGCACTCATTTATAGTCTTGTTCAATGGCTCGAGCACTTTCACTAAATCGTTTCAAATGGCGTCCATACGTTGCTTATACGACTTTAAGTTTACGTGACTAAAATAAAGAGTAATCACGATTAAACGCTATAACACTCTGTTCGATAGGAAACTTAACCACTTTTTACTCTAGTCTTCTACTTCGATAAATACTCGACTTAGGTATTCTAGCTATAAGCTTCTAGCTGTAACTTCTGAGGACTTGCTGTACCTTTCGGCAGGTGTTCCTTGTGTTGATCGACTTCATCTTCCGATTGTCATCGTCTCAGGGTCCATCGCAACCACTGTGAACAGGCTGACCTGTTTGGTCCACTGCACTCAATCTCATCCACATGTTCTATGGCAGCTTCGCCGGCTTTTGCATAGCCACATTCAAGAAATGCCTGTTCATGTGACTTTCCCGCTGTTTGAAACGATGGGAATTCCCGTGCAGGAACTCCAGAATCGAAAAATTGGTCAATCTCTTCAAGATTTCGGCCCTTCAACTCTGGCATGCAAAACCAGACCCAGACGGGTCCCAGTGCAGCGAATACTCCCCAAATGTAACCAATCTTTGGTCCGAGATTGGCATATGGTTGAGAAAGCGAGTAAGGAGTCCTAAACATGACGACAAATCCGACAACCACATTCATAGTGGTCGCAAAAGCCATGGTCTTGTCACGAAGCGCAGCCGTTCCAGTCTCCACAGTGGTGATATACGCGGCGGGTCCCAAGATTGCGTGGAGGGCGGCGGCGTAGAGGATAAAAGAGGCCACCATTCCATCTGTTTCGGCTTGAGAACTGTTCTTCTTCGAGCCAAGTCCACAGATGAGGCAGAGAAAGAGAGCCTGGATCCAGTTTCCACAGAATGTTATATCATGGCGACCAAAAGCGTCGAGGTCGAGCATACCAATGATTGCTGTAACCACAGAGACGCCATTGTTAATGGCATCATATGCAAACGCCATGGCACCGCTACCGACTTATTTGTAGAACGTGGGACCGTAAGAGCTGCTGAAGATCACGCCTGTGACTTGTTGTAGAGCCATAGTAACTACAGCAATGCTGGATTTTGTTAGACAGGGAGGTTTAATCACGTGCAGCATGTTTATTTACACTGTGCGTCTTCTGTTTCTCTGGTCGAAAAGCTCCACCCAGCCCCCCTTCTTCATAAATTTTACTATCATCTTCTTGGAGTGCTACAAGCTCAAACTCGCACAGGTCGTTCGATGCATCCTCTTTGTGGCGAAGTGGACGAAGCACCTTCAATGCATCTTCAAATCGATCTTTGCCGACAAGCCATCTCGGTGAATCTGGGGTAGAGGGCAACCCAATCATGATAACAATGGCAGGTACTACTTGGGTGGCAGTAGCAATAATCCAGCCTGAGTTGTCCGTTCTCTTAGCCATGAAATTGTTCATGATTCCAGCCAGCCGTGGGGATATATCAAGGGTTCGTAGGTTATCCCGTGGATACCCAAACGTAGAGCGGAAAGCATACAGCTGAACAGACCTATGTCAATTGCTTCAATCTATCTGCTATACAACTCGGTTGTGAGCATCGAGGTGCTTGGGAAATCCTTGCAGATAGAAAGTTTGCCCGAAGCTAGACGGGGAACGCTCCCCTAGAACTCTACTTGCTGATTTCGCCCTCGGACTCTCACCCCATGGGTTAAATCGTAGTTCCTTTTCCGTCGCTTCGTTGACTACTTGATTACCGACTTATTTTCCACATTCTATGCCTAGCATCTTCTTAAAACTGGCAATATGCACCACATAGAACCAGTGTCATCATTCCTTTCGAAGACAGATGATACTTCAGTGCAAAGTTGAAAACATAGTCCGGATAGTTTGCAGATTCTTGATAGGCAAACATGCGAGCACCACATTTCGAGCTTCTCATTTATGGCTCCACTTCTGGAGCTGTTGCAACCGCTACTCAAAGCGCAAAGTTGGGCCGTAGAGTGGCCCTAGTCTCTCTTTTGAGGAGCACATTGGCTAGTAGAGACTTGATAATTTGTCTCCGTGGAATTGAAGCTAATGGAGGTACTCAATGACAGGTGGCATACAAGTGGAAGGGCTTGGGGTGATAGATATCGATAATTAGGTCGAGTTTAAGAACAGCACTACAGTTGCAGGCCTCGCGCTTGAGTTTCACCGCCGTTTGAGTTGTCACTATGGTCGCCTCGACAAATTGGAGCTGGTTTTCCGAGACGGAATCAAGAATCCAGGAGTCTGGGGCTATGAACATAAGTTGCGGAGAAAATAATCAGCCATTGGCTGGCTGAGTACCCGACTATCCAAATCATATATGTATCTCTAGTTCCACATTGATTGAGAGCAATGTTAACCTTTTCGACAGGGAGACCTGGCGCCAGGGAAACCTGTTATCAGCGAGGGAGACACGGTGCAAGCTATTAGATTGAGCAATGGGCGAGTGATTCATGCTCAGGTGAGCTGTGATGGTCTCGATTCTATTCTTCTGCGAAAATTCTTAGGCTTTTACAGAAGCACCATATGAAGGAGACTTCTTAACCGCTGCAGGCATCAGCACTCAGTATGGTCGGGAGTCTGCTTCAGTATATGGGAGAGCCTGGCCGAAAGTAAGAGAAAACACCACTTACACCAGCTGACAGTAGAAATCGATCCCTATGCCATTCCTCGCGATGATTCATCTGGATTACATATAGAATCTCTACTGAAGCATTTGGGACTCCCTGGAACGGCGACAAACACTTCGCAGCTTTCTCCTATCGCCTCCCTCTCACGGACAACATAGCCAACCAACTTCCAATCTATAAGCCAGAAGGGTATGATCCGACCCACTACGAACTGGATCGACGAAAATATAAGGCCGGAGGCACATTGAACACTCCCAAGGTTAGGCTTCCCGGTGGGAAGACCGATCTACTCGGGTCAGAAGCACCCCTTGCCACCGATTTACTGGGTATGAACGATGACTGGGCTCTCGGATCGCAAGTCGCGCGACAAGAAATTTTGAAAGATACAGCAACTTTCACAAAAGGTCTCTTGTACTTCTTTACCAGCGATGAATCCCTTCCGGGGAGTGCACCGTCTCATGAGAGAACAGAACTCATGTTCTGTGCCAGCTAACAAACTACTAGCTCGCATTTCGGCAGGAGTGGTCTAAGTTTGGGTATTGCCTGGACGAATTCCCAGACAATAACCATTTCCCACGCATGCTATACATTCGCGAAGCTCGAAGACTTGTCCCCGACTACATCATCACCCAACAGACTGCGTCTCTCGAGAATGGTGAGCCTCCTGTCGCTGACCTAATCGCTGTGGCGTACTGGCCAACAGACACCCACTGTGTTCGACGTATTCTGCTAGAAGGAAAAGTCCACAACGAGGGATTCATCTTCAGAGACGACCATAAATGGAGGCCTTTTGGCATCGCATACCGGGCGTTGATACCGAAGGTTAAGGAAGCCGCGAATGTCATAACATCAACGTGCCCATCGTCTTCACATGTTGCCTACGGTAAGTTGTTTTCAAGAAGCCCGCTCTTTGCCATCAACCAACGTGGGATGTATATTCTGACGTACCGTGTTACCACGAACGATGCTCATTGCCAACAGTGATCCAAATGGTTGTGCCGAGGGGTACATTCCCGAAAGATTAGCAGGAGCCCCAGCTCTCCCCACATTCCACATTTGATCATGAACACCCCAAGCGGATGATCTGGGGATACGAAATTTGGGATTTGTCCGCAAGCCTTGGCTCGCCTGCTCTATCTCCAGAATGGTCTGGCATCTTGTCGAGGGGCAACAGCTTCGGCCAAAGAAGCCGTCACCGCCATTACCGTGTCCATCCCGATGGAAGTGCTTGGTGGACTCAATTGTGATTATTGTTATTATGAACTATCTATGAGGTGCGGAGAGGATGAACAGTGCATGCGCACCACAGTGCAAGTGATCGCGCTAAGCTTTGCTGCCTCGGTGCGAGAATGCTTAGCAAGAGGCGTAGTTCATGTACCACACCCCAAACTCCGTCACGCGCCTCGTAACGCGGACCGCACAAGGGTTCTTTAGAGAGCGACTAAAGCTGCAGGTTAAGTAACCTAAGCTTCTTTCAACCTTGCTAGATGAGGATGTTGGGCAATGCCCCACAATAATGCTTGGTCGGTTGATCAATTCGTCCAACGTCGACTGTGGACTGGCCAAACGGCTGTGTTCCGGCCTACAGAAAGCTGCAAATCCTGTCTACATCGTGCTGCGGACTTCGTAGTAACTTGAGCAAACGGTCGGTTGGCCGCTCTGTCCATCACGTTGTCGCCCTGGAGATCTATGAACGGCACTCGGCAGCCTATTGTACGTAATGGAGGCAAGTCAAAGTTTCTCGAGATCCTGCCATGGTCGCTTAGTTCAGTAACTGAGCCAACTAATTCAACTGCTTTTCGATAGCTTACCAAGAGCTGCAAAACTCCCTTTGCGTTCAACCCCACTACTCTACGAGTCTGCGAAACCAGAACTGCCGAGCTGCCCTTGTTGTGATCTCCCAGAGGAGATGAAGGTGTTGGGGTTTTGCTCTGTCGCGCATGGAGGTACCTCTTTCTTAGAGTCTTCCCTGCAAAACCAGGATTCATCCGAGGAGGAAGCTAAACCCCAGAAAGTCTATAAAGCTGGCATAACCCGACCACCAAAACGCAAACCGATGGTGTGACAGGATTGCCCAACATGGCCTCGTTCTCACTGATCTCTCTGTACTTACTTCAACTTGGCTCGGCGGCCTCGATTCCCGCGACGCCAAATGCGATTGTTTGCGCGGCCGACTCACGTTATATCACAAACAATAACAGCGACAGCACTGTCTGGCCATGGCAAACCTACAAGTCTTCCGATGCTCAACCACCGATGCTCCAGACTGACAGGACTGGGGAAGCGTTGTTTGACGGTCTATTGGTCTTCGACGTGGCCCCAGGGGGCCCCGCTACAGCTGCTAAACAAATCTCGCCTTATATAATGACCGATACAGGAGACCTAGTCTGGAGTGGACCTGTAGGACCATCCTACAACGTCCGTGTACAAGAGTACAATGGCGCTCGTGTTTTGACCTACTTCTCTGGTGAAGGTACTGCTGGCGCTTCAGCTGTCGTTGGTCATGGCTATGGTGAGATCGTTGTACGAGATACGAGCTATAATATCATCGCTACAGTTTGCCCGCAGTTTAAGAATTTTACGATGGAAACAGGTGTTACTGCAAAATGTCACTCCGACTTACACGAGTCTTTTATTACATCGCGAAATACTATGCTAGTCTCGGCATACAATACTACTCGTGCCGACTTGACAAGTGTAGGAGGACCTAAAGACGGCTGGATTCTAGACTCTATAGCGGCGGAGGTGAACATTACTACAGGGGAAGTACTTTTCCAGTGGAGTCCACTCGCCCATTTACCGATCAATGGGAGTCATTACCCGCTAGCCGGCCAAGGCGTCAATCAAAGTATACCTTACGATTTCTTCCACATCAACTCGATTCAGCTCGTTGGGGAGAATTACTTGATCAACAGTCGCCATTATTGGACTACTTTCCTCGTTAACCCCCAGGGGAAGATTCTATGGGAGATTAACGGCTTGGACGGAGGTGATTTCGGAGAGTTGCCTGAAGGGTCAGCATTTGTAAGTTGGCAAACGACCTCTACTATAATGTGATCATGCCTAATGCCGCACAGTCGTGGCAACACTTCGCCCGTGTCCAGTCGGTTAACTCGACTCAAGCCGTGATCTCGTGGTTCGGAAACAATAACTACCTCCCTGGACTAGGCCAGGCGAAACCCACCCTGGGCGTGACATTGCGCCTGACTCTGCCACCGGATCCGTCATCACCTCCGGTCCTCATAACCAATTTGACCGACCCTCAACTGCGTGTCGACGCGTGGTCCAAGGATCTTTCCTGCATCTGGACAATGGCAACATGTTCATGGGATATGGCTCAGACCCCGTCATGGTGGAATACGGCCCGCTCGAGAAAGGAGAGACGTTGGCCAAAACTCGCTGGAGCGCGACCTTTGGCTATAGCACCCTAATCTCGAGTTATCGCACCTACAAGCAGGTGTGGCATGCCACTCCTGCAACAAATCCCGACCTTGTCGTCCTCGCAGCCGAGATCAACGACCAACTCCACTGCGCCGGGAATTCTACCTATCGGGGATATGTCAGCTGGAACGGTGCTACCGACGTGACAGCTTGGATGGTGTATGCGGGTGCCACCAACGCCTCATTGAAAGCCCTCGGTCGAGCGATGAAGTCTGGCTTCGAGACCGAGTTTGTCATTCCTAATGATGCCGCGTTTGTGCAAGTGGGCGCGATCGAAAATAATGGCAACAACGTGGTGCGAAAGTCACAGGTCGTGGCTGTCGGTAAATAGATCTGGCGATAGCAATACTGAGGTTCGGAGATCCTCACATCTCTAAGCTCGCTGAAAAGGGGGACGAATAAACATTCGTGAAAATTTCTTAGTCAAGTAGCACTACAACACAAAAATAAGACTCGCACATCTTGAGGAAACTCAACATTAACATGCGGCTGCCCCAGGCGTCTGGCACTAATGTCTCGACTCGTTCAAATGCAAGCTCGTTTTCATGTCAAGCTAGTCCAATGAGATAGTGGGACTACCTCCTTGCAGAACAAAGTCCCATGGTCGACTTCCATGGTGGGATGTTAGGAATTGCTTTAGAAACATCAAGCACCCCACAGTTAAATATTTCTGGCCGCCAGTACACATCATTAGGTTGTCAAGGATTCTCAACATCGTGGTCTTGAATAGCGAGAATCCTGTAGCGGGATGGTTCCCATATGAAAGTAGGTGACTCCTTTCGGGTGACTTTGGACTCTGTTCAGCAACTTCGCTTACAGATACCCCGGCATTGACGCCCTACCACCACCACAATAATATGGGGTGCTGCGCAATTTTTATTGCACGTGCCTAAGTTATGGAATGTCTAAACTCTCTGGTGTGATGCATCTTATTATCAATTGATCATTATACACCCTCGAGTTTACCGGCCTAGCTCTTTTCTGAATCTGTAAAGCACTGGAATCCTGGTATCATGTTGGATTCTATCACTTCCTACTCACGATTGACCTCTCTAAAGCTCGGTATGATCAGGTTGACCTACGGTTGAGGGGTTCAAAACAACGTCGGCGTTCAGAAGCTTCGGGCGGAGAACAGAGTAGGGAACATCTTGGACCGGTGAGAAGGTGTTGACTGCGATGGGGTTATTTGCAGAGGCCTCGACAGAAGGATATGCGGCGGTCTTTGCTGTAATGATGAAATCGTCCTTCAGCAGTCTTCTTCTGTCCCTTAAGTACATTTTCCGAGAGAAGTGATTGTTGTCAGTAAACCCATCTTTGGCATATCCCCATTTACTCCATTCAGCACGAGTTTCACTCGGCATCGAAGGGTCGTTGGCAAAGAAATACAGCTGGCCCTTTTGCCACTCGGCGAGAGAGTGCGTCAGCTCATTTCGAGTATTCCAGTAGCCCTCTGGATAAGCTGCAAAGTTCAGATATGCATCCAGTATTCAACAGGTTAATTTACTAAGGGTTCTGCCAGGGAGGTCAAAGCCAAGACCAAGGGTGGTACTGCCAATTGTATCGGTCTTGAGATTGCGGATGACAGGATCAGGGGTCAAAATTTTACTTCCAGAGGCCACATATCGAGACCAGAGGATATATTCGGAGGCATTGTAGCTGACAGGCTTGCTGAAAGGAACGAGGTTCGACATGACATTTGTCAAGCACATCCTGGAGACATAAGCAGATAGGGTTTTGTCGCTATACGAATCGAGGGTCAGCAGGTTTTGCGTGGGATTGGCATGGAGGACATACCCGGCTCCAAGTTCACCAATTGGCTCAGATTTAACAGTTGGTATCAGGCCACTAGAGGGACGCCCAGGGATCACGTAAGGGTCAACCGGGACTGTAAGTTGGGAAAATGTGGTGTTCACGTGGATTCCGCCGTTGACTTCCCGAAGGTCGCAGAGGACTCTCGTCCTATTGTGGTTGTCACACCTGCAGCAGCCAGAAAGTTCCCTTCAATTGTTGCATCAATGAAAATCTTGGCTGAGAAGTTTTGGCCTTGATTGGTGATGATCGTCCTCAGAGTGCTTCCCTGAGCCGGTCAATCGACAATAACGAACGCTCGGCGATCATAATACAGACCTCTTTTGGATACCGATGCTTCGCTCTGCTTGAGATATGTACTTGGGAAGATTGCAACATTTTCTGCAGCTAGCCAGTCCATTAGAACAAGTTCTGCAAAATGACTCTCAAATCGCCACAGTGTCTTGTTCTTGGTGTGTTTCGCCCAGGCCAGGTCGAAAGCTTCAACTTCCCCTTAATGGATGCTAATGCGACGATAAAGCTCCAAAGCCAATGATCCGATCGCGCGTGACTTCTGTAACTCTGCTTACCTTGGTCAGCGAACGCCGATATCTAGATGCATAGGGGCTAGGTACCTGGGAGTCAACATCAGACGGCTCCAAATCCGTCAACAACAATTCCACCGATATGGGCAGAAGGTTAAATCAGTGCGACTTTTCGATCCAGGCGAGAAAGCTGTATGGCAGCAGCAAAGCCACCAGAGGTTCCACCATAAACGACCACATCAAAACTGTCCGTACTCAGTGGAGACCCCTTGGTGCATGCCAATAGTGTCATGAGACCGCCTAGGAAAGAGCACCAAGCCAACATTTTCGGAATTGCGATAGATGTGAGATGAAACAGAGAGATATGTTCTCCTTCTAAGGGCTTCGTGTGGTCGGACCAGGGATTTGAATCCATTTGCTTCGGATTTGCCTCGACTGGTATTGAGACATTGCTTCACATGCCGACTGAAAGGGACGATATGTGGCTAAGATTTCAGCCGATCAGCTGGAAGAATTTGCATTGATGGTGGCAGACACACCCTCACTGCTCTCGGAATTAGAGTATGAGAGCCGGGGAAGAACAAGACATGAGGTTACACGGAGCACCCTCGCCATATTAATTTGAAGCTGTTCCAAATATCGTGGGGTAAGAGATGTTAGATGCTAACACATGCAGACAGAGCACGCCGATGGTGATCCCTCACCTGGTTCAACCTGGGTGAGCTAGGGGTCCCGGACCGGAGGTTGGGAGGGGGCCACACAGCGGCATCACCGTCGTCCCGATTCGGGGTAAGACGTGTGTAGCTTTCACAACGCTTCAAGGTTTGGGAACACTGTGGGCGCCTCGCCCCGGATTGAAACGTAGGTATACCGCCCTACACGGGACACTGCTACAAAGCTTCTCCAAATCTGTCCCACCAAGTGCCACCTTCGAAGGCCTGGACGCAGATCGCCGACGGGCCTGTATAAGGCACTTATACCAAGCCCCACCGCTCCCTGAAAATGAGCACAGAATTACAAACCATTATGTCATAGCATGGCAAATAGAACTAATGATGATTTAGGGAAGGTCGCCAAGCATTAGGGAAGAAAACTCCTTCACACCTCCCTCCCGCTTCCACTTTTCTTCTCCTTCACATTATTGTCCAGGCACTCATTTATACCCTTGTTGAATGCCTCGAGCACTTTCACTAAAGTGTTTCCAATGGCGTCCACACATTCCCGAGTGACCGAGATCGAACAGTGCCATCCTAACTTGGTGCACCTGCCCTTCTTTGCGGCCTTTTGGCCATGATGAAGTAAGGTTAATGGTGTCCTCAATTCGCTTTTGGCTCACAGCCTTACACTTGATCATGCTTGTCATCCCATACGTGAAATGTCTTTGCACCCTTGATATTCTTCTATCACTGTAAAACAGGAGGGATTGAGGAAACCTCCTGCACCTTTCCTTGTACATTCCAGCTTACTCATGCTGTTCCCGTGAAGGGAAAGACTTGGGTAGACATACATGTGATTCCTCGCGTGATAACCACGATCTCCGGAGCCCACAGGATCTACGAACTGCTATTTATATTGGAGAAATGTTCTCCACGTCACATTATCTTCTCCAGCAAACCTCTCTCCCTGACTACTCTTGTTTAGACGTGATATGTCACACTATATGCTTGGAAGTAAACTGGTACGCTACTTCCTACTACACTACCCCATCTGCTGATGGAGAGGAATTTCCCATCTTCTCGTTGCAAAGCGTAGCCTTGACTAGCATGGAAAATCACGGTGTATTCTTGAGCGTCAGCCTCCTCACGGCCACAGAATTCTCCAAAGATACCTCCAAGATACCGGCCATCCTTTGCGCTGCTGATTTTAAATTTGTTCCCTCCCTCAGCCAAGCTGTGTACAATCCAACGCTGAGCGATGTCCTCGTGCCGGGAGGTCGGTTTAGTTGCCTCAATGTAGCGACCGCCATTATTGCTCAACGACCAGTCGCCGAGTTCGAAAACAATGTACCGCCCCTCAGTCAATGCACCTCGCATGACCTTAAAGCCTTCTTCAGATAATCTTGGTACGTCCTTGGGATCGATTTGGCTGTCCAACGGAACACGAGGTCTTGCGTTGGTGAACTTTGCCAAGCACTCAAAACTGCCATGATAGTATGCTCCCTGAGCATCTATCGTAGGTGCCGGGGCATTTGAGATCTCGGGTATTGAATAGTCTGGATGGTCGAAATCAAATGCATTGACAAGGTTTGACATGTGCTGCCGACGCCAAGGGACCATTTGATTGGTGACAACGTTTTTGCCTTGTGCAGCTAGCCATTCTTCAATGAACAAGATTTGAGAATTATGGTCAGCATGCTCTGTGAAAACAGCACCAGTCTTGGTACGCGTCCACGGGGAAACGATATAGAATGGTACTCGAAATCCAGGTCCGGTATAAGTCTGTCCAAGGACTCTGTCTGGATCGTCAATCCATTCCCCTGCAGTGCCAGGGGGGGAGTGATACGGCACAACATGATCACCCCAACCCCCAGTCTCATCGTAAGAATAAATGAGCACTGATTTGGACCAGCTTGGTCCCTGAGTCACGGCCTCAAGAATCCTCTTTTGCAGCCATGCCCCGTCTCGTGGTGCCATTGGTGCGTGTTCCGAGAGCTCCATTGGACCAACAACGATGGACACGCTAGGAAGTGTGCCGTTGGCTGCACGAGCATAGAACTTGCTAAGTGATTCACCTGCGACGCCCTTAAGATGCAGACTACTGTCGTTCGCTGCTTTTTGAAACTGCCCAAAATACGAGAGGGCATTGTCGTCAAAGTTATCAATGTCTTGGAAAACCGACCACGAAACCCCGGCGTCCTCATAATGCTCAGGGACGGTTTTCCACAGGAGAGGGTAACAATTGATACCTCCATCATCACAGCCTGGAACAAAGTTGTTGTCGATGTACGGGTTCCCTCCTTGATTAGGGGTTTGTGGAGAGCCTGGAGCATTTATGGAGCCCGACATCCAGGCTACACGATTTGGAGCAGTTGAGGCAATAATGGATTCTTGATACATGTCGCCAATGATCCATCCATCGGCAATGTCATATTGAACAGGAATATCCGATCTTTTGAAGAAGCCCCAACTCCATGCTGTGTTGTTGGTCGCCCATTGATTGTTGAGGCCACCATTAAGAGCAGCTTGATTATCACTCCAACCATTATCACCTGCCACCATACACTGTGTCGATTCGGTGCGATTGCCGCCCTCCCAGTTGAGGTAAAATGGCAAAAGATACTCGATATTGTTGTTGGAGGTTTCGTTTAGTTGCCACTCAGTTTGACCTGTCATGTTGAGTTGGGCATTAGGATTGCCTGTCACATTCGTGTCCACATTTTGTTGCCAGACAGTTCTACCATCTGGATTGACCTGGACATTTGGATCAGAGAACCCACGAACACCAGCCATCGTTCCAAAATAATGATCAAAGGCCCTGTTCTCTGATCGGTAATCAGTATATGGGTGCAAGACAATGGGTCTTGGGGGATTACCTTGCATGAACAAGATGACATGATCAATGTCCGCAAGGGAGCCGGAGTTCACTTGCACAATCCTGCCTGCGAATATCGCCAAAGACGTTCTCCAATAGTTCAACGAGACGGCAACCATGACTGACAGATAAGACTTACGCACCTGCGGTGGAGATGGCCACGGACTAAGCAGAGGCTGAGATGTCTTTCTGTATAATAACTCGATCAAGAAGAATTTCACTGAGCGTGGGCATGCTAACCTCTTGACAGAGCGCTATAAGAATGAAATGTGAGAACCATATTTGACGATCCTTTCGTGTCTACCACGGGAGATGCCCATTGGGGTATTCCGGTCGTTGCTATTGGTCATTGTCCTAAAGCGGTGGTTGTCTCCGTGGGCCGAGGCGCCCTTGGGCAATTGAAATATGATAGCAAATGCCGCGCAACCGAGTATTCGGCTCAATTTAGGTCTACATGTGGCATCTTTCCATTCTCTCTGCAATTTTCAAGTAGCTTGCATGCCATGTGTAAGCAATGATGCTAACCCTGTTACCTGTGCACCCGCATCCTGTGTATTGTCGTACTGTCGTGGTTTTACTGAGCATACAGCTGGCCGAACAAAAGTGGGCGCTAAAAAGCCCGATGAAGAGGACGCACAGCATTCATTGACATTCCTAGAAGCTATCATCGCTGAACAGAATGGATTCTGGTAATGAAGAAGGGCTAGCCAGGAGAAATTCCACATTTACCTACAAAGCCTCGGAGGAGTCAACCAGACCAGAATTTCGGCATGAAACCGCTGCCGCACAAGACGAAGACCCATTACTCAGTGACGAGGAGCAGAGCCCAAGGCAGGGCTTTTCTGAGTCAAACAGCCTTCGTATACAGTCTAAGGGGTTGACCGAACTACCAGCTTGGTCAACGATACTCCTGACTTTGTTGATCCTCGGCTTGATCCTGTTTTTCCAAGCTTTCAGTTACTATGCGAACCTCCTCCTCCGCAGTCATGAACATACAACACATGATCAAGCTGTTGGCATGCTAGGGATTCCGTGCCATCCTGGAGAGCATATTCATCGCAAAGCTACGACCTTAAACTACAACTTCACAGTCTCTGCTGCTTTCGAAAGACCAGATGGGGTCAAGAAGCGTGTCTATCTGGTCAATGGTGCTTTTCCAGGGCCAACAATTGAGTGCCGGGCTGGTGATACCTTGTCAATTCATGTTACAAACGCAATCAGTGATGGCGAGGGGATATCTCTGCATTGGCATGGATTAGAGATGAGGAATGCCAACCAGATGGACGGTGCTATTGGCTTCACCCAGGCCCCCATTCCTGTTGGAAGTACATTCACGTACGAGTTTCAAATCGATCAAAACCAGTCCGGTACCTTTTGGTGGCACGCTCACTCACAGGTGCAAAGAGGAGATGGACTATACGGCGGTCTCATCGTGCATCAACCAGTTGTCAATCAAACGGAGCCGCGACCGTCCGAAGCACTTCTTCTGGTGGGGGACTGGTATCACCGCACCGCGCAGGACGTCCTGGCTTGGTTCACAAGTGCAGCCGCAATAGGAAACGAGGTAGGCAGTGATCCAAATTGCTGACCTCTATAGCTGTGGACAATTGACGAGCATGCAGCCTGTGCCAGATTCCATCCTGATCAATGGTAAAGGGATATTTGACTGCTCAATGGCTGTAACAGCACGCCCTGTTGAGTGTAGTTCCGTGGAAAGCAACCACTTCCTCCCAATTTTTGACAGACATGCACGAGAAGGGAATGTTCGACTCAGGATCGTCAATGCAGGGTAAGGATTGATCTGTTACAGTGTGCCCTAACAAGCACAAGATGACCGAAGATAGTTCTCTCGCCGGCTTCACGCTGAAGTTTAGCGGCGCGAAAGTCAAGCCTCTGGCCGCGGACGGAGATAATCCAATTGAAGCCGATGGTCACTACAACTCAGTAGGTGTCATCTATCCAGGGGAACGAGTCGATCTCTTGCTCGAGTGGACAGGTGCATCTATACTACCACCCAAAGTGGAAATCCAACTGGATCCTGAGTAAGAATTACGCAAAGTCTCAAGATTTTTGATATTTACTATCAGTCAACTAGAAACTTTAGACTCCCGAACCCTGCCCTGAGCCCAAATCAAGACTTTGTGCTGTTAAAGCCTGCAATCGTCTCGAGAACAAATCGAGTGATTGCCCGGTCGCTGGACCGCCATCACCTTCGTCTTGAGCAACAAAACGAAGAGCCAGTCCACTTCGACCTCGAGTCGGCGACGGGAATTACCTATGGAAGTGCTGCGTTCGAGCTTCCGGAACCCAGTCAAGAACCTATAGTCGTGTATACCAAAACAGAAAAGCTCGCACGACTTTCTTATCACCCCAAGTCGTTTATCAATCGAACTTCCTGGTCCCCGCAAACAGACTCTGACACCGGCTTGAGACAGCCATTGATCTCCCTCCCTCGTCACCAGTGGGACCGCAACCAACTGGTCCCGTACATCGCTCTTCCGCTGACTGTCGATAGCAACGAGACAATGGCTGGCACTGGCAAGAATGGCACATGCATCGACATCATAATCAACAACCTTGACGATGGTGCTCATCCATTCCATCTTCACGGACATTCCTTTTGGGTGTTGCGTTCCTATCGCGCTGAAGATCGCAGCTGGGGAAGCTTTAATCCATACTCTTCAACACCACCCGACAGCGACCACGCCTCTCACTTTCGCTTGAATACACGAACTCCTATTCGAAAGGATACGATCAGTGTCCCTAGGAGAGGTCATGTAGTCCTCAGATTGTGGACAGACAACCCGGGCATCTGGATGTTACACTGCCATGTACTGGTTCACCAGGCGAGCGGAATGGCCATGGGTCTTCAAATTGGTGGCGATTTGGACAGTACAAGGGGGCTGAGCTTCTAAGTAGAGCCTGACGCTTTTGTTGCTGTAGGAGGATCAAATTAAGAGTTTAGCTACATGAAGTCCTCAAGCCGTGCTCGGCCAGGATAATATCGAAATGTCTTGGCTGGGTACAACAATTTAGGGTTAATGAAGGGCTTTCCCCTCAAGCTTTGGTTCTTGATCACGTATCACAGCTTTGGAAACCAACAGCTCCCTATATTCCAGATATCCGTGACGAAATCAGTCTCCTTCCCGCTATTCAGGAGCCTTTCGCCATGTTGCAGGATGGGAGGGGGCAGCTATAATACTAGTTATGCATGCTTACCGTAATCCGGATCAATCCCGAATTCCCTTTCAACCGTACAGGTGATAGACCTGCCACCTTCGTAAGGACAATATGCCTTCTTCGGCACACTTGGTTTGCTGTTAGTCCGGTCCAATGTGATATGTCGCTGCATCGGGGGAAAAGAACATCATGCGTGAAGCATCATATTCGCGTTGGATTCAATGCCCAGCACCATCTTCAGGGGTGACAGGGCGCCCCCCGCTCCACCTCCCGAAACTGGTTTGAGAATTTCGGAATACAACAGCAGATACTCCTGAGAAGTCGGCAGCTATCGATCTTGTCCGGCGCCACCCGCAAGCAGAAGATGGCACTAGATTATGTGTTTGGAAACATTTCCTAGATGTCGCAAACTGGAGCTTGTCCTAGCAGGAACATGGATTCAGTATCTGCAGTTCGATAGGGTAAATCAGAATTTCTGAAAGAAAACTCGGTTAGTTCTCTACCTACTATACGCCTAGGCACAGGCACAGGCCTAGTCATAGATGTCAAGGGTATTGCTGAAGAATAACTCCCTCGTCCCGGCTGTGCCTTTGAATGCTCGCTCAGATTGGGGAAGATATGACCATGCCAACACGTTGCAGGTCATGCTGTGCGTGGCTCGCTTCGCTCACACATATCCTCGGGTTCTCCATGCTGCTTTGCCTATCCAGGCTCGACTCATTCACATCAACCTGGTCGTTTCACCTGGAATTTAAATTCATCGCCTCGGTCGAGATATACGACTTCGTCGGAGAGGCCCGCCTTGGCCATTTCGGCCTGGAAGTCAGACAGAGGTGATAGCATGACGTCGTAGTCACTTTAGAGCAATGTAAGCATATGTTATTTAGCCGTAACCTGTGAATTGTGGCTTGTCATGAAAGTTTAATTTGAATATCGGAATAAAGTAAAAGTAAGTACGAAGGGAATAACTTTCCCATCAGTGGAGAGAAGCAGCGCGGAACAAAAGTCTGGCCAAGTGAGACTTACTCGTAATGGATTGGCAGCGTCAAATCGGGCTGGATGAGCTTGACCAGCGCCACCCCCTGCTGCGCATCCATGGTCACCATCAAAAGTGGCATATGCGGGCCTGGAATAGTAGTTCCTCCCAGGTGGATTAGCATCAGGTCAACTGGTTTGCCGGCATGAGTGTACAACTCGGAGATTTGAGCCAGCTCGTTCACGTACAGCGTGTCGCCTGAAATATAGATGCGGTATCCACAAGCGAAGTCCGGGGAATTGACGTCGGCGGATACCGTGGCGTCTTGCTTGTTAAAGGACACCACACGCGATGGCGGCGTGTAGCCGAGTTCCAGCATCCAGCCGTTTGTGGGCGGGACGGCGCCCAGGAGTTCATTGGCTTTGGACAACAGGCCGTCGCCGACGTGTTTACCGGGCATGCCCTCAACCCTCAGCCGTGGGCGCATAGACGAGTGGAGGTCGGTCTTGGTCGGGCCGGATATGTCGACGAACATGTTATCCCATTTGTCGAGGGCGTGGATGTTGGTGAAGGAGTCGGGGTCACTTTTTGAAGTGAGGCATGATTTGGCATGTGGCGTGGTGATGATGGGGAGATCCCGGCGCAATGAGGCCTCGACTTCCTTGTCGAAGTGGTCTTCGTGGTAGTGTGATAGCAGGACGAGGTCTATATGTGGCAGGTCATGTAGGTCGACGGCAGGGTTTGTCCTTCGCATCGACGTCACACCTGGACCAAGGTGGACGTGGTCACCCGCGTGTAATAGATTCGGGTCCGTCATCAGTCTCATACCTTCCCATTCGAGGATGGTAGTGGCGGTACCGACGAAAAAGAGGCTCGCATTATCGTCATTGCTATATGAGGATTGCTTGCTTGGGTGAGTCTTACTCGATTTGGGATTGGGTAGTTCGTCTTTGACAGGCTTGGAGGTTGGATGATCTCGTATAGGTGCTTGCTTCTTCAACGGGTCAATCGAGATGCTGGGTTTCGTGGCCATGGTTTTGTGATAGTAATTATATGAGCATGTAGTATTCAACCTAAGCCTTTATCACCGACAGAAGTTGTGTTGTCTCTTAAAGCTGCGTGGTGGAGTAGGCTCCATGTGACTAGTATTGTATAGTCGACGAGTCCATGACGCTGAAATGACGACACCTACGTATTTTGAAGCCACATACCATGGAGATCATTCCCGCAATTCTAGAATATGGAAGTGGGAGTGCAGATGGATCATAGTTCGGCTGTTTTCGTTGAATGTTTCAAGGAGTTTCCCTCCTTTCAGCTAACCTATATATGCCCACGTGGACATCGTATTAATGCTTGTTGTGTTAATATAATCGCTTTGGAGGATTAGCTCGCGTGAGTGAGGTTTGGGGGCCCTGGACCTAATGTAACTGCCATACTCCCCGTTTTCCGAATTCTGGTGCTTCCACCCTTCTTGCCAGCCTCGTGCGGATCAACTTTGCCATGACCGAATCCACCCTTGTTGCTACCATGATAGTTTTGGTCGCCAGTTCCAACTGTAGAGCCGCTGTCATTGGCACGGTGGACTGACCTTACCGAGTACCTTTAGACATCTACTTGTAAATTATTGTCGCTACAAAGAAGAACAGGTGACGGCATATGTGGGAGGACAACTTGTCCGTAAATAATGCCTTTTTCTACCCCTCCGAAATTAACGCCACTGACTATCTGTTACGATAGCCACCGCTAAAAGCAGAGCCTCGGTCTGCGTTCTCTGCTGTGCAAATCCGGTGAGGAACGGTAATCGTAGTCTTGCATCAAGAGGAATGGACTTCCGAGGTTGGCTATGACGCAGTGTGTAACTCGGACTTTCTGTCACCGTCATAATTCTTCATAATGTATAAATGACGTTATTGCGTTTTCAAGACAGCCGCCATTCCCATGCAACCAGATCACAACTTCTCAGAGCCAAACCTACACCGAAATCATTACAGTAAAACTTTCAAGTTATCATGGCATCTAAATCGACAGGCTCCGACACTGGCACCGCTTCCACGACCACCACTCCCGCCAACGCCGGCCTAGGGGAACAGAAGCCCAAGGCCTTTGATGAGAAAGGTGCTATTGGCAAGCAGTTTACCGGTAACGATAGCTTCAACTTCTTAGCCCTGGATTGGGATCAGGACGCTTTCTATTCTAACACAACGTTCAGAGCATGGCGCGATTGGCGGAGCGGCACAAAAACTCGGGGGACCATTCGACAAAGAGGGCGTTGTCGGTAAGCAGTTCACGACTGAAGGGAGCATAGGCGGGAGTGTTGAGACGGCGCTGGGAGGAGAGAAGGGGAGGAGTAATTAACAATGCCAATTCGTGAGTGATATTTGGCTTGTGCAAACGGAAGTCTAGCACACGTGTTGAAGGAGCAGGACGTCTGTGACAGGAAATGCCTTTGAGTGTACGTTCATAAAGAGTGCATGGTTGTTCATATCGAATCATCCTTACTATCTGCTATTACTCTAGTTCGCATATTGCACCTGTACACGGCGTAGTGGGTCAACATGTACTGCTGTTGAATTGTACTCGCAGCTTTTTGTGACCACAACAATCGAGTTTGCGCAACATAATAAACTTGAGTCAATCATTGCCAATGAAGAAGAACAAGGCACCGCACGCCTGCGAGATGTGGTAGCGAGCAACCCGGAGGGACCCCTTCCCCGCTTCACGAAGAGCCCAGTATACGATGCTATACATCAGTACGGTCATTCGATGTTAATGTTTGACAGCTTACGGAACTATTTTCCTTCATGACAAGCTGGCGGTTGCTGGGCTCGGAAAGCCATCTTCAACACAGTAATATTATGGGGCGCCAGTTTCAGCTCCTAAATAATAAGGGACCATACTCCATAGAATGATAGGAATATTTAATGTTTTCTGATCAATATTATCTGCACAACCTTCTGCCGCAAGGGATGTGGTCTTTCATCGCATGGGTGGCGAGGGTGACGGTAGTCTTCCAGATTCTAACCGTAGGTCTAGTCATCTGCCACTGAAATCAGGCTGCCGCACGAAATGATCATCAGGAGGTAACTCCAGGTCTTCAAGGTCTTCAAGGTCTCCACTGGAAGCATTCGATTCTATAGGCTTTAGAGATCTGCGTCTTGAAGCCGCCAGTATGAGAAAATATAAGGCAGCCAGTCCGATAATCAGGCTGAGGAAGATGATAACAATTACTTCGTTCTTCTTTGCCATTGGATGTCAAAGGACCAACGCTGTCCTTGTTTGTGAGATGAAGTATAAGGTCTGTGGAGACTTCTTCCGTGAAGGGGGGATTTGCCGTTGAAACTTCTAAGTCGGTGCGATGAACTGGGATGAGCCAATTTTCATTGTGAGCGAAGACTCTAGTCGGAGATTCGCTTGCTTTTGTAGTAAATGATCTGATCGCACAACCCTCGTCATATAGCGAACAAGGAAAGACAATCAGGCGATAAAGATGTGCGGGTCGTTTATATTTCAGGTTGAACTATCCTCAGAGATGAACGTACTTGCTTGGATTGAATACGGGTCAAAGCGGACAGAGAAAGGAAGACCCGTGGCTGCTCATATTGGAGAGCTCGAGAGTATAGACTTGTGATACAAGGAGTATGGCATGTTGGAGGGACAACAAGACGTAGCTAGGGTTTACGTGTTCCTTCTGCTACGCCAGACCGTTGTTGCGGCCGAATGCATTGTGTGCTACATTGAGCGCGGGTAAGTCGAAGATGGCGGGACCTTGGATAACGAATTTGAAAGCAGTTGCCAACGGTCACGAGTGAAGAAACCAGGGCGGACGAAGCAGCTGATATGAGTAACACCACGGCTTGAGTACAGAGAGAGCGCTCGCGTGTCAGTGAAATCAGATATTGTCCACCGTCCCGTGTTCGCAAGAGGGTTCAGGGTTCCGGGTTCCAACTTGGTAGAACTCAGAACTTAGCACTCCATAGGGCGGCATCGCCCTTGGGCCAAAGGGGGTTAAGCGTGAAGAAGCCATTCGATTGCTTGGCAGACCGCATGTGGCTAGACGCCCAGAGTGCCGTTAATTAGTTCAACCCATATTACTCTCGCTAGCATCTTTTGCAAGCTTGAAAATTATCAATGCTGAAAATTATCAATAGCCTCCCCAAATCCTTCTACGTCCGTCGGGTCTATTTCCTTCGCACCTTGTGCACATATGTCTGGATATTGGGAGGGGTGATAGCTCGACGACTCGACACATGATGACGGATCCCGCCAATGCGCCACGACCACTACTAACTTCATAAAGAAATCAACTCTCCAAAGCTTCTGATAGGGAACCCATTTCCCTATGTATGCCCGGCACTTTCGAAGCTTCATCAATCCTTTTTTCCCATGATCGATGTTGTCAAAAGTATGCCAAAAGTAACATCAGGAGGTTTCAAAAAGCACAACTACTGTGCGGGCCTTTTGCTCGATGATTGTTCACTCCTTCCGTACGGTCCCTCTTGACCGTGGTGGACGTGCGTGCGTCTCTGAGGAGAAACATTTGGAAATTAATGCTACGGTGCATGGGGTTGCTGAAAACTCCGCCTGGAACTCCGTGAACCACGAATTCTAGAGGCGTGGGATACATTTTTTATCATCTGGCTTGTTGCTGCCTCTTACGGGGCTCTATCTGATTCTAATCTTCTTGTTGTAGATCTGTGCGCTCGTAAAAGCGGGATGCACTTCGCATCCTGCACTTGCTGCGCGCTCTTCTGTTGCTGCCCTCTATTTGTGTGGCCAAGGGGCCGGCCGAGCTTACTTCGACGTGCACATTCTTCCTCGCTCGGATGTAGCTCAGAGCCGGTAATAAGCACGTCAGCGGCATATTTTCACAGCCTCTGCAGCTTGTTGTCGCCAGTAATCCGAGGGCTCTGACAGGATAATGTTGAACACACTTTCTCCAGCAATGGTCGGTCTTTCATCGAGTTTGTTTGGTTTGGGGCAGTGGTGCCTCTTCCAGCATTCGGAGGGCTCTTATGCAGCAACAACAACGCTCAAGGCGATTTTCAACCACCTGTAGCCTCGCGGTAAATCGAGATCGCCCTATTGCTCCCCACTGTAACAAACCGTTCAGCCTTCTGCCTGTCCACAGCCGACTCGCCTTTAGGTAACCACTTGACACACCAGAGGCCCTTGTCACTCTCACTATGAGTGGCAACACAGGCTCTCCGGTCAATCTCCCATACTTTGACTTTTCCATCAAGGCTTCCGCTAAGGAGATACTGGCCAGTGAAACTCCAATCGAGACTTGTAATCCATGCTGCGTGACCGCTGAGATTGGCCACTTGCTCACCAGAACTGGGGTCATAGAGAGAAATGATGCGAGCATCGCCTGCCGCTGCAAGGAGCTTCGAGGCCGGTGAGAACTTGACGTCGCGGACGGACTTTATGAGGCCTGGAAGGGAATGGAGCAGGCGGTTTGTGGCGGTCGAGAAGAGATAGATATTGCCAGATTCGTGGCCGCTGGCTATGAAGCGACCATCTGATGACTGTAGGCATCGGCTCAGTCTTGGAAACCCAGGCTATATCGTTGGATCGAGGCAGGGGAGACTCACTAAATCGACACACATCCCAAAGCTTCCTTTTGTCTCGTACTCTCTGAACTTCTCGTTGACATTGGCAAGGTCCCAGACGTTGACACGTCCATCATAAGTCGTGGCTGCCAGATATTGCCCATCAATTGACAAGGCCACAGCCCAGATTTCACCAGCTTTCGCTCTCTTTGCACCATCTTTGATGTTGATCTCGGACTCAAGCTTCCAGACACCCTCTTCGTATCTCCAGACCTTGGCCTCTCCACTAAAACCTGCACTCACGGCTCTATTGCCATCTTTACTCGTAATGATATGGTGAACCCCGACTTTGTGCGCATCCTTGAGTACCTGGGCTATGGGGAAGTCGCTATCCGTGGTGGAGTGGATTTTGATGGAGGCATCGCCGGACCCGGTAATTATCTGGGTCGAGGTCACGGCAAGGGAGAAAATGTCCGTGCCATGCGCTGTTTGGATGTCTGGGTTAGGAATTGAAGGTGGGATGTGGATGGAGAATGAGGGACATACCCTCGTCGATTGTGTGCTGAGCGAGGTACTGCTTTGACTGGTGATGGTATTAGCTTTCATCGGGCTCTGCATGGAGTTGGAGTCTTCCTACTGACCATTTTCTCGTCCTCAAGAGTGCTCTACACGGATTGGAAGTTGGTGTTGGGAGTTTTAGCAACCGTGAAAGAAGTTCAAATGACGTAGTTCTACATTGTTTACAATATTTAATCTGAAAGCCACCACCAAACTCAAGCTATACCTTGCAAGTAGCTAACTGAACATGTGTAGGTTCGTACATACGTCCCTGCACATCTCGTTTCCTTCTGTCCGTAGTTCATCTCTTCCCAAGATCTCGTCTTTTGTGCGAGAGATATATTGTGTGGTATCTTTTGTTGTTACAGTCGATTCCGTGACAGGGAATTTCTCCTGCCTAAAACTCGGTACTTATTCCGATCCGGTTGTACTCAAAATACTTATCAACATAAAAGCTGTTGGTGGCTGCAATGGTTGCAAAGTCTGCGGACGCACACTGCTGCAAGTTGGCTCATCCTTCCCGGTAATCGATAGTCGGGCCATCCAAGGGTGTATCAAATCTGGCGACCTACGAAATGAAGCCTGGTCGTTACCTTCTCCTTGTGGCTCTCTCCTAGAGCTAATTACAAACTCTCCCATGTGTGCCTGGGCCAGTAAAAGCTGACCATCATCCAGATTGATTCTCATTGTTGCCGGGCGTGTCGAAGCGAATCGTGCGGCGGACGAAACATAAGACCTTCTCCATTGACAGCCAAGTCTTGAGGACGTAGAACGTCGATTCGTGGCAGATGCGGGTACGTTTCGCACAGCTGGTGCCAGGGCAAAGAGAACAGCCTCAGCGATGGAGACCAAATCCGTCAAGTATTTTTGAAGCTTTGGCGTATTGCTGAAGTCTGTTAGTGTATGCACTTCAACCGAGGCTGGTCGACTAACTGTTAAGGCAATGAGGACACAAGACGTGGGCTCTTTTTGGTTTTCCGCAGCCAGGGCAGTTGACGACAGCAGTAACATCCTTGAGAGCTTTGCCTGCCAGTTGCCGATGTCGCTTCTTCATGTGAGATGTTTTCTTCTTAGGAACCGCGTTCAGAATTCCTTCCCATATATCTGACAGAAAGGTAGGAATGTTTATCGAGATGGCGGTTGTGAGTAAAGGGCGTGTGAACAAGGAGAAAAAGGTTTGACTCGCTGGAGGGAGGGCCATCCGCCGCAGCAAGATCTGAGACGGCGATGCCATAACTGAAGGGAATTTGATGGCGACCAACTGCTATGGGTTTGGGAGATGTTGCTGGAGAGGTTCGCGGGAGTTTCAATTATGCCCTTAGTTCTTACATTCTTCCCAACCCAAATTGAGCTGCGATCAAGCCTGTAGAAGTGGGCCTTGTGATTCGGAGTAAAGCTACGGTGAAGTTTCACGAGCAGTAGTGCAATCAAGATTCAAGTCACGTGGGAGCCTCCTCCCCCTGTCCTTGGCTCTGGAAATGGAAAATAGGGGATCAGCCACCAATTGCATGGCTCCTGCAGCGGACCAGCACTGCGCCCATTCCCTATTCCTCAATCCTGTCCACTCTGGGGAAATTTGTCGTGGTCGCAACTTCTTCCTCAAGTCCCTGGCAACTCTCTGTCACTACACATACTCATCCCTCTGATCTCAGTGTTGTCTTCAGCGCAAGTCATCTTTTTGTTTTTGCTATCAAATTTGTCTCACCATGACCATGGCAATGCCACAGGGGAACGCCGTCTTCCCACGAAGCCACGTTGGTTTTGACAGCATCACTCAACAAATCGAGAAGAAACTCCTCAAGAGAGGTTTTCAGTTCAATGTCATTTGCGTCGGTCGGTTGCATCAATGAGGATAATTCTTTACCCAGGACTGATCGCTTTTAGGCCAAACTGGACTGGGCAAGTCGACCCTGATCAACACCATCTTCGCATCACACCTGATCGATTCCAAGGGCCGTCTGCGGCCTGATGAACCCACTCGTTCGACCACTGAGATTCAGACAGTTTCACATAGTGAGTGACTGCCCTTCTCATCCCTGATAGAGGGCATCCAGCTGACCAGCACCTAGTTATTGAGGAAAATGGTGTGCGACTAAGATTGAACATCGTTGACACACCTGGCTACGGCGACTTGGTCAATAACGATCGATGGTGAGCTCGATCATGGTGCTACTACGGCTTGCATCGCTAACTTTCTTTCAGCTGGGACCCCATCGTGAAATACATCAAAGATCAGCACTCTGCGTACCTCCGTAAAGAACTCACCGCCCAGCGCGAACGGTACATCCAAGACACACGTATCCACTGCTGTCTGTTCTTCATTCAGCCGTCCGGTCACGCTCTCAAGCCTATCGACATTGTCGTTCTCAAGAAACTCTCCGACGTCGTAAATGTCGTCCCTGTTATTGCGAAAGCTGACTCCCTGACCCTCGAGGAACGTCGTGCTTTCAAGGAGCGCATTAAGGAGGAATTCGCTTTCCACAACCTGAAGATGTATCCATACGACAACGAAGAGCTAGACGATGAGGAGCGGGCTACAAACAGCACTATCAAGGACATCATCCCATTTGCAGTTGTAGGAAGCGAGAAGACTATCATTGTTAATGGCAAGCAAGTTCGTGGCCGCCAAAACAAATGGGGTGTGATCAATGTCGAGGACGAAAACCACTCCGAATTTGTCTATCTCAGGAACTTCCTCACCCGAACACATCTTCAGGATCTCATTGAAACCACCAGCCAGATCCACTACGAGACATTCCGTGCCAAGCAATTGTTGGCCCTGAAGGAAAGCAGTGCAGCAAGCGGCATGGCTGGAAGCAGGCCTATCAGCCCATCCGCAGACAGGGAGCTGAGCCGAGGTTCGCAACGCATGACCATGAATGGGTACTAGGTGGAGTGCTTCAATCGACAGGATGGAATGGATTTCGTGGAGTGATTGTTGAGCAAGAGCGTTTGCCATCTTCTTGTCACTGTCACCTTTAAGAACTTTTTTTCCCTAATGCAGCGTCTATGGAGAGCGGGTCTTTTCGTTTTTCAACATGGGTATAATAATTCTCATGACCTTTCATCCGCCCTGTTCCCTTTTTTCGTTCCGTAAGAACGCCAGCATAGTCATATATGCACACACAGAGTGAACCCTTTCTTTATCAATTGCCGTAAGATATGTCTTTCATCACCCACTTGTCGAGTTCCTTGAATGTAGTCTCAAGATCATCGTTGACAATCACCTTGTCGTTCTTGCCCTCGGTTCTGCAATATTCCATCTCATTTTTGGCTTGGGCTAATCGTTTCTGGATTGAGTCCTCACTTGTGTCGCCTCTTCCACGTAGCCTCTGCTCCAATACTTCAATGCTGGGGGGCTGGATGAAGCATATTCTTGGGTTCAGCCGGCTCTTTTTAAGTTGCTTCACTCCTTCCATCTCGATATCGAAGATGCATATTCTCTTTCCCTCAGCAGTGGTACCGTCGATACTTTTCCCCTTTCCCTCCGCAACATCTTTCACCGACTGTCTGGATGACCCATAATGGTTCCCACCGAACTTGGCATGCTCCTCGAATGCGTCTTCAGCGACCATCTTCTCGAAGGTCTCGAGGGACGTGAAATGATAGTGGACCCCGTCTTCTTCACCTGGCCGTGGTTTTCGGGTAGTGTGGGACACACTGAAGCCGAACAGGGTAGGATGCAGGGCGAAGAGTCTCTTGATAAGTGTTGATTTTCCAGTGCCTGAGGGCCCCGAAAATACAATGGGTCGAGCTTCTCCAACGGATTCTGCAGTGGGAGCCATTTTTAGCTTGGAGGTCAGCTGTCTTGTAGCGAACGGAGCAATCTTTGCTGCATGAAAGGGAAATGGGGTGATAAGGCGACGGGACTTCAGGTTCATAAGCACTCCGTACTTCGAAACGCCTCATGTCGAGTTGCGAGGAACTGCATATAAAGAAAGCGCGGTGGACAAGTGGCCAATAGCAAGCTCCCGATTGCGGGCGACTTGGTGTCTTGGCAGGGGCATAGTGACGGTGCTTAATTTCTACATCACTCTATTGACAACTGCAAAAGACATCTATTCATCTTAGATGCTTTCCAAACCCAAACAATACCATCGGCAATCATGGACGTGGCCGGCGACGACACTGCCGTCGTCGAGACGGCATCGCATGATCAGATAGATGAGCCACCAAAAGATGCTGCCTTTGCTGACACAGCAGCAACCATTGCTCCAGTGGCTGCCAAAGCTCGGCCTCGCGGGAGACACGCGAAAGACCCTCTGGCCCAGTCCATCTGCTTCAAATGCCAACGTGTCGAAGATATGGAACTTAAACTACGTGAGTATCTAGACAATCCTACTGGGGAGGCTGAGCACACCACGCTTGAGTTTTCCTTCCCTGTCACTGCAGCCTTCATGGTGCCTAAAAGAGAGCCGATTGGTCCACAAACTCCCGATAGAAGGGTCCCATACATCTACAGTGCTTTCAACAAGACGGCTGTCAGTGTCATCGACGCCTTGCATACTATCAAGGACCCAAAGGAACAGGCATTGACTCAGAGATCAATTTCCAAGACCCTGGTTGAATCAGTTCAGCGTGCGGACGGAAACAAATACAGCTTTCACAATCATTGGCTCAGTCGTGAGGACCAAGCAAGCAGATTTTCGTACTATTGCAATGACTCCATGTTGAACAAAGGGAGAGCCGCCAATGAGGGAGCTGCCAAAGTTCGTAACTCTGTCAAGATCAGGAAGCCAGTCTACGAATGCCAGGGTCTTCTGTCTGTAAAATTCTCGGTCACCAAGATGAGCCTTGAACTACATTACAAGCATGTGCAGTTGCACCCGACCTACGAAGAACGAGCCCCGCCTCCACGGAGGGACAGTAAAAGGCGAAAGCTTCTGGAAATTTTTCACCCCGAGCTTCTACCAACGCTGGCACGGGAGAAGAGTTCCAAGAAAAAATCAACACCGACTCCCAAAGATCGGCCTATCCGGAAACGCCGGGCAACAGAGCCCTTGCCTCAGCCAGGAACAGATACCGTCCCAGACTCTGGTCGAGAAAACAGTCTGCAGCCCCTCTTTGACTTCCTTGGTTCTACTAATGGACTTCAACAAGAGCCTTCTGACGGTATCGTCGCGGATCAGCCAGAAAATGGAGGCTCTACTCCAGCTTCAGGAACCGAAGCGGAAGCAGATGCAGACAATGCTACTGGAGAGCCTCCCGAGAAAGACCCACCGACGCCGCGTTTCCCAGGCATGATGTCTGGGTTTATGACTGGAGAATCCATAACTTGGGGTCCAAGGCCAAACATGAAGAAAGTTCGACAGGCGGAACGTCAGAAGGGACGTGCAATACGAATTTCAGCTCCTGCTCTTGCTGCTACTGTCACATCTGGTTCGACGACTGAGCATAGCTCTACCGTCTCTCTAGCCACACCCGCACTGAATCCGACCTCGGAACTTGAGGCGTTAAGAGCTCAACTCCAAGCGGCGGAGCAGAAGATCCGTGATATGGAAGCCGAGAAGGCAAGGACGAATGCTCCCGTCAGCTGGAATCCACCTCCCCAGCCTGGCTATCCGCATCCCTACTATCCACCACCATCACAACATTACCCTTATCCTCCACCCACTTGGCACTATCCGGCGCCACATGGTCCCTCGCCACCCATCTATCCTCCTGGTCCTCAACATTCTGGTTCTCAAAAATCGCCTGTTCAATCCGCACCGACATACGGCTTCGTTAGTGGTCCTGCAGCACCTCCAAACAACCAACCTCTCAATTCAGCGCCCCAGAATAGCCAACCACCCGGTCCAGACCCAAGATTCAAACCTTACCGCCCCTTGTACCAACTTTCTGTTCCCAAATTTACATCTCCTGTAGAAGTGGAGGCTGCAGCTCGAGAATCTACCTCATCGGACTAAAAGAAGCGTTCTTCTTTTCAGCATTTGAGATTGCTTGCGCGAGCGACCCATAGCAAGTTCAACACCCTGGTGATAAACTGAGCATGTGTGGGGTTTGTTACTGGCTTTGAGAATGTTCATCAGAGCACGTGGGCGCGGCCTTGAAGAACGATGTCAGCCATTTCAGGATTGCTTCTCGACATGTATTCATTTCTATGGTTTTTTAGTTACTAGTTGAGGATGCCAGAACCTAGAGCTAGGGAGTCCTTTCATCATCTTAAGTATATCTATGGCTTACATGAGAGCTCGGTTCTATTTACAAACTCTCATATCCTATCCTGTCTCTAACGATGAGTATGGTGAATTGTTCAAACAGAAATATCATATTCGCTTTGATCCCCGTCAGGACCGGCCATCAGAAGGATCCTTTCCTTAGAGACATCGTCAAGCCGCAAGACCATTTCGTTGGATCTCCACAACCTCGACCAAAGGTCGCTTCTCCTCTGTCAGGGCAGCCTCGCTCGGATGGAATTGAGGTGTGCTGCTAATAAATTTCGCCCCTGTCACAATCTTTCTCCTCTTAGACTTAGACGAGAAGGGGCTCAGGTCAGTGTTTGAGATATAGTAAGCCCAATCAGCGGACGGGTCCATCTCAGTTTGGCTGTAGCCACTGCCCATCCACGAGAAGCGATTGCCATTGTAACGCACTTCGAAATCATCATGGCGAGGATGTTCCATCACTTCCATGAAATGCAAGGAACTGCCGGGCCATAGCGCCATGACTCGGCCTTCTTTCGTGCCGTTCTTGTACCATGATCGGCAGTCCTCTGTCCATACGGTGCACTGCATGTACTTGTCAACATGCTCGACGAAATCGTCCACCGCTTCCTTCTTGGGTGAGAAGCTGCGGATGTTCTCCGTCTGCCACCGATCAACCCAGTGCAACATATAATCTGCCTGCACTTCTACATTGCAGTGTCAGTGTTTCGACACCAGACTATTGGCAAACAAATTATGGGAAGTTCGTCACATACCGATGACCCGCAATACCGGGCCATTGCCAATGGGACAGTTAGGCCCCAGGAAGAACATGTAGTTCGGTATATCCGCTGCAGCGGTGCCGAGATAGCTCCTTGGATCGTCTGCCCACTCATTCTGAAGATTGACTCTGTGGCCTTGTACTGGAAAGCGAGGTTTAAACGACACATCGAATCCCGTAGCACAGATCAAAACGTCCAAAGGATGTTCGACACCAGTATTATCCACACATCCGCCCTTAGTGATCCGCTTGATCTCACCGAGGACGACTTCTACATTGTCCTTTCGCAGCGTTTCGAGGTAGTTGATACCCGGAGTAAGGCGGCGGCAACCAGGGCTCCATTTGGGGATCAGTTTCGATGCCAGGTCCTGATTGTTGAGCTTTGTTCGCATCTGAGCCGTTAGATCGTCCTTGATCTCATTTTGGGTGTCGGAGTCTTTGATGAATGTACCAAACAAGCAATTCATGCTCGTCTCGTTCATCTTGCGGTACTCTAGCAATTCGTTCGGGTTGTTCTTGAAGTTATTCATTTCGGTTTCCGTGTATCTATGCTGGTCTAAGCCATGGACAGGTGAGATCCAGCTTGTGCCTCTTATGAATGTCACCAGTTTCTCTACTTTGGGCTGGATGGCTGGCAATATTTGAATACCAGATGATCTGCAGAATGAAAGTAGTCAGCAATGAAGCCTCGAGAGACCCTCTTCACAAGGTATTGATGACTTTACCCATTCCCAATCAGTCCGACAGTCTTTCCATCAAGAGCGACATCAGGATTCCAGTTTGCACTATGAAGCAACGGTCCCTTAAATTCATGCAAGCCCGGCACATCAGGCCACCGCCAATTATTCAAAATCCCAGTGGCATTGATGAGAATGTCGCACTGGTCATGATATTTGGATCCCTCCCTGCCATTGCTGACTTCGACGTCCCAGGCTTCGCCGTTCCAACTGGCACCAACAACCTGTTGCTGCAGCTGGATGTACTTTTTCAATTCATGTTTTTCTGCGAAATTCTGAAAGTACTGGAATAATTCCTCAGAAGAGACATAAACAGCACTGGCATTGACAGACGGCTCCCAAGAGAAAGTGTAATTGTGGGCCGGAACGTCACAGGCACATCTGCATGGGTAAACCGTTAGTCAAGACACATACTGAACTTTTCACACTCTCGGCTCTGCAATACAGAAGCAAGTGGAAGTCGGCAAATACATACCCGGGATACCTGTTCTCCCACCATGTCCCCGAAATCGCCGGGTTTTTCTCATAAATGGTCAACTTGAAGTTCTGAAACGATCGTTGTAACTTGTACGCAAAGCACAGCCCCGACGCACCAGCACCGATGCAGATAATTCGAACCTGACGTTCTGCGAATAGCGGCTTCCCTGGTGCTGGATGTCGTGAGTGCCGTTGTTTGTCTCTTTGGAGCGTCTCCGTTGCCTGTGTCAACAATGGTACGGAAATGGCGCTTGCCATGTCTTATTGACTACTTCCTTTATGGTTGTTGCCTTCAAGTTTCCTATCTGTTGTATCTATATTTATGAGAATCGAGTTGAAGGAAGAATTAGTCTTCTTTCGACAGCAGTGACAGCTCGGCTAGATGGACATTAACAATGAGATCTTCCGCTGGCACCTTGACTCTTGATCAGGGTTTAAAGCATTCAACCAAGGGACACGATCTTGCAACTCGCACAAATGACCCCACCAAAGGCGAAGTGAATGCCATGACTTTTCTCGGGCGTCCCACCTAGAATCTTTATGCTTGGAAGGAAAGGTTGTTGCAACCCAGCATCGGTGTCGCTAGCCAGTACCGCGTAAATCGGGTCTGTGAAGGAAAACAAGCTGATTGCGGTCCCTTTTTGGGGCTATTACATAGCAGGCAATATGAAATAGGCTCTGATCATGCGGGCGTCGTATATTATGTCCGTCATTTACATCTACCAGGAGATAATTGGAGACTCTCTTCCCATCGAGGTACCGCAGGGTTGCGGAGAAGTGGCACCATGTGAAGATACGAGTAAGTTTGCGGTACCACTAGATCCACTAGCGGTCCAGTTTCCCACTGTCAACTTCTGTTTCAATGCGGAGTACAGCATGCAATTCCCGGGTTCGGCTGTTTGATATCAATGTTCCTTGTAGGGATTTCCGCTCGTTGGGAGGTTTTCAGTAGATTTACGGGTAAGGGTAGGGACGCTCTCAGTTAATCGGGTTCTCGGCAAGGCGAACTACTGTAGATATACTCATCGCAAACATACGCGAATCTTGAAGAGGTACTCACCAAGCAGAGCCTAGAGAGTTGCATTCGAGTCTAAACCAGAGTTAATCACAACTTTCTCTAGGATCGTGGCTGTCACATTTGCAGAAGTGTTCAGAACTCTCTCCCGGAACCAAGGCTTTCAATTGAAGAACGAAATGATGCCGACCCTGCAAAACAAGGTCGATGTACACTCGCACTATGTGCCAGACAGCTACCGACAAGTCTGTCTTGAGCATGGGCATGCTCACCCAGACGGCATGCCAGGGTTTCCGACATGGTCGGAAGACGAGCATCTGGCAATGATGGACTCACTCGATATCAACAAGGCATATCTCAGCATCACTTCGCCAGGAACCCATCTGATCCAAGGGAACGACGACCTGGCTCGAAGAGTCACTAGAGATTGTAACATCGCGGCAGCAAATTTCAAGAGACGTTGTCCAGATCGCATTGGATTCTTTGCTTCAACCCCCCTGCCCGACGTAGCTGGAACTCTGGAGGAAATCAAAGCCGCGTTTGACAAAAAGGATCTAAATGCTGATGGCGTCGTTGTAGAGACGAACCATCATGGGACATATCTGGGAGACGAAAAATTTGAACCAGTGATGCGGGCTCTTAATGAGAAGAAGGCAGTGGTATTCATTCATCCGACGACACCCTGCTTGGGCACCGGACAAGCAGCCACGCCGCTCCCTCATATACCTCAGCCCATGCTGGAATTCTTCTTCGAAACGGCGCGGGCAGTTGCTAATCTGTTCATTTCTGGGACCGTTAACAGATATCCAAACATCACATATATTATTTCACACTGCGGTGGTGCTCTCCCACCAATGATCCGACGCATCTGCGGAGCAAGTCCGATCATAGGTCTCGGGGATGACTTGTCCGTTGAGAAGGTTCACGCGAAATTGAACCAGCAATTTTACTTCGACACAGCGGGCTGGCCGTTTCCAGAACAGATGCAGGGTCTATTACAACATGTCACCCCAGAGCGCATCCTGTATGGCACTGACTTTCCATGGACACCGATTAGTGTGGTGACGCAGTCATCAAAGGACCATGATGAGTTCGTGCCCCAGGCCTTTCCGAACCAGCAAGATCGTGATAAACTTTGCTTTGAGAATGCACAGAGGTTGTTGCCATCTAGCTAGGTAAATGAGAGTTCTCGAGAGATATTGTCCAGACAAACAATTGAAACGTATAATAGAGTTACAGCATTAATCCATGTTCAAAGAAGTCAGCCGATATTAACAGAGTGTGACTCAGATCGACACTTTGGAAGGAAGTCGTCTTAACCCGTACGCTGGTTGTGATTTGGGAGTTTTAGCTACAAGTGATCCTTCGCCACCGAATCGGCTATTTGCTCAAGAGCAACATGGCCACGCGCAGCCTCACTGACACTTTCAAGAGTTCACTCTCTATGTTTCTTCCTCAGGCCAAGCCCATGGGCAGCCTATCTCCAGTGACGCCTGCGGCCAGGTCTTTGGTTCTGTTGAATTTATGACACGCTTCTGATTAGGGAAAGGTTTCAATCAAAAGTCTTTTTTATTCTGAGCCGAACGAAGTCCATGGGTAGAGCTGCTGTCGCATTTCTTCCGCTATCCCCCAGTGAGTGGACATGGCCCGCAACATGGCTTGAAACTGGTAGAGCGAGTGCCGCAAGTTCAATCTCCGGAAGCCTGGCTGTAAGCGCTGGGTCTCGATGAATTGCCGACACTTTGACGCAATTGGTCCGTCATTGTGGCCTTCTACACCTGCTATTATAGCCCAGTCCAGCTCTTGCGGTACCACAACGTCAGCTTGTCCCGCTCGGCAATATGCACAATATATGGTCGCCGCAGAAAATACCGCTGGAGGCATACTCGGTGCCGTAACACGTCCTACGGGCAACCGCTCTGCCAGATCTTGGATTCCGATTGCAAATAGCAATGCCCTTCGTCCTTTCGGGCTCTGTGTCCATCTGTTAGGACCCTCTGAGGGTATGGTAGGTTTTTGCCCCACGCCGAAAATGTTCTGCGGTGGCCCTTCGCCGCCGAGCTGTCTGAAGAGCTTGACGGTATCAACTATCAAGTCGAGACATAGTGCCTTCCACCGAATATGAAGCTCCAGATTTCCAATGGGCACCTCGGGATTTCCCAAGCACTTGGTCTTGATAGTGAGGAGCGCCTGAACGAGTACAGCTTCCGAAACTACGCCCACGGCATCCCCTCCTGCAAAGTTTCTTTCCAGAATCACTGCCTGGATTCCTTCGAGGAGCACTGAGATGGTGAACGGGTAGATAGAAGCCCCTCGTGGTAATTTGGATTCGAAGATCATATTGTAGATCTCTCTCAGCGGATGTGGATCTTTCCATTGTTGCCGCATTTTCGTACTCCATTCGTCAACCGTGGTCGCATGGAATACCGCGTGCGGCGCTGCCGACTGCAATGGGTTTAGTACGTGCTTCCCAATCGGCAGACCTCCATGGTAACGCGCTAACTGAGCGTCGATTATGAAGAGTGCAAATATGCTCCTTCTCTTGGTCTCCAGATCCGCCCACTGCTTCCAGCTCTCTAGCCTCTCCTGGATTGGAGCAGCATCTTCTGGCAGATCTTCCAGCGTGAATTCCTCAAGTTCGAACATTCCTAGCCTTCGTGCCCACGAGAACGGCCAACCATGCACAGTTTGGGATATATGTCTTAACTTGTGTGACTGTTGTTGCGTCAGCGAGAGTCCCAAATTCAAAAGCGTGATTCTCCCGATTAAACACCTTTGATAGCATCGCGTATACTTGTCCAAGTATGGAACATGTCACAATTTGCCAACTAGAAGTATGATCGGTCAAGCTTTGCTCGTAAACATAGTTCCACTGAGTATGCAGTTGTCAGCAGAGCCGCGGGAATTAGATGACAAAAAGGAACGACATACTCTAGTCGAAGCGGCAACATAGGCAATTTCCCATAGAAGTTCACCCTAAAGACCACTGATCAATATTAATAGTGGGACTAGGAACTTGGCTTACCTTTGAAACGGCGTCGGCAGTTCCAATGAAGAGAGAGCCGATTGCCGCCATACTGAGTAAAACGAAAGGAGTCGTACCTTTCATTGTCCATGTTGCTTCATGAAGTACTGGGAAACAGGTATTGAAGCGTGAGAAAAATAGTGAGAGGCATACGTCAAAGAACGAGCTCGTAATTCCCTTCTGTCGTATCTCCAGCTTGTAACTCGCCGACTAATATTGAATTGTTAGTGAACAGTCGAGCAAAACAAATGATATCTTCTGCTGTTGCTTACTGCATCAAGAATCAAGTTATTCAACTGTAAAAGGGCTTGCGGACTGGCTTCTTCTATTTGTCTTGATTGGACATCACGAACAGTACTTTTCGCAATGTCGTGGCCCGTAAGTCTGGAATGTTGTGCTCCAGGGTCAGGAGTGTCCGGAATCGACCAAGCCACTGGGGATGGGAATAGATATTGCAGGATATCTTCCGACTCATCGAAAGTCAGAGGATGGCTCTGATCCAGACTGGAAAATTGGAACGGGGCTTGGTTCAGATCGTTGTCCAACTGCGTTCCGTTCACGACTCCTGAGATATCCAGATTGTCATGATGTGATTCTTGTTGCCAGTTCCACATCTCGGCCGCTTGTGAAACACTCGGAGCCGAAGCTTCTGGAACACCTTGCTCATCTAGTTGGGCACTTGATTTTGAGAATCTTTGAAGGTCTGAATCTTTATGTGTTTTTTTGTGGCGGTTTAGAGTGTCAACTCTAGCAAAAGTCCTCCGACAAATTTCACATGAAAACGGCCTGTCTCCGGTATCTGGAAGAAGAGTGAGTGAGACCTTGAAGGGCTGGTGACAAGGGTGCATGGACGTACGCGTTCTTTCATGCCGCTTCGGAAGGTTAGGTCATCATATCGCAAGCAGACTAATGATGGTGTCAACTCACAAGCAAGTGTTCGTATTTCGAAGAAAACTTATGGCAGTATCTACAATGCTGCCTCCTCCGGCCCACCTCGCTTGCTACTTGTCCTCTCAGGGTCTCCATTCCCTCACCAATAGAAATCATATAAGTCGAACAAAATTCCAGAAGCCTGTAGAACCCTTGCCGATGTGCATCTTCAAAGAGTAATTTCAGGCTTTCCTGAAGTCACAAAAGATAATCTGGTGCTTGCAAAGCATGTCATTACGTTGAAAATGAGCTTACCACGGTCAGAATGGGTCTAAGCATTCCGAGAGCAGTAAAGCGTTGAAATGCTGTGGCCGTGGAGCCGATTTTACCCCGCAAAGACAGACCGCGATCACCAACCAATTCCCAACCGAGGCGAGGCTGACAATCCCATTTCACGTGACGCCGTCCATCTGAACTTCATAGCACAGAAACTGTGTGGTTAACGAGGCTGGCATTCGTTTTCTGTGGATTTCAAAGCGCTTACAATAGCTCTCTGCGCCAGCTCATGGAGGGAACCTACATTGTACCAACCGACTAGATTCCTCAGCAAATACTACCAGTCCAAAGAATTTTAGTCTATTAGCAATATGGCAAAGCTAGGTCACTGCGATCGAGTCTTCACTATATATATGTGACCCAGTTAATAACTAGCAACAGAAAAATGCGGTGCAGCCCCCTATCAAGCGACTAAACACCATCAGGCAACCTCATCTCCACCAGAGTGACTCATCATGCATGCTTTGGAGGTGTGGACCTAAAAATTGTCGTCTAATATGCCCATCGGTTAATATGGCTTTGCTTGCACTATTATCGTCACCTATCTTACTTCTTGGTTTGTCGAAATTGGGTCTGCGGGGCGGCTGTTGCCGTAATGTCCCCTGGTGTGGAGAATCAAATATTGCGGTACCCTAATATCCGACACTCCACTCTCCCTGGGGCGTAGTCGGATGGATATATTGGACAATTTTTGCTTTACGAGCATTTGGCATTCTCACCTTATTTCAGCCTATGTGTGACTCCCTGTGCTGAGGCGGCGCGGGCTACCCGTTAAGTCCGTGATTATCACAAAACCACACGTGTACCCAATCTAGGTGGGATATAATTGCAAGGTGCAACAAAGACATGTTATTGATGTCCCAAACCTGTACCGAGTCTACACGCTCACGTCTGAGAATACTCAGGTAAATCACACCAATATCTGCGTATACACAAATTCAGCATCCGTCATCCAGTCAACTATGTCTGGTCCTCATCTAAGAACTGCCATTGTCACAGGGGCGACATCAGGCATAGGACTTGCTCTGACACAGCATCTCCTCTCGCTCGAGAACCCAGCTTGGCGAGTGGTCATGGTTGCGCGAGGCACGCCTGCCAAAAAGCTCAACCTCGATCCGGACCGAACATTATTCATCTCAACAGATGTTTCATGCTGGCATGAACTGTCGAACGCATTCAAGCAAGCCTGGAACTGGAATGGAATGAACACGAACCGCATTGACTTCATCGCTGTAAATGCGGGGACTGACGACAAGGAATCCATCTACGATGCCATGGATCTGGATGCCGAGCCTGGTATCCCCAACTTGAAATGCATTGAGGTGAACCTCCTCAGTGTGGTGTACGCACTCAAGCTGTTCATCTACTATGCACGGAAATCTCGGATGGTGTCGAAAATGTCGGACTTTAATCCGAAGTTTGTGATCACTGGAAGCTGTGTTGGGCAGTATCCATTCCCCGTGGCACCACAGTATTGTGCCTCAAAACATGGAGTGGTGGGGCTGACTCGCTCGGTTGGCAGGAGGCTACTGAAGCATGACAATATTGCTGTCAATTGCATCATGCCTGGCTTCGTACCTACCTCACTTGCGCCTCCTAAGTTGCTAGAGTTGTGGCCCAAGAAACATGCTACTTCAATCGCAGCAGTGGTCAGGGCGTTTATGGAGCTGATCAATGACAGTGGGAAAGTCGAGCAAGACGGAAGATCTGATGGCGCAAATGGGTCGATCAAAACTGCGCAGACTGTCGAAGTGGTAAACGACACGCTCTTTTATCGCTCTGAGGTTGCTAGTCCAAATGAGAGTATGGAGTTCTTGAGAGCACAGGCTGAGGAAGGTGGCTTATGGATGAGCATGTTTTGAGAAACCTCAGGCACACTTTGACTGCTTAAGAGAAATCAATTCGAGGTCGTCATGTCTCATCGTAGGCACTATTACGATTCTCTCGTTGAATCGTTGGGAAAGCAGCATATCTGAAAACTGGCAGGAGGACGTAGAATCTTCGAATTAAACTAGCTGTTTCTCGAAAATGCCGCTCATATACTTCTTACTCTGCTGTTACTGCCTGTCTCCGAGTATAAGTCACTACCGCCCGAACGCGTGGCAGCTCCGGATGTCAATACGTCTGTAGACGTTTGACAAGCCCAAAACAAGGCACAAAAACCCTCCCCCCCTCCCAGGTATTCAGCCCCTTCTCCATTAATTTTGGCAACAACTTCCCTCCCTCAGGAGCTATCACCCTCACTCGAGCCATCATCGAAGGCTTGTCCCTGAGCGATTTTCTTGTTTTGACCTGTCGATGTTTTCCAGGCTGGCCTACCAGAGAAGAAATATTCGTCGATTTGCTCCAATGTAAGACGAGCGGTTTCGGGCACGAAGAAGAAGGTTAGCAAGAGCATTAAAAAAGTTACACCTGGACGTTGTGAGCATAGACCTTATTCGAGAGGAAAGGGAATGTACCCGAATAGAAATATCCAACACTGAGACCCATATTACCGTAGTCTACGCTGAGCATGTAAGGGCCGTAGAAACTGCCAGCGAAGCCAAATATCTGATACACCAGCGTTGTCGACGCTTGACCATATGTTCGCAGTCTGAGGCTGTGTTGCTCAGGTGCGGCAATCCAGACGCTGGTGCCAATGAACATCCCAAACAAGTATGCCCAGAGAAAGAGGAACACGAGCAGCACGACCTTTGCTGTACGGCTGTCTTGACCTAGGACGGATCCCACAATCGCGATGGTGAGCATGCATATGGTCATGCAAAAATAACCCCAGAGCATTGAAAAGCGTCGTCCACCGTATTCAATGACAAACGGGCCAGGTAGAGATCCTGCCATCGTACAGCTAGCTAGGATGAAGTTGTTGAGGAAAGGGCTTTTAATACCAACTTTGGCGAGAAAGATTGCTCCGTAAGGCCCGACAAACTTAGAGCCAGTGATAGCGAGTCCCACCATGATAAGTCCACTAATAAGGGTACGTCGAAAGTTACCACCCTGGTAAATCTCTGTCCATCTCGAGTTCGCATGGTCTAATTTCTCCATTTCGATATGGCGTTGCACATCTTGTACTTGAAGAAGGACGTCCGGATGCTCGGGTGTTTTGGCATAATACCATGCAAATGATCTTTTTGCGGCATCATCTCGGCCCTTAGTCAAGAGCCAGCGAGGGGACTCTGGGAATAGGAGCACACCGAATCCGAGGATGCATGAAAGCGGAATTTGACAGATAATGGGAATCTGCCATGCGAGATTACTGGTATAGCTCGAAGAGCCTAAGCAAACTGCAGCTGCGACCGCATTTCCTGTACCGAGTCCAATATTGTAGAGAGCGAGCAGCATCCCTCTCTTGCTTGCGACAACGCACTCCGCGCCGTATACCGGAGCGGCAGCAATAATATGCCCAAGCCCCACGCCGCCGATACACTTACAGACAAGGTAGGCAGTGAAGTTTCCAGCAGTACCCAGCATTCCTCCCGCGCCGATGGCTGCGAAAGCTGCTCCTACTTGAATCGTTCCGCGGCGCCCGAGGCGATTCCCAACAGGACCAGAAATCGCGCCACCAAGGGCAATGAAAAGCAATGTCAAGGAGACTAGACCTTGTTGTAGGGCGGTTTGTGAGCATACTACGGCAGTGATTCCTGTCTGAGGGTCTGTTTTTGGAGCGCATTTCCCAAAAGATTTCCGATACGGCTGCATTTGAAGGACAGTGCCACCGAATCCTGGGTATTCGTTAGAAAACCAGACACTAAGGTCCTGAATGTGTGGATAACATTGACTTACCCAGGTCGAAGTTAAAAATCCAACCTGCAAGAGCAATAAACGACGCAAACAAGATCATTTGTTTTGTCGCCTTCTGCTGCGAGTGGACGTGCATGGGAGAAGACTCCTCGGAGGTATTCTCCTTTGTCTCCACGGTAGGATTCATATCCCCTTTCGCCATGACCATTGTTTCAATGCTACCCCCTTCAGTATAGGTTCCGATTTGAGGGTATAACTTTGCAATGTGCTGTCGTCTTGTGAGATAGATTTGGAGAACACGAATGTTGTGCGAGCCGAGCTACCTATTTGTAGTCGTTGCCCTTCAAGCGGTTGGCTGGCTACATAAGTACGGTAATCACGTTGTTAGTGCCAGGAAGCAGGAGCCCCAGGCTTCCATCCCCAGATTCTGTCCTGTTACCTATCCAACCCCGAGGGGAAAGAAGCCATCAATGTAAACTCAGAGCTGGGCCAATACTTTCTACCAAACGGGCGGGTCAGAGTACCACAATTGCGGTACCAACTAGCTCCAAATAGACCAGTAGCCAGGTTTTCAAGTCTCAAGCGAGAGGTTATTATCGGGTCATGGTCGGGAGCAAGCGTACTTTCCTGAACGCGAATCGAGAAAGAAGATTCACAGGTTCTTCATCGTTGCCAACAAGTGGGGAAAGAGCCCGTCCCTTATCTTGTCAATCTACAGTAGGTCATGATTTCCAAGTTGGCTCGTGGCGTCGAGTGGTTCGTTTCCTGTAGCTATGATCACACGAAACGCAGCTCTGAGCCCGCAGGACAGATCAAGGTTTCAAGGAAGCGGACTCGTGCAGTCCTTCGTAATTGATGCCTTCAGCTTTAAAAACCCGTGCAACCTAGACAAGGCCGGGAGGGTTGAGGCTGAAGTGTGGAGCATCTGAGCTGAGTACTTCACCGTATATGCCAAGGATGCCCAGCTTTCTACAATCTGGAGAAACTTGGAAAGTTTGCTCAGTTTGTTTCTAAAACGGCCGATGTCTAGAAAAAAAAGTAGAATCGCTGTTTTGCACGTGTTTTCTTAGGCCTCAAATCAGCACAAGATTTCGCATCACAACATGTCAAAGATGGCCGGGACAAAACGTACGATAGATGCCGGGGAGAAAGGACCTAGTAAAAAGACCAAATTCGCAGGAGACAGAGAAAGGACGAGCAAGGTCAAAGAACGTTACCGCCCTGAGGTATTCAAGTCGAATAAACCTGAACCATATCTTAGTGGTAAGTTGCAAGGATCATGCCTCAGAGTCGGTACGATATGCTAATGAGTTATACAGACACGACAGGCTCATCGTCCCGTGAAGCCCACGTAAAGCAGAAACAGCTTGCTTCCGAACGAAAAGCAGCCAAACCTAACGCGGACTCGATCTATCGGTCGAAGAAGATATGGGAACGCCTGCGCCGCAAGTCCCACGTCCCTAAAGATGAGCGGGACCAACTTGTCAAAGAGTTGTTTGATATCATTACCGGAAGAGTTACAGAGTTTGTTTTCAAACATGATTCCGTTCGTGTCATTCAATGTGCATTGAAATATGCGACCCCCGCACAGAAGAAACAGATTGCCATGGAGTTGAAAGGACATTATAGAGAACTGGCTGAATCAAAATACGCTAAGTTTCTGATTGCGAAGATGGTAACGGAAGATGATGAGGTTCGGGACGCTGTCGTGGAAGAGTTCTACGGTCATGTCAAACGGCTCATCAGACATCCTGAGGCGAGCTGGATCGTGGATGATATCTATCGCACAATAGCGAGCAAACAGCAAAGAGCTATTATGCTGCGCGAATGGTATGGGCCCGAATTTGTTGTCTTTGCCAAAGCCAACAGCAAGTCGGACAATGTCCCCACCGATCTATCGGAGATTCTGGCTCAGAACCCAGAGAAGAGGAGTCCGATCATGCAGCATTTGAAGGAAATGACCAATCAACTTGTTCAAAAGAAGACGACAGGATTCACAATTCTTCACGATGCGCTGCTGCAATATTTCCTCAACTGTAAACCAGACAGTCCAGAGATTACAGAGTTTCTTGAGATGCTACGTGATGACGAGGAGGGTGACTGCTACAAGAACCTAGCCTTCACCAAGTCAGGTTCCCGCCTTGTCTGCCTCTCGCTCGCCTATGGCAGTTCTAAAGACAGACGCACAATCCTCAAGTTCTTCAAGACTCACATGAAATTACTGGCTTCTGACCCATATGGTCACAATGTGCTCCTGACAGCATATGACACCATTGATGATACTGTCATGACCGCAAAGGCCATATTTTCAGAACTCCTGGGCAAGGACCTTGATGGCGAAGCGAGAGATCAAGATTTGCTGTCTCAGACAGAACATCTTACAGCTCGGATTCCACTTCTATATCTCATGTCACCGGAGGCACCAAAGTGGCTCGTGACAGATGACACTACGGCAATCATCAAAGAAGTTCGTGGGATTCGCACCATGACCTCGAAAAAGGATCCGGAAACGCGACGCCATGAACTGTTGAAATCCATCTCACAATCATTACTCGACTTGATCGCCTCTCAATCCAGCTTGCTCGCAAAGTCCAGTTTTGGATGCCAATTCGTTACCGAAGTGCTCCTCGGTGCAATTGGCGATGCCCAGCCAGCCTTGTCGGCTCTTGCGAAAATAGGGAGCGACGAGAGTGAGGAAAGTGCTCAAGTCCTGAGCACCCCGGCCGTTGGCAGAATGCTCAAAGCCCTTGTCCAGGGTGGCCGGTTCGACAAGGAGACCAAATCCATTGTCAAGGTGGAGCCACCACTCAAATTTCACGGACTGTTGTACGAGCAGATCAATACCCGGGGAGAAGAGGAGATTGCGAACTGGGCGAACGGGCCGAATTCGTTTGTCGTCGTGGCAATGTTAGAAGCCAACGACTTTGAGGAGAAACAAGAACTGTTAAAGAAGTTGACACAGAAGAAAGATGCCTTGGATCCGCAGGTTGCGGGGGCAAGAATCATTTTGAAAAGCATCCTCGGCGGGACTGAGGCACAAACCGAAAGCAAGGATCAGGGGAAGGTCAAGGCGAAGGCTAAGCATGCTACAGCACCAGAAGATGTCGAAAAAGAAGAGAAAAAGTTGAAGAAAAAGACGAAGAGTGGTACTGAGGAACAAGTTGCGAAAGAGGAGAAATTAATCAAGGAGACCGCTGGTGAGAAGAAGTCGAAAAAGACCAAGAAGTGAACGTTGAGCATGAATTCGGCATTGTTGATGAGGACTTCGTAAGTCCATTAGCTACAGTAGGTGTATAGACGAAGCAAATCGGTATGGACAACAAGTATTGGATAAATGACAGGGACAGGGGGGGCCGCACAAGGACCTACAGGCGATTGTTCCGCCCATGCTCTCCCAGAATGCGAATGATGGTCCCCTCCTGGGGTACCCGCCTTCATGCTGAATTCCGCAAGTATTCAAGTGCGATGCCATGAAAATCAAACTGAAGGAGTGGGCCATCAATACCGGCCTTTCCGTCTAACCCATGATGTTTGCAGGGCCAAGCCGCAGATGACGTGGAAAAGAGATCGACTTTGCACCACTTTCGATGAGCATCGATTTCGACCTCGTGCGGGTGGATAGCGGACTCCTTACCCCTCGTGTGTAGCGGTTAGAGCGGCGAGAGAATGACGATAGAACAGCCAGGGCCTGCTTTCAGAGGGCTGTACCTATCTCGAGATTTTCTTGAACGACGGCGAGGAATACCTTACGCGGTTCTCGTGCGAGCCATACTCGTCCCTAGTCGAGGATTGGTTTATCCCGTTGGGTGTAACTTGGGAATGCCTTTTACTTTTCTTCACCATTATCTTCTTGTCCTTAGTTTCACTGTGTCGATTTACTCTTCGTGAAATCAAATTATTACGACATTTGTAACTCTTTTGAGTCCATAGATATGTCTCTTCCTTGACTGCGAGAACATTCTAATGACATTCTTGCTCGTGACGAACTTCGCACGTGACCTTTTATGTCGTCCACGCCCTTTCACTTACCCAGCAACGCAGCCCCTGAAATTGCAAATGCCAACCTTTCATGTGCGCATAAATTCAGACTGTGAGCTTGTCTTCCTATGAATTTTCCGCTGGTGTCTTCCGAAGCTTGCAACGGAAGCACAGCCAGCAATTCTCCATGAGAGACATAGCATGCCTGAACAAAGTTGCAATGCTTGACTTGTCCATAAAGGGAAGGGTGTGAACGAAGACTCCCAGAACGAAGAACGCGAAGACCAAGGCGGCAAAATATTCAGTCGCAGAACTGGCGCAAACTGTACGCTCATTGAGTAAATTGAGCAGGCCATTGCTACGTGGGAGATATACAGCCAAAGGATCATTGTCAAGCTCATCAGCTACAGGTCATTAATGAACGGCAAGGCGCAGTGAAGGTACCAACAAGATGAGACTTTGATGATCTCGACTCCATAGATCTTGCATGCCCCCATTCACGCACGACTTGCGAGAGAAGATGCCGAAAACCCTGATCAAGTATTCATTCGGTGGGATCCCATATCGCTTCCTCGGCATTCAAATTGCCGTATGTGAGGGGACCCGCGTTCATACCACCCTCAAATTCCCGGTTTTTATGGTTCTCAGCCACAACTTCCCTATGCAGATTGCCCCCATAGTAGTAACTATCAACAAAGCTGCATGACACCATCGATGTTTGTGAACAAGTGTACAATTAGGTCAGCGCCTCGGCAGACCTACCTGAACCAGTTGCGAAGTGCCAAGATTGGAGGGTCCTCAAGTACATACAATACGCTTTAAAGCGGCAGCCGGCACATTTCCCCCCTCGGTGGGTACGGCCTACACAGTACTGGCGAGTAGATACTCCGTACCGTACATACTCGGACACGTAAGTTCGTAACTTGTAAGACGTCAGGGTCCAATGACTTGGGGCCCAAGGCACCCCTACAGACGAGTGGGGCGTGAGGCACGGCTGCACGGGATACCAGGTGCCAGCAACGCGGGGCTTTCCTTTAGTGGCTTCGCGATCAACAATTGAAACCCAAGCACGAGGGGGATTCCGTCATTCTCCAATTTCGATTTGTGCGCTTCCAGGCACGACTCACAGTTCACAACTCGAGTCCTCGTCCTGCGTACAGGTGGGCAGGCAGCGGCCCCTAGTGGCCCATCCAACCTAATACCAGTTCAGTCCTCCATCCTGCGCATGTGCCGGTTCTCTTTTAACCCACGATTTATCGGTCTACCAACTTCTCGTCCACAGCCCTTCCTCTCTCCTCGAAATAGACCCTCGTCGCTGCAAAAGTCCTATCCATATCCCCGCCTTTGATCCCACTCTGATTATTCCGTTCCTCCTTGCTAGGTCATGCAGCAATATGGGTTCAATTAAGACTGACGCAAACGGGCATGGCTCGCAACTCCTCCATATCGATGCCTCCTTCGACAACAAGAACTCGGAGGAATCTGCTATTGAACTGGTCTACAGAATCCAACCCAAATGGCGAACTGCTCCTGGTAAACTAGAAGTCGTCAAGTTCACCGACGGCATCACAAACACTGTAAGGCCCCTCCACTGCTACCTATCCACGGCGAGGCACGTGCTCACGCGGTATCTGCTCTTCCAGTTGCTCAAAGTCGGCAAACATCTACCTGGCCTGTCCCAGGATGAGATCGATCGAGACTCTGTTCTGCTGCGTGCCTATGGCAACAACACTGAAATCTTGATCGATCGAGATAGAGAAGCTATGTCGCATGCGCTATGTGCTGAGCGTGGTCTTGCTCCCCCATTGCTAGCAAGGTTCAATAATGGCCTGTTGTATAGGTACATCATTGGAAAAGTGTGTACTCCTCAAGACTTGATCAGGGAACCTGTGTGGCGTGCTGTGGCTACTCGCCTGGGTGAGTGGCATGCCCGACTTCCCGTGGACTCGGTTGCAGAAAGCAGCAATGCTACCAATGGGCATGCCGTGAATGGTACATCTCCCAATTCTCCCTTGAACTCGAGGTCACCTGTTCCAAACTGCTGGTCCGTCATGCAGAAGTGGGTTGGCGCTTTGCCAGATGAGACACCCAAGAAGAAAGCCAGGAAAGAACTTCTTCAGGGAGAACTCGACCGATCCTTCAAAGACCTTGACAATGAGCGGGGTCCAGGCGTCAAGGGGTTTGTCTTTGGACACTGTGACCTGTTAAGTGCCAATGTCATCATGTTACCCTCCGAGTCCGTCGATAGTAAGGCGGATAACACTCTGAAAGTCTCCTTCATCGATTACGAATATGCCACACCATGCCCTGCCACTTTCGATATTGCCAATCATTTCGCCGAATGGGGTGGCTATGACTGTGATTACGGTATGCTACCAACAAAGTCTATCCGTCGTCAATTCCTCAAAGACTACCTCGACTCGTACAAAGCCCACAGCGACACACCCTTCCCTGGTAATATGCTCCAGGTCTTGATGGAAGAAATCGATCGATGGCGCGGTATGCCTGGTTTATACTGGGGCATCTGGGCTTTGATCCAAGCAACCATTTCCCAGATCGATTTTGATTATGCCTCCTACGCAGAAGTACGACTAGGTGAATACTTTGCTTGGAGAGCAGAAGAAAGCGGCAGCCGAGCCCAGGAAGGCGCTGAGCTTCCACTTCGTGAGCGAAGGTGGGCAGAAGAATAATGACTTGATCATTTCATTAGTAGTTGCCATTGTCGGTGTGCGCCAGTGCTACGGTCAACAGGACGCATACAATCCTAGAGTTGTAATGCCATCTTCGCGTTCGTGCGGCTGAAGGCACAACATGACGCGTGCCCAGGCTGCTCGCGCCACAGGACTTATGGCCCTTTTAAGACGCAACTCACGTTACAGCCAAGCACAAACTACCTATGGAGGATGCCTAACATCGCCAAAAGTGTCGAGTCATGGAGACTGCCAGGCCAAGCAAGGATGCAAGAAGAGCCACCTAAGAGCCACCGAGAGCCAAGATGCAAGCTGCTTATGTAATAAATAAGCACTTGTCAGTCTCTATATCAATACATTGAACATCATATTTATTGTGCTGCATCTCAACTTCTCGATCCGCTCATAAGGCTCGGATACATACATGGGTGAGCAACATGAGACTTCGTCCAATCATAGCTACACACTCTTTATAAAGACACTAACCAGCCGACTTTCGCCAGCCTATCAACTAATAGGACCAGGCTATATATGGCGAGAACAGGCGAATCGCCAGAAGAGACACCAGATTTGCTCGTGGATTAGGCTCAATGTCATCCCAAATACAACGCAATGTTTTCATCACGTCCAGCAATCCAGAGCAATTCAAGAGCAAATGCAATCGGCGCACAGTCTCTTCAGTTGCATCTAAGATCTGCCGTCCGACCTCAAAGAGAATAGTGCTTGGTCGGACACTCTATCGCCCTTTCCTACAACGTGGTGAAGAACGATCGTCGCCCAAAAGTGAAGGCCAGGACGAGAGCAAAAGTTCCTCTTCCCAGAATGATACCGAGCAAGCGCTTACCCGTGTCATGGAAACCACATTCTTAAAGGGGTCACCTTTGGGAAGTCCGTTGGTCGATCCTTTTGAAAGTTATCCCGTCCAAATTCGACCATATGTCCCCTTCCTTGTGGATTATTGTAGGCCTTGCCACCATCATGCCTTCCAATGTACCCCTGGGACGAACTCCAGGCCGTTCTGTTCTCAATCGTCCCGTCCGATGCATATAGCTGCCTTACTGACTGCTCGCTGAATTGTAGTCATCCGATTCCTGACACCGAGGTTTAGTCCTGCCCTTGCAACCGAGACTAGCAGATATCTGGTGTGGTTCAATGTTTCCATGCACAATCCTGAGCTTTTCCATGTCCTCATTGCCTTGAGCCAGGCATACTATAACATCGACCAACGGGGGTTTGGCCAGCCACATACCATATCGTTATACCATCGCGGCGAGGGTCTGAAGCAATTGAGGAAGAAATTTGAAACAGCCAAGGCTGCGGACGACGACGCTTCCATCCTGGCTGTGCTGTGGCTGATGGATGTAGACGTAAGTACACATCGATTACCCGCAGACTTTGGTTTGGAGACCAACTCGCTGATGGTGATTTATTCCTTGGGAAACTAGCAGGCAGCGAATGGAGATGGCCATGCTTTTTCGATGCATAAACGAGCGCAGGAGCATTTTGTATCCACGCGAGGGGGGATCCGCAAGCTGCACCCAGAACTACAGGATGAATTACTCAAGTTCGTTCAATTCCCTCTCCACTGCTTGTCTTTGTTGACAACGGACCAGGAGCGAATTCTTTCTACCCCTTCTTTTATACGGTAGTTTCGCTTGCGAGTTCACTCGGGGTGATGTTCTGGTACGCTTCAAGGAGCACGGCCCCGTGAAAGCATGGCCCGAAAACAATGCTTCAGCGGTCTTATCCACCATTACTGCGAAGCGACTCCTGATCTCCCCAACGGTGGATATTCTGCAGGGCATTTTTGAACATGTTTCTCTCGAGCCACGTTATATGCGGACGGCAAGCGCTGATATCACGGGTTGCGAAGGCCTCACTTCGCAATCGATCCCCACCCAGCGCATCAGTCCGATGACCGAGATGTTCAGGGTGCTCCATCTTACGGACCAAGTCAAGCTCAAAACGTTGGATCATCGAATCATTCTCGCATTACTCGTTTACATTTTCAACCTTCACAATCAGCCAGGTGCATTTACTCTAGCGCCATCTCCGACGGGCACACCATCAGACAGCAGGGATAGCTCTCCGAGGAGCTATCTAGATATCCTGTCAGATGTTGCCCTTGAAATGACACGTCCGAGCCATCCAGAAGATCCCGATAGGGTGACGGAGCGAGAAGTCACGCTCTGGACCATGGTTGCTATCGGATCGTCCGCGGCCTTCAGTCCGTGGAGGCTGGAGATTCCCTTCATGGGCCATATGATTGTGCTGATGGAGAACGATGGGAAACAGACAGAACAAGGTTGTGTTTCTGGTGCAGATCTCGTCGCCTCTACCAGCGGTCCGCGTAGTGATTGTGGTCAGGTACATCCGATGGAACCGTCGAATCTGGACACGCTCACTCAATACCTTCGGGGTTATTACCTCTATGGTGCAGACAAGGTTCATTTGGATAGTTTACCGCGCTGGAAGAATTGAGAGGGTAGATATCGCATAGCTACGACAGTTGGTCTGTGGTGGCCCGTCGAATATCTATCAAACCATCCGTCGATCATGAGATGTAGCCGGCTACTCAGATTTCAGCAGTAGCCATAGCCTTTTCCCCAAAATTACAAGATACAGTGAGATTTGACACATCTCTCTGCAAGTATGGCCAACATTGCGGCCACGATACTCACAACGCGGGAGCGGAACACGCTAGAGCGACTTCATCAGACGACCTGACTCAACACCAGGACTAGTCGATGCTGCCACTCTCCAAACCCTTCGACTTCGACTTCGACTTGGCCGGCCGCAGCATAATCATCTGAACATACCAACCATCCCCGGCCGTCCTCACTCCCCCTGCCTGTTCAAGCCTCCTCTCCGAGAACTCCTCACCTTGATCCCCACCCTCCTCCCAACGCAATAGATCAATCCAGATATCCTTGCCCGGCAACACCCCGAACCCGACGCTCTCATACACCTTCATGCCCATTGGACTGGCTTCAAGCATACACGGCAGGCCTAGCTGATCTGCCTCCCGCACGGCAAGACGCATCAGCATCCCGGCCGCGCCGCGCCGGTGGTGCGCGGGATCCGTGTATACGTTGTCGATCAGGACGTGCGCCCCGATGAGCTGTGTGGCTTCTTGTCGCGCGGCGATCAGGGATGCGACGAAAATGTCGCTCAGCTCGTGGTTCATATGCGGTGTTTTTGCGCTGCTGGTTGCAGCAGCTTCGGTGTCAGCGGCGACACTGGATGCAGATTGCTTGTCGATTTCCCTCTGTGTCTCGGTATCAGGATGCGCGCCCGTCGCCGGCACGACGTAGTATTTGATCGCCGCTATCACACGTCCTTCCGGCCTTGCACCATCTCCCTCGGCCTCCCCCGCGCCCTCCACATCTGTCTCCACATCTGTCTCGTCTGGAACAAGTTGGTCATCCAGGACAACCACGAACCTGACCTCATCCTCATTCTTCAACGACTCGGTATCTGTCTGGAGATATCTCGCCCAGTTGGCCGCGTTGGTGAGTTCCGGCCGGTACATGATCGTCCCCATCAACGGGATTTCCAGCCATGCCGCCAGGTGCACCCGCGCGATCGCCCTGAAGAGCTTGAAGTCGTGGGGCCGCGAGCGTGAGAGGGTGTATGTATGGAGCGTCATTTCGGGTTTTCCTGGGGGCTTTTTTTGGAGAAGGGGGGAGGGGGGGGGGGGGGGGTTCCGTCCTTGATTCGCGTTGGAAATGTAGCCTCTTTCTTTTTTAAGGACTTCCTGGATCGGAAAAGGCTGATTATATATGCTCAGTCAGATGCGTGGTGAATTTCTCCCTGATGGATCCGTTCTATCGATTCATTGCTGGAGAGAGAAAAATGTAGTTCTTTAACTATACGTATGTACCCATTTAACGGGCGTGCGGCACTCTCTGAATTCACATACCAGATGTCTCTCGGAACTCTGGTTGTCGAAGGGAGTGGAGACACATGCGCCGCTTGCTTACCTTGACTGGCGAGAAGTACAGAAATTAATAGTCATGTGACTATCATAGTAGTGAGGTTACAGTTGACACCCGGTTTTTTTTCCCTAACCGACCAATATGTATGCTAGCAGCTTCCGCTTCCGGTAGGTATGTACCACCTGTCAGCAGCGTCGGCCAAGGGATGTGTGTGAGTCATGGTCGGTGCTAGTCGTAAACCCATCGAAAGTCCGGTGAATACATCCAAATATACATGACAAGCAGCACTTGTGCAATGACGTCCCTGCTGTGCCTGCCTAGGAAGATCTGAGGACTGCTAACAATGTACAATAGGCGCCGTAATGTCGATTTGTGCTAATTAAATAAGTAATACGGGAGCCGCGGAATTTATTCATTTTGGGGGGAGTGGGGGGGGGGAAGGCTCCGATTTAATAGTTATTTAGTCATTGTCGTGATTGGATTCGATGTTCCCCGGTCCGATGGGCGATACCGACTTCATCTCGAATCCTCCCTCCCTCCGACTCCCTCTTCCACGAGCCTCAGCACGTCGCTCACAAGGTAAAGACTGCCGGCAATGCAGATGTGGCCGCGGCCGCGTTCGGCCAGCGTGACGGCCCGCTGAATCGCGGCTGCGACGTCGCCGTTCTTCGGTGCGCCTTCCACCCTTCCAGAGGTCAGTGCCCGGGCCTGGTCGGCCAGCTCGGCGGCAGAGAGGCTCTCGACCCACGGCATTCCGTCGACGGGGCCGAACGAGCAGGCGACGACGTTGTCGCCGTCGTGGATCAACGTGTGGAGAATCGTGTCGATCTCCTTCCCGCGCTTCATCGCCAGCACCCATGTCAGAGGCCGTCCCTGCAGAGCACGTTGCCGACGGACGTTGCGGTCGATGTGTGTGGCGAGTGCGGCTGCGGATTGCGGGTTGTGTGCGCCGTCGACGAGGGCTCGGATGCTGAAGTGCTCCTTGCCGCGGGGTTCCGACGGTAGGAGGTGCGCGGGCAAAGTGAGCCATTCCAGGCGGCCGCGGATCGAGGCGTGCGCGTTTTGGATCAGCGCTGGGAGGTGCTGGATCGTCGACCGGATGCGTTGCGCGAACGGTTCTGGGATGGGTGTGGGGTCTAAGGGGCCCTTCGAGGAGGATGGGTTTTGTTGTTGCTCAGCTATGTAGTACGCGGTGTATGCGGTGGAGAGGTTCTGCCTCTGGTGATCGGCGAGCCCGAGCGCTCGGATCGTAAGTGAATCGAGGACTGCTGCCTGCGTCGCGGGCAGTCTGAACCACAGGCCGCATTCGGCAGTAGTAGTTGTAGTTGTAGGAGGAGTAGCAGTGGTACCAGGATCAAGTTCATCCAGTTTCTGTTTCACTACGTCTTTGACGACCTCGTCGTTACTCTCGTCGACCACGACGGGGACACCTCTTTTGAAGATCCCACACTTCTCACGCGCAATTTCCTTTAAAGTGCTTCCCAGGAATTCCGTATGGTCCAGGCCGACTTTCGCCAGGACACTCACGCACACATCCTGTGGCCGGAGAGCATTGGTGGCATCCAGCCGTCCGCCCAGTCCACATTCGACGACGCCGAAATCCATGCCCTGGCGGGTGAAGAGCTCGAACGCGACAGCAGTGAGGATCTCAAACTCGCTCGCGTTGATGCCCTCCTTGACCGAGAGGTCCCTCAGCTCGTTCTCAACCTGCAGGAAGACTTCCTTCTCGACGACACGAGAATTGAGCCAGATGCAGTCCCAGCGATTGACCAAGTGCGGCGAGGTGAAGCGGCCGACCTTGTAGCCTCGGTGGGCGAGAAACGTCGAGATGTAGCTGGCCACCGACCCCTTTCCATTTGTGCCAGCTATGTGGATGGCTCGCCAGGGCAGCGGGTCATGCACGTCGAATAAAGGTCGGAGGAGCGACGAGATCCGCGACAGTCCGAGATTAATCATTATTATTGTTATGTTGAGTGACGAGATCCTCCTTCCTTCATCGGGGAACTCTCTGTTGTATCGCACCTCTGATGGTCGACTACCGGGTGAAAGTGTAACAGATTCAGGAAAGAGTCTGCATTATGAGTCGACAGCCTTCGGCCGGCTACGGAGGGGGATGATGGTGGACCGATCCTTCTGGATGTGGATACTCGAGAGTGCTGGATTCTGCGAACGCAAAACCTTCATTAACTAATTCATATAATCAGTCGCTTTGATAAAGCAAAATAGGAAAAATGAGCGTAGAGTCACGTGGACGCCACGGCTCCGAGATAGCTTGATTTATATATTGACAAAAGCCTAGCGCAGGGGCATGTGCCATCGAATGATATTTACTTGGATGCAAAATCTCCAACCTCTCTATACAAAGTATCTTATAATTCTCGAACTCCTCGCTAACAAGGATCATAGTGCGTGGAATGCACAAAACGTAATGCAAAAAGGTCTGTGTCGCTCAGCAAGCCACCAGTGATGGGAGAATCAATCGATCTGCAATCCACTCGTGTCTTGCCGACACTGTATGTACGTCAGGTCGAGCGTTTCAACCATCTAGCCTCAAATGCCTCCTGACAGACAGATATCGCTCGTAGCCGAAAAGCTTCAGCTCAACCCTCACGAAACTCAACCAGGCCTGGAACAAATGCCAGAAGTTTCTGGGATTGAGTAGACTTCCCTCTTTTCGGATCTTCTCCTTTTCCTCCTCCCACACGGTCAAACTCGCATAGCGAGCGAGGATCATCATTGGGCGCATCGGTTGTGTTGAGCCTAGAGACTCGTCCAGACTACGGGTGAGGTCATTGGTTTTCAGAATCAGCAGAATGATCCGAGGCACGGATCCTAGTAGCTGCACTAGCTGTTGTAGGAGGTCTTCGCCAAATACTTGATTGATATCTTCTTTCTCCTTGGTGTTTCGAGCCGAAGTTGCGACTTCCTTCCTCGTCAACACTCGATAGTCGCGACCTGTAATTGCCGAGGCGAACAAAGGGAACTGTTCGTCGGTGATTCCTGCGACTTCATAACAGTATTTACGCATTCGAGCTTCGTCCGCGTCGATCACTGCCAGCCATAGTCTGGCATAGTCTCGCCGCAACTTGTCGTCGGGCATGCGGTAAAGGCCATGGTCGTAGAGAATAATGTCGAAATTATATGGATATCTCCGGGTTGGATTGTGGCGTACCGCGATATTGCCTCCATGTGGATCACAATGAAGAGGGGCGCCGCTCCGGAAAATCATAGTGTTGAAGATTCTGGCCAAAGTCGCAGAGACTTCATCGGGAGATATACTGTTTTTGACGAAGTATTCGAGATTGTCCACTCTTGCGCCTGTCACGTAGTCCATGACGAGAATCCTCCGACTGGCTGAGATGACTTTGGGAATAACGAGTGGAAAAGTCGCATTGCGCAAAAAATACTCTCTGGCTCGCTCGGCATTGGCGCCCTCGAGAGAAAAATCCAGCTCTTGAGGTAAGGAGAAATCCATTTCGCTGCTTAACCACTCCATGTCGTAATTAGGAAAGGCTCTTTTGAGCATACTGAAGGTGAACCGCGTCAAGGCCAGATCCAAAGGCACCCATTCCTCGAGACTTGGATGCTGCACCTTTACGGCGACTTTCTGGTCCGTACCCTTCAGGCGTGCGGTATGCACTTGAGCCAAACTTGCCGCACCAATTGGGTCACGGGAGAATTCTTCAAACGATTCTTCTATCCGGTGGCCAGTGTCGTTCAGAAACATGTCTTCTATCGATTCGTAGGATGAGACAGGGCATTTGTCTTGCAAGGGAATGAATGTCTCGGTCCACTCGGTTGGAAGGAGATAGCCCATGGAGGACAGGTGCTGGCCGAGTTTGATGAAGATGGAGCCATTCTTCTCGAGAACTTTCAATGTCCTCTCGGCACAGCGCTTATGGCAGGCCTTTAGGAGGCGGGTTTCTTCATCAGGATCGTCCAGCTCCTGCTTCAAGGTCACGCGGTAGCTGCAAGAACGCCTCAGTCAGCCCATATCTCCAAAAAGACGTTCTCTTGCAACATACTCATTGATGTTTACGGCCAACGTGGTTACGACCCTCCCTGTCCTTTCCGCCGCACGCCAACCATGTTTGAGGTCATCCCCAAAGAAAAGGAGACTCCCTCCCAGTGAGCCACCAGCTGCGGCCCAGTAGACAACTTTCTTCGGTCGGACGATGCGTACAGGTCGGGCGGCACGGGAGTTGAATGTACGAGAGGGGGCATCAAAGAACGTGGGATTCGCGTTCTTGCATCGAGAACAAGTCCACGTGGCGCGCCCCTGCCCTCTCGAGAGGAGGGGGACACTGGGGTGGATTCGCATGGGCGACAAGGGTTGAAGTTGTTATCGCGGTGGCATTGATCGTGAGAGGCGATTGCGGGCCGCAGGGTCTAGGAAGCCGATATCATTGAAGAGATCGGGCCTGTAACGTTGGGCAGCCTTGTGATTGACAGCTACAGGGTCTGTTGAGGATGAATTGGGGTGGGATGATCAGGTGCAAAGCGTTGGCAGGTTCGCTCCGATGGAATTTTCCCCCGTCTGGGTGGCCATGACGTCGACATCAGCTTTTCACGCTCCCTCGGTACGGAGGAGTAAATAGCTACAGCAGTGCCAACCATCAACACAGAGGTCATCAACTTCGTTTCAGAAAAGACATGGGATTGGAGGATAGATAGGATAGGATTGGATTGGATTTAGGTATATACTATCTCGTACTATCTCGTCTACCTACTAGCACATACTCACTATCTCTTCAGAGGTGGAAGTGAAAGACCAGAAAACTCGGGCAATCAGCTCCGCCAATTGCCAGGTCACCTACTCGTACAAGCAGAAACTGCACTTGATCCACGTTCCCGGTGTCTCTAACTGTTGACTTTTCCTTGATTGCCACCATATCCGTGGAACGAAGTGAATAGACCTCTCGGGGGCGCAGGCAGCATGCATGGTTCAGCATTCCAAGAACCAGAGTCCAAACGAATGCATGGCAATCTTCACATGGGTACAGATATGTGTGATCGGATCAACTCTACTACACCTAGTGTATTCCAATACTGGATTCAAGTGACTGTGCGGAGTGAGCACGAAGGTGATGGTGAGGGTGTGGCGGTGAGACGGGCAATGCAAGTCCTTACCAATCACGCCCCTCTGCCAGCCGCAGGGGACCCTGGGAGCTGAAAGAGACAATGATGCGGCGGTGATTGTCGCGGCTGAGAAGCTTGACTTGACCTCCATACAATCAGGCCTTTGGGATATATGTGCTTCGTTCTCGCTCTTACACTCTTTGTGTGTTGTCTTACACTCTCTAGCCTCGAGGTAGGACGATGAAAAATCTGTGGGACCGCGCGATCTGGCTTGAAGCGGGGTTTAAGCAACGACGGGGACCAGGCTTCGACATCCCACCACCGGCAGTGCCCAACTAACTAGGTCTTCCTTGAGAACGAACCGGAAGGCACTCTACAAGATGAAAATGGGCCATTTGAATGCATTGATGTACTATTGTCTTGCAAGCTGTTGCAGGCTGTAGATACTTCTTATTTTTTTATGTTTACCGATACCACTGCCCCGAAAAAAGCCATCCCAAAGGTAAAGGTCAGATGATATCTCAAGGAGATGCCATTGAGCCCAGAAGAAAGAAAGGAAAAAATAAGTACCCCCAAATTTCCTGAGTTCCTGTGCTTTCCTTAGCACCGATGTCTGGTTGCCTATCCATGCGATGTGCAATCTTGATCCAAAGTCATGATATTCGTTAGGATAGTCGTCGATAGCAGCTGGCAAGGCTACTTGTTTGTAGCGGATGCCTAAAAGCTGCATGCATACGCGCCCACCAGAGGTTTGTAGAAGAGCTTCCCAGAAGCTCAGATGTATCGTGTTGTCTGCTGACTTGTCAAAAGCCCGTCAGAAAAGGCCTCCTCGGTTGGAGATTCCTGATTCTCATTGCTGTTTTGCTTGGAAGGAGTGACAGGAGATCTTCATATCTGGGAGAATTCTAGGAGAAATACCACTGGATGCCGCTGAGACGACCATCACCCTTTCCGTCAGTGATGGCGTTGAACAGCGCATCGGTACAGTCGATCGATCTACCCTCGCACCCCATACACTTGTCGCCGACAGTGGCTTGCACTGTGGTGCCAGAGGTGGGGTTGACAAGAGTGACCGATCGACCACAATAAGGGTTGCCGTTGGATTGAGTGCCCATGAAAGCATGTGGCAGAGCAATGGCCATTTGGCTGTTGGTGTCGACGTTCCATCCACAGGCACCAAGGCCACCATCCCAATGGGTCACGTCACCAACACAGGTGGCGCCGGAGCCTTCACAGGTACCCGTAGTAGAGCCGGCAGTGTCCTTGGGCTGAACTGGGACGGACGATGAGGCAGCCGGGGCAGCAGAGGAGACCACCGGAGCTGATGCAGCGGGAGCGGGAGCCACAGCAGGAACGTCGGGAACAGACGGAGTGGTGGGGACCGGGGCAGGCTGGGTTGTGAAAGTCGAAGGAATGTAAGAGGTCTGAGCGAAGATGGCTGCTGGGACAGTGCTGGTGGTGGTGGCAGCTGGTGGCGGGGGGGGAGTTGCAGCAGCAGGCTCAACCCAGACTGTGGTGGTCTCTTCGACGGTGACCCAAGCAATGGCGGTTTCGGTGTGAGTGTAGATGGCGCGCTTGTCCATGTCCATCATTGGGATGGCCACAACAGCGGGAGCGAGCAGCGAGGCCGCAAGGACGATGTTCTTGAGAACGGCCATTATGACAGTTGGAGAATGGCTTGATATGTGGTAAGGACTGGAGATCTGGCTCTACAGAAGATAGGATTGGTAAGGATTGGCCCTGTTGGATGAAGACGTGACTCGACCTTTGGTCGCAAGGAGTGACGAGCGAAGTTGTCGCGATGACAAAGCCTGTGTCAAAGTAAGGGTGAGGGTGAAGGACTGTGAAAGTCTGTGAAGGACAGTGTGCGAGACGTCAAGCCTGGCGAGAGCGATACGGAGATCAGTGAAGGGAATGAAAAGAGAGAGAGAATGTGTGCGTCCGGGAGGACAAAGAGCGACTAGATAAAGGGAATGAAAGAAGGAGCAGGGCAGAGCGGGAAAACGAGGGAAAGGCGTCTGGAGTTGGATTCCAAGGTGTTGCCGAGTGCGAAGAAAGAAAAGGATGGGGAAGGAGGAAGAAAAAAAACATCGACGTCGTGTTGAACTCGTCCCATCACAGATGCACAGTCCAGTCAACATCGAATTGGGTTGGGCTGCGGGCTGAGGCGAGTTCAGTTGAGCCACCACCACCACCACCACCACCACCACCTCCTCCTCCTCCCAAGAATGTGGAACAGGGTGTCGGGTGAGGGTCACTCTGGGTCCCGACATGGGGGGTGTTTGGGCATGCCCATGCCCATTCGCCTTCCCCAGGAGGGAGTCCGGTAGTAGGTACTCGTACTGGGGAGTCCTGACTGGTTACTACTCGTGCTGTGGTGTTGTGGTCCGCCTGTCAATCAGTCCGCCTGTCAGTCAATGCGCCCTCCTGGCCAACAACTCAAAAGAGTGGAAATGTCGAGGAAATTCGTGAGAGACCGAGGAGGGCGCTGGCCCCAGTCACGGCCCACCCGCCGAGGAGGCGGCAAGGATGTCGTCCAGGCACAGCGGATGGCTTTCAAGATGTGGTTGAGTTGGGAATAGTCGCTGGACTGTGAGGGCACGGGCACCCTTGTGGCGCCCGCCGAAACACAAACCGACTGGGGCCACGCCCAGGCACTGCTCCCCTTTTCCTGGTTGCGCTCCAAGTCCGATTCGCCCGCCCGACACGTTTTTTCAGGTACAGCCGGGCCTAGGCTGCAACGGTCTTAGTGGTGCCCAAGTCTGCTCTGTGCCTGGGACCGTTGTTTCCGGGTGCATGCTGGGGCTGCTGGGGCTTGAAAATTTGGATTTTCGCTTGGCCGGCCCTCGGTGCCGGGCTTGGGAGGCGTGATCAGCACGAGCCTGCGAGGATGTCCCTGCAACCACTTTGGATGGCCAGGAGGGCCAGGGGCGCCAGGCTCTACGAGTAGCTGCTGTACTCGTAGGCACCCCGTCGCAGGCTCCCAGCACGGTGAGGAGGACAGCACGTAGGAGCGGGCGGCGTCTCATCACACATACCCGTCATCTATCGATTGTCTATCATCTATCATCTATCATCTATCATCCCGCATCTACAGTATCATGCCACACGTACTCGTACACTGACATCTGCATCTGCATCTGCGTCCGCGTCGCATCCGTCGTCTTGACCGTGCCTGCATGTTCGAAGCAACGGCCCATCGGCCTACCGTATCCAAAGCCACTCTTCAACTACCCTTCCTGTCAAGCCGTCACCTTGGTCCTTGATTCCGCCGTGCTTACGAGTACTTGGGCGCACAGGAGTAGGGACACTAATCCACGGAATGGATCCACTGCCAACCCAACAGTTCGCAGACCGCATGGCGACCAAGCTAACCCGTCGATGTCCTTCTAGATTTGAGATGCTACCTCAAGAAGGCGAACGGACTGGAGACTTCGGCGAGGTTCCCACCGTCCCTAAGAAGCCCATTGTTGAACCACGAAGACGACTGGTCCGCTGGGTCTCCATGCATGCATGCAGAATCGCCGTTGGTATGTATCGTACAGCTCCTGCGCTTCTACAGGGCGAGAAGCTACTGCTTGCGGCACGAGCAAATCCTCGAGATGCATCCACTACTGGCATCAGCCAGACTCATCACTGATCCGTCTTCATTGTCTGCTGAACGAGCACCGTTTCTGGGCGGCCTGGGTGCCCCTCGGCCCCACCCTCAATCCGGCGCAATCGCAAATCCAACCGCATTTCTGATCACATACGGAGCACATAGCATTGCATTGCAATTTTTTAAATGTTTTTTCTTTCTCTCTCATTCTTGTCCTTGACTCGGCTCGGCGCGCATGTGAAATTTGCGTGGTCTTCTCGGGGGCCTGCTCCCCGTACGAGCCTGAGCACAGAATCATGGATCATGGACTGATCCACCTGCCTGCTGCCTGTGTCAGTGCACATGTGGATTGCTGCTCTTCGCACGGCAACACCAAGTTCCAACACATGGACGAGTATGATCTGGCATGCCTCTGGCCATCCGTTGCGTTGGGCTCGGCCGAGCTTGGCGCACGTGTCCCGTGTTGGCGCCCGCGTGTGTCTGTGTGCTGTGCGAAAAGACGAAACCTGGTGAGTGGTGAAACACTGTCATTGTGCTGTGCTGCTGTGCGTGCGCACTCACACCCTGGAACTCTGGATGGCCAATGCGCACATACACACTTTTTGTCCCGTGGGCTACAACAACCGTGCCCAACTTACCTTGGTAGACTCCTCGGTACAATGGCAATGGCGTGTCATCTCACTGGACTACTGAGAAGGCCTGTACCAAGCGACGTGGGACCTTAGTCTATGTACGATAATTTACCGAGATCCTCGAATTTTCTTCTTCGGCAAATGTCGAGAACAAACAAACGGTGAATCCAACCAACACCAAGTACGTACCTGTGCCCTGCCAACTGACTCGTTTCCACCAAGTAGTATCGCTCCATCTCCTCTGCTTCCCACTATGTCCGGAGTACCTCGTACTCTCGTCTCAACGGCCCAAAGACCTGGAGCCACCTCCGGCGCATCTAGAAGAAGCATGCAGTTCCTCGTTATTGACGACGAGCCAATGGCCTGAATAGCCCCCAGTATCTATGCTCTCCATCCGAGGCGCTAACCAGTAACTCATACATAATCACTGCTGCCGCAATCGATCCAGATGTTGATGCGTCCTTCCGTGCTGCTTCCTACGCGGACCCAACAAAACTCCTCGACTACATACCTACCAACTCCCCACCGGATGGCCTACAACCTAAAAAATCCTGACCATGTATGTATGCACTGCTCCATCCGTATTGTATCGCATCCTTGCCTCCCAAACCTTTTACCGGCGTCTGGTGCGGCAGCGCAGGACGAGAATGTACACTGTAGATCTCGTTCCTGACGCGCCAGCGGCCGGACAGAATACAGCGTTTACCACCGCCAGCACCATCATCACCACCGTCATCACGGTCGAATTCCATGGTACATCCACCGCGCAAACGAAACTTCGAGCATGAGATGTGTGTGTTGCCGGTGTGAACCATGCCTTGTTATATTGTGTGCATCTACATTTACATATGATATATACATATGTGCGTGATCCCGTCGCATCCTGACTACGGATCGTACGCGTGGGAAACGTCCGCGACAGAACAAAATCCCGCATTTCTTCCATTCCATTCCAATTCCAATTTGCAATCGCTTGAACGCAGCAGTAGGAGCAGCCCCCGCCCCCCCCCCCCCCCCAAAAAGGGACTCGAATGAGTCACAGGCCGTGGAAACATCGATGCATCACATCGAGACGAGAGACCCGCCCTGCGCCTTGCATGCATTTCATTTCATATCTTCCGCATCATGGCATGGTAGTCGTCCCAGCCGTCGTCTCCATCTTCGCCATTCTCCTGCTCCCATACAGGTCGATGCCGCGTAATCATCATATCCAGGTCATCCTTCTCCGACGCGTTGGCGTTTCCTGCGACCTGACGATTAGAACCACTGTGACTGCTGTCTCGATTACCGCTACCGTTGCCGTTGCCGTTGCCGTTGCCACCTCCACTGCTGCTACTGCTGCTCGCTACCGAGGATTGCTGCTCTTGGTGTTGGAGCTCAGGCCAGGCGGCGAGCGCACCGACGTAGCCCTTGGACTGCTTCAGCTGTAGAGGCTTCGGCTCCTCAAGCGCCTGGCCCTGTTCACTGAGAACGTCGTTCGAATCGAGCATCGACGTAGGTGTCGCAACGCTTTGCCGTTCGACATGTTCCACCGACCCTTCCTGCTGCCTGTGCAGCTCGTGGAGCTTGGCTTTGCGCCGGCGTGCGATGATCCCCGCCAGCCCGAACTGCGTCGCGCTGCCGTCTTGCATCGAGCTGGCGCTTTCCTGCCGCATTACTCTTCGGGCGCCTCGGTTGACGCGCCGTTCATGGATCGGGTCTACTTGCAGGCGCGCCGCCGGGAAGATGTTCAGGTATAGCGGGAATAGCATGCCGAAGACTGCCGCTGCGAGAGGGACACAGTACGAGTATTTCAGTCCTTTGTGGTTGCTGACACCCCACTGGATCGGAGGGAAGACAGCACCGCCGGAGATGGCGGCCGTCATCAGCGCCGAGCCGGTCTTTGTGTGTGCGCCGAGCCCACGCATCGAAATCGCGAAGATGATCGAGAAGATGCCCGCTTCGAATCCGAAGGTGAGTTGTGCGATTGCGGCACCGGCGGAGCCCTCCAGGCTCATCGTCAATGCCAAGCAAGCTATCAAGCCTGCGTACAGGAATAGTAAAATCAATCGCGGTTTGAACAAGTAGTTCAGAAACGCGGTCAGGAAGCGACCAGCAGCAAATACGGTGTGTGCAACGCTCTGGAAATCAAATGGTGCAAGGGGTTGTCCAGGCTGGATCAGCCGGATCAACGGCTGCAAGTTGTTGCCGACGCACTCCTGTAGTCCCACGTATACCCATTGGCTGAAGACACCAAGTGCGAGAGTTACAAATATCACCTTCCAGGGGCCGAGCTTGGCGTTGTTCACCGAGCTCCTCCGGTCCGCGAGCTCCTCCAGCTGTTCGTCCGTCGCCTCGGGAAGTGGGATATAGTAGAAGATAATGGCCAGGAGGAAGACGAACATGGCGATACCCAGGTAGGTCCACTGCACGTCGATGAGGGCGGGGGTGTTCGCGTTCGACACGTTCTTAAACAATACTTTGGCCGCCAGGAGCGGCGAGCAGATCGTGCCTATGGCTTGGAATGCCTGCGAAAGATTCAATCGCACTTCTGCATACTCCAATGGCCCGCATAAGGCAATGTAAGGATTGGCTGCGATCTCCAGGCATGATAGCCCCGAGGCAACAATGAAGTTCGAGATGATGAATGCTGTATACGAAGTCAAAACTGCCGAGGGCCAGAAGACCAGCGTTCCACAACCGTAGACGCAGAGCCCGACCATCATGGTTGCTTTGAACCCGTATCTTTTCAAGATGAATCGACCCAAGGTCAATGGTCCAACCAAATAGCCCCCATAATATGCAGCGTGGAGACCCAAGCTCTGCTGCTTGTCCAGCCCTACCACTTCTTGAAATCTGCCGTTCAGTGTGTCCAGTAGTCCGTATGCAAATCCCCAGAGAAAGAAGATCACAGTGACCACCGCAATCGGCCATAGACTTTGCCGGTTCGAGAGCTTGAGCATGTTCCGATTGCCGGACATGTTGACGAAGCCAAATTCGGAAGTAGTGCTCTTGTTCGTGCTTCTGCGGGTCAGCCGAGCGCCCATTCTCTGTATAGCGGTAGTGGTTCCTTCAGCGTCGCCCGGTGGCCCTGCTAACATGTTCAAGAACCCCATCTGATCCCCATGGTCTTCTCCGGAATATTCTTTCACCCTCGGCTTTCGGAATGCAGCCGGGTTATTCAGCATAGAGATATCGCCCTTGGGCAGATGCTTAATTGGAGCATCTTCTGGCCGTCCAACATCAATGCTAGTGTTGGATGTGTCGTCGTCCTTGATGAACCGTGGCATAAATCGCAGAAACAGAGGTTTCAAGCTGGGGACGCAAGCACAGATGATTCCAAGACTGACTTCAACAGCCGACCACATGAAGCTCAGACTTGCGTACCAGGAGAAATCGTTGTTTTCATCTGTTCGCCCATTAGATTGGCTACCGTCATGGGCGGCTGTCAATCGACTTAAGGTTGCATTTTGCAGGTACGCAATTCGGATGACATCCACGACTGCCACGAATGCACCGAAGCTGAAGGTAACAACCAAGATGATTTTTTGTTTTCGAGGCAACCTCATTCCCGTCAGGATCGGCATCGGTAGGAACAGCAGAGCGACGTCGGTGATGATATTGACTGGTGCTGAGGAGAGATAGAGGGTGACGATATCGGTGCACTTGGCGGTCGGCGGCGAGGGATAGAGGTACCCAGCCGCAACGGGTCGGCACTGAAAGATACTGAGAAAGGTGAGGGCCAGTCCGAAGACGTTGACGACAGCAAGGGTTAACCAATTGCACCATTTGAAGACGGGGTCAACATCCTTGCTCATGACCGACAGGAAGAAGACAATGATGGAAGTCTTGGTGAGCATCAGTGCTGGGTTGTATAAAATGGAGAAGGCATATTCGGATTTCCTGAGAGACGAAAAAGAACTGTCCGGTATATCCACCTTGTGTCGTCCGAGGCCATAATGCACTGCACTACATATCGAGGCTGAGAATCCCACAGCGAACACCCATGCCGCTAACATCCACCAGTCGTCTTGCTTGATTGAGCGTACCAGATAGATCCTCGTGAAGAAGCGACCAGCGACGAAAAGCGTTGCAATCACGATCATAACAATCGTGACCGCAGAAGTCACTGGTCCTCTATCCTGAACCATGCTGGCCAGATTGCTGTGCTGTACGGGCCCGAATTAAGTCAAGAGGCCCTCAAATCCACCAAAGTTGGCCTAAGATTTGGTAATGCACGTCATGCATGGTAGTCGTTAAGATTGGGGCATGCTGTAATGCCTGGAACCACTACTTGCATGGCCGATGATCAGCTACCTGCAAATACAAGTGGTCAATATTGAGAAATACACAGTTTCAGGTTGTTGTGGTAGTGAAAGGTCTCAGAAATTGGGATGAGGAGTGAGGAGTGAGGAGCTCTTGCTCCACATAATGATGATGACTAGGGGCCCATATGTCCATGCGTCCACGCCTGAGGCAATAAACCTTGTCAATAGTCGAAGCGCAGATTTACGTTTAGACGCCATCACGTAGAGGGGAAGGTGGACGGCTACTGGAGGTGTTGGATAATCGACCCGACGAGATGGGATTCGCGAACGGTCTCCCCAGATTCAAGTTGAGAGGAAGGGTGGATGATCTTGCACTTCGGCTGCTGAGCAGAGGGGCTCGATCCAAGGATTTACCAGCAGTTGATTTGTCGATGGCGAAGTATGGCTGGGATGGAACCTCTGTGCGGAGGAATTTGACAGCGTAAGTTTGTCCGTACGGCCTTCCAGTTGGTTGGAAAGCCTGGGACGGGATGGATGTTCGCCTCCGTCGCCCTATTTCTGTAGAGGCCCCGCCAGATTGTTGTGCAGGTGGCGTTTTCTCAACCTTGGGCGTCCTCCTCGGTCGAAAAGGGCAATGACACGAGTGAATTGGCCGAAGCCCAGTCCTTCGTACACCGTTTGAACATCCATCTCTCTCCAACAAGGCTATAACTTCGAGTTCTGTCGGATTCCTGTGATATACATTTCAGGTGAGAAAGTGCGATGTGAAATCGGTGCCAAGGCCAGCGTTGAACGTCGAGACCAGTACTTAAGTACCCAACGTCGCTCCTCGCTCCTCGCTCCTCGTGGACTCTTGCTTGGACCGGGCCTGTCGCTCTTCTGAAGCTGCCACGAAAGCGAACAGAGTGCACATCCAGACTAGTAATATTTTACTGACCTAAACTTGTGCCCATTGGCTGGCTGATCTATGGAAGGACGTATGCAATATACAAGCCAGCTGGATTTCTGCATCAACACTCCTCTCGAAACCGATCAACTTTCTAAAGGGCCGGCAGTTCCCGGGCTAGTATATGGAGACGATTTTAACGCGGAAGAATGCCCTTTCACAGATCCCGCACAGGTTGCAGACTGCATCGAGAGTCGGTGACAGGAATCCAGGGGCGGCCAGCATTACACACCAAACACAAGTAGCCCGCAATCTGTAGCCTGTGCCATTGGCCAAGCTCCAAAACTTCAATTGAACAGGAGTTGATCCAATAGCACATTGCTGAATCTTTCTCGTGCATCATCTATCTTCCAGTTCTGCTCCGCCGCGATCTGTGAATAGGTGTCGCGAAACTCCCCTATGGCTTGACGGTACGTGGTCTGCATATACTCGATCATGGGTCGACCGCGAACGGTGAAGCTCTCCCATTCTTTGGCCCAGTGTGGTCGTGTTGCAAGGTAATTGCCCTGATTGTCCTTGAGATCCATCCAACGGTCGAGGACGTACTGAGCGTACGGGAGCCATATTTCCTTCATGTTCTCCAGCGTCAGAATCTCAATCGAGCAGGTGCCTAACCGGTGGCCACGAAAGGGGGCCATGGTGACATTCGACGGTCCTGTGATGCGCATTTCGAGTGGCATGCGTTGCGGGCACTGATCCTTGTACTTATACGCGGCGAGTATGCCATCCCACCAAGCTTTCTGGACCAAAGTCCAGTTAATCTCAGCCTCGTCGACATCTGCATCTTCTAATGCCCCTTTCTTGGGTTGCAGGGGAATTTCCATCTCCATGTCTCGAACTCGGAGATTTTGAATTGCTCGCCGGAAATGTAGGGCATTCGGTAGCTGGGTCTTGATCGCGTTATTGTTGTCCACCACCTCAGGCATAGCGTACAAGCCCAATTTCGAGATCAGGGTGGCCTGTGTCCATGGGAAAATCTGCTGTAAGTCAAACATTGCCTCAGAATCTTGGATAATTTGAAGTGCCACTGTCTCCACCCATTGGATGAAGACGTTGGTATTCGAAGGAAACTCCTCGGCGCCTGTTCCATCCTGGTCGGTGTTCCAGCAATTTACCCAGACCTATGGATGTTAGGGTTCACAGCTCTTTGCTCGATGCATCTCAACTGACCTTGCTGGTGTAGGGGAACCAAAACCACTCGGCGTAGAAATCATTTCTCGCGTGTTTTTCAAACTCCTCCTGAGCCTTTTGACGCATTTGTGGTGTCATCTTGATGCGGAGGGCCTCTGGGATGTCTTTATCGGCCAAACCCGGTGGTGGTGGGATAGCTTGCATAACTGGGAGCTTTTGAGGGATCATAACGGCATATGACATGGGGTCAAGCTCGAGGGTAAGGTGGGTGACAATTCCCAACAAGCCGAAGCAACCAGCGGCGAGAGACATGAACTCGGGACTCTCGTCCTTATTGATGGTCCGCAAGTTTCCTCCTTCGTCTACGTATTCGATGCCATGGACCAAGTCACTTAGCGAAGGATGCCGGCGGCCGGCGCCATGGCAAATAGGCGCGTTTGATCCTCCCATGGTGATTTCTACCATGATCACATTCAGGGGAAGAGTCGATGCCTTGTGAAGCTCCTGCTGATTGCACCAACGTCGGAACATCTGGTTCGTGACGGCAGTCCCAACTCGAACTAGCCGTTTCGTCCCTTTTTGCGGCTCTCCGACGAACTCAATGTTGTTGAGCTCTGTGTGGGGTTGGAACAATTGTGACCCCGGTAAGGATTCGACATTTGGGAGGAGAGTGGCCTTGTGGAGACCCAAAGTCGATATGGTAATCATACCATTCTTACCATACATCGAACTCCATGTATGACGGTATCCAGCCGCTCGGACATTCATGTTCTTCGCCTTTGCGTACTTTACTATCTGCTGGACACCGTAGGAGGTCTGCGGGATAAATGTGAGATGAGGTGTGAGGGTAACGGTACGGCCCCAGTTCTGGAATTTCTCATCCAAGTAGGTGATGACCCTGTTCTCTTTGCTTGGGTCGTCATAGATGGTAACGTCTTCGAGCACACTTCCTACTCGTTTGATGGCACGAATCCGCGCCTGAAGGTTCTCAACAGCCGTCCCAATGACAGTGTCAGCATCCGCAACGCCATCTCCGTTCCAATCGACAATGGGCAATTCTTCTCGCGCCCCAAGCGACAAGCCCGTGGAGAAGTTCTTGGCCAGATCTCTCGCATTTTTCCCATGTTCGACAAATGACCGTATGAGATTTTGCTCTTCGCTCCCGTACCGTCGAAGCGTGGCACTGTAGGTGGCATCGGTCTTGGACCTCCAAAACACGCCTAACAGTCGACGGACAGACTCCTCACGGTCCACATCGACGTTGCTGTCTACTATGTCAGCCAGAAGATCAGCCAGCCCTGGCAACTCCTTCTGATTTCGGTACTCATCCTTGTGCAATCTACCAATGATGAGTTGGAGTCGATCCCTCGAGTGTTCAAAGATTGGGTCAATCATCGGAGCAGAGGGTTGATTCTGGTCTGAATCTTGGAGTCGATCTTCGAGTGAGCGCGGACGAAGACCGAGACGGCCATGGAAAAGGTCCAAAATACAAGAGAGCAGGCCCATCTTGTCAGCATCCGCTTCACATCCGCGGTGGGCGCTTGAGGTTAGATCTCGTGCAGCGAAACATGTAAAATGCACGACAGCCGCAGCTGATGAGAACACGGGAACCGACTTGTAAAGGGGAAGGAGGTGCTGGTTGGAATGCACGACCCTGTGAAATGATTGGTTCGCAGGGCAAGAGCAGCTGACCGGTTGTGACAACTTTGAGCGACGTACAACAAAACCCTCGTCTCTCTCTTGCAAGGCTGACCGCATGGTTCCCGCCATGCGGTGGGGGTTGTCGCTTTCGAGGCTTACGAGCCAAGCTTCAACATTCATTTGATAGGTTCTTCGTATGCATGCCCCTCTAGGTCGGAACGATGTGCTGGCCACAGCCTCCACAACGACTCGAGGGGGAATTGAAAGAACAAGTTCGATATTCCTGAGCTTGGCTTGTCAGGCTGAATTGGACTGACACGAGCCTGTCGTCGTCTCTTTTCCTTGGCCAAGATGTCGCACATTCAGGCTTGCACTGAAACAGACACGACCAAATATCTCCTATCACGCAGACCTTGTGAAACGACAATTCGGCTCTAAGTTGTATTTCAATCTGCCAGTTAGGAGCCAGTCAGGAACCCTTGAAGCATCATCGTCGTTCCTACATCTCACTACAACTCATTCCGCTTCCTCGTTACTGTATTCCCACAAAAGAATTTCCCCTCGCACCAACCCCTAAGTGATCTTGAGGACCAGAGACGCTGGGGACCCGTGAAAGATCATTTCGATTTTGTCCTCGAGCAGTCTCTTGCTGCTCAGTTTCTCCGCCAGGCCCCTCTCTATGTTTCATAATGTCTCGGGCACCAGAATTCAATCTCAACTTATCCGCCGTGATCAAGTCCTCGCCTTTGGGTGGAGTCCATTTGCTGCTCTTCCACGGTTTCACTTCGAGGAGGAACATTGTGTCGATTTCTTCCAAGGATCTCCCTGAAGTCTCTGGGAGGAAGAAGTACACAAAGAAAACCGCGAGGATATTGCAGCCAGCAAACACATAGCCGTAAGCATAGTTGATGTCCCCTGTGATAAATGGGGTGAAGAATGCGATGAGGCTGTAGAGACGACTTAGTTTGGATGCTCGAACACCGATCGGAAGCAAACTCACAAATTGAACAGCCAATTCGTTGCAGCGCAAAGAGCGATACATGGGCTAGCATATCGCGTAGGATATAGCTCGCTACAGACTGCCCATGCCATTGGCCCCCAGGTGCTTGCGAATGCAGCAATGAAGAGGCAAGCAAAGACTATCATGACATAGCCGATGGTCTTGTTGTTACTACCATCGTCATTTTCAAGAGAAAATTGTCCGAGAGATGCGAAAATCAAGAAGCAAACGAACATCCATGCCGCTCCAGCCATCAGACATTTCCGTCGGCCGAATTTCTCAACAAAGTACAGACCAGGGAAGGTTGTGATAACATTGACCGCACCTAAAACCAATTGTCAGTTTCACCGGATCTTCAGTTGGGCCTGCATCCATTCTGGGAAACCCACCAAGAATGATTTGAGTTACGAACGAGTTCGGCAACCCGACTGATGAAAAGACAACTGTTCCATAGTAGAAGAAAAAGTTGGCGCCCGACAATTGCTGCGCAGCCTGGATAACCATCCCGAGCAAGATCCGGCGCAACATCTGTGGCCCCGTGAATATCTCATACCATGGGTGGCTACCTCCTTCTCGTTCGATTTGCAGCTTTTCTTGCATCTCGACTAGCTGATCTTTGACAACACGATGTCTCTCAGAGACACCGTGGAACTTGGCGATACTTGCGGTAGCCTTGTCGATGTTGCCATTTCGGTAATCATGACGTGGGGTTTCGGGAAAAAACAAGATTCCAACACCGAGTGCAATGGCGAAGAGGAAGCCGATTCCCATCACAATTCGCCAGGAGGCGGTGCTTTGAATGCTCTCTGTACCAGCATTGATTGAATAAGCAATCAAGATGCCTACGGTAATGAACAGCTGATCTTGTGGGTTAGCCACTGGTCGGTTGAGCGGTCACCAAATTTGCTGGTCTCACCTGGTAGCAACAGACAATGGCGCCACGAACATGACGAGGACTTGATTCACCCTGGTACGCAGGTACCATAACAGACATTCCTACACGCGAATTATTATCGTAGTCCGTGATTTGAGCAGCGAGGGCCAAAGCAGGAACATTCATAGGAGGGAAAGCTTACCTCCTATTGCCAGCCCAGCGATAATACGACCAATCATAACCTCATACCAATGAGGCTTCCGCGCGGCAATTTGGATAGCGACACCAACACAGAAGACAATCGACCAAAGCACCAAAGAATACTTCCGGCCCAGAGATCTATTGTTCGCGAGCGGTCCAGAGATCAAAGCACCGACCAAGGTGCCGATAGATAACTTGTTAAGTAGGTTAGTAAGGGTGCCAATGACCATAGGATCACAGAGCCTACCATGCCAACAATCAACCCGGCACGGACATTACTGAACCCAATAGGATCCTGCTGGTCGGCGAAGTTTTCCAGGAAGTTATCCATCTCCAGAAACCCCGAGATCTGACCTGTATCGTAGCCAAAACAGAGACCACCGAATGAGACCAGGACAGCCATAAAGAATGTTCTGATGGTAAGGAATGGCACCTTGGACTCGTCGTCGAAGGGGCCTTTCTCTGTTTCAATATTGGAAGTTTCTCCAGTCGCGGTAAATGAAGATCTCGCAGAGGCTCCGCGCTCTGGCACAGCAGTAGGAGGCTGCTGCTTCTTGAGCATATCAAGCACGGCCATCTTGGTTCGTAGCTGGCTTCGGGTTGGTGGTGGTCGCTTCACCAAATTCAAGAGAGGATGTGTGGGACAATTTATCAAAGTAGGTGGAGCATTTCAACCGCTGCAGTTCAAGCAGCATGAACGTAACATGACCAACGTCATAGTCCATTGTAGTCGCATGGCAGCCACTTTCAGGATTCCATTAGAACTCGATAGCCTATTGCGAGGTTGAGCGCTATCGAAAGTCCACAGTGAGTGGGCTCCAGAATGGAAACTTTGCCAAATAACGTCATAAGTTAAGCCTTGTGCCTAGGAAGGCTTGCCCACTCTGCGCAGGGCAAGTGATGGAAGCAATGCCAACCATATGAAAAGCTCTGCAGATCTTCAATGGATTCTTTTCACCTACTAGTGCTGGACATACCGTGCTTCCTCGGTCATTTGTTCTTTGGAGGCTTCAGTCGTTGTTGGAAGCTTTCGCTAAATTGGCAGACGATCGTCCCTGGTGGCGCACGGGGCCGGCTCTTCGTATGACGTCGCTTCGCATGCTTATCATAAGCACGGTGCCTGGTACGGCAAACAGACCCGGTTTCACTGCTTCAGATCTCTACTTGAAGGATGCATCGTCGAAGGATCATGGTGTAGCAGCGCAAACCGGTGGCGACTCGTTCCCAGATTTCAATCATTCTTCGACTTGTCCGGGTGGAAAACCGATTTTGAGTTTCATATATTCGAAGGACCCGTCTTATGCGTTCAAGTACCTCATATAGAGCTGGACTCAGGGATTCCTGGATACCTTTGATGATAAGCCTCTATTATGGGTCTCCAAGCCAGCGGGCTAATGGACTGTCGATGATCTGATCTTCACATTCCCAGTAAATGCCACGTGCGAAGCTCGGGTGAGAACGAATTGACCTTCTGGAGAATTTCGCTTGGAGCTTCCGTAAACCGAGGTACTTCTACTTCTAGATCTGGAAATAATTGAGCCATCAGGCTTTCCAAGAATCACGTTTGCACCTCGTTCATGACAAGCCCAATGTCCGCTCAAACCTGACATATTATGTGGGGTAGAATTGTCTGACTTTAATATTTACCAAGAATCCAATAGTAGGTTTGCTTGCCAATTTGGAAGGAAACTCAGTGGCATCATGAGCTTCCGATGCCCAAGTTGTTGTGCAACCAGACTGATGCCTGCAACGAAGTCAACAAGGGTGTAGCTCGCCTTGATATGTATACCATGCTGTCCCGACCAAGTGCCCGAGAATCAGGAGCTCGGCTGCCTAGAAGAAGAACAATTAGTCTTGCATACCTCAGGGGAAAATTGAGTGATTGATCGATTGGAATACGCAAAGTAAATATCAAAGGTGCGGATCGTTTATCTGATGGGGGTGCCAGGGAGCCAGGGAGCTCCTCCCGACAAGTGGGGAGAAATCCGACCAATTAAATATTATTATTTTCCTGCCGCTTCAACTCGTCACGCCACGAATCTTCCTGCGCCAGGCATGCTGCATGTGCTTGAATGACACTGCTAGTTGTTTGACGGCCACTTGATACTATTCCATACCATGGCTCCAGCAATGAAGCGTAGAGGCTCCGTCTTCAATCCTCGTGTAGGTTCCAGCTGGTCGATTAGAAGCTAATGGCAACCACTGACCTATCGAACAGACAGTCACAGCGCCGATCGCAGCCATCGTCATGGCTGGACTTCTCTACACCTACTCGGTCACCTCCATCCGGGCCGCGAAGAGAAACGCAAAGCTACACAGAGAGGCCGATGGAGGCCAATTGGATATGCGCAAGGAGAGCCTACGTAGACATGGTGTCTTGGACCAGGTCGACGGCACCTCGGGCATTCAGCTATTCAAGGAGGCAAGGGCGGATGCTAAAGCAGAAAATCGATTCCTCAGTGAGAAGAAAGCGAAGCCATTGGGAGCGCCACAGCACGAAGAGGTGGGCGCACCTCGTACGGAGAACGAAGGTCGACTCGAAGAATATCGCGGCCGCGGCGCTCTCAAGAAACTGAAGGAAGAGCAGGGCAAATGAGAAGGCCACCGCTGCCTGAACAAAGTGTGAAGTCGTGGTCGAAGATGAAGGGGAATCAAGCCTCAATGGCATGTTGAAGTACAAACAAAGCACTACGACTCCATGCGAGATGCCCGCCAGCTGAAAGTCTGGCCATCAACCTCCCCTCAACCACAGGCATCTGGACAGCTGGCGACTGGCACACAAAAACAGGGTGGCTTCATCAAACCGTATGAAGCGCAAGAGACTGCTTTAGTCAAATATCTGTGGTGCGCTTTGGTGATAATGGGCAGATTCGGTTCAATGGTAACAGGGCATGCTGCATGCTGCACGTGCAGCATGCTGTGCACCAGTATTCATACAACAGGAGAGATTTTTGACAGCAGGTACATCAGCCGTCCGCGATTCCCAACAATTGCATCCAAGAGTCCATGGATGGCTTTTCAACTCGCTGGTTCATACCTCCAAGAATACCCTCAACACGAATGTACAACCAATCATCCTTTGGCGAGAGCGAGCGATGTATAGTGTGCATGTTGTGTCACCAGCGCAGTGGCACCGAGATTGATGTCTACCTATGCAGTGAAGGAACGAAGACATCTGCTTCTTTGTTCGTAGGCATCCCAGAAGCCGATGCCGTATTACAGCGGCCTTTCGATCAAGAGGATGATGACTGGGTGTTGGCAGACCCTGAGAGCAGAAGACGCTGACACAAGCTGCATGTATATACTATAGACGCAACAACTACACTCAATGCATACGTTTATTTACGCTTTATTGAGCACAGCGACAGAACGTTTGGTGGTCAAACAATTTGACATCCTCGGCTGCGTATTAGGGTTGCGGACTCGGCAAGTCGAGGACGGAGTATCCGTACGCATCCTTGATTCTGTATCAAATCAAGTCTGACGTGGGCGGCGCTGCTGACCTCATCGATGAGCGTCTTTTCGCGCCGGTGTCATTCCTAGGTTCCTACAATCGTCGAATCAGGATGTGCCGTTCGGATCGGCTAGGAAGCATTCGCCCAGGCTCGATGCAGCTATGATGCTATGAACAAATCATATCAAAGCCAATGGGGGCCTCCACGCAGTGCGGCTCACTCTCGTCCCATCTCCTCAGTCTACAATTGTGTACCTAAGGGAGACATCACTAACTAGGCGCGGCCTTTGTCCCCGTCGCGTGACAGCCCAAAAGTGAAGGCTGCAGTTGACCTTGCCAGTTGAATTCGGGTCTGAGGTCGCACGCAGTACGGAGTACCTGGACCGCCAAATGTAGGAACTATTATCCTGCCACACTCGGTTCCAGAACGACGGAGAATCGATTCCCAGGGCGATATCTCGGTTGAGAACATTTTTGTCATTCGGCAACTGCCACAGCCACTGCTCTTGACAAGAGCCTCTTCTTATTCCTCACACTCTTTCGCCACTTCACCTACTCTTAATCCTCTCTACACTTTTCACTGTGTTCCACCTGAATACTCCTCCCTCACAATCGCAGTGTCAGTATCAACCATATCCAACAGATACCTGATTTTGATTCGAGACGGGCTACCTTTCAGGGTTCCACCCCACCCATACCACTGAGACTTGTCTCCAGCAAGCAACTCGAAAACTGGGAATCACTTGGGAGGGATTGACCGCCAGCCCATCGTGCTTCGGCATCTACTTTCAGGACTGGGAATCTTGGATATATCTTCCTTACAACTCATCAAATCCCAATCGATCCCTCGAAGATTCCTATCTTCCCCTTCCTCCCACTTTCGAACCCCCCACCCCCACCTTCCCCCATCAGAATCCTGTACACCTGAGAGGGGCAAGCAAGACGACCTCGCAGAATGACTTCTCTGATTTTTGGCTCCATCTACCTGGGCCACAAAGGCATTGTTAATCACCGTCGCGAAAAGCAGAGACAGAAGAATTATCAGCGATGGGAGGGGTTACGAGATGAATACGACGAGCAGAGAAAGGTTAGCCGGGAATCGAGGTCCTTGGACATTCAACGCACAGGCCCCGACTACGCCAGAGACGTTGAGCTTGATCGGCCCATCCTGACCCTACGAGATCAACAAGAAGCGAATGATGCCCGCACTAGTTGGCGACCTCAGGAAAGCTTTGATGGCTTAACATCTCCGCAGGCTGATCGACGCACTAGTGTTGAGGTCGCATCTGGGTCTGGTCTTAGGCCATTAATGCAGCAAAACAAGACCGGCTCGACCTGGGACGACGGTCTTCCACAACGCTTGAAAGTGAGTCGCCGCAACTGGGACGATTACCAACCATCTGGTCTGAGTGAAAGTGTCAGCCGAAGTGGGAGCATCAAGGGAAGAAGCGCTGCAGGTACCCCGGGTCCAGAAAGAAGCCCCAGCAAAAGCCCAACCTCTATGAACAAGCAAGTCTCTCCACACCCAGACTACTCGGCACAAACGACAGCCTCCCATCTAGCAGACCATCGAAGCGTCAGCATGCCAGCACAGTCAAACCATCAACCAAACGCCGAACCCGTCCAGTATGCGACACCTGGTGGACTTATGGCGGAGCTGATCGAGTCTGGAAATGCATCACAGCAACGCCAGCAAAGTCCATTTTCCCAACCTTATCATCATAACTCTTACTCGCAGCCACCGCAGAATCTATTCTCTCAACCTCAGCAGACTGGAGCTTATGGAGGTTTCCAGGCAAGTCCTTATGGAAGCACGATTCCCGCTCCTGCTCCACTATCGCCCCCACAATCGCAGAGTGGCGGGATGCAAGAGTGGTGGAATCGCCCTTTGTAGGTTTGCTGGAAACAGCCAGAATGATCTGCTTCGCGACTGTGCCGATGCGGGTATTGCCACCAGGTCAGAGCGGTCCTACATTTTCCTACCGTGGACAACATATCGCCGTCGATCAATGCACCACCTTTCCGCGGGATCCACGTGGCTGATGATGATCGCCAGTGGAGCATAGGCTGGCGTTGCATCTATACTTGTGGATTCTTTTTTTTACGACTGACTAGCGAGGGCGTTCCAAGCGGCGTATTTTTTCGAGACAGAATTAGAAGACAGACGAGCAGCAAGGCCGAGTTTTCGATGGAAGTGGTTGTTTCCAGCCTACACGCTTCAGTGAACGATTTTCCTTTCCATCATCCTGCCGTCTTGACATTTTGGGCAGACACCACAGAGTATACTGTATATACTTTAAATAAATATATATATATATCATATATGAATCAAGTGTCATTCCAGACAGCGATCTGAACAGTGAACACCCCGCAATCTATCGTGACCGTCTACCATCAACCCCTAATTCATTACACACTTTCATCTATCCACCAGCTAGGAAAATGGGAAAATGTGGGGGGACTTTAGAGTGCCAAGTACAGAGTCCGCCTCCTGCCACGTATGGCCGCAACCTGTGAGGCTCAATTACGTGTGTGCCTGATACGCCACGGCGGATATTAGCTATTTCAAGGTAGATGTCCAGGCTTTTGTGGTATTGTACTCTGTACTGTGTATTTTTGAGGATGAGATCATTTCAAGCGCCCACTGGCACTGCAACCAGGCCCAAAAACGGCCGATACCATATGAGAGAACCCCCCAACCCCAATACTACATGCACAACACCGCAGATCAGACCAGACCAGACCAGACCAGACCAGACCAGGGGCTACGTCAGAGCACAGGGGACCAGTTACTCAGAGTCGCTCTGGCCTCTCACCCAGACTTAGATCTACTACCATTGAACGAACTGCCTCCCCTTCGATCCCACTCCAGAGAGAGCGGTTCTCGGGAGTTCAGCCCATTCAACTCAAGCCATCCCCTCGCCCCTTGGCTAAGTGCGACGGCCAGGTATATCCCATCCATCCATTCATCCATAACCCACTGCACCCCAGTAGTGTATTACTAGACTCGTCGACACATACAATGGACAGAGACCACACGTCCCATCTCTGAACAAGGCTTTTTTGGGGCCTTCGTTGGGCAAGTAGCGGAATGATACTCCAGAAACCCCACCTCCAAAGAATTGGTAAACGCCGAAGTTCCGAGTACACGTGAACTTCGCCCTCCGGCATTTGTCCTAGGAAAGAGCGGAAGGAAGGTCGGGTGGTCAAGCTTTTCTGCTTCTTTTTCCCTAGTTCTTGTCTTCTCGTATCTATGCTGCATTACCCGGCTTTTCTTGGGTATCGATGTGCTGCAGATGTCGAGTTAGTAAACGAGGTTGAGGTAGAATCAAAGGATGTGTTCCAAGGGGAGAAAACTTACCCAAACGACATAATTAGGTAGCCCTACAACTTGATAGCCAGCTCGTTTGGCCATCTTCGCGAAACCCTCTGTCTCCGCTTGATTTTCAAAAGCGTAGCAAGGGAAATTGATTCCTGGTACATTATTGTCAGCCGAGTCTCTCTTGCTTTCCGCCGTTCAAGGGCGAAAGGGAACATACCAGATCTATGCACATCGGCCTTGACAAGAATATTGACACCTCCAATTCCGTCTAGTTCTATCTCCTCATCTTTGTTGTTTCTCCAGTCACCCATGCGGGCCATGTATGTGCGTCCGGTATCGTACTCCTTGTAGCCCTCGGCGAGGACGACGTCTTTATCCAGGCTATTTGCAAGGCGTCGACCTTTGTCGGACTCCACCCAGGAATTGTAATCGAAACGGCCTTCGATATCACGTCCTTTGTCGTAACGGTGAAACCAAATATCTGAGATGGCGAGAATTAGTAGCTGCGTCAGAAAGCTCAAGTGTGAGAGTATTGCTTACTGGGTACCAAGATGTCCCGATCATGTGCGACAAAATCCTCAATGATCTTCTTTGGGCTGTCCACGATATCAACATCCCTCCAATAGACCCAGGCGTGCTCGGGTTTCAAGGCGGCAGAGAGCAAATAATTCCTGGCTTTGCCCATCTGTTTTCTCCGCGGTCCCTGAGCGGCGAAACCGTGTCGGGACTCAACGTCCATGTTCAAGCTTGCACCGAAATCTTTCTCCACGATCGAGACGCTGTGGAAAGGGATTTTGTCGGTCCTTTGTTGTATCCTGTCCAACTCGGACGCGAGAACTGCTAGGGTGTCATCGGAGGAGTCGCCAACCAAGAAGGCGAGGTCAATGAGGTCGTGGGGATAAGTAAGCTCAGTCAGGAGATCGAAGTATTTGATTAGGTAGGGGGCGGCGTCACGTAACGGCGTGAGGATGAGGACTCGTTCCCGGTTGCTCACAGCCCTAGGAGTCGAGACAATGGGGTTGAGATCAATGCGTTCGATGGTTGAAGAGTTGACATGGTAGGGTTCATGGTGGTTGAAGAGCACTGGGGTCTGCAGATGCTGATTCCAGGCCACCATTTCGTTGTTGGACATCTCGATCGGAGGCTTGGATGGTCCAAAGCAGTAATAACTGGAGTTTGTAAATCAGCAAACGTTGCGGGTCCTAATCATGTCTCACATACTTGGACATTTCGCGTGTTGATACAGTGATTCCCCGCCATAATAACACAATGAGACCGGTGAGGGCAACAGCAACAAGAAATCGGGTGCGTGTCAAAAACATTAAAACAGCCTTCCACGGGGGAAGTTTTGATTTGGCGGACTTCCAGGTTACGCCGCCTTTGGGAAGCAACATCGTGGCGGAAAGAACTTGAAAGTTGCACGGGAATTGAAATCGAGAAGGTGTATCGAAGACGCGAAAGGACGTAAAGGGGACCCCTCTAGGAGGAGGTGATGAGTATGGTGGCCAGGGCTGGGGTTGCTGATGAGGAACGAGTGGAATGGCCTGCGCAGGGCCAAAAGCAGGACTTCGAAGCGATGGAGGAATGGATTGGGTGGTCAGTACAGAACCCAGGGGCAGGCGCCGAGGAATGACCTGGGGCGCGAAGGATGGCGGACGTCGAGGGAAAGCAAAGAGAACCTGATGGCAATCTGATGGCAATCTGATAGCCACAGTCCACGGATGGGATATGGGGTGAGGTCGTCGTCGTGTCGTGGTGGTGGATGTCGTGGTGAGAAAGGGACCTGCGGACCTTTGGGGATAAGAGAATCTCACAACTTACGAATAAGCTCCACTTGTTCAAGTCTCAGACTTTCTGCTGGGGCAGCCCGGCGTCGAGCCCGAACAGGTTTAGCCGCCCGCCAAGCGGATTCCATTAGCGTCGAATTGCCGTCTCCACTATTTTGGCACGTGATGACCTCCTTAATACCAACATGTGGATTGCCCATTGCCAATTCCATCTATCCTCTCCTATTAATCAGTATTCAGGATTCAGGTACTCAAAGCTGAACGGGCTATGTCGATACACGTGCAATCTTGTCTCAGTCACAGTCATGCTCCCAGCCAGCTCACGAGTACCTTTCCCGCCTTATTCTTGCCGTCCTCCCACAATAATCCGATTACACTGGCCGTTTCTTATTATGATACAAATAGTCATCATCTATAATGGTCATCAGACCATCAACTCGTCGTGCCTTGCTAGCTCAATATACAGCCCGAAATCCCAGAATATGTCTACCGTCCCTCTATCCATCGGCGTAGTGCGTTGTGCTACATTTTGTTGTACAACTTCCATCTCCTGAAACCCACAATCCTTGCGTCGACATTGAAAATGTTCGTTTCATTGGTAATTTTGCGTCGGAACACTGTATCCATTTCTGCTGGCTTGATCTGACGAACTACTTCCCTCGACTTCCTCGATGCTCGGGGCTGGTGAAGGTGGCAGACTCTGCAAGGTTGACGATGGTCCATGAAAGTGGTAATGGGTTCGATACCGGTTCCAGGGACTGCTGGCTGCCGACTGACTGCGATCGAAATCGCTATTGCTCTCAGATGTATTGGCCGGTCCCTCATGGCTTCGAATCTCGTCGTGATTGACCTTGTCTAGTGTCCGCTTTTGGCCGGCACGCTCCAAGCCCAGGCGACTGCTGTGAGTAGAGCAACGACGGCTCCGTCCCGGAGACCAGGTATCCTCATGCTTCTGCCGTAACAAGACGACCTCGAGCAGTTCAAGCAACATCCACGCCACTTTCTCAGCCCTCTTGCGGCCATCATGCTCCGACTGCACCACTCTACCACTCAGCTCCTGTGAGTAGATGGCGGTGCAAAGCTGTTCGTCTTTCCCTGGCCCTTTGGCACGTTGGGTCCGAGCCTCTTTGCTTTCATCCGCATGTTCACCGCCACATTCTGCCGCGATATCAGGTGAACGGCTACAACTCTGGTTTTGGAACTCGCGGTGACGCTCACGCCTCTCTTGTTCTAGCACTGCGTGAGGTTTCTTCTCACCCCTGACTCCCAGTCCCAGCTTGCTTTCGAACCTGGGACCTTCGCATTTCTGCTTCTTGTCGTGAGGCCGGCGCGGAATAACAACACGGTCGCCGTAGGTTGCTCTGTTTGCGTCACGTTTAAAAAACGAAGCTACCAATTCGTTCATGTTCATCCCATGGATGCGGTCTTCCAGCTTTTTACAAAATTTGTTGCCATCCGGACTTGGCTGGTACCATCCCTGAGCATGAGCCGGCCTGAGAGTCCCACTCAACGCCTCGGACACGGAGTGCCTGACTGTGCTCAGGCCTAGGTCCAATGTACGATCTGACTGACTTCGAACACTTTGCAGCATATCTTCCAAGTCTAAATTTCCCAGAGTGGGACTAGAACCGGCTGATGATGGGTTTGTACCAGGATATCTAGATGAATATAGATGATGTTGGAGAGGCTTGCGAGGTGAGGTGTCGCTTTGTTCAACGCACCTCCAAACGGGACTCACTGAGGCCATGTATCCAGGTGATGGCGCTGGACCCAGTAAGTTTGTCTGACTAGACGTGTCACTTTTATCACTTGGAGAGTCTCTTCCCTCCGACGGCGCATGCGCTGTTGAGATTGTTGTTTGAGGTGGGTTAAGGTAAAGGTGATCAACCGATGGCACTCTGGACATGGTGATGGCCATCGTATTCGTATCCTCTTGCGACTTTTGAGTCGCGTAGATCGGGTCTGGTAGAGCACCATTGAGCATCTCCTGGATGCTGGGTAAATTTGGCATTGTGATTAGGTTGAGTTTTCTCCCTGTTCAACGTCTCCTATGGTGGGTACTGGGCACCTTGGTTTTCCCCAAGTCACTTTCGCTAATGCTGAGGATGAACAGAGCAGGGTCTCATATGTTACACAAGTCGAGCGTAAAGTTCTCTTTGAAAAGATGCCACCGCTATCGGGCTGATTGGAGGAGGTGGATAGCGTACAGCAATCAGAGAAAGAAGTTGGAACAGAGCAGCTCGCATGTATATGAGGCAGTGAGCCAACCTCCCTGACTCTTTACAGTGCACAACAAAGTCGGTCGCGAGATGATATTTCCATACGGTTGATGCTTCTCCACTCGCGGAGCACTGCTCCATTCAAGGAAGACTGATGGCCTGAAAAGAGGGCCAAAGAGGATCCAATCTTCCACTTTTGGGGGGGCAGAGCCTTGGGAATATGATCGATCGATCTTGCGTAGAGGGCGGAACGCACTGAATGGAGGCGAAATCCTCGCGCTTAGCGCCAAACGCGAGTGGACCTAGAAATATTATGTATCGCTTCTCCGGCAGGTCTCATTCAGCCATAGCAGGGTCACGGCTGAGGGAAAAAGGGACCTGGGTGCATCGACCAAGCCTCAGCCATGATAACCGATCAAGTTGGGGAGCCGGCGGCTTCATTCAGCTCTCAGGTACACAAGCCTGATTTTGGACCAATACGGATGTGTATGGGTCATCCTGACTCAATTGGTCCAAAAGTTGGTCCAGAGCCTTCATCACTCCCTGGGGTTGGTTACCCAAAAATGGCCATATTTAATATGCACGTCAGATGATGGGGTCGATGGCGACAAGCCCCTGACTCCACCAGACTACCCATAGTGACTATCAGATCTGTCTATGCAAGGGCGATGTGCGTAGAGCCTCGTCGAGGCTACTTGTCCAGAAGCAGGCCATCGTGCATGCGTTGAATGTTCAGGGGTGCGCAGATCGACAACTGACCACTCTAGATTAACCCCGACAAGACCATATCAGTTGATGGTCAAGTCTTCTTGCCGTGGCACTGAATGCTGATACTGAGCGATCGGTAAGGGACACAGTGGGTGTAAGCTCCTTGGACCGTTTCCATCTGTGCAAGATTGGGGATCCGCGCTATCGACCTCGATTGTTCTTGTGTGAGTGACCTCGTACTCGGTGCCTGGTCTCGGGAAAATCTGAGCTCACATTTGTTACACGAGGGGCGGGGTTGGTTCGGACCTGCACAGGTAACACACACGGAGACAAGCTCCAGGTACCAACATTCAGGAACAAGGACCCGAGTCTCTATTGGACCCTTCATATGTGGCGTTGCATTGGTCTGTTCGCACGATGGACCCGAGAACAATTGTTGTATCAGGGTATCACTCTGAGTCGGATGCTGACCGACTGACAGCCATGACTGGCACCACCCAGCTGGAGGCTCAACTGGAGGCTCAACGGCGGATTGTGCTACAAGAGGAATTTCTAGAAAATAGATTGGCAAGTAAATGTAAGATAAAAGTATGTACATTAACCGCATATTTCGAGTGTAAGTCATAAAGGCATAAGGGTATATATCCTCAGCTCCAAGGTGGATGACGCTCAAGCTTCCTCTTACCTCGTCCAACGCCGTCCAACCCAGATCATCCCCAGATCATCCGATCCGATATCACAGCAGACAGAAGCCTCGTCCCATCGGCTCAAATACCATCATGTAAAATCGGCCCAAGGCTCTGGTATGACAGCTGCAGCTTTGATGCAGCTGGTGGCATATCCAATCATGATCTTGCCATATTTCTAATCATCTCCTGGGCCCTCCAATAGTTGTCTTGATTCGTCGAGTCGCCTTCGCAATACCTTCACGGCCCGTACTTCTTGCTTGTTTTCGGACTGCAAGATCTGGTTACAGACACCGCCCACAGCGCGCAGCAGGTCCAGAACGAGATCCTTATCGACATCTGAAAATGTCATCGACCCCTGGTCACCACCAACCTGGAAATCCGGATCCGCAAGTTTGATTAAGCTTTCCATTAGGATCTCAGTATTTGCCGGGTGGTCCACCTGTTGTCCATTAACAACGGGTTGTTGCTGCTTTGCAACGCCATTTGCTGCTGAAAAGCTGCCGTGGGGCGAATGCACAGGAGGCGTGGGGAGTCCATTAGTGACAATTGTTCCCAGGCTCTGGGGGTTTCGTGACGACTTCGCCTGACCTTGATGAACACGTCCTCCCAATGGCGGAGTGGGCCAATTCAAGGGTGTCTTCTCCCGCCTAGGACTGATGGGCGGTTGGGGGAAGCGGGCGCCATTGCCCCAGTGCAAGATCTCATTTGGCATTTCATCTTCACTTCCTTCAACTTCATCTTCCTCGCCTTCGGTCGCAGTGGCAAAAGTAGCAGCTGTAGATACAGAATCCATGCTATTGCTACGTGCTGCTTTCATCCAGGGTTGAGCGGGCTTCTTGAGATACAATGCTGCACCCTCTCCCTGAGACAGCTGTGGGAATGATTCCTGAACAGGAGTCGCCGCCCCTCCTTCAGTACTGCTTCCATCGACTTCATCCGCCACCACCTCCTCTTCATCATCTTTGTCGTCGGTGGGTGTGTTTTGATCCATCCGTGTTGTGACAACGCTGCTTCCATCGCTCTCAGAAGGAGTCAGACTCCTGGTTCCCGAACCAGTGTAGTTTCCCATGGCGCTGTGGAGAAACATATTTTCATAATCGAAAGCATCCAACCGGTCTTCGTGTCGCCCAGCACCACCATCGTTGAGCAGATGCTCTGGCACTTCCGGCACTTCCGGCTCAATTTCTTCCAGACTCTCCTGCAAAACTTCGTTGAGGTAGACTTGCTCCTCTTCTGAAGCGGCAACCGCGTCCTCATCGTCCAATTCTTGAGCAGCATCCTCGTAGTGGGACTCCTGCATTGTCGATTTGGGCTTATCACGTGTCAATGCTGACATAGGGATAGATTTGTGGAAGCTCGGTGTGTTTTTATCAGTTCTTGCATCACTCACTAGCCGCGAGTCATTTGTTGTAGGCTGCTCAATAGTAAGAAAAGTCTGCGTTTGAGGAGTTACAGGAGCGGCTTGCGCATCCAACATAATTGCCTGCTGACGAGAAGGACTCCAGCCCATGCCGGCATTGGTATTGATCGGACTACCACCTTCCCTGTATTCTGGCGCGCTAGTGTACCACTGCTCGGGGGTTTGGGCAGCTGTGAAAGGACTGGGTGTTCTCATGCTCTGGGCGCTACGCCTTCGCATGCTGTCTGCCTGAGCTTTATCCTTCAGATCAGAAATTCTGGCACGCAAATCGGTCATCTGGTCCCGAATCTCCTTTGTGGACCGACTTGACATTGCCGAAGATGAGCGGGCTACAGCAGTGGTTGGACTACTGGTGATAACCGAAACGGTTTCTTTCGAAATTGCGGCCAAGGTATTGATACCCAGGCCGCGGGGGGCATTCTGCTCGGGTGACGTTTTGATTGTGCTTGGAGTACCCTCCTCTTCTTGCAGCACTCTGAGCGGAGAGTTGAAACTCCGACTACTGGCAGGAGAAAAGCCAGCAACCCGATTTGACGGAGACATTTGGTACTGCTGCGGAGATTCTTGTCTTCGGCCGTATTCGAGGGCACTGGCGGACCTCTCAGGAATCATCGACAATCGTTTTAATCCTGTGTTGGGAGTGGTGTCACTACCACCTCTCGTGTGAATTGCGGAATTTGTTTTGACGACAGGATAGAGTGGGCGAGATTTGCGGCTGCTGATACCAGCGAGGGAAATGGAACGATACAGCCCGCCTGCAGGCTGGTGAAGTTCCGACATATTGGGGGAGGAGCGCGGAGACATGAGAATACTATGCCTAGCCTTGCTGAGATTATCCTCCATACTTGTCAGGCGTTTTCTGGCATGTTCAAGGATTCTTTCGGCGCGCTCGTTGAGTAGGGCCATCTCGTCCACGGGGCCGGCAACCGTGGTACTATTCCGTTTGCTGTCGGGGTCATCCACCTCATCGTCTTCCACTTTGGCCACATCTGCAGCTAGCCTTTCGTTCATCATCTTGGAAGAGTCAAAATCTTCCCAGTTTCCCAAGTCTGAGCCATTGCTGGACGAGGACTGGTTGCTTAATCGCCTCGATTGAACCGGAGTTTTTTCAGCTGGCGTGGGGGAGGACGGGCCTGAGATAGTAGAAGTATAGCTGAACCTGCTACTCCTCTTTGACACGGGGGTCTCCTCCTCGCCGATGTCGCTCAAGGGCGCACCGTGTTCATAGCCATTGAAGTTGGTGTTGATGGAGGGCACAATGCGCGCGGGCGCTCTGACGGTGGTGGCAACCCCCACTTCAGGTGAGAGCTCTGCGTCTCCCAGTGCCGAGCTCAAAGAAACAGCTGAATCCGGGCGCGGAGGCAGAGTTGATTGCTGCAGAGTTGGCGACGAGGCCAAAGGCGTCGGGCTGGAGCTGAGGAAGGGGTTGTAAGGCAAGATCATGTCAGGGTTGGTCAATGTTGGCGAGGGGGGAGCATCGTAGGATGGGATGTCGCTGGATTGGGGGTGAGAGTGGGCATGAGGGTGATTTTGAGGATAAAAGTGTGCTGTACCAGCCATTTGTTACTGGCGTGGCGATGATGGGTGTTCCTCGTTCTCTGGTATTTTGAAGATGCCGCGATGTTTCACAGGTCCATCAAATCCGAGCGCAGGTGCGGGTCGTTTTCTGCGTCATACCAATGCCAATGCCGGCGTCAGTTCTAACAAATGGCAGAGAAGCGGCAGAAAGCGGTGATGGTCGTGGTAGGAGAGCATGGACGGCCGCTGATGGCGTGTGCTGTAGCCGGTTGCAGGTCGCAGGAAAAGATCGTGCAAGAAGATGGCGAGGCGACTCAGCAATCGGCACTCAGCACTCACACAGGTGTCATTCCCAATGAGATGAAAAGATCGACCGACAAGCCCCAGGGCAGATTGCTCGAGCCAGGATCCTGGGGTTTGCGGCTTGAGGCACCTCCGTTCTTTGACGTCCAGGGTGGAGTTGGTCGAGAAAGTCAGCTCGGCAGTGAGAAGCAGGAAACAGGAAACAGCGGCACCCACAGCAGCCAGCACGATTGTAGCCGAGATGGCGCAGCGGGAGGAGCAAGATGAGTGGTTGCAACCCCTGCAGGAGCTGTTGCTCGGCGTGCTGTCCACCCTGGACTCGTCCCCTGTGTGGCCTAGACTACTAGCCTAGCTTCCCCCGACCCCTGCCTACCCAACTCCCGGCACCCCCATTGTCAGGTTCGTATGGTTAATCCAAAGCCTAAAGAGAGGACTTGAGGGGAGCCTCAAGCCTTCCGGGGCTGCAGGACACCCAAGGACACACACCCCGAAAGCCTATCCAAAGCGACCCGGGCGGACCCAACAAAGCTGACACTCCTTCCCACCTCCGTCATCATTATTCCTCTCTGGTATCAGAAAAGAACCCAAAGCTGGTGCGAGATTCGAAAGAACAATCTATCCATTTTGGGCTAGAAAGTAAACGACAAGATGTCCGTTGAGTTGGAGCCTTGCTGACGCCTCTTTATATTCGGGATCCGTACTTGGTACTCCGGACTCTATCACCAGAATCCTGTGGTATGCAAGGGCAGCATCGCAAAGAATGCCTGCCTTTGTTCTGCTCCCTGCATCCCCATCCGATCTTGAGGCCGTTGCTCGCGTCCAGTTTGCTGCGTGTGCAACCGATCCTGGATTTAGCGTCATCTTCCCTAAAGGCAGCACATTGACTTCCATCACGCACTTCGTGCAGTCGTATGAGGATGACATGGACAATGACCCTTCCTACCATATCATGATCGTGAAGGAGGCCATGTCCGGGGAAATCGCCAGTTTTGCGATTTGGCACTTCTTCCCCCCTCGCGACCAGAACGAGATTGAACAGGAAATGCTGCTGGAAGACTTCCCACTGCCAGAGGATTCAAACAAGGAGGTTGGCTGTAGGTTAATGCACAATAGCATCAGGAAGCGCCATGAACTTGCATCTGCATTTATTGGGGTTGGGCGACCTTATGTTTGTGAGTCTTGACTCTTAACTTCCACGAGTAACTGCCACCTCCCCAGCAGCTCGAGCCAGCAACAGTTCCCCATCCCTATCCCTCAGCGTGGCTACTGGCTGATACCACAGTTCAGACTTGGCAGCTCTAGGCACGTCTCCCAAGTATCAACGGCAAGGTGCGGGCGCGAAGCTGCTTGACTGGGGATTGGAACGCGCCGACGATCGAGGCTTGGCAGTCTATGTAGAGGGCACGCCCGCTGCTGCACGCCTCTACGAACGTACTGGCTTCAAAGAAGTTGACCGATTAAGGCTGGAAATGGATCCGGGGGGTGCGGATGAACATTCCAACATATGTATGATCCGAGAACCTCAATCATGACGGCACTTGGAAATCAAACAATTCTATCTAGTTCCGTGAAAAGGAAACCAATCATTTATTCCGACAACGCAGTCCTAGCTCGACCCAACACACTGATGGTCGTTGATAAAATAATTCTGAATAAGTCTCTCAAAGATACCTAGGCACTTGACTGTCTTCAACCAGTCCTTGGAAGCATTGACAATTGAGCCTCGATATCTGATTGCCGTTTGAGCGCTCGATCCTCAGAGCGACGGAAGTATGCTTGGCACACAAACGGTGCTGGAAAACTATCAACTGTAAGTCGCTGACGGCAAGCCGCCTCCTCGCAGGAATGAAACAATCAAGATCATGAGTTTGTCTCCTGAAGGCATATATCCGAGAAAACGAAGTTCATGGATGAGCTTCCAAGTCTTAGATGACACGTTAACACCAGGCAAGTCAGAGCACCCCGTGCCACAGCTCCTTCGAGCAAGTATTACAGGATTGGGAAGCTCGCTCCTAGAGTTGGACTTGACCTAAGATTCATATTGAACACCCCCCGGCATTTCCCTCTGCAAAACCTCGCGAGCGGAGGCTATGTCCCCTCTCTTTCCAGCACGGAAATTGATATCTGGATCCTACCTACACCAGCTGCCAATGACGACAATACTCTACGAAGACATACGCCTGCATCAACATTCAGGCACGGCCGAGGAAATACGGCAATGTTACCTATCCAAACTATTTCTTCGTCCACGAGCAGTAACTCCACATCCAACATGACAGGTGTGTTTTCCCAAACTGACGGCTGGGCGCAAACACCGGGCGCGAGTGGTTAGTAAGCAGCTGGGCGCTCGTCCTGCTAGGAGCTATATCGTGCTTGTTCGCGGTCTCGTTACACATCTCGTGGCCTACAGGGCACAAGTCCATATTCCTCTGCATTCTCTTATCGTTATCACAAGGTCTGCAACTGGTGCACTGGCTCCAAAGCACTGACAACTTGGCCGGATACGGTGCTGATGCGATTTCTCAGATCGCTAGTCGATAATGCCATTGGGGTTAGAAGATGTCGATGTTGTCCCAATGGCATTGTAAGACGTGCTTTCTGGCATGATTGACGTTCTGTCTTCCCAGGATCAAGAGCAATACCAAGGCAGGTGAGATTTGCTCGTCTCAATTCGTGTTGAAGATGTGCAGTCTGACATCTGTCACTTGAGATATGCAGATAACTTTATTACCCCTGAAAAGCTTCACCTTCACGCAACAGATGATGCGGCTGCCGCCATTTCCGTGGCTGTTGAACAATCCTTCCACTCACAGGCTGCCGCATGCTTCCTACCTTCGGAAATACCCAACGGGTGTGAGGCCTCCCTGAAAAGCTTTACCGTCGGGCAGAAAATGGTTTGACATAAAACCTGGCATTCAGATTGCCATCACGAAATTTACATGCATAGCGAACTGTCAACCAGAGTCTTACCGCACAGCTTACTTCTCCCTCAATCTGGAAGAGGATGGACGTACGTAGATCTTGCCCTTACAGAGGCTCTGAAACATCGTTGCTACACCACCCAGAATAACATCAACAGATCTGCCTTTGATCGGACTCATGTTGAAAAGTCTAGACCTTGATACGCCCATACGACTTGTGTGCTGTCGTTTGCAATGTGATTACCTTGGATCTGTGCGGCAAGTCAAGAGTCAGGAGCTTCTGCGCAAATTTGATCCTCTATTGCCCGTGTGGCAACAAAGTCACAAGTCCCGTCTTTGAACAGGCTAGCTATCTTATGTCCATTTTCGAACTGTCAATCAGAATTGCATATCACAATCAAGCTCAGGGGATGAGTCATCAGCTGCATCGTAAAAGTCGCCGACTTCCACGCTCTTCGCACCAGCCGAGCAACGTGCATTGCCAACACGTCCCAAACCCATCTGACATAGCTGTTTGCTTCCTGGGTGCGCACTCGTGGCTCACCAGGTACACACCATGACGGACCAGTACCAGCCTCTTGTCAAAGACGTAGCCCAGAGTTCACATCATTCAGAAAAGCCTACAGATTACGATGTTGAAGCGAAAGAGGTCGCTGACCACGATGACGAAGACGACGACATTGAGCTTAAAGAAATTGATCTTTCTAGGCTCCCAGAGGAGTCCAGGCCGAAATGGTACCAACTGCCGCAATTGAGAGTACGACAAAATTGGGATATATCGTCAAGATTGGACCTTGCTAAAAGGTGGGACAGCGTACCGGATGTCAAAACGTTGGCACGGCTCGTCTTGTCCTACGCGGTTACTATTCTCCCGCGCTACATGCAACCAGGAGGCTTGAAGGTCAAGAAAGAGCTACATCCAACTGCATACCTCGACGCAGTACGTGGCTGGGCCGCTCTGGCAGTGTTCCGCTATCATGGCATAGCAAATAAAACATGGCTTCTCGAACAGCCTGTCTTCCGAATGGTCCTCAACGGTCGGGCAATGGTCGACGTCTTCTTCGTTATCTCTGGTTATGTGTTGACATATCGAATGCTCAAACTGATCAGAAACCGGCAGAATGGACTGCTGAGGGCACTTGCCTCATCGACCTTCAGGAGATGGTGGCGCCTCTACGTCTCCACAGGAATTGCAACACTCATTACCGCAATCTGGACCTATTGGGGCTGGTGTCAGCCCCAGTATCGTCAGCCAACTCTGTGGCTCCAATTGATTGATTGGGCATGGGACTGGGGCGCTTCCAGCAACCCTTTTGGTGATATCAGAGGGTGGTGGTATGCCACAGTTTTCCGTACCAAGTATTTGGACCAGATGTGGACCATCCCCGTGGAATTCCGAGGTAGTCTAGTGGTGTTCTGGTTCTGTGCTGCATCCGCCTATCTTTCGACTCGTGGCCGCAGAATTTTCTGCTTGGTCGCCATTGCCTTATGCTACTATTGGGGAGCTATCTATGCCGCACTCTTCCTTTTGGGCGAAATGATTGCAGATTACTCGTTCGATCGCCATCCGGAACGACTCCAGCGCATTCGACTTCCAACACCGCAAGAGTCTGAGGGATGCTTGACTCCAGAGCGCCGTCAATCTATTCCTTCCAAGATCTGCTATACTGTCCTTCTCATAATCGCCATGTTCTTGCTTGGCCAACCTTCCGACGGCTACTGGGCCATTGGTCCTTTTCCTTGGCCGTACCTTAGCAAGGCTATCCCATGGTACTACAACGTGGAGCTAGGAGAGCACTTCTGGCTTAGCTGGGGTTCGGTGCTATTCATATTTGCTCTCGACAATTGCAGAATGCTCCAGATTCCGTTCGAATGGCGCTTTTCACAATATTTGGGGGACCTGTCCTTTGGGATTTATGCCATGCACAACAGCTTACTCTGGGTCCTTTACACACCCATTGTTGAGCCATGGCGTGCCAGTCATCTGGGAGATGGATACTGGTCTGGCCTCCCCGGTATTGTTTTCACCACTTTGGTGCTGCTATGGTTGGCAGATTATTTCACACGCATCGACCAAATCGTTGTCAGAGTTGGAAGATGGTTAGAAACCATGGCGTTCATCGAATGGACTTAACTCCGCACACCAATCGACCGGGGCCCTCTAGAATGCGTTTCTTTGATTAAATGATGTTGTGGTACTAGCGATCTGATACCTTTTGTTTGACGAAGTGCACGGCTCTATCATGTGGGTTGCCTTTGCTTAACGACTATGCAACTCTACGGTCTGGGGGCTGTCAATTATCAAAGGCTTGCTCACTTAGCTCAAATTAATTCGAATTACGATCCGTGAATACGCTTGCCGTAGTGGAGGCCTGCTTCGATATTGCTTTAATACTCCACTCCCGTCTGGGAGGCCTATATTTGGCTTTAATCCCGTTTCGCTTTCGCCAGGCTGGGCACAGGGGCGATAATTTCTCCGAAACGCGAAGCATGGCGTGGCTGCCGATACTCTTCGACATATGGGATACTTGTGAACTATACACACACGAGAATCTCTACTACTATTAGCCACTTATGTCTCCGCAACCGTGAGCGCTGCTCTCCACCTCGTCAGCAGCTTCTTTCCCACAACTGCCTCAAGGGTCTCGGTCTTGCCACCAGCACCATGATTAGCAAAGGTGTACACTGGGCCGAGTTTCTCTTCATCGCCCGCCTTGAAGGGCTCCCAATCTAACTGACCATAGCAGAACGATATCCAATCTCGCTGAAGCTGATGCACCGCACCGGAGTATTCCTTCTGATGCTCCTCGCCTACCAGATCCGCGGCCGGGTTGAACAGGAATAGATCGCTGATTGCGTGATTGGCTTTGCGGTAGCCGAGTTTCCAATTAGGGTAAGGGTTCGTCGATTCAAATTCGTACACGTATGTTTTGCTTTGAGCCTTGAGAGCTATCAAAAAGGGTGGGATTCGGAAAATCAGGTCGGCAACAAATTCGGCCCACGTCTCGCGATCTTTGGTGGGTGTTTCAACGGTATCTTGGATGCCGTAGGCTTCCAAGACTTCCGCTGAGAATAGCTCATCCGTCTTCGACGTGAGACCGATCGGCCTGAGCATAGTCAGTGCTGTGTCTCGCATGGCCTTGTCGCTCGAATTGGCCGGGTCAAGCGCCCCGAGCATAGCGAGCGTCAGATCTTGCTGTATCGGTGTCAGTGTGATAGAAAGCTTCCGAACAACGCGAGGCTTACTTACCTCATATGCGCATGAGCCAATCATGAGCTCAACTGATGTTGGCCTTTCAATGAGGTCGGTAACCGTCCTCCCCTTGATCCAGTCATTGTCAATTACAGGATTGTAAAAGCCCGACGGGGTCTCCTCCACAAATCTCTGGGCTGGAATCGACTGCAAGTCTCTGATCACATCGTTACTACCCATTGGACTGTACTTGCGTGCAAAATTGCTAAACTGCTCTTCGTGATAGGTGAGAGGCATGGCTCCTATGGCTAATGTCGTACCACTCGACAATATCGCTCTTTTGATTTTGGTGTCTTTGAACTGTGTCTGGAAATGGCATGAAGCACCACCAGCGCTACCTCCTTGAATGGTGATCATGCTCGGGTCTCCACCGAAGCCATCGATGAATTTGAAGACCCATTCCAGGGCCTGCCGCTGGTCATGAAGGCCATAGTTCCCAACCGCTTCTCCAAAGGACTTGTTGTAAGCCTCGAGTGCTGACGAGGCTAGGAAGCCAAGGGGTCCCACGCGGTAGTTGATGGTGACCACAACGAGTGGTCGACCCAAGGCAATGCTTGTCTGAACTAGCCTCAGACCGTCATAAATCTCACGACTGGCCACCTGAATGCTCGAGCTCCCAACCATGAAGGCGCCTCCATGGATAAAGACAAGCACCGGGACCTTCTTGGCGCCTTGAAGGGCACTCAGGGGTGCAGTAATATTGAGGTTCAGGCACTTGAACTCGTCAGCTGTCGGTCTGCTCAGTGCAATGCCGTCTGGTGGCAGTGTCCCAGACCAAAAATCGGGAAATGGAAGGGCCTCCGTGTGAGGGCAAGTTGAACCAGGTTGTGTGGCATCGTAGGGCTCTCCTGGCAAGGTTGTCCTCAGTATTGACTGTCTGAACCGAGCAGGGATATCTGCAAAAGGAATGCCTCTAAATTGCACGATGTCGCTGCCTCTGCCCGTCCCGTGGAGCTCGCCCAACACCGGATGCCGGTATGAGAAACCAGAAGCTGGCTTGCTGGCGTCAATACTCCCCATCTCGACAGTGTTCCTTCAAGGATTGCGGCACTGCTTGCGCTTAACCCCCTTATCCAAGCCAGTATGCGCCTTATATCATCGAGATGTGTCTTTTGTCCTCACTCACAACCAGATCACCAGATGCCGTGGAGCACAGCCGGATTTTACCTCTTGCCCCAAAAGACTCCACAGATTCAGCGATTCAAATTGCTACTTTCGCTGTCTCGGGCGTCGTACGACAGATGTCTTCGAGTTCGAAAAGGTTCATCTCGGTGCTCTCGGCGCTGTCGGCCGTGGCTTTGAATTTGTTAATCTGCCGAAGACGCCCTGTGGAGCGTTCGGCTACCTCCCCCAGCTTTGCCCCTTGCATCCCCCGCGATGCACTGGTATTGACTTTTTGCCACGCTTCAGAGCTTGATTGTTCTCCCAAGGTTAACAACTACCGCGACGACATGGTATTATAGATGAAGGCATCGAAGATAGATAAATATCATGCTCCCTTTACTCATGGCTCGTCAACGACATATAATCTCAATAGTAGGGATTAATTCTTATCGCAACAGATTACCACCATGGCGTCTTCGAAGTCAAGCTTCCGTTTCACTATACTACACAACCCTCGCCTCGCCCTGACAGCCTTCCTCCTGTCGATGGTCTTCTTCACCTTCGGCTACGATGGTGGAGTCATCGCTGGACTTCTCGCTATGGTTCCCTTCAACAAGCAGTATGGCAGCGGTCATGGACCACATGGCTTGACAATGCTCACTTCGACTGAGATATCTCTCATTGTGGCACTCCCCAATTCAGGCTGTCTCTTAGGATTGCCGTTGTCAGCATGGCTCGGCGATCGCATTGGCCGCAAAAAGACTTTACTCATTGGGTGCGGCTTCAATGCCGTGGGCGCCGCCATCCAGACTGCTGCTCCGAACTTGGCCACTATGGTTGTGGGGAGATGGTTCACCAGTGAGTGAGATCCTTGTGCTGTTGCTGTTTAGCTGATATCCAGTGCAGATGTCTCTATCTTCATGTTCATCACCATGGCTTCCAACCTCCTTGCTGAGGTCAGCCCTTCGGAGATCCGTGGTATTCTAACAGGCCTCTCCATCGTTCTGATCGACGCCGCTGCCATCCTTTCGCAAGGCTTGAACTATGCTTTCTCTACCGTGATGGCCAAATACTCGTTTCAGATTCCCTTGGGTATCCAAATCTTCTTTTCTGTCTTCATTTTCCTCGGTATCCTAACCGTGGACGACTCCGCCACGTTCTACTTGACCAAAGGTCGTGACGAGAGAGCGCTTCAGGCTCTACGAACTGTGCGCCAAGGCTATGAGGAGGCCGATATTTCGGCCGAGTTTGCATCCCTCAAGGCGCAAAACAATCTGCGTCAGGAGGAAGAATCGGTCTCCTGGAAGGATCTGTTCATTGGCGTCAACAGAAGACGCAGTCTAATCGCCTTATCCATTGCAAACGGTCAGCAGCTCAGTGGAATTGCTTTCGCAACAAATTATATAACTCTGTTCCTCAGCACGATTGGTGGGAGCGTGTCGCCCTTTACTCTGGCGATGGGTGCTGCTGTTCTGGCCTTTGGGGGTGCAATTGTGGGACTTTTTGTCGTGGACCGGGTCGGACGGCGCGTACTGGCCCTGACCTCATTCACCGCCCTCGCAATTATCAACTTGGTCGTCGGTGTCATGGGCTTCCTTCCCTTGACAAATCCTGCTGTGCCCAAAACGATCGCTGCGTTCTGCTGCATGTTCGCCTTCTTCTACGCGGCTGGTTTCGGTCCGCTGACCTACATTATTGCAGCCGAGATACCTACAGCGCGCCTGCGAAACAAGTCCAACTCGTTGACCTTCTTCCTGGTGGCAATTTTCGCGACCATGGTCACATACGTGCTGCCGTACATCGCAAATGCCGATGCGTAAGTCAGGATTCCCGCGAGGTAACTCTAAACTGACCATAAGACAGCGCCAATCTTGGACCAAAGACCTACTTGATCTTCTTCGTCTGGATGGCTGGGTGCATAATCCTAACTTACCTTTACTTGCCCGAGACAAAGGGGCGCAGTCCCGCAGAGCTGGACGAGATGTTCGAGGCAAAGCTCCCTGCACGTAAATTCAAGGGCTATGTCTCAGTGCTTGCAGTGGAAAACTTCAGCGTTGAGCTCAAAGCTGGTGCACAGGGTATTGAGACTGAAGGAAGCCAAATCTGCATGACTAATAGTAGGAGGATGCAAGTTCAATGAAGGAATATGGTAGTCCTCCTTGGAGTAAGCTGCATGGCCGGTCTTGTCCCTCAATGCTAGACAGGTATCTTTGAATGCTTAGCCTTTGGCAAGGTTGTCATGTCTTCGTTCGTAATTCCATACATCCGTCAGAGTGGTAGAATAGTGGGATCTCTTGTGGCGGAGAAATACAATAAAATCCATCAAAAGTCTAGATTAGTGCATTGAGCTTCATACATCAACACGAGGGCCTCCTAGCAAGCCCTACTATCCCGCAACCCAGGGAATATCCGAGATGACTTCCAGGGATGAAGCTCGTGGACCACACAAGCTTCTCCAGCATCCTTGGGCCCCGTGATCTGGACTACCGAAAAGTCATAATAGGCGAGGGAGTTAATCACATGACGCACCTGGCCCTGCACGGCTGTCTGGAGGAAAGTCGCACTCCCTTCGTGCTCTCAAGGCTGCCACTTTCACTCACTTCCGTGTCGTGCTCTTCAACTCTGATCTTCTTCTAAACGAGGTCGACTCTAGCTACTTCAGTTTCTATGCGGAAGCTGCTGTGAGAGACAATGTAACTCGCACGAGCCGCAGTCAAGACACCACCTCGCTACAAAGAAATGGGGTTGTCGCCTGGGAGAGGTGCAGAATAGATGGCATCTCAGAATTTCAAGCCCAAGACGGCTTGTGATCAATGCCGTTTCAGGAAACTCAGGTGCGATGGAGGTTATCCATGTGACCGCTGCTACAAGATGGACTTCGAGTGCTCCTTCAATCCCAGATCAACCCGTAACCGGCGTGTCGAAATGCTGCGTGGGCGACGGCAGCAATCTTCAGCTTCCCCTGGGCATGCCTCCGAGGACTGCTCTACCGATTTGAGGTTCCCTGCACCTCCCGAAACTTCAGTTCAAACAATCGTCGACTTCCAAGGAGGAGGGGACGGTGACGACCAACTACTTTCAGTGGATGGGGAGCAATCGGCCAGACCGCAGAGTATGGGTGTCCAAGGAGAATCCTTCGAGGTCGTGTCTTCACCGCACGCCGAAGCCTCTACTACCCAGCACTTGGACCAGTATTCTTCCATTATCCCGTTGGCCACCAGTCCAGAAGATTGTCATGTAAGCCAGCCGCTATTTCCGTCTCGTACCTATAGCTCTGCAGTCACTAGCAATCCTACAACGGATCGCTTGAACAGTCAACAAGTGGCATCGCCCGGCTTCAACGCAACTAGCCCTTTTTCTACGATGACTGCCCAAATCAAGACACCCTCCGCCTTCTCTGAGGGCGATGTCATGCCTTGGATCAATATCTTCTTTGATCGACTCTATCCAACTTTACCGATCGTCAATCGTTTCTCCTTATATCGGGATATTGTGGCTGGCCGCCAAAGTCAAGACCGCGACTTCACTGCTATGGTCCTCTCACTCTCCGCTTTAGCCCTCGTACAGCCAGTATTACGAGAGGAATACGAGTCTATGCCGTCCCGTATCACTTTGGCCACAAACATGCTTCAGGCCGCAATGAGATCGAGGACGCACACCTTCGGAGAGAACCTCACTGTGGTCACTGTAGTTGCAAGCTTCTTCATGTTTGCTGCTCTTTTCGGAATGGGGAACCAGAATGCTGCTTGGCTTCGTTTGAGGGAGGCCGTTGAGTGTGGAAAGATGATCGGTCTCCACCGCCCAGAAACCTACAGGTACCTGGACAGAGATGAAAAGGGCCAGCGCTTTCGATTGTTCTTGATCCTGTCCGTCACAGAACGAGGATATGCACTCCAACGAAATCACTACATCAGTTTCACTGGCCAGCACTTATCAAAGATGGATAGCATCTACAGGGAAATCGAGGCCAGTGCCACGAGCCATATCTCAAGCATTCTTGTCCATGACGACAAAGACGTCACAGCGATGCGTGGACTTCTGCAGCTGATGAAATTGTTTGATTCTGTCGATGAGGACGTCATCACGTGCTGGAACCGAAGCTGTTCAATTTCTCACGGCACCTGTACGAAGCTCACAACTGTGCAAGTCCAGAGAGTGTACAACGCCATATCTAGTGCCATGCCGCCAACTTCATCGCGGACCTCACGTTCGGATCAAAACACGGATGGCGCCTCGGCAGCGCCACAACCCACCAATTCTATCTTGAATGATCCTCAGTGGGCCGACTGCTTCGTGCTACAGCAATGGCTCTTCATCAGACTGTGGGTTTCCTGCCTGACACATGATTTGCTCGACGAGAACAGCAGCCTTCATTTCATTAGGCCATCGTTTGCCATCAATGTGGCAACGAATGTCTGGAACGAATGCCGCAACCTCGAGACCAGTGTCCTTGAAGTTCACGGTATTGGAATGATAGAGCGGCTGTTCGACGTTGCCATGGGCATTTGTATGGCCATCGAGCACTGTCAAGGTGCGGAACATGCGCGGGTCACCGAGTCAGGCGTTGCGACACTTGAGCACTACTTTGGCTTACTGGACCATCTACGAAATGGTGGTCACACCTTTAGCGCTGCGCTTCGAGAAGCGTATGAATCTATTCAGACGTGATGAGCTCGATTAATATGCCTATTTACATCTCATGATTGCCCAATGGATCTACTGCTTCCTACAAATTAGATCACTATTCCCTGCGCAGCAATATTGCGCTCGTCAGGCGAGATCAGCAGCTCAAATATGACCCAAGGCTGTCTTGTCCACGACTTTTGCCTCCTGGCTAGCTGCAGAAGTCTGATAACCCTTCCACTTGCGCACCGGAATGTTTTCCCTGTACAGCTCGTTGATCTCAGCAAAGGTACGTCCGGATGTCTCCGGCAAGAAGGCATAGTAAAAGGCCAAAATTGCCGCCACGATCCCCCCAAAGACAAGATATGTTTTGGCACCCAGGTCCGCTGCATCCGCTGAGACTAGCTGAGGAACAGCAAAAGTTGTGATTTCTGCGGTTGTATAGGCACATGCAAGTGTATAGGATGTGGTCATGTTCCGAAGCTCGGGTTTGGGTATCTCAGTTGGTAGTGTCACGGAAAGGGCATAAAACGATGCTGCCCAGAAGCCGTTGAACACGAAAGACAGGGCTGCAATGGCAATAGGAACATTGGGTTTGTCGGTGTAGAACGCCAGTGTCCCAGCGGAGATATCAATGGCGAGCAACACCGCCATCCCTATTATGGCCACTGGCCGACGCCCAGCACGGTCAACGAGGATTGGTGCCACCAGAGTGCCGGCAAGGATACAGCATGATGCCGCAATTGTGAGCTGGAAAGGATTGCCAACTCCAAGTGCAGTCAGGAAAATGGTGGCGTAGGTACTAGACAAGATGATACCAGAGCACTGGTTGACCGAATACATGGAGCCAGCGACCAGTGTCCGCATGATGTTATCTTTCTTGAAGAGATCCCAGAACTTGACTCCTGAGGTCAGCGCAAGCTCGCTGTCATGAGCTGCCTTCATCACCCGCAACTCATCGTCGACCAGTGCATCATCGAAAGCCCGGAGTTTGCGCAGGTTGTGCCTTGCCTCCCCATCGCGACCTTTCGTGATGAGCCAGAACGGGCTTTCAGGAATAAAGATAGTGATCGGAATCAAGAACACGGGTGCTACGGCTTGCGCGCCGAGAGGGATACGGTAGGAAGATGCTCCTGCATGTGAGAACGTGGCGTTGCAGATGACGGTCGCAATGACACCAGCGATGAGATTGAAGATGTTGCTGGAGGTAACTGCCATGCCTCGATACCTTGCCGGCACAATCTCCGAAAGGTACAAGGGCGCAATGGTCATGCCAGTGGCAATCATGGCGGAGTTGAAAAATCTCCCAGCCACGAACGCCCCAAGATTCGGCGCAAAGGTCTGTAGGAAGGTACCGGAGATGGATAGGACATAGGCTCCGATCACCACCCATTTTCGGCCATACCTTGTCGTCAGAGGTGCAGCCGAGGCGGCTCCTATGACAGCTCCTACCAGCTGGTACTGTTAGCGACGGCGATTTCCGCAATTTCTATCAAAAGGGCCCAAAACTCGGGTCTCACCGGAAGACAGAATACCAAATTCTGATTGCGTGCCGTTAGAGCCATCGCCCCTACTGAGTTCTGGTGGCCTTGGAACTTTTTGACCTGCAATTACTTAGCAAGAGGCTCCAATGTGAAGCCGCCGGGCTCACAAAGCTTTCCATTGCCGCCACTGGGCTGATGACCTTGTCTGTTCATTGTTAGCAAGCGGAATCGAGGCGAAGTTGAGACGTCTTTGCATACCATCGTAGCCAAACAACATGGAAGCCGCACCGAACGAGAGACATGCCGCGACAAGCAACAGGTTCCAGACTTTCGCAGAGTCGATATCGGATGAGAGCACGAGAGCAGTGCCATCCACATGTTGAATGCTACTCCGAGGCTTTTCATCGACTGCTGTCGATGCTGTAGTGTCGGACTGCTTCATACTTCGTGGCTGAACTCTTTCTTCAAGCCGAATGGCAGATAGAACTTTGTCGAGACTAACCTCCATGGAAAAGCTTTACTCTTATATCATACTGAAGTACCGATTGGCCCTGTCTCCCCACTCTGCTGTGAAACAAGTCAATCCCCGCTATTCGGAGCTTTCGGTCATCTCGGTGGTGTCGGTGGCGCTATCCTACCTGGGGGGCAGCTGGGGAACTAAGACTTCAGAGCATCATCCTACTTCTCCTTCGGATGTGGGTAGCGAGGCGGATTCTGGATGGGAGATCCACGGACGGGGAGGATTCGCAATCTTGGCTTTGAACCGATCACCTACCCAGCTCCCTCTCGTGGCTCCGGATCGGCAGGAGCAGTCGGAAAACTGCCAAGGTTGCAACTTGTTACGCTACATCTCACGGCACAGAGTTAGGCATAACTCAAGAGCCGCTGACCTCCAAAAGTTCAGCTCACGCCGATAGACGATCCCAACGTGTCTGTCTCCTCTCCCATCGGAAGAAAAACGGCAACCTCCCATATGACAGCTCCGTCATGTTCAAACCTGGGGGTAGAGCTTGAAAGCAGCTCAAATATCGACTTGATAATGGACGATAGTGATGTGGCACTTACAACTCCAGAGGATAGCTCAGCAGAGGCATCTTCGACGGATGAGTCCTTTATCGATGAAACCACAACTACCGGGTTCAAAAGCGACCACACATGCCGACAGCACGACGCATTCCGTCAATGGCGACCGCAATACCATATCTTAGCCCCTGGCGGTTGGATGAATGATCCGTGTGCTCCAGGCTACGATGCTAGAAGAGGCTTATATCATGTCAACTTTCAATGGAACCCTAAGGGCAATTCCTGGGGAAACATATCTTGGGGCTCTGCGCAATCTCCAGATCTGGTTCAGTGGACCGTGTCCCAAACTCCTTCTATAACCCCGACGGCAGCACTGGATATCTGCGGTGTTTTCACGGGCTGCAGCTTACCCAAGAACAACATCACCCATTCAATGACCGCCAGCGACAGTAAACTTACAGCATTCTACACATCGGCACAAAAACTTCCAATCAGCTACAGAAAACCCTACACTCGTGGCAGTGAGCAGCTTGCTGTGGCCATGTCTCCAGATAATGGCCGAACGTGGGAGCGATTATCCAGCAACAACATCTTGACCGAGCCGCCCGCCGGCTATGACATAACAAGTTGGCGTGATCCGTTTGTGAACACCTGGGAAGGCCTTGATATGCTGCTTGATGATGGAAAGCACTGGCTCTATGGGACTTTGTCGGGCGGCCTGAGGGGACAGACACCTACCATATTCCTGTACCGTATCGATCCGATCAATACGACACAATGGGAATTTCTATGTCCTTTAATCGAAATAACGCTCAACTTCAGCCCGTCGCAGTGGTCTGGCGATTTTGGAGTCAATTGGGAGGTATCAAACTTCCTCACTCTCCGTGGAGAAGACGGCACACAGTATGAGGTGCTCATCACCAGTGCCGAGGGAACTCTAGAAGATTTCACAGGAGCGGAGCTTAGCAAAGATCACCGGCAGATGTGGATGTGCGGAACACTTCAAAAGACAAGAGCCGGCCAGCCAGAAATGAGATATCGCTATGGCGGCACTCTAGATCATGGGTCCTTTTACGCTGCAAATGGCTTTTGGGACCCACGGAGCAAGCATTTCGTGACAATGGGTTGGATTTTTGAGGAAGACCTGCCTCAGCCCCTGATTGAGCGCCAAGGTTGGAGCGGATGTTTATCGATTCCTCGCATTGTCATACTGAAGACATGGAAGGGTGTAATCGGAACGCTGCGGTCTGAGTTGTCTGCTTTGACCTGCTTCGAGGACACTCTGGAGGAAGATGGCACCCATACCATGCGCACGGTGAGCGCTGTTCCAGACCCTTATCTGAAGAGTTTGCGGGGCTCTAAGATAACTGCGAGCAGGTCGCGCAACTGGGAATACTTCTTCAACAGGCCGTGTGGACAGTGGGAGCTCGAAGCTGCATTCGAGGTCAACGACAGCGCTCTTCGTGTTGGCTTCGATATCATCCACTCGAACGACAACGCTCAGTGCACCAGAGTGTATTTCGAGCCTAGGTCCGAGACCCTTGTTGTCGATCGCTCAAATTCAACAACCATCGAAGAAATCAACACCAAGACAAGAAGCGCGCCACATACGCTTTTCATTATTCAACAGGGCTACACGACCCGACGTGAGGAGCTGACACTACACTTGTATTTCGATGTGAGTGTCCTCGAGGTATTTGCAAATGCCAGGACTGCGCTCACAACCAGAGTTTACCCTGACGCGGCCTCTGGGTTAGGATCGTGTCTCGGTGTTCGGCTGTTTGTCGAAACGGAATTTGAATCCGCCTTAGCAGTGCGAGCCAGCGCAAGCCACGAGTTATCGGTTGCGCGCTGCGATCTTTGGGAACTCCATTCCGCCGTTTCCTATCCTTTGCACTGAAGTCTTAGCCTGTAGTCGACTAGACGTCGGATTCCAAGCATCGAGCAAGAACCAACGTATCTGGTGGGTCAACTTCGCTGCTCTATATCCCTTGCGCCAATAATTCATCTCCTGGGGTTTCTCAGTACCAGTCCATATGACATATCTAGCGGAAAACGAGAATCGAAACGCATGCGGCATGGGGTGGAGGTGTTCAGAAGAAGAAATCTTGGGATGTGCTGTCATCGGAGGATGATCCCGTCATTTTCGAATCATTAGATTAGAGTCTAGACTTGTATCATGAGCATTCCAAGTAGCCAATAACACCAAAGACCTGGCCTCGCGAAGAGCCAAGATCTTTAAAATCTGAATTTCGCGCTCTTCAAGGCCCGCTTGGCATTCGCGTTCTCTCTCTCCTCTTTCTGGTTATACCTCGATTCTGCGTCGCCGACAGTCGCATAATCCTCCGTGATCCTCTCCTCTCCCGTTGCCGTATCCCACCCATTGATGGTGCGATTGAACATTGCCAGGGCCGCCTCTGGCTGGTAGTAGGGCACAGCGTGTCCTGCATCGAAGACCCTCGTGAACGAGAAATTGGCATACTCCCTCGTATCGCCGTAGTTAGTACCGTCGACGAGCAGCGGGGTGTATCCCGCGGAGCGAAACTCTTCGATGCCCGTGTAGTTGAGGCCGAGCGATAGTGCCTCGCCGCCGTACCAGTTGCAAACATAGTCGGAGTCGCCGTACCATAGGGCGACGCGGACGCCTGCATCGAGGAGTTCCTCGAGCTCGCGGAGGAGCTTAGGGTTCGCATGGTCGCCGGTGAACCAGAACGCGGCGGTGACTTCAGTATTCACGCTTCCCGTGTAGTTGGTCGACACGCCCAGCGCCTGCTGAACTTCGGCCAGGTTGAGATATGCGGAGAACAGGCCCGGGGGCGGTGGAAACTCAGTCGCGTTGCGCATGTCGTACGTGTCTCCAGGATTGCCGTACGCGTAGTACGGGAGCTCGACGGTACGGCGGCAGACTGCATTGGCTTCGTTGCAGACCATGTTGCCAGAGAGAGTCGTGCCGTTGGTGAGAGCCCATGTCTCCCCGCAGACATCGATGAGCGCGAGACACCCGTTCACCTCCATGTCGAGAGAGAACTCCATGTAAGCGGCGACAGTCTCGTTTACTTCTACGCCGTGCGTGTTATTCAGAGCGAATTTGGGGTACGATGGGTACTGTAATCTGGCATCGGTCATGCCATTGATAATCGTTAGTGTTCCTAGTTCGAGCCGTACACCCTGGCTATCTCCGTCGCCGCTGACAAGTTCGTTTTGTTTTCGGAAGTAGTTGAAGAAGCCTGGTCCCCAGTGCCCGCCGTAGGATTGCGTCGCGAGGTGGAAGGTCTTTGACTCAACCACAGGGTCGATCTCGGGAAGGGCGGCGTAAAACGCTTGCACAGCTTTCCAGGCGTCGACCGCTGCTGTTTCCGTCGAATCTGTCGAACCATCAATATACAACCCCCAAATTCCGAGTTGGAAGTGTTCACTTACTAACGGCCATATAGTCGGCATCTGGAAATCTTCCGACTATAGGTGGCGCATCTGCGTCGCCTGTGGTGGTTGAAACATCCATGGAGAAGTCCTCCTTTTCAAGATCAGTCTCGACATTTCCGTAAGCTGATATATGAGGATCATCCGTACCGTTGTTCCATATGAAAAGCCAACTCCAACAGGCTGACTCATGAAAAGCATGTTGGACAGTTCATTCCATGCGTTCGGATTGGGTTCTGTGGAAAGCTCTTCATTGATCGAGCAAGGACCAAGCTCTGACTTTGCGTTAGACAGGACAGGGTCTACCTGGTAGGGACAACATACCTTCGAATAGCCCTCCCATTGCATCTGCACCTGGGCCTCCATTGAGCCATAGTGTAATAGGATCCGAGGCCGGATCACGCCTCGACTGGAAAAACCAAAAGAAAATATGTTTGTCTTCTGCGATATCGATGAAACCAGAGTATGACTTCACTCCTTCAGTCGTTTCGCAAATGCCAGGCTCTTTATATCGAAGGCTTATACCATCCTGGAGGGTTATGGTCTGGAGGTCATCAGCTAACGCCGGCAACTGTCCGAAAGCCGAGCCAACCACGGCAAGAACGGGTAGAGCCTTCCAAATTTGAGCCACCATTGTATGGATTTGCTAGAGTATTGTGTCGCGGCATTCTTGAGGGAAGAGTGTTGGATGAAGACTTTATACACAATTCGGAGTAAACAAGTTGCAATGACGCACTTCCTCCAAAGCAGAGAGTGGGCCCATCGGTGGAGCACGATGTTCAGGTACCTCCACAGCTGCAGCACACAGCCTGGTGCAGATCTGTCGTCACCGGAGCACGACAAGGCTTGGGTTTCTTGGGAGCGCTGTATATGGCCAGAAATGGTTAAGCGTTGGCGTACATCTCGTCGAATGCCTTTCTGACATTCCGCCCACGGTGCCACTAAGGAGAATCACGGCATGACTAACATCATGCCCAGCCTTCTCACTGTTGGCATTCCATAGCATTCATCACGGTTGAATAGCCAGGCTGAGGCTCTAATGTGTAGCCTAGGTAACTTTTGAGGTAGACGTGGCGCGCCCTAGCAGCACACTAAAGTCCGAGCAAATAGCATCCTTCAACAGCAGCCCATCACCGCATTCAGAATTTATGCATCCAAGATCTTCATACTCATAGTGGTACTCACTTGAGATCCACAGTGTGATTCGAAAAGGCAATCTTCATCGCAGCAGGATGTAATCTGGTCACTGAAATCGTCACTGAAATCAAGGAAGCTGAGGCCAGCCCTGTGACTTCGCCTAGCTCCCTCCTTTCGATCCAAGACTGACTTTCCGGGTTCCTGGCAATTCGATCAAGGATGCTAACCTGACCTGCGGATATTTCCATGGTGGGCGTCAAGGCACACTTTACCCATGGATCGACTGATTTGCGAGCCTTCCGGTCTACCACCAAAATTCAATTTACAATACGTCTCTGTAGCAAGTGCTGTGAGGCTGAAAAGAAAGCTTCTTAGAGATCCCGCATTAGCAGAGGAATTTCGATATCTCCGAATGGTCTTCTGTCAATCCCGTCTCCAAATGTATTATTGTTCGGTCGCTCAGCTATCTCAGGCATCCAAGATTAGAAGGAAAACACCTCTCATTACTTGCGGCCGAAGTGTCAATACTTCCACATCTCGAGACAATTTTCGTGAAGGCTGATAAGCATGAACCCCCACCGCGGTCGTTTCTGGCTTTTGCTGCTGGGTGACCAACCGAGCCTGTGGCAGCTCACTCTCATCGATACTAACGAAGCGCGGGGGGGGAGGGTGCACCCTGAGAGGCTCCACTCAGCCGCTATGATCGCTCTCTAGGAAAATTGAATGCGATTTCTTCCAGACAACATGCTGCAGTATTCCCTCATCAAATGCTTCGATCTGAAAGCAATGTTTCGGACCTGGCGTACTGTGCAATGGTTTGTGCTTTCACGAAATCCTCGACATTAAAAAATACCCATCCCCAGGTTCTCATTCATAAACACCTCCCAGGTCCCGAACACTCAACCTATGCCTTTTAGGCAGATTAGAGCACCGCCGGGACCGTGCCGTGACTTTCAAATTGGGCCACGAACAATCCCGCCGGAGCTGCAAGTCTGGTTTACTCGCACCTCTCAGACGCCATACCAACCCCCAAAAACTTGAGATTGATTCGGTCGTTTGCATGGGTCGCTGGATGTGTGAACTAGGACCTCGTTCTCGCCGACAACGCAAACTCCACGGCTTCGCGGACCGATTACCAAACGAGATCGAGGCATTGTCAATCCTGGAGGATTTAGAACAGACAGCTCTATCGAGCATTACTGCTCCAGGCTGGTTGGCAGTGACACTTTGTTCAAGCCCGGAAGAAACAATGCCACTTTCCTGGGCTGACCAAAATCATCTTCATTGAGCATACGGAATATGCCTCGGGATATAGGTGCGGGGAGCGAGGACCTTTCTCTGTTGTTACGGCTCACTCCTTGGGTGGAATGATAGTGGAATGCGCGCGGACCAATATGAATTGATGAGATACGCCGTTGGGAAGGTAGGAGTCAGTGTAGAATGTCTGAATGATGGTTTCTATCGAGCCAAAGGAGCGATGCCATCGTTTCTCTCGGATTGAAAATCAAAATTGGAACGTAATTTGGCGTTAAGAGGAACGTCTGTTCCAAGCAAGAATTAGCGTCTGCGCTCGAAAATGGTCTCTCAAGCCCGAGGCCGGTGCAAGCAGTGATGTTGGGGTAGTGACGATACAGGCTGACTTTGATGGCGAGGCTTCATTTTAGAGCCAACAAAGAGTGGCTGGGGGAAGGGGGTCAAGCTGGGTAGCGGAAAGCTCATGGAACAGGGTCTGAAAGCAGATGTGAGCCTTTGATTGCTTGATAAACAAAACAAATTTATTTTCTCTTTGCATCGAGGAAAGGGGGAAAGACTCATGCCACCACCATTTCCAGAATCTCTAGAACATCGCTTTTTTCCGTGATAGGCTTCGCATTCGTCTGGATCCAGTGGTCCTTGAGGCTGTTCTGCGCCAAAGCGTCCAGCTTCTCCCTTCCAATACCCACCTCCTTCAGCGTTCTCGGCATCCCCAACTCCCTAAAGATCAAGTCCAGAATGTCACCGAGATCAAGCTTCTCCACGAAAACCTGGTCGTCGCTCTCGTACTTAGCCTTGAGCAGCTCCTTGACGGTGGGCGACCTGAGGAGCACTTTCTTGGTGTACGCCTGTCGGTCATTGTTTGCGCCGACCTTCGCATTCCACTTACACACCGCGGGCAACATGATGCAGGAAGTCTCGCCATGGCCGACGCCGAGCGGCCCAAGCTGATGCCCAATCGCGTGGCTTGCGCCGAGGGGCACGCCGCTGCCAACGGCGCTCATGGCCTCGATGACGCCTCGCTGCGTCTCGAACCGCGCGGCTAGATCGTTCGGATCGCGGTGCGTGCGGATCAGTGACGGGACGAGCTTGAGCAGCCCCTTTTCGGCCTCCGCGTCACCTTTCTCGTTGGATAGCAGACTGCATAGCGTCTCGATGCAGTGATCCACTGCCCGCACACCTGTGCTCAGCCAGATTCGCTCGGGAGTCGTCGTGGTCAGTTCTGGGTCGAGCACCACCAGGCTGGGGTTCCGCGTGGGCGGCTCGAACAGGCATTTGCGATTGCTCCCGTCGTCTCGCGTCACGCCTGCGATGCTCTGATACTCGCCGCCGGAGAGGCTGGTTGGGATGGCGACGTGGCGGATCACAGGGTCCTTGAAGTCTCCCTTGGAGCTGAGGAGTCTGTCCATTCCCTCGGAGTCCGTGATGTCGTTGGCGAGCATCCACGCGATCACCTTGGCCGCGTCTGTCAGCGACCCGGCGCCCAAAGTGACGATGACGTCGGGTTTCTTGGGCGCGGCATCTTTTGCGATCTCAAGCACTTCGTTCCAGTGCGTGTGAGGCGTCATTCCGATCCTCAGGCCGACGGTTTTGTCGCCGAGAGTCTTTTGGAGCCGTTTCAGCGCATCGGTGTTTTTCGACAGCGATGCGGATGCAATTATGTACACTCGGCTGGCGTTAAGTGTGGCTTCGATGTGGTGTGCGGTTGCCTCGTCGAAGCGGAGACCATAGGTAATGTAAGGGATGGCTCGATCGTCGAATGCTGGCTCCAGATGGTCAATGCCGTACCGGAAGTCCATCGTGGTTTCTAGTGCGTCTGGCGTGCCTGGTCTATCAGTGCCTGAGTGGGGCCGGGCACTTGACCGTGGGTGCAACGTCTACAACAAAGATAATGGGGCAGACCGGAGATGTTGGGAGGAGAAAAGATGCCCGATACAGGTATCGCTCCTTCGGTTGTGGCAGCCCTCTAAAACAAGAAAAACATTGTGAATCTCAACTAGGAAGGTACCAGACATAATATAGCATTTGTAATGAGGGGCTTAAACCCGATCAAAGACTCCGGCCTATGAGCGTGGACCGAAAGGTCTGAGGGTCAAAGTTGGGGAGTTGTTGGTGGGCACGGACACACACTTCTTGGTACAAGAGGCTGCGGGGAACCGGAGAATTGGCAATGAGTCAAGGCGATCCAATGTGACAAATCTTCCGCCCGCGGTTCAGAGGAAAGGAAATGCCACAAAGCCGTCTAAGCGCAGAAGTTTCTAGACCAGAGGCCATTCTCTGGGTGTGCTGGACATGTCGTATCAGTGCGACGAGGTACGTGAACACGCACGAGATGCACGGTGAGGACAGCCCTGTTTGAACGAAAAATACCCTGGTCAGCGACCTCAACCTTTCCAGGAGTAGAGTTGCAACACGTCTCCCTTATTCTGAGCGAGCTTGACCGCGGATGCAAGCCTACCGAAACGTGCAAAGGTGGGCATGAGCTTGAAGCCTAAGAAGCCTGCACAGAATAGCTCCACAAGGAGTGGCGGCATAGCTCGCAGTAGGCGATAGGGGCACCTCACCTGTTTTCAACGCATGGAAGGCCAGAATTTTCGTAGCAATGGTGGCTCAATCTCCCGAGGGTTCATCATTCGTTCAAGGGCTATATACTTAGGGACGGGAATAGTAAGGGAGGTCGCTGGTCGTTCACCATCACGCGCAAAGGATCGGGAAACAGAACCAAACCGAGGGCACTGAAGAAGATTTGTTCATTGATGTCAGGAATGAATCATTTGACTGTGTCTCGAAGCTATTTGCTTTCTTCAGGCTCGAAAAAGTCCGCATGAGTCTTAGCATGCCGCGCTCGTCCCGGACCGATCATCTCAAGCATTTTTGTGTCAATGGGATTTTATCATTCCGCATCTGGCATCTTGTCTGGCGGCAGCAATGTAGACACGTAACAAGAATGTTTGGAGAGCGCTTAGTCGAATAGACCGAATCCCATGTCGTCGTCGGACTCTTCCTTCTCTGTACACCGAATCAGTATTTTGGATCATCAGACGTAGTTCTATGCCGAAATTGAACGTACCCTCTTCCTTCTCCTCAGCCTTGGGAGCATCGGCAGCGGCGCCACTGTCAGCGGCACCGGTAGCACCACCAGCGGCAGGAGCAGCAGCGGCACCGCCGCCTGAGCCGACGTTGAGGAGCATGTCCTTCACATCCTTGCCCTCAAGGGCCTTTGCGAACAGGGTCGCCCAGATGGGTTCGATATCAGCGACGCCGGCGGCCTTGATCAGGGTGTTGAGCTTATCGGCCTACAAAGTGCGCATTGCTTGTCAGTCACTAATTTTTGCTCCTTTCATCGAATTTCGGACGAGCCAATTATGCAGTGCAAGAGGAACTCGGGATTTCCATACAGTGATATCAATGCCGTCGTCGGCAAGGATCAGAGCGGCATAGGAGGCGGCAAGCTCGTTGTTGGACATCTTGACGGTTGTGCGGAGCGTGAGACGACTGGTATAGGGGAATTGAGAAGGATGTTGGTTGTCGAGAGAAAGACGGAAAGCAAGCGCAGTTGGGCTGAGATGCACTTTCGTTTCAGTCGAATTTGGTTGTGTGAGTGGGAGTGCCTGCCAAGTTTTCAAAGTCACGTGCCATATTCCAAATCTTGGCGAAGATTGACTCAGTCCAGCCTTGTCATGGGGTCTGCAAGGCTGAGATATTCCGTCATTCGTCATTCTGACTCTTGTTGGACACTGGCGGGCAGAAGGATTCTGCACGCCTGTTCTGGTCTCCTACCAGGCATCATTCACTCTCTAATTGGCCGAGTTTGCCGACGCTTTGGAACTCTGTGTGCAGCTTGACTCAGAGCAACCTTCAACCACCCATCCACCAACCCCCGCCCCCAGTCAAAACCCCTCCCTATCAGAGTCCATGATGCCAACCGACAAACAGAAAATGCAGTCTCTCCAGGCGCTCCGTTCACAATTCTCACAGGCCCTCAAAGAATTGGCATCGTCAACATCGTCATTTCGCATTCTTCAAAGCATTCCAAGCTCCCATCCGCCTTCATCGTCACTGGTCAGCACGCTCTTCGTCCTGGACTCAAGTTTCAACCCTCCGTCAAAGGCACATTCTAGGCTGGTCAAGTCAGCCTTGTCAACAACACGGCGACCCACTCCTGAAGAGTCACCAGCACCAGCACTCGCAACAGGGACGGCGTCGAGTCATGCACCACCACCGCCGCCACTCACAACAAGGGTGCTATTTCTCTTGGCCACCGTCAACGCGGACAAGAAGCCTAAACCGGCAGACTTCGAAGACCGACTAGTCATGATGACTCTCATGGCGGAGGAGCTTCGAGAGGAGATCTCCAATCAGATATCGCCATCATCGTCACAACCACAGCCACAACAACCGGCCCCGGTAATCGACATTGGAATCACCAAGGAGCCGTACTTCATAGATAAAGCGACGAGCATCGCAGAAAGCAATCTCTACACTACTTCTTCCTCTTCCAACCACCTCCAGGATGACGCCGACGCCGACGTCGTGGAACAGGTCCACATCACGGGGTTCGACACACTGACCCGGATCTTCACGTCTCGATACTACCCGAAGCACGACCCGCCACTGTCCGCATTAGAACCGTTCCTGTCGCGCCACCGCATCCACGCCACCGTCCGAGTCGAGTCGAGTTCCGCGAACGACGATGATCTGGAGTCCGAGTTTGGCACCGTCGAGAAGCAGAAGGGTTATTGGGAACGACTTGCACGAGGTGCGTTGGAGGATGAGGGGCTGAAGAGGGAATGGATGGACCAGGTCCAGCTGGTGGTGGACGAGAGTGGAGAGGCCGACGGCGTCAGCTCGACGAGTGCGAGGGAATGTGTTAAGGGGGGCCAGATTGAGAGGCTGGGGCGTTATGTGGGTGAGGGTGTGAAGGAGTGGATCCTGGAGAGAGGGCTGTATCGCTCGTGAGTGGGTTGGTCATGAATTGGCCGACAACGAGATACTAAGTGCTATATGATAATGTACAACTAGAAGTGTGATATCGGTGCATCTCTGTACCGGAGGGACTGGCAATCTTAGACGTGCCATCCATCAGTTCTTGTAGCCCCTGAACCTCTGTCTCTCTCCTTCTGGCTTGATCGCATTACAAACTCCAGCCCCAGAAAAATCCTACAAGGCGAACTCCTATGACTGACCCAGTCCAGTCAGGCCGGCACCAGGCTTACCACCGCTGTTCGACGCCGAGATAGGGGCAGGGTCAGTCCGCTCAAGACCCTTCTTTCCAGTATCGGGAGCGTCAATCTGGTCACTGACACCACCTCTGCCACCACTCACAGTATCTCCACCAGAGTCAGCACCGCTGGCACCGACCACACTCTTTCTACCCAAGGTAGTCTCCTTGGAATGTGCAGGCCGGATGGGAGCTGCACCATGGCTGGACTCCTTGTGCTTCTTTCCATCAGGCGTGAGTCCGAAGACTGCTGAGTGTGAACCAGGTGCGCCTTGTCCGACCATCTTGGGGTGATCTTTGGCGTCACCAACCAGAGCTGGGTCTGGGCCTTGATCTGGTGATTGCGCGTCTTTTCGGTCGGGGTGGGATTGGCTTGGGGACAAGTCATTGGACTTCGTGCCATGGGTCGTGGTGGTGTCAGAAGTACCATGCCCAACGCCAGTCGTAGCAGTTCCTTCGTTGGTACCATGTTTGACACCAGTTGTGCCAGACGCAGCAGTAGTCTCTCTGCCTAAGCCAGTGCCGTGCGTTCCGGTTGTAGAAGTTCCGGTGCCTCCTTGAGAGAGGGTGCTCCCGGTTCCACCTCTTGACTGATCATGGAAAGAAGGAGCGGCATCACCCATGCTGCCTGTCACTCCTGTGGTAGTACCAGAATTGTGACTTAGCGTGTCAGTTGTAGTGCCGGAAGTACCATGGTGGCTTCCAGTGGTGTCGGTAGTGTTGCTAGAGTGGCCGTGGTGGCCCAAAGTACCATGAGTAGCAGTGTCGGCTTCGTCGGACTTGCTCTGAGCAGCGAAGTGTTAGTATTGTAACAAGAGAGAAAGGTCTGTAACAGGGTGTTCTGATGTTCTGGGAATTGGGAGATGGCAAACGAGACAGGTAGATACATACAGAGCCCAGCACGTTCGCTACTGTATTCTTGATGGTTTCCATAGCTAGTTATTCGGTCTGCAGTTCTACTGTTCTGCTGTTCTGCTGTTGTATACTGCTTCTTCAAGAAAGGGCACGAAATCCCGGGTATCAAGTTAGAAGAGAAGGAGTCTGTTGCAGAGACTCTCGGCGTACTCGGCACGTGGGAAAGAGGGCAATAATATACAACAATCAGGGACAGAGCTTTCCTGGTCTGCCGCTCCCGCTTGGTAGGTCGTCCCTGTCCTCCCATACATTCATGGGTTGAAGCTGGAGTCGTCGATCTGACGCCATGACAGTGCGTCATAGTGCATGGTCAATGGAATGTACCTCGCCTGCGAAGGCAGAAGCAGATCCTCCTCGAGATCCCGGATTCGAAGGTTTTGGACAAGGGGAAAGTCAAGCATCATCAATGCGGGGCAGTAACGGCGGGATGATGAAAAGCTTGGATTGCCATCCCTCCTGACTGGTGCAGATCCGAGAATAATTAATGGGTCTGGTCTGGGAGACGGTAGCGAGCCCACTCGAATGTAACTCGTGTGCATGGTGAGGGGGGGGGGAGGGGGGCCGGGGCTACGCCTTGCCAATCATGGAGATTCGTAGGTTCTCGATGCTCGCCACATGCTAGTATCCGACCTGCACACTATGGCAATTCGTGGTTGCAAGGTGTTGCTGGTTTAGGCTCTCACAACCAGGGGACAACGTGATTGTAACTTCTCTCTAGATTTGGCGATGAAGTCATCGAAACCTTCCAACACGAGGGTTTCCGAAGCGTCGACATCTAGTGGGAGTCAACAAGTCAGGCATCGACTTGGTTAGAAGCGGTGCATAGTTTGATCGGTCTGAACACTTTACTCTACCGGGAAACAGCCATTTTCGAGGTCTTGGATACGTTTGTAATTCTCCTAGACCCGTCTGCGAATCGCACTGATTCCGACTAGATCTTTCTCATCCTCTATCTAAAAACCTTCTCGTTCTCTCTGCGCAGTCAGGCAGCGTCGGAAACATGTCTCGCCCAAAGGGGGGTTTGTACAAGAATTGAACATGAATCATCCTCCTTCCCAGATTGAATCAGTCACCGTTATGGTACCATCAATCATTCGTGTCACAATTTATGCTTTCCATCCCGTTGGAGCAGCCTGTGTCGACACTGTCATGAATCCGGAGCTCGCCGAATTGAGATGTTCTGGTCGAGTGCCATTCCCGAGGCCATAAGGGCCTGTATAAGTGGCTGAAGTGGTTGAGCTAGAAGAAGTAGAAGAGGAAGAGGAGGTGGGGGTGGTGGGGGTGGAGGAAGACGAGGACAACGACGAACTTGTAGTCGAAGTAGAAGACACAGTGGTCGAAGTGCTAGTTTCCTCTGGGTCGACTATGGCAACCGGCGGAGACGGTCTAACGGGCGGCCTTCTCCCACTAGGGGTCTCGGTCACTGTGACTGTGCTTTTAGACACTTCGGTGACAGTAACATATGAGATACTGCATGAGCCATCGGTTACAGTCTTTGTGATCGGAGCAGGGGTGACATAAACAGTTTGTGTAGTGGTAGACACCAGCGTCACAGTTGTAGTGGCTTCGTCCTTTGGAATGCCAACGTCGCTCGGAACAGCCACGTTGCCAACTGGTGCACCTGGCCCATCTGGCCTGCCGGTAGGTGATGGGCGTGTGATGGTAGCATATATCGTATTTGTCACAGTGAAGGTCTTGGTCAACCGGATAGTTGTAGTTATGACTGATGCTGTTGGCCCTGTGCCAAGAGTCAAGGTCGCCACTGATTCCTCAATGGTCACGCTAACAACAGGCCTAGAGCTGGTTGTTTGCTCAACCTGCTGATTAGTGCTTGGCTTGCGAACGATTGTTGGGCTTGATACTGGTTCAACGACAGAGCTTTGACCATCCATGTTCTTCGAAGTTCTCGGAGACTCCTTGATCTCATCCGTTGTCTTCTGCTTCGTCTCCAGTGTTGCGGCACTGGTCGTGGTTTGGGAGGAACCATCGCCATCAACATTCGTATGCCTCCTCGTCGAGGACATCCAATCGTCCCAGGTCATTTCTTCCGTTGTGGTGGTCGAGGAGGTTGTTACGCCATCCACGCTTGGTCTAGTAGTGGTGCTAGTTGACGACGATTCGACGTCCTTGGTCGTCTTCTGGGTAGTAGTCCCAGTGCTTGTAGTGGTTGACGTGGTGGCAGCGTCAACTTTGGTTGCGCTAGTTGTAGTGGTCTCATCTTCGCCCTTGGTGCTCTTAGTTGTGCTTGTAGTTGTGGTGGCAGTAGAAGTTGAAGTTGTCTCGTCTTTAACATTACTAGTAGTGGTCTCATCTTCGTCTTTCTTGGTACTTGTAGTCGTCGAGGTAGCTGAAGTGATCTCATCCTCACCTTTCTTATTTGTAATTGTAGTGGTAGTTGAAGTAGACTCGGCTTCGCCATTCTCAGTTGTTGTAGTTGTAGCCGGGGTTGCTCCATCCACAGTTGTGTCACCCGTGCTTGATGAGGTGAAAGAAACCCAATCCGACCACTGGTATTCGGAGCTAGTAACATCAACTTCCCCTACAGCAGTTGGGCTTGTAGAAGTTGTAGTCGAAGTCGAGGCTTCGTCAATGACAGGAGCTGTGCTGCTCGTTGTGGTTGTTGAAGGTGCAGGAGCTTCAACTACAGGCTCAGCAAGCCCCATGGTGGTTGATAGTGCAGCGGACTCGACGCTTGGAAACGTAGTGGTCTCAATGGCTGACGCAGTGACAGTTGCAGGGTCAGGAGGGATCACAGCTGCAACAGCAGTGTCACTGATTGCAGCAGTAATTGAAGGTATGGCTGCAGGTTGCTCAGTTGTCATCAATGGTTCTGGGACAGCAGCTGGGGGCGGATTGGATCCACCTTGGACATTGGTATCATTGCGCACTGGCAACTCCCGACGATAAAGTCGTGCTTCTGGGCGAGCCTGCGCCAGCGTTAAGGAGGCAACCACAACTGCCAGAGTTCTGAGTTGCATTCTTTCTGCTGGGATGTCTCGGGATAGTTCTCTGCTGTTAGTAGCTCTGGTCTGAAAACAGCTTCAAGGTCTCGCCTTGGAGTATTTTTTCAGTGCCTGGCGGAATCAACCCGCTCGCTGGGGAAAAAGGACAAATGCGTCTGCAAAGAGAGCGACTGGGGCCAAAGGATATGCAAAGAAATGAATGACTGACGTCGCTAGGACGTCTGGATTGAAGGGAAAAGAGCGACGGCGAGTTGAAAGAACTCGAAACAGGAAACAGAACGGCTAGGAAAAGAGCAAAAGAAAAGGAAATGTTGCACGCGAGATGTCAACCATGGTGAGCAGGATTGACCTCTTGGTGAGGCAATGTAGGAAATTGTAGGGAGGTTGGATGGGTGTGCCCATCTCACAACATCCTGACCTGTCCAGGGTGGACGTGGTAGAATCCAGATCCAGCATGAAACGAATCTCGATGGACGATATGGCAGCATGGAATGATGATTGGAACATCAGGTGTGGGACAGTGTCGCACGAGTGGTTGAGGGGGGAAGATAATTCAGGGGAGAATCGGCGAATCTGAGAAAGTGGGATTGGTGGAGTCCAGAAGCGGCAAGATCAAGAAACGTGATTTGCTCCTTCGGCTAACCTTCCAAGAATAATAGGCGCCAAACTTGGGGTGCCACTGGGTGCCGCTATCTTCCTGCACCAGCCTCGCCGTGACCAGGGCACAAAACGCTTGCACTACCCGTAGAGAGCACCATCATTAGGACGTCGTCCCGATCGTCAATGACAGCATCGCAAGTGAGTCCAGCTTCCCTGCTGTTAACAGATTGCTTCAAGACGTTAGCGAGTTGCATCTAGCGAGTGAGGTACTCCGTACTCCGTTCGAGCTTGCATACAAATACATATTCTTGACCGCTCAAGGGTCTGCTTTGAGTCGACAGGTATAATAATAATCTATCCCAAACGGAGCCTATCTATGTTGTAAACCTTGATCCAGGTTCTTGACGTCGCAGTCCCGGTCGACCGTTGACTTGCATGTTTTAGCTCCCCTGGCAATGTGCTCTTTCTGGGAGAATCCACGATAGGCGGATTTGGTCCTAAGCGACTGCGTCTTTGTAGAGTCCATGTGCCTCGATCCTTGCTGCGGCAGTGCCAATGAATAGAACTATTCTGTGACTGCAATCTGGATCTAACTTACTGCGCACGTGACTGCATTTCCAGCATTGACGGTTGGGTTATGAACCAGAGCTGGGGTCATAGGGAGGAAGTGGTTTAAATGCCCAGTATCGAGCAATCGACCTTGGTTACGCAGTGACCGGGTTCACCAACTTATAAGCATTCTCATTAAATCTAGGACCGGAACCTTGATATTTCAGCACTGATGTGGCTCACCCTCATCTAGAAGAGATTAGCAGGATATTTCGGATTACAACATTCGAATCGCACTCACTTTTAATCATCTTACCCATCGCCAGAACCAGACTCACAGTCATCACCGCAAACCCGAAGATGATACAAATCACGGCAGGGATAGTTCTCCAGCTTCTAGTGCTCAACTTGATGTAGCAGAGTGGAGGTAAGATGTAGGCAAGTGCACAAGCACTGGTAGCGCCAATCAACTCGAAGACTGCCCCCAAATCACAGGTCACAAGGCTGACCCCCATAGCACTAACCACTAAAACACTGCTGAAAATCAAGTGTCGATTCGGTTGATACGGCTCGTCTGGAAACCAGTAGTTATTCATGACTTCTCTGCAAACGAAGCACTCCAGGGGAAGCGTTGTCAACATATTGAGCCCGAAACAAAGTCGAGCAAGCTGGACCATCAGATGTCCTTGAGAAGGAAAATTATTGAGCACATTGCCCTTCGTTCTATCGCCGAAAGTGAGAAATCCTGCAAATGCCAAGATAAGACATGCAACAAGGGAGATGAAGGTGCTATAATGGGTGACAGTGGAGAAGCGATCCAGGGTGGGTGTTTTTAAAGAGCCATATATGAGCAATGAGTTATGGTGGCAGACAAAAGCTATGCCGGTTAGCAACCGGTAGCAGTCACCCATCCAAATGATAGGCTTACCAAACGAGATCACTCCGACGGCTTGGAAAAAGCCATCGTTAACGAAGAGGAGCCCTTTGACGCTTCCCCGAAGATCAGAATCAACAACCACGCCTTGGGTGACAACTGTTACGATAATGATGAACATGCTGATCAATGCTAAAGTTGATGCTTTGGCTAGCTATTCAGAAACGTGAGTAAACGCTGTCGCTGAAACCGGTGGTCCAATCTTACTTTAGCGATATCCCGATATAGACTCAGCGGCCAACTGATGCCTAGAATGAAGAGCACAATAACGGCTCTGCGGTCGGTCAGAAGCCATAGAAATGGGACATGAACGATGCCGGGAAAGAGAGCTTCGATGACGTGCGGGATAGTATCTCCGACAATTATGCAGAATGCAATCATGCCACCAAAGGCAAATGCCCATTGTGCAACTGAGATGGCTACCAGACCACTCTTACCAAAGCAGTGCTGCATAGTGGCCTGGAATGAATCTGCGCCGGACAATTTGCTATTGACCACGATCAAGCGGATTGTCCAGTCGACCGTGATTGTAAGCACAACGAGGAGTATTGTGCCCATCGTCAGACCAGCCTGCCGGAATGCATATGGTTGTCCAATGATCCCGGCTCCTATGATTGAATTCGCCATGTTCATAAATGCGCTTTGCATCCCACTCTTTGGCCGAGCGTCTGGCAAGTATTCTTCCGGCCGAAAGGAGTCCGAGAGAAACGGTGAATCCGCTGGTGGTGTAATATCCGTGAGAAGCGGAACATCTTGTCGGGGAGAATTGAGGTAATCTTCATCGTCTATCCATTCTTCTTGGACCCGACCGTTTGGCTGGTCATCCAACTCAAACCGGACCCGCTGCGTCGTCCGGGGAGTGCCGTCGATTCGTGGCTGCGAAAGAGAAGAGTGTCTCTGTGCTGAAGGTCGGGTGGAACTGAGATCAGCCGTCGACGAGTCTCGGGTCAGCACAGGAGTCTGGTCGGTCGACGAGAGAAGGACATCGTGCTCGTCGCTGTCGCCATCGGGCTCGCTGTTGACAGATATACCAGTGTCTTCTTCATCTTTGGGCATCGCGTATGACTTGCATCTCGTCTGTTGAGCGGCTGGTAAACAAAAAGATGCAGCAGAGGCGAATCGTTTTGCCCCTTTGAAGCCGGAAGCACGTGAAAATCTGTCCTGAAAAAGGTGATTCGGCGGAACATCTGGCACCAAACGCAAATTCGTTTTTCACGGGGCTACATAATACTCCGCAGTACTCAATTGTGAACTTGAAACTCCTTGATATCAATGTTGCCTCTATAATCTATCTGGAGTCTCTATCCCAATTTTCTTCCTTTCAAACCCACCAACCAAAGAATCAGGCTTCGTTCGGACAGTGAAGAGTGACCCTGGAGGTCGGTCTTGAAAGACCGTACAGCAAGAGCTAAGACTCGGATCGCGGTATGGGATTCTAGTACCCCAGAGTCGTGACCTCCACTTCGGACGGTTCATTCCGTGTACTCCAGGTCATATGCAAGAGTGTCTGTACAGAGCTCTTCTCGCCATTTCGACACCCTGTCATGTGCATGTCAGTATATTGGTGGTCTCCTGCACAGAGCCACGGAAGGTCCATGATGAGGGAATGCAATCGACGTACGCCAGGTGCACAGGATGTTCGGCGTAGACTTTGACATCGTCCGCCTTCTCAAGAGTTGCAACCAGCCCCATATCAAAGCCTTGGCCTCTGTGTGCTGTTGAGGGCAGAGGCTTGTTGACTTCGAGCTTCAACAATCCCGGAATTCTGCCGACCATTGCTTTTGTCTCCTTGGTCCAACTCGACAGCTGAGCTGATGTCACCCCGGGCTTGAGTTTGAACAGAACTAGAGAACCATCAAGTTAGATATATGGCACGGAGCATGCGTTTCACCCGAGCGCTTTCCACAGGCCAATTCGTCTGCAACTTGAAGAACTTACCAATGTGGTAGATGGGCATGGCGGCGGTGGAATCGATCGACGGGCTTCAGAAGAAGACTCGATGGTAAGTTGTCTGAGATTTAACGCGGTCGCTAATACTTTGCCAGTCGTTTTGAGGAAGGGTAGTAGTTGAAGAGAACTGCTTCCACACCCCATCAAATGAAGAGGAAAAGGCACTGCGATAGCGGAGTTCATCACACGATCACAACCCCCACTTTCTCCGCACAAGGCTCGCCCATCTCACCGTGGGGGAGACACCTCACATGCTACTGCCTTTCGGATACGTCTCGGAGCAATTCTTCAAGGCAGGTTGCCTTACAAACAGAAGTATAGCTGCTCATGGGTCTTCCGACCCCTTCACCGGCTGTGACTCTCACCATATTTCGCAAGGTCGGAAGTATTTCCCTGGCCGAGTGGACGGGAATGGCTGGGGTCGTGTTTGCTAATAAGTTCGCGGGCCTACGCAAGTCTTAAAGGCCGAAGCCCGTGTGTATGAGCCACGAGACTGCTACCTTTGCCTGCCATCAACAAAATGGTCTCAACTCTGGTGAGGTGGGCTTCATGTTGGAACACCAACTCATGCTCCTGTCAGCCGACACCATAGATGCGTAACAAACGCTTCCCCCCAAAAGTAGCGGCCAGAATAGTGCAAGTTATCAGAGAACGACGGTCATCCTGAACGGCACCACTAGACGCCAAATGTATTTCCGGACGCTCATCGGCCTTATGATCCTCACACTTCAAGGTGTGTCATCCGTTTGTGGGACATATGAAGAGGTCTTGTACTGATCTCAAGTTTACGTGCTACCACTCTAATATTCCTCGAGTTTCTCCATATCGAATTCCAGGCCCGAAATCGCGTGATAGGTATCCTACAGGTCATTATCCCGCCATCATTCCACTATCCGTAACCCCATATCTAGGTTCTTTACTTGGGTCGATCTTCCATCAAGGCCATCAACGGCAATGTGTCAGACGAGAGTGTACGCATATTCCTGCGGTTATACCAGGAAGCGGACCTACCGTTGTGAAAATGCTGGAAATTGCAACCCGTCTAAGACCTGGATTGACTTCAATCACGAGTGCAAAAGACCCAGATGTCCACAGCCAATTTCCTCGCGATATGAATGAGAGGTGATCAACTAATGGACCGATGGACATATAGCGCTTTTATTTATGCAACGTGAACCTCCACTCGATGAACATGATTCCTTCTGCCTACCATCGGCTGTTTTGCACCACTCCTGTCTCTTGCTCTGGCAACCAAGTGGTATGTTCCTGGTCTCTTGAGCATCAATCTGACTCGAAACAACTGCCACTCATACATCTGGCGTCCGTCAAGGTGCACGTCTGTTGGAGACATCCACGTGTCACCGTCATCAATACTGATGTCAACGGATTCAATCTCTTCGCAGCCCCATGCTCTTCCCCAAACCTCAACTTCTGGGCCCCTCAAGACCTCGTCAGCCATCGGCTGCACGATCATCGAGTTGGGTTCAACCATCCAAACTGGTCTCATGGTCATCCCAGAGGGGTCATTGGGGTCCACCTCATTGTAGAACGTCGTCGTAAAGGGCCCACTGGCTCGACGGTCCTGCAAATTCAAACGACACAGCCACTTCGTCGAGTTTGTCCCGAACCAACCTGGTACTACCAATCTTACCGGGCCTCCCCGGTTCTTATTCAGTGGCTTCCCATTCATCTCATATGCGACCAAGACTTCTGGCTGGAGGGCTTTCTGCATTGGAAGATCTTTCTCGAAGCAGTCAGCAGAGACATCAGCGAACGAGCCTGACTCAAGTCCTTGCGACCAGACGTAAGTTGCACCCGCTTTCGGCCTTGCCATGCGGATCAAGTCTGCTAGTCGAACGCCGGTCCATTGCACATTTCCAATCCTCCATAAAGCTTTGACCGGCGGCAGAACGGGGCTGCCGTAGCATTCATGAAATGATATGACGTTCGTCCTATGTATACTTTTCAGCTGTGTGAAGGAGAGTGAGAGAGGCCTCTCCACCATCCCATCTAGGATGAGAGTCCATTTGTCTTCATCGACGACCGCCGCGCCCATATGAATCGTCTGGAAAAGCAGCGAATCATCGGTGATTTCTTGATCAAGCTCATGCGGCTTAGGCGGCTGGCGGATATAAAATCCACGTGGCTCGATAGCTTTGAGTGCATCTCTGTGTGGGACAGCATCACATGGGTACCCTTTCGCGAGAAAGGTAACTTGCTTTTCGTCAATTCCCTCTGTTGTCATCATTGCCTGGACTTTTATTAAGTGCGGAGGACACGTAAGCGTGACATCGGATGGCTTTCGAACCTGGCCCCAATCATTAGACCAGCCTGGTCTAGATTCCAGAACGAGACTAGCTGAGCATGACTATCACGGAAATGTAATGAACGTTTGTCAAGGAGTCCAACGTCTGGATGCCCTACAGTCGTCGGCGTCCTCACTCCAAGGCCGGAGCTGATCCGGAGTTTCGGCTATTAGTTTAGTGACATTGGCGGAGCCGCTCTTAAAATCACTGCCAGCCTCGGAGGTGTCAAGGGTACAGTACCTTTCATGTTTAGAACCCAGAAACTCTCTCCCAGCTGCCCACCTAAGCAACTCGACATCATCAAATAAGCGCATGTTCAGCGCATGTGATAAGTACTTACTCTTTAGGTGCACAGTCAGACACGCCGCCATCTCAAGCAGGGAAACGAGTGAAGCACAATGAGCAAACCAATGCTCACACTGTACTATGACCTGCACAGCCCATATTCTTATCTAGCCTTTTGGTTAGTCCGGGTCAGTTCCCCTCCAAGCCACAATGCGGACACAAGAGCCCCAAAAGTTGAAAGTCTGATTCCCTCTAGAACTTACCGATATTCAAAACATGCGAAGTCACCTACGTGCCCGTTCTCCTGGTAGCCTTCATCCAGGGGACCGGGTTGAAACCGCCCTGGGACAGTCCTAGTAAGCATATCACCACTGATTGACAGAGCTTACATGATCTACGATGTGTTTGGAAATGCTGACCGGGGGCGCGCAAAATTGCCAGACAAGGTAGCATGGATGACGACCGACCTCACGCGCTGGGCGAACCAGTACCACATCCCCTGGAAACCAGGGTGGCCTGAGAACTATCCATTCAGAGCTACAACTCTAAAGGTGAGCAGCTCCGTAGTTCGACGGACCTGCCGCGCTGGCTTTGTGTCTGGCGTTGCCCGCAGCCATGTCCAGCTGACATCTTGTTATTGTTCTACATACAAGGTCCAACGAGTACTGGCTGCAACGGCCCTTGATTATCCCGATCGATACCCCGAAGCGATCAGCGCACTGTACCACGCTTTCTGGGCCCAGAAGAAGGGTGTGCAGCTCCCAGAGGTCCATTACCCCATTGTTGTCGGTATGCTCGGCGAAGAGCGAGCGAAAAAGGTTCTTCAACGCGTAAGTCACTATCTTAGTTCTTTGCTACACTCTTTCTCTCACTGGAAATTCTCGCGTTAGTCTACTTTCGTGCCCTTACTTGTGGCCAGAGCTCCTCGGACGAAATCAAAGCGCGGCTCAAACAGAATACTGAGACTGCCATTGCCAACGGATGTCCAGGCTTGCCATGGATTGTGGCGACCAGTGTCGAGGGCCAGAAGGAGAAGTTCTGGGGATTCGATCATTTAGGGCAGGTCGCAAGCTTTCTGGGTCTGGAAAGAGTTGCTGGGCCTCATCTATGAATTTGGGCTTACGACTAGTCGGTGTAGACCACGGTGGTTCAGCAAGTGAACGGGGGTTAATGGGGGGAGCTTCTTGCTAAATCTGATCAGGGTAGAATCGTTCATCCCCCCAGACCCTACCAGAAATATCTATGAGAGCGACTTATGGCAAACACACGATATTTCACTATATTTCTCCAACAGTCGATCGATTCTTGTCCCAACATATGTCCTTTCTTGCATACCCTAGAGCTTAGCGGTAGATTCTCCCTCCTTGGCTGCTTGATCCCTCAATTGCCTCCTCAAAATTTTACCGGACTAGGCCAGCATCAGCAAATACTCCTCCGAATAACTCGTATGCATCAGTTCGAACTTACAGGATTCTTCGGGATGGCATCCGTGAACACACAGCCTCCTGTGAGATGCTTAACCTTGGACACACGGGTATTGACAAACTCAACAACATCATCCTCGCGAAGAGACGTCATTCCGGGTTTCAAGGGTGCAGGCACAACATATGCGCGAGGATTCTCGTCGTCCGTTGGTCTGAAAATCGTCATCAAGAGTCCTACATCATCGGAAAATGATAATACTCACGTTTTGACCCCAATAACAGCTGCGTCGACGATCTGCGGATGCTCAAGCAGTAGAGCCTCGAGCTCTGCCGGTGCGACCTGTGCGCCGCGTACCTTTATCAACTCCTAAAGGAGATCAGGAGATCAGAAGGTGAACAAAAAGTCTGATATGAAGTTTTGTGGGAAGAAGATTTTACCACACCTTTATCCTGTCAACCATATACCATCTGTCTTGCTCGTCACAGAATGCAACGTCGCCCGTTTGCAACCACCCATCACTTGTCATTGTGTCCTCCGTGGCCTTGCGGTTTCCCCAATAACGAGTCATACCATTTGGGGTGCGGATCCATAGCTCACCACGTTTACCTATGCCTGTCTCTTCGGTCCCGTCTTCCTTCATAAGCTTGGCCTCGGCCCCTGGCACAAGTTCACCAATCGATACTGACGAGGCACCGGTCCTCATGCGCTCGTCCCAGCAGAATGTGATAGCCGGGGCTCTATTGAACTGATCAGCAATCTCGCAGACCAATGAAACGGCCAACGCGAGGTTCCTCACTCTGACATGCCCCATGCCTGGCGTACTAGGACTTTCCCGTTCCATAATTCTTCGAATTGTTTTGTGACCTCCATACCGATTGGCGCAGCTCCGGCGACCACTTTACGAACGCTGCTGATGTCGCAAGTGCCATCTCTGACTGACGGGTGCTTGGCCATTGCAACCAATATCGGTGGTACCAACACCAGCTCTGTAATCTTGAACCGCTGGATATGATCCAGCATATCCGGTAAGTTGTATCTTTCCATCAGATATGTTTCCAACCCCCATTTTGGTGCGAAGAAAATGTAGTAAACGAGGCCCAAGGCATGGTACATGGGAACAACGCAGAGGCACAATCTCTTCCTGATACTCTTGTCCGCAAGTTGAATTTTTTCCAACTGTAGCATATTTGAGATGATACTTCTGTGCGATAGTTCGACACCCTTGGGGAGTCCAGTCGTTCCGGAGGAGTAGATCAAGATGGCGGTTCGATCGGCGGCGGCCATACTGTTGAATTCCTCCCACATAAACTGCCGGCCAGCACGAGCATCACTGACAAGCGAGCTCCAATGCTGTGTGTCGCCCTGGTTGAATGTAGCATCGTGCTGAACTGTAGGGAGCTCGGTGAATAGAAAGATCTTCTTCCTATCAAACCCAAGATCGTCTGCTGCTTCAAACGCCTTTTCGATACAATTGTCTGCCGCTAAAACAAAAGAAGGCTCTGCATCTTTGAGTTGGTGGCGAAGCTCGCGAGGAGTGTATGCAGGATTCGCGCTGTTGTAGATTCCACCAGCCATGAGCGCACCCATGACCACTACCGGATTGAAGATTCCGTTTCCGGAGAAGAGCATTACACGATCTCCTTTCTTCAAGCCGGCAGCAACCAGGCCAGCTGCAAATCTTCTAGACCATTGTCGGTAGCTATGAAGAGTTAAGAAGTGTGAACCGGGACGTTTAGCGTCGATGATAACCTTTTCAGTGTTATTAATGTTCGATTCTGGCGGTCCAAACATGAACGTTGGGATAGACATGTTCGGTGTTGTCAACGGCCATCGCGATTTGCAAGGCATGGTGATGGCCCGAGTATTCTATATGTGTGGTGAAGGAAATTCGATCAAAGAGGTGGCTCGGATCAGAAATAGCCAGCAGCTATTTCGAAGTTGAGGTCAAGGTGAAGAACACGCGACTTGTAATACTTGGGCTCAGAGAGATTTATGAAAATGCGTACGACTGGAAGGTTTCCTCAGGCCTCGTTCATGTAACGTGACACAGGGGGTCGCATAGCGGATTCTCGGCATGCTGAGGGCTCAGCCTCGGAGCCGCAAATGATCTTCATCGAGTACATAGTATCCACTCCACGAACCCTATACCTGAACAACCTTAGTTGGTGATGAGCGCGAACCGAAATCAATCGAACGTCCAATCGTATACGGATAGCTATGGTAGCGAAGTCAGACTGCGCAGCCAGGGAAAATATCTGAATCAAGGCGGGTGCTCGGAATCTTCCGAAGACCAACAGTCCATTAGAATATCTCCATACTTCAGCATTAGTCCTCGCAATGCAGGCCTCGCAGTGAAAGAACCAGAAACAGTGGAATCCAGCATGACTAGGCATGTCAGCAGGGGCTTGATAGATGATATCCACTTTGGTTGGGTCGATGTGGCTTCCTTTCGACCACTGACGGCGTGCTTTGACAGGTTGAGATCAATTGTGTGCTCGATTGCTTTCACTAAGGCCATCACGACAAGTCTTGTGTTAGCATGATGTGAGACCAGTTGAAGCTTTGCTTGGACGCTATTGATGAGCTTAAATTCTCCCCTGGCGGATACGTCGACGATTCGACGTGCTATAGCGAGAACTGAGGTGACCGCTGCTTCTTGCAATCTATCTGCGGTGGAAATTAGTCCCTCGCAGGAGCCAGGCTCGAAAAGATGAGAGGCATAGTGTATTTGCTCAACAAGGCAGAGGTGGGATAAATTCCAGAACAGGTGGAGGAAGGCTGGTCCTTGATTAGCCAAAAACCACCACCAACAAATTATTGACCATATGAAGGCTTAATTACCTGTAGATAGCTTTATTCTGTCAGAAAATCGATAGAACATGATAATACACTGCTGTAGCCATGGTTGGTAGATCGTATCAAACCCTTCAGTAAGATTGATTGCGGACTCTATCCGACCTAAGAGGATCATACGAGCATGGTCAGTGGGAGCATTTATCGTGGAAATAAACTGTTTGAGGTGTGTTAACTGTCTGAATATGTGAAATAAATCTCCAGCAGCATTTTGACAATTTTTGGCAACGTCCTGCTCAAAAGTGGATGGCTGCTGCCACTGTTCTGTTATGTTCTGGGCGAGTCGTTGAGTAGAATCTACAATCAGTTGAGTCAAAGGCTCTCTTTGGTTTCCAAGAAGATATCACGTACCTCTCACAATGAAAGGAGGATCTTCCATGTAGCAAGGTCTCTCGTGGAGGATTGAAGCTATGCTGTCCCGTACGAGACTGTACCATCGAAAAATGGTCAGTGAAGAATCAAGCAAAAATCGATAGAGTGATCCAGCCCCAAGGTCGCTGTAGTAAGCCTGAACTAACTGTCGCAGCTCTTCCATCTGAGATAATGCAACATCCAAAAGATCAAGAGGACTTCTCTTTACGTCCTTCGACACGAGGCTTTCCGACGGAACCACGGTCATCTGAAACAGGAATACTGCGTATATGTGAACAAAAGACCGGTTGTCTTTGGTGCTCAGAAGATTCAGGTAGGCATGGTGCCAGGCTGCTGTAAAAACCTGTGTACTGTTTGTCGTTTGTTCCTTGACTCTCGAGCCGAACACTGCATTCTGTGGCCTAGCTACCTTTGATTCGAGTGGGCAACTGCGAGGGTCGGAGGGGGCAAACTGTAGTGCAAATGCCTGGAGAACTGCTGTCAAAGCGAGCTCATCCTGCTTCCGTATTTCCTGCTCGACAGAGTTTCCATATAATGGCCCAAAGTTGTCCAAGAATCTAGCAACACCAATCATGGTCACCCGGCTCGTTTGAGTGGCGACCTGCTTGGTCGAGAGAGTATGATTGTAGAGAGTATCAGGTCGAAAATTGTGATTTGATTTCCTCCATAGTGGAAGGAAGGTTGAACTCCGTCTCGTATTAGCTGTACTTTTAGCTGCTGGGTCAGATGACATTGAGACATGCTCGCTTGAGAGTGCTGAAGGTTGGCCGAGGTCCTCTGACTCAAATACGTATTTGTAAGAACTGCAAGCAAATAGGTTACAGTTATAGTCTAGATATCTTGTTGTGATGCCCAACATCATCGAATTATATACTTCTCCAAGGCTCAAGTTGAGCAGTTGCGAAGCGACACTTGAGTTCAGTAAGTGGATGGGGCTTCCTTTCCACAACCCAATAATGGCGTTTCTGTCTTGACCCTCGACAGACTTGGAGTGCGATGCCGGTCGAACGACAGTGATCTGAGGAGTGGCATTCTCGCCAGTGCTAGTGGAGTCTTCCTCGTCGGGGTCTTCGCGTGTTAGATGGGTCAATTCGGCTATTATATGGTTCATCATCATGTTGTCGTGTCCGAAGCCATCAATTTGGGCTCCGTTAAGGGGAAAGTCATTCAGAATGGCTGTGCTATCTGTCCCTGAGGCTGTAGAGGAAACTTGAAGACCGGTTCCATTACTGCTCGAGTAGATCGATGTTCCGGCATAGGAGCTGTGAGAACTTGAGCCACCTGACATGCAAATATTATTGTGATTGCGAGTGCCTTCATTACTTGTCGTCCCAGCCCTTGGCCTCTTCCTCCTCTGGGCCTGCAATGCCACAAAGTTGAAGGTACACTGAAGTCCTAAGTGAAGGCACTTCAGGCACGACGAGGTGGGTCCCAATCCCGGAGGCGTGGGGTTGAGTGAGCATTTTCGCTTAGATTGCCGGCATTGGTCACAAGAAGAGTTCTGTCTTCGCACCGAGCAGGATTGCATGACGGTGGCCTGTAAAGTCGATGACAGATATTCGTACTAGTACATGCCAGTGTGGAATAGCATACGTTGTTAGATGTACTATGATATGGATTTGCCATTCAGTGGACGGGGTCGATACGTAGTATGACAGTCTTGTGAGCAAAAACCTCAAGTGCGTTTGGCGAAGGTGAGATCCCAGTGGTGCAGCAGACACATGCCGCAGTTGCAAGGGCGGCAACAGATTTGTCGGAGCCTGCCAGAAGTGGAACTACTATGTACCAAGGTAAGTTCTTAGTGCGTAGTGGCCACTGAAACCTTAGGTTCTAGTTGCTCACAGTCTGGTGAACCAATATTGTCTCAGGTTTTCAAGAAGGTAAGGTGAAGCATTGCATTACGAGTACGCAGGAGGACGCCTGATTGAGAGAGCCGGTTGCTCTGCGGCTCCGAGGTGCCTCAGAAGGGTTGCCACTTTAACCAGGCTCGCATGACTGTGAACGGCGCAATTGATCCACCGTAGACATTCCCCCACCATTCGGGATGCTGACTTAGTTAGTACGTAATAATCCGAGCCAAAAGCTTAGTACGCTAATCCAATTGGAGATTTCAAAGTGTGTCGTTTGGGAAAGAACTCAGTATATATATAGTACAGGGCCTATCAAGAACATCGCTACTTCCTGATTAGCTGCACCTTCTTCCTCAGCAAGTACAAATTTGGGAAGGAGCTACATAGTACCTAGATTAGGCTTATATCGGGAAGTCTACCTAGTTCTACGGTATAGAAAAGCCTCTAGGGGAGAAAAACTATTACCTCTCTGATATAATCTTCTTACTTTATAATGGTACTTATCCCGCTATCCTAGTGTGTGGTTCAACACTGTGTCCAGAACCTGGGTTATCCCGCAAGGACGAAGAGAAAATACCAAAACCACCACTGGGACATTTTCGCGCGTTTTGGTTTGTTACCTTTGAGTTTAGGAACAGGAACGTGGATGGCCAGTGGTGGACTATACTTCTTAAATGGAGGAATATCGCCAGCTCCAGATTGGCTGTACCGCAATCTCTACTCTTGTAACCTTTGTCGACATATCTGAAGCAGTGGTGTCCAAAATGGTGGAAGCTCTGCTGAACAGTTGAGGCCTTTAAACAGATGTGAGGGCGTATCTTGTTGTCAACCCGGTTTTATTTTAATTAGAACCATTTTAGAGTAGCAATCGAATTCTACAATACTAAATTGGCAGCCATTCTGAATAAAGGGCTGGACGCATAATGAAGCAGATACTAGACCTATGCTCGGCTATCTCGACCATAACATTACGCATAAGCAGTCCAGAATGGCTTCTACTGATTGGATCCCGCGTATGGACAGTTCAACGCACGAGATCAGCGATATTTTGGGTCAGGGATGGTAATGCGAAACACACATGAATCCGTGGGTGGAGTCAGTCGAGGATGAGGTAGACGAAGAATTTGTTACTTGCTATCAGGTATTAAGACCATGGAACCGTTCTTCCTTCATTGTGGGACTCGCGGGCAAGCTCCATTAAGCGTATTCCGTGCCGTGAAGTGAGAGGTTCAACGCTTAAAGGTGCACCGCGACGAATCGTATCGGCAAGCCGCTCATAGTAGCCACGGTTCCAGCCATTCAGCGTAGGGAACTTTCCAACGTATTTCTTCGCCACCTCATCGTACTTCTGGCTCTTCCTGTCAAACTCGGCATAAGTTGCCAGGGTTCCATATTCGGATTCAGGGTTGACACCAAACTGTGGATCCTCGTAAGTCATTCCAGAAATGGTTTGCTGCTCCTGGATATCCGTTCCATACTATTTCAAGTTTGTTAGATGTCAGATAGTGCACAGGTCGCAATGAAGGCATGCCTTAAAGTATGATCATCCTGTTCCTCGAACAAAATACTTGAGTTCCTTTTGCAAGCATGAAACTATGGTGGTCTTAACTGTGACGAGCAACGGCTTTTCATATTGAAGCAAAACAGTGAAAGTGTCGTCAACTTCACTTTCGATTCCTCGCAGAACTTTCAAGAAAGCAGTTACAGTCTTGGGTTGACCGAACAATACCAAGGCTTAGTCAAGCGTGTGTGATCCTTTGCAAAATTTAGTAAACACATCCAACACATCCGCGGTCGAGGATCTCTATGATATGCGCTTACCAAAGCTGATCAAGATACTGGAACCTGGGCTGTACTCTCTGGCTGGAAGATACTTGATCCACGGCGGATTCTCGAAGTCGTAGTGTATTTCCGCCTCTGTAATGGTACCGAAAGCACCTTTTGCGACAAGATATTCGAGTGTCCCGAAATCACCGTCCCAGCGCCTGTCTTTGATTGTTAAATAAGACTTTCTAAAGGGCGGCGGCCATACTTTGATAGACAGTAAGAATCCTCCTTTTTTCTTTGGCCAATGCCAGCAGCCTGTCAGCTTCTTCACTACTTCTAGTGAAAGGCTTTTCGACCACGACTGGAGAGGTAAAGAGTAATACATGAGAAAAAGCACGGCCTTGTGTTCAGCAGGGTGTAGAGGCAAACCATGTTTATCAGCACTTAACGCCAACTCTGCAAAACTTGCATGAGTGTATGTATGAGTAGTTACTATGACCAACTCGATAGCTGCATCCGCAAAGCAGTCCTCTGAAGTGCGGTGTGCCGAGCTTGAGGAAATTCGGTGGTACAATGGCTCTTTGATTCTGTTGTTTTTCCAGGCGAAGGGGCTGGCGCTCGCTGAAGAAATGCATAGACTTCAAATTCCTTTACTCAAGAAGGTAAGGCAAATGGTATGTTTTGGCTAAGCCGCCGTAGCCAACAAACCCGACTTTGATTCGCGCCATGCTTGTTGTTTCAACGACGGTGGTCGGATGCGAAAGATAGTGTTTGGAAGTGTCAACAATCCTTTTCCTTTCGCAATGTTTTTGTTGACCACCAAATGTCTCCATTCTGATTACCATGAAGTGGGCTCAATGATATGCTACCAAGTGTGCTTGTTGGGGGTTACGCCCGGAAGTATTTTACACCAGCGGTTGGGATGTGGGCGGGGAGTTTCGGAGCATTGGCGGAAAGGGCTGCATATAAATATCCATTTCTTCTAGTTGCAATATCGATGTTTCTCCTCAGCCGTAGTTAAAGCCTAGCGAAGCGCTAAGCTAGCGTCGTTAGAAGTTAGAGTGAACAGCTGATCGTTCGCTATCCGAAAGTCGCTTAAGCGCATTGTTCAAGATTGTGTTGCTAGGGGTGGAATGAAGAGGCATAGCTGACATTTGACTTGTTAGTGATAATGGGTCTAGCTGGTGGGGCCCTACGATGTCAAAATCTTCGATGATGGTGAACTTAGTAATATAATTAATGATGTCAATGCCTAGCGTGAAACGCGGTGGCGGGTTGAGCAATAGGCGGGGTGAGCAACAGGCATGGTGCTGAATCCATACGAAGGAATAGAGAGGATGTGTAGGGTGAGAGATTATTAGTCTAGCTGGGTGATTATAGTAATATCCAAGTTTGAGTGGCAGGACTCGTCTACTGGCTAGTAGGCAGCCTTGGCGCCAAGGCTGATACCGGCGCTCCCGCACACTAAGCTTTGCGGGCGGAATAGGGCATCCGCTCAGACTTGACGATCTTTAACGGGTACAGTTAATATAATTCACCATCGGAGTTGTCGTTTCAAGATTAGCAAGGATTACAACATTGACAAGCATCGGTAAAAGGAGAAATTTTGCGAGGGACATTATTCCGGCTACAGCTTCGCTGCCGCCCGACGCCCAAAGGCGGAGTAGTTATTGGCGCCAAGATTCAACTAGCGCATACTAGCACCAGTAACACGTGACCGCATTAGTACATATAGGTACTAAATTACACGGCCGGACCAGAATACCTCCTATCTTGAACCAAGAAAGCGCTACTGTATCAGCATTTAGAATGCTTTGAAATCATGGAAAAGGGGCTCCTAGAGATCAAGTGCCTAGAAAATATCTATATAAACTAGAACAGAGTCCATAGAGTTGAAGAAGACAGAGATTTCGTTCATCGCGGAGCGCATGTCCAAAAGGAGTTAAGTCACTTCCTCTAGCACCACAGGACTCTCCCGTCGCCATCCAAAATCAATTTCACATCCGGCTCCATGGCGACAACACGTTGAAGACTTCGAATGGGTGCGCAACTGCAACCAAATCTGCAGAAAAGCGACCACCAGGAAACTGTCCGTGGTGGAAGATTCCATATTCAACCAGTGGTGTAACTCAACATAGGAGGTGGTAAGGCTAAGAATTCACCAATCATTGGTAGCTCGCCCTTGGCGGCCAACCCGTCTGATGTTGGCGAATTTGACTAGGCCACTTTTGGTCCGCACTCGAGCATGTATGAGATCTCTGTTTTCTCTATCTTATGTTGGCTGTTCCTTCTCATATATATCTAGTAGTAGAGTGATCTAGAACAGCCCATTCTCCATCCTCCTGAACCTCCTGAGCTGAAATCCATCGCGAAGTGCCCTTATATAGCTGAATTCATGACCTCCAGCTGGATAAATCGCCACTCTAGCACTGATTTATCACTAGGGCAGAGCACAGAGTAGTACGGTGAATCTTCTGCCTCTTGGTGGCAACAATGAGGGCTTCGGTCCAGCTCCGTGAGATACCATAAGCGTCAAAACACGAGATCAGATGGGGTTTTGACATAAATAAGCTTGTATTTGACGATACGAAGAATGTCCAAGCAAATATCTCATCCCAATAAGGCATTTATAATCGGGTGTGTGAACAAGAGCTGAGGAGTTTCTCCACATCTCCACAAAAGTAACCTGTCATTGACTGGAAGTCACTAAGCCTCGGCATATCAGTAATTGCTTACTCGTACTTGTATCCAAAATAATGGAGGTCTCCAGCCGTCTAGAGTTACTAATTTTAGCGTCTAACATGCGGGTCTATAAACACCTTTCTAACGAGATGGGATTTGAGTGTTAGGATGTGTTGAACTTCTCCGGAATGCTCAAATGGATGGTTCAAGGTCTCTGTCTTCTTTCTATATTGTTGCCTGTTCACTTCTCTATATATACCTGGCAGGAACTTGATCTAAACTTGCTCTTTTTGCATCATCGTGAAGCACTCCGAACAACAAGTAATTCTCTTGCCGTTCCAACCAGGTTTCACAGGTTTTACTGACGTTTTGATAGTGATTTATGAGTGATTCATCGCTCTCCTTGATACCTCGGATCTATTGATGATCCGTAGGCATTTGTCAGTCCAACAGTATGTCAGGTGAGTGCATAAGCTAGAGGCAGAAAGAGAGTACTAATGCTTTCTTTCTATTTTTCTATATATTTGCACCATGTAGAGCGTAGGTAGACGTATCGGCGTCCGAGTTTAAGTCAGCAACTGGAACCCCGACTAGCCAAACAATGCTCATGCAGGCAATTACTGTGCAGTGAATCCTCCGTCCACTGGTAAACCTACGCCTGTAATCCACCCAGCCTCGTTACTGGCAAGGAAGACGGCAGCACTAGCCACATCTGTAGGACGGCCGATCCCACGTAATGGGTGCCGCGCTCGAATGGCGTTGATGTCGTCCAAATAGGTTGTTGTTTCTGCGAAAATAGCTGTTTCGGTATCTGCAAGCAATTGGGTTAGTCCTGAGCTTTGCGAGCGTCTGGCACCAAGTCAAACTTACAGCCAGGGCAGATTGCGTTGCAATGTATCATCTGGTCAGCGTAGTCGATCGCAACCTGTTTCGTCAGGATCGAGACACTTCCCTTGGAGGCGGCATATGACGCTAGAATGAAATGTCAGCATACTCCGTGATGAATAAGAAATTCGGTGCACCCACAGTTGTGGCGGCCACCAACAAGTCCAAAGATAGACGATATGTTGATTATCCAGCCTCTGTCACCAGAAGGATGAAGCTCCTGTTTCAGCATCTGCGTGATCGCATATTTGGAACACAAGAAGACAGATTTTGAATTGACCGCCAAGGTGATATCCCAAGTCTGTTCTGACGTTTCGTGAATTTTGGCCGGCGCTCGTCCGGCCTCTAGCGATACGCCAGCGTTATTGACCAGGCTTGATTCGGGTTAGGAAAGTAAAAAATCAGAGGCTATTGCGCGGGCAGACCTACATATCCACCCTCTGAAACTCCGCGACAGCTTTTGAGATCATATTCTCAACATCTGAAGCTTTGCTGACATCCGTCTTGACGAAAATCGCCTCTCCTCCACTTCTTCGGATCAGCTCGTCCGTGCTGACTGCGACTTCGCCCGCTACAAGAGCACGTGCGGTTTGATTGAGGTCAACGCAAACAATACGAGCCCCTTCTCGTGCGTACGCTACGGAAATAGCTCGACCGATGCCAGAGGAAGCCCCTGTGACAATGGCGACTTTGCCGTTCAATCTCTTTGTCTCGCTCATAGCAAATGTTAAGATGAGGATCTGACGTTAAGATGATGGAAGGGGGGATATAGAGGAGTTGGCGTAGAGAATGAAAACGTGAGTCTGGATTAAACCCAACTGAAGGAAGGCTAGCAGATAAATTAAAATGAGTACAGGTTAATACCGAAGGTTTTAATGTTGCGCAGGTCACTAAAATAATGATGTTCTATGGTATCCGTCGGGCCTACATTCGCCAGAACATGGCCCTTGTCCCATTCCAAAAATTTTGCACTCATATGAGGATCAACTAAATAAGTTTTGGGGTGTATTGCGAGGGGGGCGATGTCAGGCCATAAGGTCAACTTAGCCGATCTGCAGATTACCTGTATTCCGCCCCCATAGCTTTTTACACGATCGTACGTAAATGACCACAATACTATACTCTCCCACAGCGTGCACTCTCCAGTCCCCACAGCTCGCTAACTTTCGCTGAGTGAGAGCGAGACTTTGATTGGTCCGGCAACATCACCGCTTTTAACCCCGCGATTTCGCCACTCGCTAATATATCCTAATAGTCCTGAGCAAACCATCTGGTCGATGTCTAGCCCGTCCAAAGTTGGAATAGCGTTGAGGAGAAAACCCTTGACCCAGATGCTGAAATTGGAGCCGAAGGGTTTCCGATATTCATTGTATGTAAGTTGAAGAACATACTTTAGGAAGAACATCCCCATTATGACGCCTAGTCGAGGCTTCTGTTTTACTACCATGACCATTCTCTCACAATATACAAAACTCTTGTTATCAAAATTTCAGTAGTGGACAGTATGGGGTACCCAGAAACGTTCGAAGGCTTCATGGTGAACTCGCACACCCAGTGGAGCATATTCAAGAGGCAAGAGGTAAGAAACCCGATAAAATGTCCCGGCAATGTAGATTAATTCTTCTCCCCAGTTCAAGCCAAAGCCGTTCAACGACAATGATGTCGATATCGCCGTCGAAGCATGTGGAGTTTGTGGCAGTGACGTCCATACCATCACAGGTGGCTGGGGAAAATGCAACCTTCCCCTATGCGTTGGCCATGAAATTGTTGGGACTGTGCTGAAAATTGGACCCAGCGTCACAACTTTGCAAATTGGACAACGTGTTGGCGTTGGAGCGCAAGTTTATGCATGCCTGGAATGCGTCAATTGTAAGAACGACAATGAGAACTACTGTTTGAAACAAGTGGGTAAGCTCAGAGCTCCTCGCTACTTGGGGGAAAATAGCTGATTTTGGTGTACAGATACTTACAACGCCCATTATCCTGATGGGACCATCTCGCAGGGAGGATACTCCAGCCATGTGAGAGTGCACGAGTATTTTACCTTTGCAATCCCAGATTCGATCCCGACAAGCCTGGCTGCACCCATGCTTTGCGCCGGTATCACAACCTACAGCCCTCTGGTTCGCGCAGGCATCGGCCCGGGAAAGAAGGTTGCCATTATCGGTATCGGGGGTCTAGGTCACTTTGGAATCATGTGGGCTAAGGCTTTGGGTGCTGAGACCTACGCAATATCCCACAGACCTTGTAAAGCAAACGACGCGAAAGCACTGGGTGCGCAAGAGATGATCTCCACACAGGAAAAGGGTTGGCACGAGCCCTGGTCGTTCTTCTTTGACTACGTGTTGAACACTGCTGACGCGACCCACAACTTCGACATGAAGGCATACATGAGCATCTTGGCCGTCAACGGAACTTTCCACAATGTCGGCTTGCCCGACGGACCGCTCCCTTCCATGATGGCTTTTGACTACATGCGTGGAGGTTACCAGATGGGTGTCAGCCATATCGGTAGCAGGCCTGAGATGTTCTCCATGCTGGAATTGGCAAGCAAGCAGAATATCAAGAGGTAATAGCCATTGACCCAGTACTGTTCGCATAGCTAACGAAACTGCAGCTGGGTGGAAACAGTCGACATCAGTGAAGCAGGCTGCAAGGAGGCTGTGGAAAGAGTCAAGAAGGGTGCCGTGAAGTATAGAATTACGCTGGTGGGTTTCGATGAAGCATTTGGCAAGCGGTTGTGAGACTAGTATCGTATTGACGAATGTCAACCTTATGAGGCACTCACGAGGCTCACGCAAGGCATTCACAAGGCAGAATGCCTTCCGTTTCACAGTAGATAGATATCTATATAACCGATCCTCTTACACGTCCATTTTGCAAGAAGTACAACTAGAAGCAATAGATAGAGCTATGGGATAGGCGACCAATCATAATTCATCCAATTAGTTCATATACCTCCTTCACGTATTCATGATTGAATAACTGTTTAGAAAAGAGGGAAATGTCCATGTACTTAACGGCAAGCCCTCCGACACACCTTCCTTTCATGCGTCAGGCATCGAATGTGCCAGATCAGTAGCTTGACGGTTGCCATTCATCTTGAACTCAACAAAAGTGGCATGACATTTCTATTCACATTGAGTACTATAGTTGTTGTTGTTGTAGCGGCCAGAGGAATCCGATTGACTAACTGCAATAATGAGGGGGGGATGGCCGCTATATGTACACGTGGAGGGTGGTAACCCAGAGTAGCTAGCCGCAATCAGGGTCCTTAGCGGGCAATCACACTATTACGTTATCACGTGCACTAGCCTGCCAAGACTCAGATATTACACCTTATTGGCAGCACGACCTTCGTAGAATCCTGCCCCATCTTCGCCTTTCTGGACCAAATGCAAACTCCTTCTTTCCCTGCGTCTGCCTCCTGTTATGCAGACTCTGGCGAACAACACTCGATCACACAACGGTTGGTTCGTTGCTTCAAGTTCCGATCGCTGACTGCGTTGACCTGCTAACCAAGCTGCCTCTGGAAGTGATACCTGTCGCATGCGAAAACTCAAATGTGATGAAGTCAAGCCGGAATGCGGACCTTGCGTTAGGGCGTCCCGCGGGTGTGTCTTTGGTAGCTCGATGTTTCGTCACTTTGATGTTAGTAATCCCTTCAATGAGAAGCGAAAGACTCCACACAGCGACTTGAGGGCAAAATCAAGGCACCAGCGACGACAGGACCGTCACACTTGGCTCGATGTACCGGCCCATCGTAAGTAGATCATATGAGTTCCGATACATGGCTGCTCATTGTTCAAATAGTGACGTTTGTTCAAATCTTTGACCCTTACGAGGAGGATTCCAACGATGCAATCAGTCAACCTCCGCAAATGGCCAAAGATGCGAGTATATCCCGGCTCGACATCCAAACATCACCTCAGGAACCCGATATGCGACAAATGAGCGAGAATGTCGGATTTGAAATCGACGACCAAGACATTGGTAGTCCTCGACCGACAGTTACCAATTACTCCGTCGAACTGGAGCAAGTTCATAAATCTCCATCAGCATCAGAAGCAGCTACAGAAACGAGCATATTAGATGCTCTGCTTCTTCGGCACTTTGCAGAAAGTCCAGGCAAATGGTCAGTCCCTGCAAGCTAAGAAGTCGCGTCTACTAACGGAGAGATCACAGGATGGATCTTTTCGATACTGGCGGCTACTTTTCCCAAAAGATACCCATTCTTGCAGCAACTCGACCACTCCTCAAGCATGCTGCATGTGCTTTCGCCACGAAACATCTGCAGCGTGTCAGGAGGCAAGCCGATTGCAGTCATAATTATTCACGGTCTCAAACTGCGATTGGTGAAATCTCTCAGAACTTCAGTCATGTTGATTGGAGCTATAAGAGTGTAGAGCACTATGACAACGCCATCAGCCTCCTTCTGGAATCAGTTCAGCTTGTCGACAGTCAGCAGGAAGTATACGGAGAAAAAGGCTATCCTGATGAGATTCTCGCTACAGTCGCCATTTTATCAATGTATGAGCTAATGGATGCGCCTGGCCCCGAATGGAAAGCCCATCTGAGTGCCTTACCTCTTCTGGACAATTCCTCATTCGAGCTACATAATCCAACATCGTCTATCAGCAATATCCAACTTACAGCTGCGAAACGATCTATCTTCTGGAATTTCGCCAGACAAGATTTTTTGTCCGCATGTAAAGTTCCCCAAGATCGGTTTCACGTCCTGAACTAACGATATAGTCATTGGAGAAACCAGAACCCGACTTGACCCCGGTGACGTTCAGCTTTGGCGTAAGGTCGGTATTCATGTTGATGAGAATGGTATCTTGTTGCAAAATAAAAACTTGCGTGATTTTCGAACGAACGATGCTGGACGAGAGACTCTTCACAGCGATGATGGTGTTGAAGTGGAAGAAGACATGATAAGCAACTCGATGATTTGGCTCTTGGGTAAGATTGTGAATTTTCTTGCGGCTGGTGACGGCATCTATCCAGGAGACTTTGAACTACCAACTGCTCGCCAACAACGATTTGCCATTCCACAAGAAGAGCTTCTTGGGAGATGGAATCTACTCCAGCAAGAACTACAGACCTGGTACGATAGCTTACCGTCGACGTTTGCGCCCTGCGCAAGGACCAAACTTGCGTCTCAAGACACTCAGGACTCCCCAATCGATCTACCGAATTTCGAAAAGGTGTGGTACAGCATCCCGATGTGCGCAGCAACTATGCAGTACTATCACATGGCACGCATAATTTTATTGGTGAACAGACCGCAGGAATCTACCGCCATCAAGTCTTCAATCACTGCTCGCTTATGGTCGTATCGTATGATCCAAGAGGAAGCCCAGTATCACAGCCGAGAAATTTGTGGAATCAGCCTTTCAAATCTCCCCGATGCAGTAAGGATTCACTCCCTGCAACCGCTATTTGTTGCTGGCCAATGTCTTTCCGAGACTTTTGAGCGCAGGGCTGTCCTAGGCATACTCTCGAGCATTCAAAAGGATCTAGGTTGGGCCACAGGCTACCGCATGCGAAAACTGGAAGAAGAGTGGAATGCGGGATAAATACAACCATGAATGTCTAAGATGGTTCTATGACCGCCTGTCAATTTTTGAATGGATGTCCATGCCATGTATCAGATTTTCAAGTGTGCATCTCACCACGGCCACCACCATCTCTGCTACCGCACCTAAAAGACCCATTTCCTGCATATCAATCATCAAACTTGGACTGTTTGGGATTTGATATCGGAGTTGATTTCAACAAAGCCTCTGGCGTCCTGGCCTTCGACATGTTCAACCCCACATGTGCTCTGCTTCCGCATCTGTTCCTGAAAGGTGTCCTGTGGGGTATACGATTCCGACTGCCACGCTTGCGACACTTTCTCATACATGTCATCTACCTGTTCGAGCGTGAGGCCTTTGGTCTCAAAGATGCAAAGGTAAACGAAGACTGCGCATCCCAAGCAGCAAGCACCCCAGATGAAGAACACCTTGGCCTGCAAACCTGCCGCACCAGGGGCTTCGTCAACCAGATATGGAGTTGCAAAACCAATTGCCCAGTTTAAAAGCCAGTTACTAGCGATAGAACAGGCAACTGACTGTGCACGGAATCGCAGAGAGAAGTTCTCACCCTGGAGGGGAATTAGCGGGCTTTGAGCAAAGGGATGGAATCAAACATACCACAACCACCCATCCTGCAACACCCCATGAGATGGCAAAAAAGAAGATATATATGCATGTGAATGCAATCAGAACCGTATTGGCTACATTGGATGAGGAAGTTGCGCCTACAATCGCAACGATGAATTCGCATATGGTCATACCAACAGCTCCCCAGAAAAGAAGTTGTCGCCTTCCCCATCTCTCAACGAGCAACAAGCCTGGAATTGTTGAGGCGACGTTGACGAGATTCGTTGTAAGTCCAATCAAGAATGGATTGCTGATGCCGGAGTTCTTGAAGAATTGAGTTCCATAATAAAAGATGAAATTGATTCCGGTCAGTTGCTGTGCCACCATGATACCACAGCCAGTCAAAAGCCGGCGCCGTTGTCGACCATGGCTTTTCAAAAGATCAAGCCAGCTGGATGTTCCTAGAGCAATGTCATACTCATGGTTTGCAATGATCTCGGCGAGTTCCTCGGTAATTGCGGGATGATCCGGAGACAGACGACGTAATCTCCCCAAGGATTTGGAGGCTTCGGCGGTATTCCCAGTTTTGACGAAGAACCGAGGCGTTTCTGGAAAGAAGAAGATTCCGAATCCCAGGATCAAGCCGTACAGAAGCTGTACGGCCACAGGGATGCGGTAACTGCCAGAGTCATTCCGATCATGAGTGGCGTTGTTCACGATCGCTGCTAGCAGGAGCCCAATGGTGATCGCAAGTTGGTAACTATCGGTTGTCAGTACATGTCAGCGATACTTGAGAACAGTGCCTACGCAGCAATGATTGTTCCTCGAATCCACTTGGGACTGCATTCGGACTGGTACAACGGGACAAGACTGGAGAGCAGGCCCACCCCAAAGCCAGCCACCGCACGCCCAGCGGTAAAGAGCGGGATAGCCATTGCTGCAGTTTGCATGACTACTCCAATATTGAAAATCACGCATGAAACTGGTTGAATTCAAGGTCAGCGGACGTCATGGTTACGAGTCTCATTGTAATGTATACCTAAAAGACCAAGTCGCCTTCCAGCTAGATCACCAATTGGTGCACCAGACAAAGCACCGAAGAATGTGCCAGCTGAAAGAATAGAAACAATCAAGCTCTGTTCGCCAGTGGTGATGTATGCCTGCCCCTGGACATCGACATGAGTGCTGAAAAGTCTGACCCAATAGTCTGCAAAGGAGCTCTCAGCCACTAGTCAAGCCAGATTGAGGAGGAGGAGGGGAGATCGATCACTTACCCATTGCCAGAATACCACTAATTGTGCCGGTATCATAGCCAAAGAGAATACCCCCGAGAGAAGCGAACCCTCCCATGAGGATAGCAGGCGTGGCTGAGCCAGCAACCTCTTCAGGCTTCTTAAAGAGCTTCATTTTGAAAGCTGTATGTCGGTTTACCGTAGTATCTCCTCAAATACTTTGTGGGTGATGATGAAGAGAAAGACAGAACTTCCAATCTGCGACGGCAAGGGCATATTTATGTCCCAGCTGTCTTCTGAATTGCGGGTTCCGCTTGCCCGAAGGGCCTCCTGGATCCAAAGAACACTAACTGTGCCGGCTTCGGATGAGACTCCGTCTGGACAACTGATAACGTTCCATCAAATTCGACGGTATTGTGGAGGAACACACAACAGCCCCCACGGGGAAATACATTAGGCGAACCACCCGAGCTTGTGGCGTATTACACCAATTAGACAGTATGGGCGTTTCAAAGCCTGCGTGAAAGTGTTTCTTTAAACCTTATCAAGATAATGGAACCCGGCCTTGCCCCTGGAGGAGATTCCCATCTCGTTTAGGTTCTGGTTATTTTCCCGACTGGCCACCTTACCCAAGGCAGGTATGGCAATTCTTCCGAATGTCGTCCACTATTTCCTTCTCATTACATTTCCGAATTCTCCAACTTTTCCCCGGATCTGTCTAGAGCCGAAAACGCTCAGCTGGAGAGACATTGTATACTGTAGTTGCAAGGAGGTATTTACGCATGGGAAACATTGCAAGGACAAGAGGAAGGATCAGTGTCGTTGTAAATTAAAGCTGTGAAAATTCTAGTACCCATTGCTTTACTCCCTTCGTCTTACCATGCTGTATGTCCACCATCAATGACCAGCGAGCTCCCAGTCATGAAAGAGCTAGCATTGCTCAACAAGAATATCGCTGCCCCTCTGAACTCATTTGGTTTCGACAGTCGGCCCAGCATGTTCTCGTTCTCCCACATCTCTCTAAGCCAGGGTTCATCCTCAAAGTTCTTCTCCACCATTGGCGTCACGATGTGGCCTGGACACAGCGAGTTGACGCGTATACCTTCCTTACCCCACTCCATCGCAAGGTTTCGAGTCAGCTGGAACACCGCTGCCTTGCTGGAATTGTAGACGCACGTTCGGAGACCTTTGTTGGCCACCTATGCTAGAGTTAGATAAAGACCTCGGTATACATTGAGGGAAGACAGATACTCACCATGGCGGACATGCTGGCTACCAGCATGATACTTCCGGGTGTGTTCCATTTCAACATCTGGGTGGTAACGGCTTGTGCCGACATCAGAACGGCCACGTAGTTTACGTCGAGCATCTTTCGAACATCTTCCACTTGGAAATCTAGGGCAGAGGTGACTTGTTGAACTCCGGCGGCGGCGATGAGACCATCCAGCCTTTGGTGCTCAGTTGCGATGTCGGCGACTAGCTGGTGAAGCTCTTGCGTGTTGGTCAGCTCGATTCGGTGGTAGTGGATTCTGCCGCCTATGCTTCTTCCGTTGAGCTTTTGGGCGGTGGGGAAATCATCGTGCGGTTCTGGAAGGCGGTCGAGACAGTGTACTATTGTAAAATTCAGGCTCAGATTCTTTATGACAAGCACCCAGGTATATGATCGTGATGTACCTACCGATTGCTCCTGCTTGAAATAAGGCTTCAGCCATGCAGAGGCCCAACCCTCTGCCTCCACCGGTGACGACGATCACCTTACCCTGAACATCGAACTCCGGGGTATATTTGGTAGCCCCGAAGCGTGTTTGTTCCAAGTGGGATGGTACTAGAGTTGTTTCATTCATTGGGACGGGACACATGACGACCGCCTATTATCTCCTTCCTGAAGTCACGAGCAAATCTTCAAGGTGTTTTGCACGTCTAGACATAGGAACATCAAGTTTTATCTATATATAAGAAGATCCCACGTCGTTTGTGAAATTGCGAGTATATCGTCCTACCTTTTATCGGGTATCTGTAGCCGATGCTGAGCCATTTCCAGCCTGGAACCAGACACACCTAAGATTTTGTCGGTAGTATGCATTTCGAAGCTGTGGCGGAACGTTTCGCTTCCTTTGGCGTGAGAATGAATCAATCTTACATTATCTCCGCCTCCTGTCATGAGGACCGAACCGTTACCGTATCGCGTAGTCAAAGATCCATTCGTGGTGTTTTGCAACAAAAAACATGGGTTATTCTGACCAACTGGGTAAGACGATCGTCGCTGTGAAGGGAACATTTGCCGGAGGAAATGTTAGCGAGAGGCAGTCAAAGCGGGTAGCAGGGAGAGCAATATTGCCGACCACCATTTACTCAGCTCACTGCCTCGCGCTCGCCCGGGATTAGACCACCCAGCGTTGAAATTCTCGAAAAATGGCGTCAGTTTCCTGAGCAGGTGGCAACAAATAGTCATGCCACCGGCGGAACATTCTGCGCTTTCCGCTCCAGCCACAGCCTGGAAGTCATGCGGGACGAGGAAGTAGAGCCGTCCAAGAAGCAACGCAAATCAGCCTCCATATATAGTCGACACTATTCTTCAGAACATCCAACCTTAACCTGTAATACGATCTGCACTTAGCAACTACACACGGATTTCACAATTCAAGCTTTTGTCAACTATTCTTACAATATGTTGTTAGATACTGATGTGCTGGTTATTGGAGGGGGAATGTCCGGCATCGGCTTCGCTGTGCAGCTAATTCGAACATACGGTAGCCGAAACTTTCAGATAATCGAAAAGACCACCAACATTGGAGGAACTTGGAATGTAAACACTTATCCTGGGTGTGGCTGCGATGTGGGTCTTGACTGGTGCTGGAGCAGCCCGGGTTTTGGCTAACACGTTTAGGTGCCATCCCATTTTTACTCGTACTCATTCGCTTTGAACCCGAACTGGTCTAAGGTTTTCGCTATGCAACCAGAAATCCAAGCGTACTTCGAAGGTGTCGCTAGCAAGTACAACTTGGCACAGCATGCTAGATTTCAAACGTTGGTTGAATCTGCGTTTTGGGAAGAGCAAACGGCGACTTGGCTTGTGAAAATCCGAGAGTTACCCACAGGGAAAACTTCGCAACTCCGTTGCAAGATCCTGGTCTCCGCCGTTGGAGCGTTGTCGACTCCAAAGAAATGCGATATTCCCGGCGCATCCAAGTTCCAAGGCCGCCTTTTCCACTCTGCAGAATGGGACCATTCCTTTGACTGGCAAGACAAGGTTGTTGTTACCATAGGTACGGAGTACAGTCCTTGAAAAATCCCAGTGTCCCGAAGGCTCATACTGTCTCATGTCGGATAGGAAATGGTTGCAGCGCCACACAATTCGTTCCCGTCCTCAGCGAAGGCAAGGGTGCTGTCCGGAAATTGACACAATTCAGCCGTCAAGCACATTGGCTTGCCGAAAGGCCCAACCCTGAATACTCGAGTCTATTCAAGTGGTGCCTACGATGGATTCCTGGCCTGATGCGAGCGTATCGTGCAATGTTATACTGGACCAGAGAGCGCGATTTTGGAGGCTTCAACGTCAAGTCGGGCGCAAAGACTCGAGCCGCGTGGGCAAAAGATGCTGCTGAATACATCAAGAAGAATTCACCCGCCAAATATCGAGACTTCTTGGTGCCCAACAGCGAAATCGGATGCAAGCGCCGTGTCAACGATACCGGCTACCTCGCCTGTTTACATCAGGACAACGTTGAGCTGGTCTACTCGGATCCCATCAGTGAAATCGTCGAAGACGGAGTCCGCACAAAATCTGGCCGTTTGGTCAACGCTGACGCTATTGTGCTGGCAACCGGCTTTGATACTCAGAAGGCCCTGTTTCCGATGGATATACGAGGTGAAAATGGCATCCACTTGAATGACCATGTGAGTTCTCTCATCCCCGGATTCTGATTCTTTCCACGGGTTTTGGGTCTAACATTGAACCATTTCGCAGTGGGACGACGTAAGCGAAGGCTCGTCTTCCGCCTACTTTGGCACCTGCCTCTCCGGATTCCCCAACTTCTTCGTCATGATGGGTCCCAACACGCTGAGTGGGCATCTGTCGGTTATCTACACGACCGAATGCCAGATCAACTTTACCATCTGCGTCATCAAGCCCATCTTGCAAGCACTGGAAAAGTCGCGTCGCGGCTCGTGGTTTTCGACTCCCAAGACCCTGAAGGACACGGTCGTGGTCCGTCCTGAAGCAGAAAAGAAGGACATTGAATGGATCCAGAAGAAAGCCAAGCAGCTTGTCTGGTCCACCGGTTGTACCTCTTGGTTCATTGATCCCAAGACGAACCGAAACACCATCATGTATCCCGATTGGCAGTACAAATTCTGGCTGCGAAGCTTCTGGATTGAGTGGGCTGACTTCACCTATGCTTCTTCGGGAGCGCTGGGAGCAGATAAGTGATGAGGCCAGGCATCGGTGGGGGTCCTGCCGCAACGAGAGACGAAGAGAAAGATTGAATCTATTGAGAAGTCCAGCTGAGAAGAAACGACGAAAAGATGTTTTCTACCAAACGCTCATCAATCTGACCAATTTGGTGACACAGACAACTCTCACGAAGGTAACGTAGCAAAAAGGGTTCCATGGAGCAGGGTCAAGAGGGGCCACATTAAGTCGGGGAAAATATGTTGATAAAGTTGGTGACAGTCGCTGTCTTGTGTGGCCGGGGCTCTTGCAGTTGCAAGGGCTTCACATTGGAACAGAGAGAAACGAGCGCTCATGGAAATCAGCTTTTGAGCAAATGGAAAAGAACTTACGTCACACTGTTTATCGAAAGAAAGTGTTCACGGGGTTTTATATAGATGATCACTTTTGGTATGAAGATTTTCTGGCCAACAGTCTATATCTATATGGGGAGTTCTAGACATCTTAATCTTTCAAGGAGCATTCGACGAAAGACGCTAGATAACAGCTTCAGGTTCCGCCACTTCGCACACTACCACCGTTTTCACCACCTTCTCGTTTTCCAAGCCTGCAGAATTCCGAATAGCGCTATCTAGGACCATATGGGCATCGCCTGAAATCGAGCCGGGGGTGAAATTGAACTTGCGGAATTCACAATTCCTCCACCTAGTTCCTGTTGAAGCACGAAAAATAAATGTTAGATCACCAACACCGCGATGACGAAAAAGGATAGTGTATGAAGCAATGTGTTACGAACCAGGTCACTGAAAGGGTCGCCAAGGACAAGCTACCTATACTTGAAGGAAACAAGGAAGTTAGCCGATGAAGAACGAGGCTATGTCACGTAACTAGAGGATGGACTATAGGGGACTATAGACTATAAGGATAGTCTAAGTAGGTCTATAGTCTAGACTAGCATTATATATATACGCTCCTTTACTTAGATATTACGGATTATAGTTAACTTCGTTAGTAATCCTATACCTATATTTAGGATATAGTCCGACGATTATATATTCCCTTTATTATCTTAGTTAATACTCTAGTACCTACTCTATTAAGGAACCCTACCTTAGTTAGAACTACTTATAGCTCGGATTATAATAGGAAGAAGAAAAAGAAAGAGTAAGACCTTTCTAGATTATAGGTAAAAAGTTATACGGTTAACGACGGCGATAAGGAGGCCGGAAGCGTACGAGACTATTAGGAATACCCTAAGAGGCTTCCTAGCAAGTATATAACTAATAGGTCCGAGAATACCTCGTACTTCGTGCGAGATTCTAGTCTTTTTGAGCGATCCTTAAGGGCTTACGGACCTATTGCCTGACAGAGACGTATACTTCTAGCGATACGAGCCCTAGGTTTTACTCTACGAAAGAAAGAGCTTTTTCCTATATAAGGTAAATCGTCTACGTAGTTCCGTAAGGAGATCTAAAATAGACGTTAATAGATAATAATAAAAAAAATAATATTAACCTCGTATAACTATAAGATAAGTTCTATAAAGATAAAGAAGGAAATAGATTAATATAATAGAGCGAAGAAATTATACGAAAATTCTAGAAGGCGAGAGAATAGACTTAAACTTCTATAGTCGTTACCTAATAAGAATAAGAAGAAATTATAAACTATATAAGATAATAATTAATAGAGTTTCGCGTAGGCGATAAGGCCTAGCTTAACTTAAGGAACGTACGTATAACGCGAAAGAATAAAAAGCTCGATTAAAAGAATACGAAGTATATCGTAATTAAAGTTATCGAATTATATAGCTATCGTCTTAATATATTAATATCTATTAGAGCGGATGCCATAGCCCCTAGCGATTAAGCTAAAAAGACGTGGAGTATAGACACTTCGTGTCGATATCTCTAGCAATCCACTATATATACGTACTCCTTGGCATCCCGTGACAATATCGGTATTTTAGCTCGTAGCTACCTATTAGGGACGAGATAAGCGAGATCTTCTAGAGTCTTTCTATAGGTTCTCTATCTAACTATATATATAAAAGTGACATCGACTCGAAGCGTAAGGAGCTATAAGCTCCCGATACTTTCCGTATACGATATACCTACGAGTTATATACCTCTTAGTACTTCTATTACGGATAATCCGTAATAATATCCCCTCCTTTAGTCGCGTTATCCTTAACGCGGCCTTATTCTAAACTTATACGTATCGTAGTAATAAAGTATAGCTTATCGTATACTTATAGTATCCGCTCTAAGGATCTTATAGGTATACGCCGTTCTACGGCCCTATATACCTTACCGAGCCTACTCGTATACGGTCTATTACTATAGTTAGCTTAGTTATAGTGTATTGAGATTAAATCGGCATATATTCTCGCCTATCCTGCAGGTCGGATAAGGGGGCAGGGCTGCGTTGCTAGGGGTTCTTTTTAAGACTTCTCGCAATAGACGTATATAAAGCCGTAATGGCTTTATTCGTAAAGGTCACTACTACTGAAATTTAGGCTATACAGTTATACAGCCGAACTCGTAGAAGGAAAAAACGCTCTTAATTCTATAAACTATGCTCTTATAACTACTATCTAGTACTCTACGTAAGCTCGCGTATATTAGGTTACTCTTCCTCCGTTGCTTATCTCTTCGATCGTCTACTTTCTTCCTCCCTTACTTATTCTTCTATACTAAGGCCCCTTCTCTCTTCTCTTATAACTAAGCGCCTCGAGCCTTAATATATTCCTCTCCGCTCTACTACTTAGAGAATCCTCTTAAGTACATCTATAATGCCTAGAACTATAGGCTCGCTGGCTAATTCGTAGAGAAATTACCTCGCTCCCGTAGAAATATCGTAATACTAAGTAATCGTGTCGTATTAAGAATAATTCTTTATAGCTAGTATTTAGATATTCTTCCCGTTAACTTAAGGCCGTAGTACCGGTTGCCGTAAGAGAAAACTTAGAGAGTAACGTCGAGATTAACGATATAATAGTCCCTCTCGATAACTTATATAAGCCGTTTACCTTATAAAGAGTAAAGAGCTTTAAACGAAATACTAAACGAAACGAAATTATAGTTAACTAGTAGTAAAAGAAATATCTATACTATAATCGTAACGTTCTAGTACCGTATTCTTAAAGTAATATAAATAAAATAATATATAATAAATCGTCCTCGTACTCCCTAAATTATTCGGCTATATAGTTATATAGTCTAGCCTCCTCTACTTTAGTAGTTACTTCTTTAATTATATTTCGATCTTACTCCTAATAGATTATATATTAGCCTTAATTAAATCCTTAGGATCGATAACCGTAACCTTCTTCCCCCTAGTAGACGTATTAAAATCCCCTATTTCGCCTAGTACGAAAGCCTTCTCCGGAAAGAATAGATTTATCTTCTAGTTCTTAACTTCTTTAGTAATTATATCTACTACCTCTACCCTCGTCTCTATATCGATTTATACTACTTATAGATCCTTACTATAGTAGAATACTCGAAAATTTATTATTATCTATAGCCTATAGTCGCTAGTATTCTATTACTTCTTACTTTTTATATCGCTAATAATAATATCTTCTAGTAGATATCCTTCGATAATTAATAACGAGTAGAAATAAATTAAGTTCTTATTATTCTTCTCCTTCTTATAGTCGTAGATAGAGTCGAGATAAAAGACTTTACCTCCTCTTTCTCCCTTAGTTAGTTTCTAGATAATTAAGAACTAATATAGATCCTTATTAATAATAATAGTACGAGTCTAGTCTCTATTTCCTTTCTATAGTTTATAACGTTTACCTTATTTAATTATATTCTATATATAGTATAATATAATATAGACTTAGTTATTATTATATCCTCTAATAGCGATAATAGCTATTAGTATAATAGAGCTATTTAGCTACCTAGTTTTCTATCTTTTAATTTCTAGAGTATCTAGGTCCTTAATTTAAAGACTCTACCCTTCGTATTGTATATTACTACTACGAATCTTCTAGTTTAAATTACCGTACTTATTATAGTAGTTATTTAGGTTTACTTAGATTATCGTTTAGTACCCTATATCGCTTCGTAGATCGGTATAGAAAAGCGTAATTATTATCGTAAACTTATAGAATATCTACCTAAGCTCGTTAACTATTCTACTTTTATTCTTACTCTTTACCTTATAATTAACTATACTTATATATAATTCTAAAGTAATACTAATAAGCTAGAGCCTAGAAAAACTCGTAAATATATTCTTCTCGTTATCGTTAATTAATCCTTCTTCCTCATTATTAACTCTTCTCTCTATCTACCTAACTATTAATTTCTATAGAACTTTCTATATTACCGTTAGGCTCTTAATTAGATAGCTCTAAAAGACTCGATTTATTATTACTTCCTTTAAGACTTAATTTCCTTAAAAGATCCTTTAAATTTCGTATTCTACCTTAGCTCCTACTATTTAGATTAGCGTAGAATTCCTATTTAGTTTCTTCGGTCCTAATAGACTTAAGAAGCTAAGCGTTAGACTATATAGAATTAGTCGTTTCTTTAAGTTAGCTAGAATTATAATTAGCTTAGTATTCTATACCTTAGCT